CTTTGAGAAATAATTGTCAACGATGGAGCCGAACCAGTCCAGGTTGAAGTGATTGTTGGGAAAATGCTGGTCACTTCAATGAAAGAGCTAGAATTTTGAGCCTCAATATGTGAACTAGGAACAAGCTTGGCAGGAGTCACATCAATAGTGCCATTAGAAGCACTTTGAGAAATAATTGTCAACGATGGAGCCGAACCAGTCCAGGTTGAAGTGATTGTTGGGAAAATGCTGGTCATTTCACTGGAAGAGCTAAAATTTTGAGCTTGAATATGTGAACTGGTAACGAAAGTGCCAGAACTCAATCCAGCAGTGCGATTTGAGGCAGTATGAGAAGCACTCGGCGTTGATGTTACAGAATTAGTCCTGCTGGGATTGAGGGCTGTGATTGAACTAGTCACTCCATCTGTTCCATTATAGGCGGCGTGAGAGGAACTAGCCGTTGAGAGGAGAGAACCAGTCTTGCTTGGGTTGAAGGCTGGGATCGAACTAGTCACTTCGCTAGAAGATCTAGAATGACTAGGTGAACTAGGAACAGTCGTGAAAGAAGTCAGTACAGCAGTGCCATTTGAGGCAGTTGGCATTGTTGAAACAGAATCAGTTGAGCTTGAGTTGATGTTTGGTACCGAAGTGGTGGCTTCACTAGATGGTTTAGATGTTTGGTTATGTTTGCTATGATCGTGCTTTTGTTCAGTTATCTGTTTCGTACCATTGGGAGTTGTAATGATTGTGGCGGCTGCTGATGAAGCAGAACTGGTCCAAGTGGGTGTTTCATTTGGTGGTTTAGAACTTCCTCCTGTTGGTGAGCTTGACGGGGAGTAGACGATGACAGTTCTTTGATTGCTGTTGGTTGGTGTGTATACAATGACTGTCTCTGGAGTCTGAGACGTTGGAGTATAAACGATGACGGTATATGTTTTAGTGACATCTTTTGGTATGTTAATACCGTCAGCATTGATTTTTAAATCCTCATTGAAGTTTCTCGGTTGCAGAAAATTATTGGCTTCTTGTTCAGTGTTAGGCTGATAGGAGAAATCTGGCTTGTCACTTGGACTATTTGTCCCTTCGTTATGTTGGTTGGTTTTCCAATAACTGCGTGAAGGTATAGCACGGGATATTGAGCATTGGATTGCCAAATAATATAACAATAGGAGAAGAATGGTTGATTTTTTGGGCAACAGCATTAGGTGTATGTTGCTCAACTTCTGATGCTTTTATATGTTACAATACGATGTCAAGTACTATAAACACACAGAGTCTACGCGACAATAACCTTACACGAATAGGGGAGCGATTTATATGGAGTTAATTTTTACATAGGGACATAATTTGTAATACTGCGTTCGCGAACGGGAGTACTTGTGACTTTGTTCAGTTCGTCATCTAGTTTTTATTCGGAAAAATCTTGATATGCGGTTGCCCGACAATTTTCGAACCAAAATTTGAACAATAATCACAAATATTTGTAGGCGAACTAATGAGGCCTTAGCTTATATTACACTTGTTGGAAAAGCCGTCTATCGATCTTCGACTATTTGGAAGATGAAAAACAAAAGAAAAGAAAAAAAAAAAAAAAATATCGCAAAGATGGAAGAAGGAAAGGAGTGAAAACTGTGTAGATGTCGTCCAAATGTGCATTCAAACATACATCTAGGGGATATTGGATGTCGGTATTACTATTTTTGATCAATTTAGGGATAACGTGTAAATTTTCGTGAAACAGATGTTCATGGCGATTGCAGCTAGGAACTTTCCCTTCGTTTAGACCAGGGTTCTGGATCGATGTTTGATAATCCGGTAGTTTTCTAGGGGATGTTGATTTCGAACATTCCAAATAACAGCCATCTTGTAAAAAAATTTTTTTTTCTCTAACTTAACTGTTCTAGCCTTAAAGACTAGCCTGTTAATGCATTTATGCCCGTCTTTCTAAAAAAATTTGGCGATTTTTAAGGCTGGTTAAAATGTAGGCAGTAAAGTGACTCTTACTGATGCTATTTCCTTGTCTACAATTTCAGTGGAGTTTAACCAACTTCTGAGAAAATACATGAAGATTTGATTATAGTCAGATTATTTATCATCTATCATGAATCATTAAAAACATTCTTTATTATGCTTATTCGAAAAGACTTTTGGAACTTTTGTTCCTTAGTTCGTTACTGTTTGTTTTTTTTGGGGGGGTTCTTTCCTCTTCCCTTTCAAACGAAGCTGTTATGAGGATAGATTGTTTTGCTAAACAGAGGCTTGCTTCTATTATTGCATTCGTCTTACAAAAATACTTGCACTCAGATGAGTTAAAATTACCCTGATTCCGAACTTCGCCAATATAAGAACACATAAACCGAAAGCGAACTACCGTCGTTTAATGATAGTAACAGTGCAACCCCTCTTCGTTGCAGGATTGGACACATTCGCCGAATTTAAAAAATCGATTGGAATGACGTAAAAGCCCTCGCTATATCATGACTTTCGGATAAATCTGATGAATTAATCAAAAAATATGGGAACAGTCAAAAAGAGAAATATTCATTGATATTTTTTTGCGGTCTAGTACTTTCAATGATGTTGGCGATTTTATATATAAGTGCTCGACTCGTCGAAAATTTGTACGGTTGTTAAAAGTCGATAAGTTGAGAAAAATGACAACTGCTTTTTGGATTTTCAAATTGGTTTTAATGGTTTATCCATTTTGCTTGGCTCAAGCAGTAACCTACAATGGAGCCAATACTAGAAATAACTTCGGTGTCCATCCTTTCGATGAGACCATTATTTCTCCAGATTCATATTTGCTCTTGAACGGTGGAGGAGATCAAAGTTTGTACGGAAGTTTGACAAACTATGGTGAGCTATTTGTCACTGACGATAACAATGGAGCTCTCGCTCCGATTTTCGATGTGCTTAAAGCCGATCATGTTAGAAACTATGGTGATATCGTGTTGGATCAATGTGATGCTTTATTCTCTTCTGTTTACCACTGGACTCCAGATGAATTTGTTAACACCGGAAATATTTGGTTCAAAGGTAAAGGTAATGTAGGCGGATCTAGTTTTGACATCAATCCCTTCGACGATGTCGTAAACAATGGTACCATTAATTATGTCCAATGCTATTCAAATGACCCTGTTGGAGGTCTATTTGGTGCTTTCTTTATTCATACTCAGGATCCATTGAAGTCGATTGTTCAAAACAATGGTGGGATTTGTTTGCATAACGTCAAGTTCCAAGCTCTCCAAGACATTCGAGGAGACGGTTGTGTGACCATCGGTGAAGGTGCTGGCTATTTTCTTGAAGTTGGTGCTCTTACAAGTGCTAAAGATGGAAGTGTCATGAACGGGGGAACTATTTACATGTCGGCTTCTAATTCTCATCTTCGTATCGACGAATCTTATTTTAAGGCAGGAACCTTAGGGGCCTACGTCGCAGGATTCGGAAATGGAAACATCATTGAGGTAAATGGTATAATTACCACTGTTGACTACAATGATGGAAATCTGCGGATATGCATTGTTTTCGGATGCCTTGATATCAACATTGGACCTGGTTACGATCCTTCTCTATTTGAACATTCTATGATTGGCCAATTGATTGGCGACAGTGCCGGTCACTACACTGTTAAGTATAATGGTGCTCCCCCTAGTGGACGTCCTTCTTCTTGTCCTGTTTGTCCATCTGCTCCCTCTGGTCCAAGTCTTTCTCAATCTAGTTCTGATCGTGATGACTCTGACTCTAAGTCCGTCTCTGGTTCTACAGGTATAACTGCCAGTACATTCACCACCGTCACGCTCTCTGGCCCTTCCGCTGATACTACTACCGTTGTTTAGATTCTAGTTTTGGGAGATGTTTAAATCACTACTGTATAAAAAGTTTATTACTTAGCCCTAAAAGTATAATAAAATTACAATTTTTAATGTTCTTACAGAACTTCTAACACGAACAAAAAATAGATTGTATGTTTATCATAGTATATAGCATATTGTTTCAAGACTGTTACCTTGTATCTTCGCTTATGTAAACAAAAGAAATTATGACGGTGGAGTAAAATAGCTCAAGAATTATCTAATTAAGAGTGTTGTTTACGTAGAAACGAATCCACACAGAAATAAATCTAAATACAATAAGCCATAACGATAAAAATTGACTTCAACAGTCTTTCATATGAGATCCATAGGTCATAGATATAGGAAGGGAGAATTGTACTGCTTGGTTTTTATCGACTTGAAATTCTAATTACTGACCTTTTTTTTTTTTTTTTTTTTTTTTTTTCTTTTTGAAATCTGTATGAATGGTAATGACCTCTAGTTGACTGACAGACCTATATGAGCTGTAGTGAAAAGTAAACTTAAATTAAAAACAAACAGAATTACTTGAAGAGTTTTATAAAATTCTAGCTAACCGGATAAAATTGACAAGAATAACAGGATAGCTGTAAATTTCGTAATCAAAAGAAAAAAAAAAAAAAAAAAAAGAAGAGATCAATAAAAATAATAATCTGTTTGGTTTTTATAACCATCTATACGATTAAAAGGGTATCATCTTTCAAATCTAAACTTTGACATTTGTACCATCAATCAAGGTATATAGAATCCTGCTCCAAATACGATTTTCATTTGACCCGCTGAGCAGGAGTAGCAATTCTCTAAATGGTGGTAGTAAACATATTCGAAACCATGCTTCTTATACAGCTCTAGATAAAACAAGATTCTTCTCTTCCGTTGAATTGGATCCCTGACTGTTTCGTGAATAGAGACTCATAGCATCGCCTGAATAATCTTGCTCGTACAAGCAAGGATAAAGGGCAGGGATCAGTAAGTATGCACAAATGATCATTGGAATAAAATCAAACAGTGCAAACCATATTTCCGTAGTCGTAATTTTTGCTTTTCCGACCACTTGCGAATTCGATTGTACTAAAATAGCGATTGTTCATAGTGTTAAAATTTAATAAAGTCCTTTGTGTTCTTTGAAGTATAGAAAATTGAGGGACCATAGAGGATTGCCCGGTGGTAAAGTAAAACATACAACTCGGCTGAATATAGGACTGGCGAAACAAGCAAAGCGATGGTTTGTTAATGCATGGAGAAATCACTTCATATACTAATAGCAGATGTTCTGCTTATCCAACCTAAAATTTCACCATTTGTTCCAACCAAAGGCACCCAAACAGTGGGTTTTCGCGACTTTACCAGCATTCCTATTAGCAGTGAAAGAGAAACTACGAAAAGAATAGCTATAATCCCCAGTAGGGCGTTAGGTACATAACCAAAAAAATTTTGTGCTGGAACCATTTTGAATTATATTTGATGCAAGATCTAAGAATGCCTGTAAACAGCAATCGTTTCGCCAATGAATGAGAAATTGGTAGACAAAGTATTAAACTTGGAAAAGTACGACAGCATCATTTGGAATTTCTTTCTGCTTTATATAGCTTTCAAACAACCATGGCTCATTCTCACTATTTACATCTTCGGACACCGAACATCGGAGTTGGCTTTTGAAATCCAATGCGAATCACTTTGATTAGCAAGAAGAAAAAATAGTTCCGAACGTTGTAGTTATTTTTGAAGTATACATATAAAGGCTTTTTACAGGACTACCACTTCTGAAATAAACTGCACTGTAGTCAAGAAGACTTAAAATCATGTACACAGTAGTGACATATAAATATCAAGTGACGTTTTTGAAAGAAAAAAAGACAAGTTTATTATAATACACATAGGTAAACCTTTCCGTATTAATGAATTAAGTGACATCGGTCTGATGATCGTCCTCGTACGTTTACACAAAAGTTCGTTTGTATAATCTGCAAAAAGCTTTTACATAGAGAGAAAGGAATTTTCATAAAAATTCGACATAAGAAATTCACAAAAGCTACTTACTTCGAAATCATCAACTGATCCAGAACCGCCCTCTGTTGTAGTATCTTCTTGGTAAACGTATTTAATAAAAGTAATCAATTCGTCAAGAAGCTTCAAAGCAAACTTATATTTTAATTTTAAGCTTAGCTCTTTCATCAATTCTATTGCTTCAAATACCTCATTTCTGTATGAGTAACCTTCGTTTCGGCAGAATGGAAGCAAGATTACCTTTCTTAAGGCAGTATAGAAATAAAACTGATGCAAACCGACCTCAGTTATTTCCTGATAGGAATCCATAATCAGCCGGAAGCTGCAGAAAAGTGATTCGGCTAATTTTCCTTTCAGTAATTTTACTTCATCAAAATCTTCATCACTCAAAGTTATAACCGGTTGATACAGAAGTACTTTTAGTGTCCATAATACAGATTTCAAGAAGAAACATTGAATTTTCGACATTGGATTTTGAGGTGTATACGCCTTCAAGTCGATTTCCATTAATAATAAAGATATTTTGACCTCATTTTCGTTGACATTTAAAAGGTATTCCTCGGCTGAGAAACAATTAGCATATCTATATATTGTCAAACCTTGGTTACAAAGTGAGCTGAGTAGTTTTTGGTAAATAGTCTCAGCAAAACCTTTATCGAGTTGACGCAATTTCCCTACCACGATGTCATGCTGTAAAAAAGGAGGATTTCGTAAAAAAATACAGTTCAGTGAGTCTAGGTGTTTTAAAGTCATTGACAACTTCCAAACTTGCTCAGAAGTTGCTTCACTGAAAAGCCCCCTTGAAATCATCCCGTCCAAATAATGGACGGCCCTAGATAAACACAATACCTTCTCAGGTCTAGGATCCAGAAATTCCACTAATGCATGAAGAATAAGATGCTGCAATGCTTCAATGGATCTCTGGTAACGACATAATTCATTCAGCTCAATGAGCTCTTCGGCTTTACCGTAATACTCTTCGGCTAATTTTTCTGGTGCAAGCTGTATACTTCCACAGTAGTTTAGAGCAGTTGCTGGTAAATTATGTAACCTAAAAGCCAGCGAAAGCGTCGAAAAAAGCAAAATTAAATCATTCACTTCAAAAACATTTTGGAAAAAATTATGTAGGACAGCTTCCATCCTGCTTTCAGATATAATATCAAACAAAGTCACTAAAGAGCAGGAAAGGGTACCACAAACTGTTATACATATTTGATAAGGTGGAACATGTTTACAAAAATCTTTTATATTTGCAGGAAGGCGAAACGGTTTAGGAAGGAAAATGAAATTAGAAGGGATTCTTTCCTTCAAAAACTGCTCCAACAACCTTTCTACTCCATGGTATGATAACTGCCCCTTTTGTCGTCTGCTCAACTCAACCAACCCTTCCTTTGGGCTATTTCTTCCACAGTTAGTTACCTCCTCTGTTGGAGACCTCGAGTTTCGTAATGAGCGTGTTGCTGCAAAATGAGACTCATATTTACACGTTTGATCCTCATTTTTTTTTAAACATCGTGAACAAGGAAGCTTTTTATCGCACTTCAGCTTTTTTTTCCTACAGTTGTTGCACGATTTTATCCTTGTGCTATTTGAGCACTTCTGTTGTGCGAGACTTTGTGAACGCTCCATTCAATGAAACTGGTATATCAGAATAAAAACTCAATAATTGAGTTTGACAATTTCAAAATTAATATACTCAATTTTGAAGAACCAAAAACGGCTCGTTCGCGTTGCAGAAAGTTTAAGGTGAACTTCTCATATCAAGAGGCGTAAAAATTTTCCAGTGATACTTCCCAAACTTAGCTAGGTACTCTAAATAGTCATCATTAAAGAGGGAGGTTTATTATGGGATTTTTTTTATTCACTAAGAGTAATTCTGACTTCTTGGTGTGCTGGTGGTCGTCTCGAAGAGTTTAGTACGTTTTAATACTATTTGACGTATGCCATGAGACTAAAGGATAAGATATTACAAATAGTAAATGAAGCATAGAAAATACGATTTAAACATATTGGACAGCTTTTGGAGTGTTTCTTCCTCCTACAATGAAAAGATTAGGTTAGTTATTTCAAAAAAGCTATATATACCATGAGCCGACAATTGAAATCTCCAGGTTGGAAGACTCAACTGGTCCGGCTAAATAAGATCATCGCAACACTTCCTATTAGGTAACCAAATCCTTTGAAAATTACTAGCTTCTATATACGTAGTACAGCAGAATCCAATTCAAATATGCTACTCTACTTCCACTTCATATCACGACTGTAACAACCGTGATAAATTCTTTTATAGTCATATCAACACTTCACAAAATTATTCCTGTAAGTTACTTTTAAAACCTTTATGATGAATCAATTAAAGAGTGAAAACAAACAAAGAAGTGAATGCTTATAAGAACCAAAAAAATAATGTTGCAAAATGTTTGACGAACGAACGTATCAAAATAATAGTAATATCATTAATAGATCATGCTCTAAATAAAAAAAAAAAGATAAAATAAATAATTTCCGTGCTTGTTTTTCTTAGCCGTTCACAAGATGAAAACGTATTTTCTAATAAAACTGAACACTAATATTTCTGTCATCATTCGTTGTATATAGAATTTTGTTCCAAAAACGTCCCCAAGTTAGCTTTGACAGTTACAGATACGAATTCTCCGAACGATAAGTAGTCATACTCAAAAGATTTTTTTATAAAGCTTTCTGTAAAGAAATCTTGTCCATCTCAATAGAAGGCCCTGAATGCATGTTTTCAGAAAGAAGGTCAACAGGGTAATTAGTATATTCTTGCTCGTATAAGCAAGGGTAAAGTGCAGGCGTTAACAAAAATGCGGAAATAATTATTGGAATAAAGTCAAATAGTGCAAACCATAGTTCAGTAGTTGCAACTTTGCTGTGTCGCCCCCCTGCAAACTCAATGGTACGATAAACAAGACGAACTAAAATAGCGACTGTTGATATTATTAGACACAAAAATGTGAAGTCGTTTGTCTTTGTTCTCGGAGAACCTAGAAAATATCCGCTTGTTTTGCGTATGGGTCTATTTTTAAGTACACCATATATAAAGGCTGCTTGCAGAACAACGAACACGATGGTAGAGAAAAGCTGAAAAATGACACCCCCAAGCGAAATGTAAAACCCAAGGTTTCGAGATGAATTGACACTGGTTAATCCTCCACCAGTGCACTGTACTGCAAATGCTATAAGGTCTGCAGTTACAAAGAAAACAACATACTGCTTTGGTGGAAACAGAGAAAATTGAGGACCATAAACCTTTGCCCACCGATAAAGTAAAACATATAACTCGGCTGAATAAAAAATCGGTGCAATCAACAAAGAAATTGATTGTCCAATATATGCAGAATATCCTTGGATATGAGAGTGAGCGCGCGCTCTGCATATCCAACCTACAATTTCTCCGAAAGTTCCAACTAAAGGCACCCAAACAATGGATTTCCGCGACTTTGTCAACATTCCTACTTGCAACAAAAAAGCAATAATAAAGAAGATAATTGCTATAGTTGCAAGTACGTTATTAGGTATATAACCGAAAACATCTTGTTCTAAAACCATTTTCTTTTATATTTTAAGCGACGTCTAAAACTGCCTGCAAAATGCCAATTCGCAACTAATTGAAGATTAGCTAAAGTTAAAGACTGTATAAACTGTGATTATTCTTCCTTTTAAAACTTCAATTGCCGCTCATTTTTACTGTTATGGTCTTCGGACATCGGATTTCTCAAGCAAAGTCCGAGTCGGTATTCATTAACAAGATAAAATAACTGATGCTAGTTACTAGCTTAGATGTGTAACTAAATGCCTTTTTCACAAAGCTAGTATTTGTAATTGTAGTGTATCATTGCCAGAACAATTTGAATAAACCCATCTAATAGTTTCGAATACGCAAGAGATAAATGAAAAGTGTCGAACAAACATTTTTATTATATCAAACCTTGACTAACTTTCCGACTTAATATACAATTAGATTTAAATAGATGAAAAAGAGTTTTCGTAAAAATTCGAAAAAAGAAACTCACAAAAATGATCTATTTCAGAGTCGATTGCCTCAAAATCACCAAGATCTCCAGCTTTCGTATAATCTTTTTGATAAACACAGTTACTAATTGTAGTTAGATCGTCGATGATCTTCAGAGAATACGCTAAATCTATTTTTAGGGCTAGCTGTTTCATCAATTTCATCGATTCAAATAACTCATTTCTGTATGAATACTTTTCGTTTCGACAAAACAAAAGCGAAAATATCTTTTTTAGAGTGTCAAAAAAGAAAAATGATGGTGCGCCAACTTCGCATATTTCCTGGAAGGAATCCATACTTAATCGGAAGCAGTAGACGAGTGATTCAGCTAATTTTTCTTTCAACAATTGTACTTTATCAAAATCTTCATCACTCAAAGTTATAACCGGTTGATACAGAAGTACTTTCAGTGTCCATAATACATATTTCAAGAAGAAACATTGAATTTTCGACATTGGATTTTGAGGTGTATACGCCTTCAAGTCGATTTCCATTAATAATAATGATATTTTAACCTCATTTTCGTTGACATTATGAATGTATTCCTCGACGGATAGATATCTAGCACTTTTATACATTGCCAGACCTTGGTTGCATAATGAATTGAGGAGTTTTTGGAACATGGTTTCGGAGAAGCTGTTATTGAGTCGAACTAGTTGCGCTTCAACGATGTCTTTTTGCATAAAAGGAGAAGTTTGAAAGAAAATGCAGACCAACGAGTCAATATTTTTTAAAGTCATTGTCAATTTCCAAATCTCCTCGGGAGTTGCGGAGCTGTGAGATCCTTCTGAAATTATACCGTCCAAATAATGAATAGCCCTGGTTAAATTCAAAATTTTTTCGGGTGAAGGATCCAGAAAATCCTTCGCTGCGTGAAGAACAAGGTGCTGCAATACTTCAATGGATATCGGATGAATCATGAAAGAATTCAGCTCGATAAGTTTTTCAACTTTGTCGTAATACTCTTCAGCTAATCCTTTCGGTGTGAGCCGTATATTATCACAGTAGTTTAGAGCAGTTTCTGGTAAATTGTGTAACTTAAAAGCAAGCGAAAGCGCCGAAAAAAGCAAAATTAAATCACTCACTTCAAATACATTTTGGAAAAAATTTTGTAGGACAGCGTCCATCTTGCTTTTAGAAACAACATCAAATAGAGTCCCTAAAAATCCAAAATAGATATCACAAACCGTTACACATATTTGATAAGGCGGGATATGTTGACAAAAGCTTTTTAAATCCTCGGGAAGGCGTGGAGAATGTTTAAATAGGAAATTGAACGGATAATCAGAAGGATAATCTTCTTTTAAAAACTCTTTAATAAAAGTTGATACCCCATGATAGGAAAATTGCCTCTTTTGTCGTTTGCTCAATTCAGCCGACCCTTCCTTTGGGCTATTTCTTCCATGGTTAGTTACCTCCTCTGTTGGAGACCTCGAGTTTCGTATTGAGCGTGTTGCTGCATGGCTAGACTCATATTTACATGTCTGACCTTCATTTTTTTTTGAACATCGTGAACAAGGAAGCTTTTTATCACATTTCAATTTTTTTTTCCTACAGTTGTTGCACGATTTTATCCTTGTGCTATTTGAGCACTTCTGTTGTGCGAGACTTTGTGAACGCTCCATTCGATGAAGTTGGTATACAAGAACAAAAACTCAATAATTTAATCTAACGATTTCAGAATTAATATACCAACTTCGAAAAATCCAAAAAAATGGCTCGTTCACGTTGCAGAAAGTTTAGGTAAACTTTTCATACCAAGAGATGAAAATTTTTTCCAGTGATAATACTTCCCAAAATTAGCTAGGTACTCTAAATAGTCATCATTAAAGAAGAAGGGTTGTTTTTGAATTTTTGTATTCACCAAGAATAAATTTTGACTTTTGGCGTGCTGGTGGTTGCTACGATTTGTTTAGTACGTCTTATACCAGCAAATGACAGTGATAACCCAATGCTGTTTTCGAAGATTCACATAATCCTCAAATTACTTTTTTTATTTTTGAACATTTTATCTCTTGAATGTAATCTTGTACTGATTCAGTTACTAGCTACTCTTGTATAACATGCACATACTACAATAAATATGTAGAAAGGAAATTAATTCATCATTGAATAAGTAGTGTACTTTAAAACTCCGTTTCATTGAAAATTTGTAAATTCTTTCTTCATTTAGTCGATCTTATAAGAACTACGGTATATGAATGTGCTATTACTCCATAACAGAAATCTTTTTCTACTAAATGTAAGATTTAGAATCAGTGGATATATCACGCTTTTATATTCATTCTGTTGTCACTACCACAACTATCATATATCACAAAGCCCAAAAGCAGTAAATGAGAAATTTCATATCAATCAGTTAACTAAACTAGCGTGCTTTATCAGAAGCTGACAATTGCAGCGGCCGAGGTTAGGTCATTTATAAAATATTAAAGTTCATAACTGAATATAAATACCATCATTAGACTTGTTCGTCCAGGGCAGTAAGGTAAAATGAGGCTCCGATCACTTCCAGTAACCATGATAGTTAACGATAATTCATTTATAGCTTATTTTTGTTGCTTTCCTCGTCTTCAGAAATATCTTGGTCTTCCTTATCATTAACTTCGGCAGCCTGAAGATTTTGAAACTCGCTTGAAAACTCATCATCAACATTAAAAGCGTCTTCCGTAGAGGCACTCGTTATAGGAACAGGTTGGGAATTAAATTCATCATTATCCGATTCGTTAGCAGTTTCAAAGTCAAAAGGTTTGTTAGAGTCACTCGAGTCCGCCACGTAAAAGTTATTGGGAGGAACTGACTTCTCCTTGTTAGGGTTAGTATCGGTTGATACGGAATATTGAGGTTCTGAAGATGCAGGTCCAGCTTCCACGTGAGTAGTTGTTGATGTTTTTAAGTGTTCGTTAGCATCTGATAATGGAGTATCGGAAATTCTGTGTGCTGTAGTCCCCGTTTGTTCTTCATCATCAGAGCTCTCTTCCTCTTTTTCTTTAAATTCAATAGGAGGAAATTCTTCTTCGCTATATTCAGCAGGTTTGGTGGAAGAAGAAGCACTTTTTTCACGACGAGAAGGAGGAACAGGAGGTTTCAATTCCACACGTTCGTTTGATCGTTCTAAAGAAGCAGGAGTGTTAAGAGTCGACTCTGTCAACTTGGCCATATCTGGCGAAACTGGAGATCCACGTTGAGATGCGAAACTTGAAACTTCCAAGTGGCTATTTCCACCAAAAGAGGTATCAGGTTTGGCTGAATATCTCATTTCAGTATCCAAGCTTGGGGTCTTGCTAGGCGGATTAGTATACATTGAACTTTCTTTAGAAGTATTATGAGGAAAAACAGTTGAGGCAAATTCATTTTCCCAAAAGTTGGACACGGGAGAATTATTCTCTGAGAATTTCAACTTATGGAAAGGATTTTTAGAAACACCAGAAGAAGCTCGCGCAGATGAAGAAGCTGCAGAATTTAATGAAGGAGAACGAACATCTCTTGCAGGGACTTCAAATAAGTTATTTGAGTGTTGTGGGAATAGGCGAGTATGACCCTCGTCTTTGCTTTCATGATTCATATTTGTTAAAGGGGAAGGCGCTGTTTCTTCAGCATGTGCAGAAGTCGGGAATTCTCGAGATGAATGGTTCATGCTCAGGTTTTTCATCTGAGTTTCTAGCTCGTTTTTTGCAGACGACAGCTGTTTTTCGGTATTATCAACATTTAAAGATAAACCATCCTTCTTTTCAAGAAGTGACTTATTCTTTCTATCCAAATTGACCAATTGCTGAGTGACTGTATCAAGTTGTTGATGCAAATCTGTCAAGGTTTGTTCCTGTTGAGCAATGTCATCCTGTAAAGCTTGAATTGAAGCGTTGGAATTATTTAACATTGAAGTAGCAGTTTCAAGGTCGGCGTGAACCTCTTCTAAAGCAAGTTTCTTTTCATCATTTTGCTTCTTCAAAGCCTCCAGCGTAGCCTCTAAGATTCCGTAATCTTTCTTCATTTGCTGCGTTTGCAAACGTTTAGCATCAGTTTCTGAGGTAATCTGTTTAGTCTTTGCCAGTTCCTCGTTGTATGCCTTTCTTATTTCAGCTAACTTTGTTTGAGTATCGCTATGGCTGTCCGAGGCGGATTTCGCTTCCTGCATCATGATTTTGTTGTTATTAGAAGCTTGTTGCAACTGTGCTTCCATCTTTGGCAATTCAGCTGCTAGTTTCATATTTTCATTTGAAGACATTTGAGGTACAGGAGCAACTACTGGAGGAGTTCCAGACTTTGATGGCATACCAGATTTATCCAAGTTAACCTTAGCTATTGACTGACCAAAGTTGGATTGAGGTACGAATCCAGATAACGGAGAAGACACCGAACCTGTGGGAGAAGCAACAACCCCGGGGGTGGAGTTTGTTTGCAAAGGCTGATGATTGTAAACAGATTTTTGTGGTAAATCTTGATTAGCTTGGGGTTTTGATTCGTTAAAAGGACGCTGAGGTTGGGGAGAAGGAGAAAAGCTAACCTGATCCAAGCTTAACAAATCTTCTGTTCCAGAACTGACCCGAGTCGGTTGAACGAACTTTGGAGAGACCTGCGAAGTCGGCATTGAAGGCTGAGTCGTAGACTGAGGAGACACAACTGGAGTATTATGCTGCATAAGAGGAGAAACGGAAGCCAAAGTAGAAGGAAACAATTCGGATGGTAATTCTTTACCTTGCAACTTCATTTTAATTAAAAAAAGAGCGATACAAAATTCACCAAGATTTAATTTTCCAGAACTATTGGTATCACTTAAATCCCAAATATGAGCTAAAACATCCTCAGGAAGTTTGGAAGCCAGAAAAAAAGAATAAGCTTCAGAACCCGATATGTACCCCTTACGTGCTTTATCAACATTATTAAAGAGTTGACAAAAACTGTTTATATCCTGAGGCGGGATCGTCCAAGGATCAGAAGAAGGAGGAGCATTAGAAGTCCTCATTGGGTTTTGAGCAGGAGGAGATTGGGCAGGCATTAGCATAACGGCAGTTGCAATAAAAGATGGAGAAATTGATGGAGGGGGTGATTTTATCGTCCCACTTAATAAAAGATTTATGAGATGCATACCCGTGTTAAATTCGCGAATATCTAAAGCACCTCGCTTACGGGTGTCAACTAGGTTCCAAATTTGAGCAAGAACTTCCGTGCTTAAGGGAGCACGACCAAATATGGAGCTAGCTCGATCACCATCCATTAATGAATCAGCCGAACATACAGTAGTAAACATTTTTTGATAACGCGTTAGTTCTTCAGGGGCAATGGGAGGCAAAGTATTACTTCCTGTTGGATTTGAAGGCACGTGCGTAGTAGATGAAGGCGTCTTGGAGAAGAAGGGTTGAACGATTGAAGAAGGATCAACGTTGGATAGTTGAATGCCTGAAAAGTAGGGAATTTTTCCTGGATTTCTATAATCAAAAGGTCGCTTTTCTTGAGCAAGAGCGATAAGTCGCATAGCTATGCTAAAGGCCGAAAATGTTAAGAAGCCTCGATTTTCAGAATCTGAAATCTGCCAAATCTATATACATAAAGAGGTCAGTAACATTGAATTCGATGCTTATTGAAATATGCGATAAAGTCTATGAAAGACATAAAAGCAAAAAAAGAAGAAAGAAAGCCCTCACAAACGGGTTCATTCTTTACATAATGTACATTTGCAAATAGTGAACTACCTCTTTTTCCTTCTACGTGTACAAATAAAACCTGCTGCAAATCTAGCATTACATACCTGACCTAAAACTTGAGGGGACAATCCTGATTTTTCAAGGAATGGAACGGCTTCTTCACCAGTAAGCACACCAATATCTTGTTTGTCGGCAACCTTGAAAAGCTGATCAAACCCATTATGTTCATCGGAAGAAAGATTCAGCGACATTACGAATTTCCTTCAAATCTGAGAAAGAAAGCAAACAATAAGGACTATTTAAATAAGACGAAGATTGATATCAGCTTTAAAATAGCAACCTAGATGGAAAGTAAATGAATTAGGTAAAACTGAACGAGCGCGTTTTTGAGACACTTGGTATGAGGAACTCAAGAAGCATACATCAGAGGTTATGGTATTTGAGTGAAGCACGGTAAAAATAAGGTCATTCTTAAGTTATGTTATTGCGCATTAACGAGATGAAGCATAATCTAAAATTATGATACATGATGATAATTTGGTGGAAATGGATTCATGAATATAATAGTAGTATAAAGATCATTTTGAGTGAAGCTCTGTTAATAGGAGTGTGATATTGAGTAACATTAATTGTATCCTTAGAGTCATTCCGTTATATGGCGTCGTCGAGTTTATGATTCTATAACTGAGTAACGCATCTTAGCATCCAGTATTGAGCACGGAAATAAAAGAAAAAAATAGAAATTGACGCCTAAGAATGATGCATAAAAGCGTAACTTGTACATTCATTCGTTTTACAAGGCTTCAACTTGTATCTCTTCACTCTTAGATTACCAAAACCCCTCTTATGTATATGGCACATCTATTGTGGGGATGAAATCACCTCAATTAAGAGTTCTGAAGCAAAAACATTTGTAGAGAGACATCTGTTACATCAGGGTCGAAATAATCGGTTAAAAATTTCGAGTTCACCAAAGGCTTTCCTTTGTATAATAGTCGAAGCGAAGGAACCACAGTATTCAGCTGAGGGGCAAGAGATTCTTTTAAATCTAAGACAGTGCTTTGTGTAGATATTTCGGCACTGGCAGAGACCACTGGAGGACGCACAGTCTTGGCAAGGATACGTACTACGAAAGCGTTAAAAATCATGCGAGGAATAAACAGCCTACCTTTTTTCTCTTCCTGTTCGAATTTCTTCTTGGGAAATGGAGTCTTTGGTATGCCTATAGGGGTCTAAAATATATAGTATAAGAATCAATCCAAAACGAGAAATAGTAAACATACTGAAAGAGCCGAGCTGTTGATTTTATCAGCAGGAATTCTATCTGGATGCTTTCTTGGATTTTTGGAAAGCTCCTCTATAAAAGATCTAACAATTTGAACTTGAGACATGGTGTGTGGTGTTCCAAAAAGGTAAGGATGACTCGCTGACTATAGTGGAAAACTAAGTGTAAGGAAACTCTGTCTCAAATTTAAAAAATATTGAAATCTATAGCTAGTTTTATTACCTTTTCTTTCATAAAATAATGTGATAAGTTTGAAGGGAGTTTTCTTTGTTTTGGTTTTACCTTGCTCAATAAGCCGTTCACCTATCTATCTGATGTCCAGAAAGTGATCGTTTTATTCTGGAAGGATCATACTGATTGTTGGTATTCGTTTTTCCTTTTTTTTTTTTGTTTTTTTTTTTAAATCCGCCATCGACGTCCTACGCAATTGTACCCTAATTTATTTTTCTTTTGTCTCATAAGAAAAACTATGAAACTATGAAACCAAACGGAAGCACAATAGTTGGCCAACTCCACTCCGCTGCCTTTTGCGATATATGACCAACCTCTTCGGGAGGAAGGAAAGTAGAAGAATTATGGAGAAATGAAAATCGTTTTCTCCACTTTTGAAATATTTTTAATCTTGTCTCAGTTGATAGCAACGCTGGTTAAAGCCTTTTCATACGTGAGCAATATTGATCATTGAACTTATAGCCTTCTGAGCAACCTAGAGAAAAATACCATGTTTAATGATCTAACTAATGTGATATCTAATTTCAAATCTGATATCTTTTTATACTAAATCTCATGAAACAAAAATTAACGAATGAGAAGATTATCCTATTGTTATTCTCAATATCTATACAAGCGAAAGGACGATGTAAACACTTGATTATTTACCTGTCGAGTAACAAGGTGACATGGTTCCTTTGTATTGCTACTTATGTACTCTTGAATATTTAATTGTTGTTACTTTGGTATAACCAAAATAAACAATGGAAAGGAATATGGCATCGGTTTTTTTAGTAAATATCAAAAGAGATGAAACGAAGAACTAATTTAAAATACATTTTCTAATATCAAAGCTCATGGTATCCAACGCCATGTAATAGAGTCAAAAATTGCGACACACACATAAAACTCATCTCAAGAAAGAAAGAAAGGAATACCGAAATTTTGTATTTCTATGTAATAAAAATCTTAGACAAACATAATCAAAAGCGGTTTGGTATTATCTATTTGCTTCTTTCATACACTTGTTTATATGGTAAACGAAGTATCACGAGTACAATGTGAGAGATCATTTATACACACGTTCAGGTTTCTTTGTAAATAAGAGGTTAAGCTAGCTGTATAATCCTTAGAGTCTTCGAACTTATCAATATGAATATACGGATGAAAATTGGAGTCAAAGAGCGTATGAATTGTTTAAATAGGCACCACTTCAATGCGAATCAATCGGATAATAGCATCCTATTTGCTTCGTTTTTCCTACTTTCAGCCTTTTTTTTAGGGATTTTTTTTTAATTATTTCTATGAGAAAAAAGACATACTTTTATGCAATTCATCCTGCATACTTTTGTCTAGCTCTATCATTTTATTTCTAATATAATATAATTTTCAATTGTTATGTTTTCCATTAGTAAAGAGCAGGCCATGTTCCAAACATATCTTCCTACTTTGAATTTTCCATGCAGTCTTTACACCTCATTTTTATAAACCATGAATACTGGAAATGTCCAGAGTGAAAACTTTCGGTTTGTTTTAGCTTTTCTTCTGTCTTGAAGAATAAAAAAATAAAGAAATACTACTATCAACTTTATACGAATCTAGATAGACTGTGCATAATTTTTGTAACCGGTTTGTTGTCCATATTCTCAAAATGAATAACCCCGGATTGGAAACACCAATTCGAAGTACGTCTTTTAATCACTTAATGGGTACTTTGTCCCAAAAAAAACTCTTTACGCCTTCTAGAAATCGAACTAGTTTGTCATCTGCTCAGAGAACTGTGACACCACACAAGCAACGAGCTTTGGCCAGAAAAAGTGCTCTCCATAGAAGGAAGAGTAACATTCCTTCTAATAAAACACCGCGAGACATACTTAGGGTATTGAGTCGTGCTTTGGCAAAGCAGCCAATTCCCTCTCCAGCCGAAACCAGCGGTGGCAGCTCCCAAAAGAAGCGCCGTAGGACATCTTCCACTATGCCAATAGCTCCTCCATCTAGGAATAGCTTATCCAGAAGATCTTCGGAATATGGAGAAGGTAGAGTTGATGCAGAAGAGGCTGACTTGACTGTACAATCCATTGAAGCACCACGGCGCTACTCTGCGCGAATGAGTGACATATTTACTCCAGATTCTCGAAGATTTAGCAACATTCAGAATCCATATGCTTTTTCCAAGTCTTTGGAAACCGGTTATAATCATGTGCAAGAGAGTGCTTTGAGTAATTCTCCCGACCAGCTTTTAGACGTTGGAGATGATATTCCTGTTTTTCGTCTTCCATTGAGTGATTATGAAACAGCTGATGCTGAAGAAGAAACACCTTCTACGCAGAGAGCAAATACAAACTTGAACCAGTACCAAAGCCCTATATTTACACTAAACTCTGACCTTCTTGAGAACGAGGCTTCCTTTTCCAAAGAATCGGTCGAAGGCCGTCATTCCATACACAATCCCTCAATCACTGAACCCCGGTTTCAGGAAGGTGAGGAAAGGCTTTCAAAAAATGCGGGTGACGAATCTCCTACACCTAGAGCATTTGCAGAACATGATAGCATTCAAGAAATGGAAGAGCAGCAAGTTCCCGATGCTGAATCCCATGAAATAGATGAAATGCAAGGAAATACCTCACCAATCTCGGAACCTGTACTAGAAGACAGTTTGAAACAGCAGCACATACCTGATGTTGAACCCTTGGGAAGAAATGAAATGCAAGGAAATACCTCACCAATCTCGGAACCTGTACTAGCTGATCTTACTGAAGAAGATCCCCCAGTTAACGAAGAAATTAATATACTTGAACAAAATATAAACTTGCTTGACAAAGATGGTTTCAAGAAGCCAAAACGGAGATCCCGTAAATCTTCTTCAGCAACTTTACCTGATTCGAACTTACGAAAATTAGCAAACGCCTATTCAAGAAAAAATATTTCATCAAGTGTCATTGAAGAGCTCTCATCAGTATCTGAGCATTTTTTCAAGCAGGTCGCAGAGGATTTGTCAGCTTACGCAGATCATGCACATAGAAAGACCATTGAAACTGATGATGTTTGTTTACTATTGAAACGGCAAAGGAAGATACAGGACAAGGTTTCTCTTATGGCTCTTCAACGCTCCTATTTATCTAGGGAAATTAGACCTTTGCCGTCTAGAAAGCGCTAATGTCCCAAATTTATGAATTTATTTTTAATGTTAGTTAGCTTTTGTATATTATGATATTTTATTTTTTCCCTTAGAAAATTGCACCTCACAACAATTGAATCATAACTCGTTTTATTTAGATATTTAAGCTATATAGAGAGAGCATTCAGAACGGTGGACTTATTCTTACTCAATTGATTAAGATCGGTATATGAACGTTCTTGGCTGCACTCAAATATATGTTTTATATAAGAAGCAAATTATTTCTATTTTTTTTTGAGTTCTATTAATATATTTACAAAATACGAAAGAAATCCTATGTCAATAATATTTATCCCCAATTGATATTGTGTATAGTCGTAACTTTCCTCCAGTTTGCTTACCGCCCGAGTAATTCAAAAAATATAGAACAGGTAATTCAGCCTTTTCAATACCTGCGAATTTCGTTAATATGAAATCCCTTCATCCATTTAAACGGCAGGATGAAAATTTAGCAGATAGGAATCCTGATATGTACACCTTGCAAGGTGTCATTCAATACTTACAGTACGAAGCATTCAAAAATGAAAGAGACAAAAATCTATGGGAAATTGAAAAGACAGAACTTAAGGTATATATAGATGAAATAATTTGTATTAATTATTAGGTTCGAATTGCCCATCTTGAAAGAGAAAAAGCAAAGTTGGAACAGTGGAATAGTTTTCAGCAAAGACGAAATGAAATGTTAGAGAAGGCTCTAAATCAGGTTCACAAAAACAAAAACATTTCGTTGGATAAACTATACCCTCCTATTCCAGATTTTAACGTTACTGGTGCTACGGAATCCAAGTCTGATGCATGCTTGCTCAAAAGCAGAGATTTCATCAAAAAGTAAGGAATCAGATTACTTCTTATTTTACAGTGCTGACAGACATTTAGATCTCTTCAGGAAATTGTATATTTAACAAACTTCCAGCCAAATATTCGCTGGAATACTTTACAAGAGCAAGCGATTTCTAATTCCCAGGAAACTAATTTGAGTACTTTCAGTTCGGCGAATAATGCTCAAGATTCCTTTTTAAAGAAGGAGATGATCCTTAATGATGCTACTGATGAAGATTACACACCAAATGATAATAACAATAAGCCTATGTCTGATGATATAATAAGTGATGATTTCCTTGAAGATGAAATAATGACTCCAGCTCCTCCTTCTTCTGGTGACTCGTATTCTGCAAAGACGCCGAAGGTAATAAAACGCTCTTCTGCAAATACCTCGTTGTCCGAAGCTTTAAACGCTAGTCAAGACGCGATGACTAAATTAGATATCAACGAGGAATCTCAAGTCAAGGATAAGTCTTTGGAGAAAAATGACGATTGGAAACTGGCGTATGAAATCATTAATCCTGCCGAGGTTACCCGCTGTATCACGCACGAACCCTTACCAGGAAGCGCACCTAGTTTTGCTTCCGGTACTGACGATGGAATTATTTATATATGGACTCTTTCTAAGAAGTCATCTGAACATATTGTCAATGAATTGTCTCCCCACTTAACTTATTATGGTCACAAGGGTCCCGTCTTAAGCTTATGTGTGCCCAAAGCTACTCACCATATATTTAGCGGAGGTCATGATGGAACAATTAGATGCTGGAAATTGCCTGCTATTTCTTCAATTGAACCGCTTTCAAAGCCTATGACAGAAGCCACAGTGTTTTTGGGTCATGAAGATTGTGTATGGGAACTTTTATGCTTAGAGAAGAAAGAGAAAAATCCGATACTTTTATCTCTATCTTCTGACAATACGGTTCGTGGTTGGAAATATACCGGAGAACAACTGTTCGTTATTAGAGAACAGAACAAACAACCGTTGTCTATGTGCGTTATCGGCGATCAGTTAGCAATTGCATGGAATGATGGTTATGTTCGTCTTTACGAGGTGGAGACGCAAGATCAGGTCGACGAATTTCTTATAGCAGGAGACTCTACCCTTGGAGACCCTGCAATTAGAGATTGCGTTAATAAAATCATTGCCAAGCAAGAACCCGCTCCATGTCTGTATTCACTTCACGAAAACGGTATTATACGAGTTTATGATTTGAAGAAAAGAGAATGTATATGCGAAAAAGGCGTAGATAACTTCGCTTTGACTGGTATTTCGTTCGCATCTCATGCACCACGACTGGCTGTGGTTAGTGCTGTTGGTAATGTCTATCTCTACAGTCAGGACGATCGCCTTTCTCCACTGTCTGGGCCATACAATTCCAAAAATAGTCTTAGTGGAAACGATAATTTTGATATTCTATGGCTTAATAATTCCGTGAATGATAAACAATTTTTGGTGATCGGTGGTAAAGAACGAATTCAGGCATATAGCCGACCTTTAATTTGAAGCTTTCTGAATTGACATAACAATGTTGGCATTATTAGATTTCCCAAGCGGAAGAATACAAAAGAACTCTGTAAGCTTTATTATCTATTGGAAATTTGCCCACATAATCAAATGTGTTCAGAGTGATTGTTCCATAAAGGCGTTTTATATCAGTTAAAGTTAAGATTTATTGGGAGCAACGAGGTTGAAAGATTCCGCTTGCGAAATTTGATTAATGACACTAGCGCGAGATCTTTCAGCCCTTGAATTGATAAAGTGTTGCTACAAGAATTAAATTCATAATGGAATACAGCTCTTTACTCTGTAAACCTTCGCTTTGAAAACTTAGTTGAAGGCCTTATTACGAAAATCCTAGACCTTAATTAAGGTATATACTTATTTGGAAATTGTCGACATGAAATATGGAAGCTTTTAGCTCTGATGTTGAGTTTCTTGATCCACGATTTTAAAAAATCTCAAAAGACAGCAAGTATATCCAAACATCAACATGCAAAATCGAACAAGGATGATATAGACACAATAAGTTAGTTTCTGATTTAGAAATACGTTATATTATAAATTTAGAACAGAAAACAGGAAAATAGTTATAGGAAATTATGCAAACCATAGCAAGGTTAAAGTGTTACGGGAGAAATCTCACACGTTATGAGAATGTAAATCGAGTGGAAGTAGTAAGTACAAGTTCAAAATTGTCTATTGGAATTGGACGTTTACTACGTAGAAGGATAGTATTACGTCTAGCGATCTGATTAACTAAAAGAAACGACTAAGAATCAATTTTATTTAGCCTGATCAGTCAAATCTTCTGATCCGAGGATTTCGACTGTCAACACACATATATATATATTGTTCTGTATATTTGCCATCGTAAAAGGCTTCTCTAATTAATAAGAATGATCACGAATTGTAAATTTTCATCGGAGTTTCTGCATTCAAAGAGAAATTTGCATTTTCAATTTTTTGTTTACTTATTATCAAGCACAATTTTTTAAGCTTATGAATATTAACTGCTATTAGCTAATATTCCATTCTTATAACGGATCGTTATATTATGAATGCTAACGAGGGATTCCATTATGACAATACATTTTCACTGTTGGTACATAAACTAACAACGTACAATGTTGACAATAGCGGGTCTCGTAATAGTGTGCTTAGCTTGGGTTCAACAAGCTGTTTGTACAGAACACAATGCTAAAGGCCTCATAGATATCAATTATGACCGTTTACCAGTGGATTACCAAGTGATTTTACGACAACACACTGATGATACCAGCTTCCGTCTCAACGCTTCTACCCATCAGCTTAGCGCTTACGACTATTTAACCAAGTCAGAAGGTAGGACCGAAGATGGTGACAGAGCTCTATGCTTACTCATGACAGGAGTCGATGATATTGACTGTTACTTATTTCATGACTCCAAAGCTAAATCAATGAAGTCTAACACACCCCGCAACGAAGCATTAGCTACTAAAGTCACTTTATTACTTCATATTCTGCTCACGGAGTGGGAGTGGCCCAGCAGCTTTATTGAAAGCTATCCCTATCCATTTATGTTCGGGGGTAGTATTTCACTAGTACATTTCCTCTACAACAATGGTCAGCGTATAAAGTTTGGATCATATGGAGGGATTTCAAACTGTGAGGATGAGTGTTGCGAATTATGGAATTGCAGGAAAACTCATCAGTCCATCCCAATTCTACCTTTGGAACGTTACGAGGAAACATGCCAGAATCAATGCAAAGATGATGAGAAGATACAAACATGGAACTTGGAAGTTAGCGGCATTAATATCAAGGGTAAAGTACGTGACAGTAGTACTTACAGACCTAATAGTTTGCAAGCTTACTTAGCCAAACAAGACGAATGTTGTCCAGGATGCACAAATTTTTTTAAACCATTTTTTTGAAAGAGCTAACTGTAATCTGTTTGATTCCGAGCTCACAAAACTCTGCATTGTATTTTCAAGTATTTTGTTTATATAAGATATTATGCGGTAATCCTTTAAGCTTATGTCTATTGAATATAAAATCTAATATTAGAAAATATCAAAAATGGTCCATAGTATTATTATGTTATCGAAGTATCCTCTTATGACAGCAATCTGAATATGATTTTTCTGATGGAACTACGAGTAAATACAGTTGGGTAACTATATGAAACGGGCGCTGAGAATATCCCCAACTCGATAGTAAAAACGAGATATTAATGAATTCATTAAATAAATAATTTAAATAGTGTAATCGAACCATTATGATGCTGTTGTTGTCAAGTAAAAAAGGTAGCTTCAAAGTGGTTCATTGTTAAAGCGACTCAAAAATTGGACAAGAAAGTAACTAAAACGATCAAATTATCATTAAAATGATTGAACATACAATTGCAAAGAGCATTAATATATTCGGTAATGTAAGAAATCGTGCCTGTTTTGTTCCTTCTAAAATAGCAGCTAAAAATAAATATAGACAAGTACGAATAGTACAATTGTCATTGTCGCTTTTGCGTATAACTTCCACACATATTGGGTATTCATTATACTATGGTCCATAGCGGATTGGGTTCTCAGAAAAGATTGAGATTATATACCTGGTTCCTGTGCATAAGAGTAAGCAATTATTGAGCCAAAACATTGCATCTTCCATTTCTCAGTAACAAAAGAAGTACCAGAAACCGGTTACTGGAGACTAGTGTTTTGTTGTATCCCTTAAACACTCCAGGTAGATGCCAGCAGAGTGTGAAAAACAAAGGCACCAGTGAGTTCATGTGCGGTTTGAGGGATATAAATCCTATAAGGAGAGAATTGATGATTCGACAGTTCTTACGATTAGCTTGAGCAGTTTATGTATCGTTAGCGATCAGAAAACAGCTTGATTAGTAACTGTCTTCAATTTATTCACACAATACAATGAGTAAGACCAATTTATTCAATTGCATGAGTGCATAATTGATTATTATTTGTAATGCTTGGAAAACGTACAATCGAGTGAGTGCGCATGTAAAGCGGAAATGATAATTTAAAGTCTCTAAGTATAAACGTGAATAGTATAATCATGTGGAAAATGCGGCTAAGTGAAATCTTATTTCTTTTTTCATATCTAGAAATAAAATGTATACGGGAATTGTATTCATATCACTGACAAGCAACATATCGGGCCTTTAAGTGAAAACAATTCTAGGACCTAAATCCTAAAATGCGCCGCTTTAAGCATTAGATCCAGTAACAACTTGAAAGACTTTATCAACACTGTCGAGAGGTGAGATATCAATTTCTTTGACAAGACATTTTCCTGACCCCTTTTCGAAAATCCAATGGCTACGAAATAATTTTCCATCTGGTTTTCTCGCACCTAAACGTTCGATTAAAAGACCTTCAGGGTCAGAAAGCAGGTCATAAGGAAACTCTTGCTTTGTTTTGAAACTCTTTTGGGATTTGCAAGAATCGAAAGATACACCGAAGACTTCATAGTCAGCGGCTTGGATTTGGGGATAATTATCGCGAAAACCACAACCTTGCTTTGTACAACCTGGCGTACTAGCTCTTGGATAAGCAAAAATGACAAGTCCGCGAGATTTTACTAGTTCAGAAAGTTTTACTGGGACTTCATCTTGATTTAGAAGAGTAAGATCAGGAATCAAGTCGCCCACATCAATACTTTGTTCTAGTTCGTTTGCAGGTGAAGCAGTTGTGTCAGAAGAAGTCTCTGTTTTCTCAGGCTTGGCAACTCCCTGAACATTAGAAGGATCCTTAGAATTCAACCTTGAAGAACGTCTGGGAGTAGATGCAGTGTACTCGGACATTGTAATCAACAAAAAAGAAAAAAACGTAGTGGGAAAAGTTCAAAGTCGATTACCACTAACAATGTGTGTGTAATTGGGTTCGTCATAAATGCAGATATATAATGTTATTATACAACAACTAGTCCGAAACAACATTACCAACCAAATCGTTTCAAAAGTAAAGTATAAAAGCTGTTTAAAGACGTATGTTTGATGTTGACTAAAAATGGCTTGGTTTGGTAGAAAGTCGTTTTCAAGCACCAGCTTTGAAATCCACTACTTTGGTGGAAGCCAATGTCAGTACTAAATAAAAGGAAAGGTCTGAAACAGTATTACCTTTTCGTTGTCAGCGCTTCAAGCCCAAAACCCCAAAACCCCAAAATTCCGAATTGTCTGTTTTGTTTATTAGTGTACCATTGTTATTATACATTAAGCCATTTAATGTATACATACGTTATGTGGAACCAGCTTTAGGTATTTGAAGGAAACTCGTTAAATACTAACTCACTGTTTATTAGGAAGAACTTGATAACAAGAACCACAGTTCTAAAGGGCATTGTTCAGTGAGTAATTTCCGAGAAAATCCGCTTCCCCAGTGGATTCCTTTTCTCTTACTTATCATAAAGAACTCCATTCTTGTTTGAATTGAGGTTTTTGTTCTTAAAACGTGAACACTGACGAGATTTTTGTAAATCTTATTCGGGGGTTTTTTCTTTTTTGGAGAAGTCGTTATGTCGGAGTCTGTACAAGAGAGCAACATTGACCATTCTGTTGATCAAACTAAAAAGAAATCTCGTGCACCGTAAGTCAGAATGGCCTATAAGTGATCTTGGATGAACTAACCAGTGATGAATTTTAGCCCAAATACCTCGTTTCGTCAACAGCGAATAAAATCATGGCAGCCTCTATTAACACCAAAAACGGTTCTTCCTTTGTTTTTCATATTGGGTATCATTTTTGGTCCATTAGGAGGTGGCTTATTATATGCGAGTTCTACTGTGCAAGAATTAGTCGTTGATTATACCGCATGCGAGTCATCTGCTAATTATGATACGTTTACAGAAATTCCGTTAAAAAAATATAAGGCAGCTTTTGATTATTCCTCAAGTTCAAAAGCTAAAACTCCGCCGTTATGGAAACTATCTACTACGCACGATGATGATCTGGATTTGGATATCAAGGTCTGCAACGTTCGTTTTACTGTTCCATCGTTGATGAAAGCGCCTATTTTCCTTTATTATCGCTTAACCAATTTCTATCAAAATCATCGCCGTTATGCAAAAAGCTTGGATGAAAAACAAATACGTGGATATGCTCAAGATGCCAATGATGTAAAATCGTCTGGGTGTTATCCATTAGAGGTGAATGAACACGGAAAGCCTTATTACCCTTGTGGTCTTATAGCCAATTCGTTATTTAACGACTCTTTTTCATCGTTGAATCAGGTTACTAACAATGAAACAACATCAAATACTTACAAGCTTAGCTCAAAAAATATTGCCTGGTCTTCTGATGCTAGCCGGTTCAAGAAAACTCTTTACAAGCCCGAGGATGTTGTGCCTCCTCCAAATTGGGTCTTGAGATACCCCAATGGATATACGGATGATAACATGCCTGATTTGTCTTCCATGGAGGAATTACAGGTTTGGATGAGAACAGCTGGATTACCAACATTTAGCAAACTGGCAAAACGTAATGACAAAGATCATTTAACACCAGGAACTTATGAGATTAGTATCGGGCTTCATTTTCCTGTCAAAGAATACGATGGAACCAAATCCATAGTACTCACCACTCGCTCTGCTTTAGGCGGTAAAAATCCTTTTCTCGGGATTGCTTATATTGTCGTGAGTGTTGTAAGTGTAGTTTTGGGTACATTGTTTACATTGCGACATTTCATCAGACCTAGAAAATTGGCAGATCATCGCTACCTGAATTGGGATTCTGAAGATAATAATATTGCTCCTCGTTTGGGTGGACTGTAATTCCCTTCATTCCTCTTCCCCGTTTCTTTTACCAACGGTCATTTCTCTTGTCACTTATTTATTTTTATCACAGAGATAAGGCTATAAAACCTTTTATTGATTTCTACAACCTCCAAACTTGCCAGTTTCTTGCTGTATAATAGTCCGATGTGCCTAATTAATGGGTGTTTGATGTTCAATTGGTTTTTTCCTTTTTCCTTGAACATAAAAAAAGAGAAAATGCTCCCTCATTGACTTCTGTGTATGTTTTTTGCCCTTTGTCGGCATTTAACGAAAATGTTTTTAGGTTTCATTTTTTTAAGCCAATTTTTATTTTTTTTTCCTTTCATTAAATGCATACTATTTTGTATGAGATAATTAAAGGAGTACACTGTGCTGCTCTCTCAACTCACTTTTCCGTATGAGTTTGGTTTGTATTCAAGACGTGATTTCGAAGTTTTTGAAGCCAATGATAGAATCGTTGTTCTTTCAAATATGTTGTTTTAGACAAGCAAAGCATATTCACTAAACACTGTTTCTTACAACACATTTTGTTTACCTTTTGTAAAACCACGGGGTTTTTTTTTTACGCAACCAATCGAAACCTTCCCATCATTGATCACAGCTGAAAAGCGATTTTATCAGTCGTTGTCAGCAGTATAACCTGTTTATAAACATACTTTTTTTTCTAAATACCTAAAATTGTAAAATTCAATCATTTCTACTCTGACCCTAATATGATATTTTCAACAAATAACCTCTCTTTTATAATATCGGAGATTGCATTATAAGATAGACTCAAAGCGGACGCTATCCAAGCCAACAGAACTTGCGAAGAACCAAACGCGACATTTATATACCACTGTAGCGAGAATGTCGGGGATCGAAAAGGATATGGCAGAAATGAAAATTAAACCTGAGGCTTTCGTCTATGTTGACGAGAGTTCTGGCAACGATGAGGCCGGTAAAGGAACAGAAAGTGAACCTTTCAAAACTGCCATCCGTGGTTTAGAACTAAATGGTGATTGTAGTATTATGATCCGCAAAGACTCTTCTTCTCAATACGAACCCATTGGTACCAACGCGTTAAAGAAAGCTAAAAAGGGAGTTGAACAAGCTGCCCGGAAAAAGTCTAAGGCTGCAGAAACTGAAAAGACAGCCGCTGCCAAGGCCATTGCTGCTAAAGAAGCTGAGGCCAAGCGTTTGGATGCTGCTTCTAAAATCGTTTTGGAAGAGCCCAAGGATGTTCCTGAAGCTAAGAAGATTATCATTGAAGATAGCACCCAATACCGTGAGAAGCGAGTTGTTGTCAACGGTTGGGTTCATCGTATGCGCAATCAAAAAGGTATTATTTTTATTGTTTTGCGTGATGGTACTGGCTATTTACAGTCCGTCTTTACCGGTAAGGTCTGTGAAAAGGCTTCTTATGATTTCATCAATTTGGGCCCTGAATCTACCATCGCTTTGTATGGTGTTATTAAGGAGTTGCCCGAAGGAAAGTCTGCCCCCGGCAATCATGAACTTGTCGTCGATTACTACAAGGTCCTTCATGCTGCTCCTACTGGGGAGGAAGCCTTCACAAACCGTTTGAATGCCGAAGCAGAACCCTCTTATTTGCTTGATCAGCGTCATCTTGTTATTCGCGGTGAAACTGCTTCTGCTGTTCTTAAGGTCCGTGCTCGTGTCTTACGTGCTATGCGTGATACTTTTGAGGATCTTCGTATGACTGAAGTTACACCTCCTTGTATGGTTCAAACACAAGTTGAGGGTGGTGCCACTCTTTTCGGCTTTAATTACTATGGCCAAAACGCTTACTTGACTCAATCTAGTCAGTTATATTTGGAAGCTGCCCTTCCAGCTTTGGGTAATGTTTACTGCGTTCAAGAAAGTTTCCGTGCTGAGAAGTCTCTTACTAGACGCCATCTTTCAGAATTTACACATGTTGAAGCTGAGATGCCTTTCCTTAATTTCCAAGAGTATTTAGAACTTCTTGAAGAATTTATCTGCCAGACCATTGATCGAGTCCTTGACGACCCAGTTGCTGCTCCTTTGATCCAACAATTAAATCCTGGCTTTGAAAAACCTTCTAGACCTTTTATGCGTCTTCCCTATGAAGATGCTATCAAATATTTGAATGAGCACAACATCTTGACTCCAGAAGGTGAACATCATAAGTTTGGTGACGATATAGCTGAAGCTGCTGAGCGTAAAATGACTGACCAAATTAACCGTCCTATTTTCCTGACTCATTTCCCTGTTGAAATCAAATCCTTCTACATGAAGCGTGTCGATGATCATCCACGTCTCACCGAAAGCGTAGACTGTTTGATGCCTAACGTCGGTGAAATCGTTGGTGGAAGCATGAGAATTTTTGACATGGAAGAACTTTTGGCTGCTTATAAACGTGAAGGTATCGACCCTAGCCCTTACTATTGGTTCACCGAACAACGCAAATATGGTACCACAGAGCACGGCGGTTTCGGTTTAGGACTTGAACGCTTCCTTGCTTGGATGTGCAACCGTTATACTGTTCGTGAATGTTGCTTATTCCCTCGCTTTACTGAACGTTGCAAGCCTTAAACGTAAAAGTTGATTACGTCGTGTTTGTAGATGTTATTTTAGATTATGGGATTCAGTGCTTCTTAAAGTTTGGTATTGCATATTTAACTCAACGTAAGTTATAAAAAATTAGGAGATTTTGAACTATTTTCAATAAAACTTTTGACTGAAATGGTACAAAAAGACCACATTGTCAGTAAACTGAATATATCTTTAAAATTATTGAAATAACTGCTTTTTCATAAAACTGGTGACACAGGACTGTTCAAAGGTATCTGAAAGATGTGGGGTCCAATAAAGAGATTTGAACAGCATATACCTTAGTCTTTCTATCTTTCTTTTTTTCTAGTAGATGATTCCCTAATACTAAAACAGAGCCAAAATGAACGAGCATTCACATAACAGTTGAACGGTTATGCTATCGAAAAGACTGCTATATCGTTAAACTTGAAACAAATTGGGGTTTTATTATTATTATTATTTTTCTTTAAAGAGAAAATAGCTAAATAAGACCCCATAAACAGCTGCTCTGTTTCATTCGCAAACCACCTTCTATATAGAACTCAAGGTATCCTGCGTTTTCTTTTATCCTGCATGCCCTCGAAAGCAGAGTTTGACATAAAAGCAGACTATTATTCCATTTTGTAGGTATTTCTTCATTTTTTTGTTTTAAAAAATATTAACTTTATGGCAGAGAAGTGTCAAAAAATGCAACAGCACAGGAAGTCCGCAAACAATATCTAGCACTTGCATTCAAATACCATCCCGATCGAAATTACGGAAATGAATCTACAGCTGCTAAGAAATTCCAAAAAGTACAAACTGCTTATGATGTGTTAAAGGACGTATCAAAACGACGAGTATACGATTCGCATTACTCTTCCAATTCCAAAACTGCAAGAGGCTTCAAGTCGAAAGACTCCTTTCGCAGCTCATTTTCTAGTCGAAAGACTAGCGCGTATGCTGCGTATCATGAGGCGAACAAGGATGAACGCTATAAACAAGACTCTGGAAAGAGACGTGAAAAGAACAAACACGAAAAACGATCCAGCGGAAATGATACTAGACTAAAATCTTCTGAATATTTATTCAACGGAGATACGTTTTCTAAATATGATCCCCAGTCGGGGATTGGGATTCGTATTAAGCTGCCTTCAACTAAAATGAGAAATCAAGAGGCTAATATACCTATATTTAACGGAAAGTTGGATTTTGATTTCAAAAATCCAAGATCCAATTTTCCTAACTCAGACATGGAGACCAATTCACAAGGATCTTTCGAATGGAAACCTAATGATGGTCAATCTTACAAAATGGGTGATAAAAAATCACAGACAAGATCAAAAGGAAATAAGCAGAGATATACGAATGCATCAAGTAGCACAAATGAGCAGTTCTTGTTCAATCACTTCGACCTTTCAACCAAAATTAATCCGTTCGACCTTTCTTTGGACCAAAAATCGAAGAAATTCTCTGGACCCCCTTTCCAAAAGCAGACGAATGGAATTGGGGGAATTCCTGAAAAAAGCACATTTTCCTTTACTCCTCACAGTACCACAAGCTCTTCTATTTCTGGTCCTTCTAATAATAATATTGTTCAAGAGAATACGATTCCATCAATTAATTTGGATTCGACGAAGGTCTCAAATTCACGAGCATCGTATTCTTCCAATGACTTGCCTCACAATGTTCATAATCTGAAGGAAGCTTCAGATTGTCGTTTCGAATCTAACGGTAGCAATTACACCAGCTTTCATATTCCAAAGACGCAAGGAAAATATTCTGGCCGTGGATTTATGTCTTCTCCCCAAAGTACAGATTTAACTGAACAGTGGTCGAAAAAGCAACTTGGACAAACCAAATTAAACCCGATTTTGGGCCAAGAAATAGCGAAAGAACAAAGGACCAGTTATGATATAACAACGTATTCCAGACTTAATGCGTCTTCTAATTTTGAGAATATTCCATCCTTCTCATTCAATGTTAATCCAAAGCCTGCTAGCAAAGAATCAAGCAGCAAGTGTAAAGAGTTTTCTTCGACTAACACTACCTTTGGACATTTAGAAAGCAGCATCATTGAAAGCCGTAATAATACCGTTAGTGATTTACCACTCTTTTCTTCTTTTTCTATCGAGAATAAAATGAATATGACGGATGTCACCGATCCTAAACTAAAAAAGCCGAATCCCAGTATCGGATTTTCGCAGAGTGGAGATGCCAAAAGGAATGTAATGGATGATTTATGCGCCAAATTCGAGTCTATTGATGATTTTGTCTCTCCTGATACCACCCAGCATTCATTGCCACGAATTCTACATCGTCCTCGTAATATAAAAAGAGAAAAACGAAGCTAAAGTTATTTAATGCAATATGAAAAATTTCTAGAGACGTTGTTCTTTTCGTTAATCATTCTTAGAAGGTGAATACATTACACATGTAATGGACATGTTCCAAAGGCAGCTCGCTATACTTAAGCTCAGTTGGAAATCTTTGAATGCTCCAAAAGAAATATTAGGAAGAAAATGAACGCACTATCTCCTAGTTTGCCGAAATGAAAAGCGTATAATTAAAGTATGAACGAATGAGGATCTTATGAACAATGACGAGCTTTAACGCAAGTAATATTATGAAAAAGAATAAAATTGCTAAGTCTAATTCCGATCCATGATTAGTGTTCATGTATATGACCAAAGGTTTTACTTTATTATGTCCTTTTCCTCGACATTAATTCTTGGTTGATATATGAGTGTATTATTTTTTATGTTATTATCTTTGACTTTTATTCTCTACATTTTCTATTCTACCCTAAATGTGGATATTATAGTTTGTTTGTTTACATTTGGTGCTTGGAGTGCTTTTCTAAAAAGGAGTAGTTGAAATCAATCGCTACCAAAGCAAAGATGTTCGGCTGGGATAAAAATCTATACTCTTCAAGGAGTTTGCAAAAACCAAGGTTCCTTTTTCGCCGAAGGTTAGGAAGCCGAACATTTGTTATCCCAGCAATCATTGTTATGGTCCCTATCCTTTGTTTAACACTTTTAACATTATGGATGGGTTTTCGACATGTCACATATTCAATGTCACATCCACCGTTGGAAAAGATTGATGATAGGCTTGATCCACTGTTTTCTAAGGGATGTAAAAACGTTGCATTAGAGGCTCAAATGCACCTAAGAATGAATGCAACCTTTGTTATTTTAGCTAGAAATTCCGATCTTGATGGGGTTATTTCTTCTATTAAATCTCTGGAAAAGCATTTTAATCGACACTTTAACTATCCCTACACTTTTCTGAATGATGACCCATTTGATCAAAAGTTTATGGACACGGTCCGTAAATATACAGCAGCGGATATAGAGTTTGGAGAAATTGGAAAGGATATGTTTGGATTTCCGGATAATATTGAAGTTCCAATGTATCAAGAGGCTATAGCTGACCAAGGAGATCGGGGTATTATGTATGGAGATGCAGAAAGCTATCACCATATGTGCAGATTCTTTTCAGGGTAAGTACAATATTAATAAGTAAACTAATAAACATAGGTTTTTTTACAAACACCCCCTTTTACTAAAATACCAATGGTATTGGCGTGTAGAACCAGATGTGACTTTTACTTGCGATATACCTTATGATCCTTTCTACTATATGCAAAAGCATGGAAAGATATATGGGTATGTTATAGCAATTAAAGAATTGGAGGACACTGTGCCCAGCTTGTTTCGATATTCCTCTGCTTATCGCCGCACAAAGCAACTCACTTCGGGATTGTGGAACTTTTTCTTAGAATCTCCAGATTCCGAAGTTAAGTCTGAAGAGAAGGTTGTGGATGCGAATAATGTAGAATATGAATCTTCATCCTTTAAGTCTCAACTGGACTCAAAAATGAAGACTTTATATTTCGAAGAAACTTCCAACATGGATGGAGAAGCGTACAATATGTGCCATTTTTGGAGCAACTTTGAGATTGCAAGTTTTGACTTTTTTCGCAATGAAAAATACGAAGACTTTTTCCAGACCATGGATAGAACAGGAGGTTTTTGGACTGAAAGAGTAAGTTTTTCTAATTAGAGTCATGTGCTGACAAAACAAATAGTGGGGTGATGCGCCGTTTCATTCTTTAGCAGCTGGCCTTTTTCTGAAAGAATCAGAGGTACATTACTTTCGCGATTTTGGATACCGGCACTCAGATATTTATCACTGTGGTCAGGACCTTGGCTGCAATTGTGAGTGCCTGCCCGAATTTCCAGAAATTGAATTTGCTGAAGGAGGTTGTTTCCGGCAGTGGGCTAAAGTTGTCGGTGATGGACTCTTATAATCACCCTTAAAAAAGTAAAGGATTTGAAATTTTCCATCTACTCTTTGTGAATCAGCTTTGAAACATCACTTGATTGATAAAAGAACCTTAAAGTCCACCGTCACTTTGGTTTTACTATTTTGGTCCGGAGGAAACCCCAATTTTATCATCATACCGAGCATGTAAATTGCAGGCAATTGAATCCTAGGCGCCTAGTTGATTCATTATCTATGATTATCTTTACGTCTAGTGTTCCTTTTTAGAAGTAATACAGTACAAGAATTATTATTAAAAACCCGATGTAGAACGTTCGTGATACAATTAGAAGTTATTGAATCGTAGCACAAAAGCAGCCATTTAGAGATCATTTTTCGTACTTATGAATGTGAATAAGCTCGTCAATATAATCTTGAAAATGCAATGAAATAATTGTTTTTGTTTATTCGCGATCTACAACTTGCTTTGACAGTTAACAACAACAATAAAATAAGAAAATAATCTAAAACGCTTAAAATTACATAAAATCGATTATTAAAGCCCTTTTCTCTATTTTCAGTATTCAAATAATATTGTTATATTTACATTTTAATACGATACTGTTATGATATAATCTTATAACGGAAGAAGCTTTAGTGTTTTCCAAGCTCGTGAAATAAAGAAGTTCTGGTGGAGGCAGATACTTACCATTAGCATAATACCAACAATGTCTTCCGAGCAAGAGAAGAAGGTTCAAGACGCAACGAAAGAAGAAAACAAATCTTCTTTTGCTTCTCAAGAAGTTGCTGCAAAGCAGACTGAAGAAGCTAAAGCTGTGTTTGGCGATAACAGTGAAAAGAAGGATGAAAAGTCTGAACCTGCTTCCAAAGAGGAAAACAAGGAAGCTGGAGCAGATGAGGATAATGAACCTGCTTCTCCAGAAGTTCACTTTGAGCCTATTGTCAAGCTGAATGCCGTTGAGACCAAAACTAATGAGGAGGATGAGGAAGTTGTTTTTAAGATGCGTGCTAAGCTTTTCCGCTTTAATAAGGACGCTAGTGAGTGGAAGGAACGTGGTACTGGTGATGCCCGCCTCTTGAAACATAAGAAAAGCGGAAAGACTCGCTTGGTTATGCGACGTGATAAGACCTTCAAAGTTTGTGCCAACCACTTGTGTATGTATACGTGAAGAAAGCAAAAAATTTTGATTAATTTTTGCCGGTTATATGCTGTTTTCTTCAACTAACAATTACTAGTGATGCCGGAAATGAAATTGACTCCCAACGTTGGCAGTGACCGCAGTTGGGTTTGGACCGTTGCTGCTGATGTTAGTGAAGGTGAACCTTCTCCTGAGACATTCGCCATCCGTTTCGCTAATTCTGAAAGTAAGTGTTTGTGTGCCGAAAGAACCGGCAGGGAAATGACCGAGTAGAAACTAACCAGCCGTAGATGCCAATTTGTTTAAGGAAAACTTCTTGAAGTATCAAGAAGAGAACTCTGAAGTGGCCAAGAAAAATTAATGGATTTCATATATGGTTTTCATAAGGAATCAATAGAATGGATATCAGTTGTGCAAATGGAATATGTAGCAATAAAGGGGATAAAAGGTTATAGTATGGTTCATCATAATCTGGGCTTCATAATATAAAGTACATAATGTGTTTGGAAATACTAAGCTTTTGTTTGCAATAGGTTTCGGTCTGTAGAAATTGATTATGCTGTAACGGTGTTACGGTACTCAATTTATATGGATATTATTTGAACCTATGTGTACCGTTTGAACTGTCTTTATAGTATAATAATAAGAAGGCATCATCTTATTATTCTTTCTAAAGCAAGAAACTTTTTCATTCTTTCTTTTTTAATTTATTTTAGTTGTAAGAATCAACTTGACGAAGCAAACTGTTTAAAGGATCTCGATTTGTTTTGTTCTAACTAAGCATTGAACTGACATATACTTTGCAACGATATGCCTCTAATGAACAACAAAAAATAAATAAATAAATAAATATAATGTCAAGTCTAAAGCTAGCTTATAGGTAAACTAACCTTTCCTGAATAAGCGACCAATTTAGAATTCAATTAGCCTTTAAGGGGGTTAAGGAATAGTTTGCTTTTTTCCATGGACAAATGAAATGATTAAAGGTCGTTTTATCATTGGTATAGTCTGTTTGATTGAATTGAATATAATCGCAAACAGATTCATCGCTTTTATTGCAGTTTCAGATAAACTTGTGTAGCGACGAACGCTCCATTTTGCTTCATTTTTTTCAATCCATGTTGTACAAAAACCTTCGAGAATATACGTTTGAAATAAATACCTGTTTTCCTCAATACATCGCTTAAAAGAGCTTTAAAAGTTCGATGTTCGATCGTATTCGAAAGAAAAATTTCGGAACCAAATAAGTACGCGAATGCCTAAGTAGCAAGAAACGAGCCAAACGTATTATTGATACGTAAACGGTGGTTATGTAAGCAAACAAAAATTTCAAATCTCACAATGATATAAATACCATTACATACATTCATACACCAAAAACTTGTACCATTGAAGAAAGTACTCATCGTAGGATTTTCAAACTGATAAGTGGACTTGTGATACTTTTTATACCAAAGTTCTAAGATGCCATTGCAATACGTAGTTAACGACACTAAGAGTGGCTTTGATCAATTGAAGATTCAAGACTCCAAGGAGGTTGCATCCCTTAAGCCTAATGAGGTTAAAGTAAATCTCAAGGCTGCTTCTCTCAATTTCAGAGACTTAATTATCACTAAGGGCATGTATCCTCTTCCTTTAGAGCTTCCAGTAGTTCCTGGCTCTGATGGTGTCGGTGTTATTGAAAAGGTCGGTGATGATGTGGATGGATTTAAGCCTGGCGACACTGTGATCTGCAATTTCTTCACTGATTACATTGACGGAAAACCAACTAAGCATGCCATTACTGGTGCCTTGGGTGGTACTTATGACGGTGCTTTCCGCCAAGTCGGTGTCTTCCCTGCTCACGCCCTGGTTCATGCACCTAAGAACTTAAACTATGAAGAGGCATCCACTTTACCCTGTGCTGCCTTGACCGCATGGAACGCCTTGTTTGGTTCCCAGGAGAATCAATTGAAACCCGGTCAAAATGTCTTGATCCAGGGTACTGGTGGTGTTTCCATCTTTGCCCTCCAATTCGCCGTGGCTACTGGTGCTCGTGCCACAGTCATTTCTTCTTCGGATGAAAAGCTGCAATTTGCCAAGAAGTTGGGTGCTAGCCACTTGATCAACTACAAAACGAACCCTGAATGGGCCAAACCCGCTTTGGAAGCTACCAACAATGTCGGTTATCATCACGTAGTCGAAGTCGGTGGTGAAAAGACATTAGGTCAATCTTTGGAAGTCTTGGCTTTAAGCGGAGCCATCACCTCTATTGGTTTCGTTGCTCAACAAGGTACCAGCCCTAACCTTACCTCGTTGATTGGTCAAATGCTCAACAAGAATGCCACCATTCGTGGTATCTTTGTGGGACCTGTCAACATGTTTAAAGATATGATTGCTTGTATTGAGGCCAATGACATTCACCCCGTCGTTGACAAGGTATTTCCCTTCGAACAGCTTAAGGAAGCTTATAACTACCAATGGAGTCAACAACACGTCGGTAAGGTTGTTCTCAAGATTGACTCTTAAAATATAGCGAGGCAAAGACGATGAGCATACTTTTAGTTTTGCTCACGTCTACAGTCGCATGTATATTATGAAGACATGATTTGTTTAGGAAATGATATTTGCAGAAGTAAGTAGAGGATTTTTAGTTGTGTCTTCTAGCCAAGCCAAGAGGATATGACAGATTTTCAGAGATGAGATAGAAATAAATGAATTCAAATCAATTCAAAGACGAGTAAAGACAAGTCACAAATTCTTCACATTTGTTCTCGAAAAAAACTTAATTCCAAGCATCCCTTTTTACGTAAAGCCACGATACTTCTTTAATAGACAAAAGGGATTTTGTTCTAGAAGCATTTGCATCTGTGTCAGAACAGACACTACTACTACCCCTCCCTACCTTTTCTACCTTTGCTACCCGTCTCCATAGATAAGCCCTTAAGAACTATTTTGTACTTTCATATCCCCACACCTACTTGTACCCCGCTGTCGTAATATTCTACGTAATAAAATACGAATGATTATTAAAACGAACCTTGTATCAAAGGGACTTTTAAAGAGGAATTCATCCCAATCAATAAGCGCACGCCGATAGGGAAGGCTCTCTTAAATGAAAGTGGAGCAAAGAGGAGAAACGGATGCAAGGTCATAGCAAACGAACCCTTAGTAAAAGAGAGCTCAAATTACACCCAATACTCATTGCGCAGGTAAAGCATTGGGGTTTCTATGGCCTCCGTTAGTACTCCATCTAAGAAATAAAGACCAAGGAGGTCAGACTTTAAACCCCAGATTCTCGTACCTTCTTTTCGTTAAACAACGTAACAACAGGAGGGGGTCCCCGGGATCACTTTTAACATTACGTTACTAACCAAAAGGATCATGGTGTAATTAAATATAAATAGAACGGGATGAAATCATAGTAGAATAGCAAAGAAATTCCTTGGCCCCTTCTGTCAACTATAATTAACAGAGCTAGTTAATATATAGAGTTATATAGATAGCATCTCTTATTTCTCGTCTTTGGTCGGTTGGGTTTCTTCTATTCTTTTTCTTACATTACTTTCGGATTCGCTTATTTGTCAGGTATAACCAGCAAGTTTTAAAAAATGGCTACACAAAAAGCATTCGTCTTGCGCAAGCAAATGGATACAGCTATTGAGGAGCGCCCTGATGATATCGTTAATGGGTATCACGATGTCAAAGTTGCTATCAAGGCTACAGGTATCTGTGGAAGTGATGTTCATTACTGGAAACAAGGTGGAATTGGCGATTTTATTCTTAGGAAACCGATGATTTTAGGTCATGAAAGCGCCGGTATTGTAGTGGAAGTTGGTAAGGGCGTCCGATCAGTCAAGCCTGGTGACCATGTTGCTGTCGAACCGGGTATTGTTTGTCGTCACTGTGAGTTTTGTCGAGAGGGTCGTTACAATTTGTGCCCTCATATGCAATTTGCCGCTACTCCACCTTACGATGGCACCTTGCGCACTCATTATATTGCTCCTGAAGATTTTCTAACGAAATTGCCTCCTCAAGTTGCACTGGACGAAGCCGCTATGTTTGAGCCGTTGAGTGTTGCTGTTCATTGCTGGAGCCGTGCCAACTTGCGCTGTGGCTCTCGGGTTTTGGTAATGGGATGCGGTACAGTTGGTCTTTTGTTAATGGCTGTTGCCAAGGCTTACGGTGCTTCCGATGTTGTCGCAATCGACACTTCTGCCTCACGCGTTGAGTTTGCCCAAAAATATGCTGGTGCTTTACCATTTACTCCTATCGAGTCTCAGTCCAATGAGTCATTGGCTGATTATGCCCGTCGATATCGGGATGCCATTGTGGCCAAGTATGGTGAGTTCGATTTTGCTGTGGATGCCACTGGTGTAGAAGTTTGCATTCACACAGCCGTCCTATGTTTGAAACGAGGTGCTACGTTTGTCCAAGCCGGAAACGGTAAGCCTGTAATTCAATTTCCCATCAATCACATCGTGAATAATGAGCTCACCGTGCTTGGAAGTTTCCGCTACCGTGCTGGCTGCTATGAACAAGCTATGTATTTAGTATCAAGCGGTCTCGTAAAGCTTAGACCTCTTATTACTCATAAGTACAAGTTTGAAGATGCTTTGGAAGCATACAAGAAAACTGCTAGTGGTGAAAGCGGTGTCATTAAAGTTATCATCGAGGGACCTGCTACAGAATAGATGTTTATCGTTTTGTACTTGCTTATTCCCAACTTTTTTACGACATATCTGTTAAATTTTCATAAATAATGAATATTGAGAATGAAGATGTAATTTTAAATGAAATGTAGATACTATTTGCAAGGATAGGATTATATCTATGAGAGCATGAAAAGGAAAAATCTGTATAGAACAAGTTCAATAAAGAATGCAGTATAATCACGAAAGTAAACCAGCAAGGCGGTATAAAGATGCAGCGGCATCACAAAATGTTTCTTCATGAGGACGATACTTGATGCCAAGAACGGACTTGGACAACGAAGCATCAATTTGGTAATTGCATGTTGAGAGCTGACCATTAGGTTTAGCAATCTTGTCTTGAAATTGAGGAAAATGAGGTAAAACAGCATTTACGATTTTGTCATTCGTAAGGTCGCCAGCACAAATGATGACCCTGGGTTCCTTGGTAAGAGCCGTGAGCGCGAGCACTTCCGATTCCGCCAAGTCTCGTACATCAACGTAATTAAAAATTTCAGTCTTGGGAGCAATATCGTAGCGACCATTGATTAACTGCCAAAAAAACCATGCTGAAAAGCTTAATTGATTCACAGATTTCAGATGAAAGACAGGTCCTAAGATGAGAGGAGGATTTAAGGCAATGACCTCAAAGTGGGGTTTATGAGTAGCAAAAAAATTGTGAACTGTCTTTTCCCCAAATTTTTTACATACGGTATAATTTAAACCTTCGTCATTAGAAGTCTTTGCGTCTTGCAAAGTCAAAGGGTTCCAATCCTTTTCGGTAAAAACATAGCCATCTCCGTTATAGTTCTTTGGACCCTTTAAGGCAGCATCAGAAGATACATAAACGAAGCGTTTGACCTTTGGTTCTTTAAAAGCAGCACTCAAAGCATTTTCCGTGCCCTTAATACTAACGGTGAGAGTATGATGAGGATCAATACCAGGGGTTTCTCCATTTGAGTGGACCTCGGCGGCAACATGAATCACATAATCGACTCCACGAATAGCTTCATCATACGCATTCGGAATCCGATGGTCGGGAATATGAACCATTTCCACCTTGTCTTTCCAAGAAGGGCGATTATGGAGCAGAATGTTAGGGTCTTGAGGAGACTGATGGGTTCCGCGAACTCGATATCCATGGGCTAGTAATGCTTCAACTGTGTGGGAGCCCAAGAAACCGTTAATGCCGGTGACCAAGACGAGAGGAGAAATTTGAGTCATGTTGAAATCTAAGGATTCAATAAGAGAAAAATTGAAAAAATTATGTACGAATGCTGGTGGAAGAAATGAGTTTGTGAAATTGAAAAGAAACGAGATGCAAGAATCAAATGAAAAGCAAAAGACGACTTAGAGGTTAATCAAAAAAAAAAAAAAAATGTTGCAAATATTTATTTAAAAGGAAAAAGATTCCACCGTTAATCACCTAGTGATCACACTTCTTTATGTGCTATTCCAAAGGAGGAATGATAACATGAGTAAGAAGGCAGTCGGTTTCGACAGGATAGTCTGTTTGAATCCACTATTCTTTCTCTAGAGAGGGCGTGTTATTTTTTCGGAAAAAAAGAAAAAGAACAAGAACAAGAACAAGAAAAAAACAAGCTTCTTTGTTCAGAACTCTCCAACATCGTTTTTGACACACAATACCCTCTTTAATACGATACCAGAAAATGATTCAAAAGCAAAAGACACGGACAGACGCGATCTTGAGACCTGAAGTCGACCGAAAATATGCTACGAATAATTTTGAAGGAATAAAAATTGAAACATAATGACAAGGAGGACGACTTGCAGGCTCCATCAGTTTGTTTGCTTGAATAAGGCATACGAGCATATAAATACATCCTCATACGAGCACAATAACATAAAAACACAAAACATATTACAATTTTTATTAATAACATATTTAGAAGCATAATATTATTTTTTAAAAGCATACTTTTATTGAAGCATACGGAATATAAGAATTCGGACATCTCTAAAAGATTAACCAGAAAACTAAAGACAATCCTTCATCCAGCCTCGTTCAAACCTTACAGACGGCTGGCTCAATGTCCTCTAATGCATTCTTTCTTTCTTCATCGTGTACCAATCTTTGAAATGCCCCATCTCGTTCCGTCTCATAAGCCATCCATTCAGGAGTTATTCAAACAAAACTCGGTAAAGGTATAACAAAAGATTATTTGGATCCGCCAAACGTTCCTAAGGCAAAGTGAGCTCACTAGATATCGTCCATGCACAAAAAACTGGACGGAATGACACAACACAGTCTGAAAGATCTCCTCTAAGTAAGCATCATGGAATTAGGTTCGCTAATACACTGACATGAATAAGTTATGACACTATTTGAAGTCAACTCACAGGTGTCAGCTTTTATCTAGGTGTTGTGCTTACATGTAAGATAGAGGAGCTATTCAGTCATGATTACATCTTACTGTGAGACGTGGTATAAAAAGGATGGCAATTGGATCATGGACGATCAATTTTATTACAAACTAAAAGAATTTAGACAATTTTTGGCGAAACCATTAGATACACTTCCCTGACTTCTTTTAATTGTTTTTCTCGTTCTTTTTTAAAGCCCAAGCCAAACAAGTCAAACCAAACAAAAAGAATAAACAAATATGTCTGCTCATGATTTATTGTATGTTGTTCCCAAATCGACACCTCCAAAAGTTGTGAGAGGCGAAGGTGTCTACCTGTATACAGATGACAATAAGAAAATCTTGGATGGCACCGGTGGTGCGGCTGTTTCTAGTCTTGGATACGGAAACCATGAAGTGATTGATAGTATGAAAACCCAAGCGGAGAAGTTGTGTTATGTCCACAATATGAGCTTTACAAATGAACCCGCTGAAGAATTAGCACACATGCTTGTTTCAAAAAACCCAGATGTCTTTGCTCGTGCTTACTTTGCCAACAGTGGATCCGAAGCCGTTGAATCAGCTCTGAAGTTTGTTTTGCAATACTGGCAACTCCGTGGTCAACCCGAACGATGCCATTTCGTTTCTCGCAAACAATCCTACCATGGAAACACACTCTTCGCTCTGGGCATTGGCAAAATGGTGCCTCGTCGCACTCCCTATATAAATGTGTATCCCAAAGTTACATCTTATGTAGACCCTTGCTACACATACCGTTACCAGAAAGAAGGTGAAACAGACGAGCAGTATGTATACCGTTTGGAGAAACAGCTGGAGGACGAATTTCTGGTTGTAGGCCCGAATCGAATTGCTGCTTTTATAGCCGAAACCGTTCCAGGAACATGTCTTGGTTGTACTACCGCTGTTGACGGCTACTTTAAGGCTGTTCGTCGTGTATGTGACAAGTACGACATTATCCTCATCCTTGATGAAGTCATGTGTGGTTTGGGCCGAACAGGAACCTACCATGCTTGGGAACAAGAAGGCATCGCCCCAGATATTCAAACTAATGCCAAGACTCTCGCTGCAGGCTATCAACCTATTTCTAGTGTTCTAATAGGTCACCGCATTTTCAAGGCTTTTGAAGAAAGCAACGTTCAGATGGCTAACTTCCATACCTATCAAGCACATCCCTTGGCTTGCAGTGCCGCTGTTCAAGTTCAAAAGATTGTACGCCGTGACAAGCTTGTTGAAAGGGCTGCTGAGACTGGAAAATATTTGGGTGAAAAGCTTCACCAGACCTTTGACTCTCATCCTCATGTCGGTGATGTCCGTGGTAAAGGTTTATTTTGGGGTTTAGAATTTGTAAATGATAAAAAAACGAAGCAATGGTTTGATCCTCAACTCAAGGTTGCTGCTTTAGTTAGTAAACTTGGTATAAAAAATGGACTTTTCCTCAATCCTGGTTCAGGTACCTACGACGGTGTCCATGGTGACCATATAATGGTGGCTCCTCCATATGTTATAACGAAAGAAGAAGTTAATTCTCTAATTTCTATTTTATCCAAGTCCATCGATGAAGCGATTGCCAGCTTGCCAAACTAATTATTTATGATCCCATATTGATGAAGTCATATGTTATTCTTTGGTTAAAGATTTTCCCTTAGTATAAAATAAATTATGATCCATTCTTTTACGAATTATTTCCGTGCATATCCTTTCTAATCCTTGATTTCATTTAAAAGTAAAATAAAAATTTGTCCTATGTTCGATAATGCTGAGTACGTAAAGGAATATTTTGTAACATCTCTATCTTCTAGAATACTATGTTTATATGTTTATAAACACAGTATTAAACAAGCGCATCAGTGGTGTAGCGGTAACATGGATGCCTTCCAAGCATTCGCTCCGGGTTCGACTCCCGGCTGATGCAAGTTATTATATAAATGTTTTTGAAAATATCAATAACGAACATAATCGAGTTCGATACAGATGAAAACACTGTCTACTAGCAGTCAAGTTTTCAATTCGTATGCAGTTGAGGTGTTGGAAAATTATCCCGTGAATAAAAAGTTTCAAGCTCCCGGCGGGACTCGAACCCGCAGTCCCTTGATTAGAAGTCAAATGCCCTAGCCATTAGGCCACGGGAGCTGCTCATGCTTGCATATATAGTAAATTAGTAATATATGTTTACGGATAAAGTATTGTTCAGGTTCCTTTTTTAAGAAGGAAATCAGCCATAAGGGGTGAATGGCAATGGTCAATTATCATGGTCGATGATTTATCAGGACTCTCATGAAACATTCACTGCTTATAAGGCTAGAATATAGTTCATTCATATCTCATTTCTTGTCATTTAAAGGGTTATTACTCTATCTTAAAAAATTAAGAAAAATTTGATGGTTTTTTATACACTTTCGCTAGTAGAATAACCGTCTCCTACCATAACTTGCATGAGTGCAAGGTGTCGAAGATGGATTTGACGAAATTTGATGCGATTTTTCATATTGGTGAAGTTGTGTGCCTCAATCAGGACAATCAATAAAGCTCCTTCAATAATCATGGTAGGGGTATTGCAAAATAATTGAGCAGTTTCATTAAATTTTAGGGCGCCAGCAGCTACAACCAAACAGACGATGATGATAACGGCCACGAAGACGGAATACGCTTGCGAGCAAATGTGTCCAATGAAGGAACTTAATTTATAGGCAAAAGATTTGTTTAAGGTAATTTCGGAATCGTGAGGAAGAGGAAGATCGAGACTTTGAAAAAGGGAACATTCTTCATCAATTAAGGTCTGAAGATGAATTTTGACATGATTATTTTCACGAAAATAAACATTACGAAGAACAAAACCATCCAAAAACCCAATGAGACCTGTATAGGTACCAATAATTAACCACCAATTTGAATTCCAGTGCATGACATTACCAATGGCTAGCCATACTATAAAGACAGTAGCACTGATCATGGCACCGACGCCTGATCCAACGAGGTCGGCATAATAATCAATGATACGAGAGCCGTGGCTGACTTTTTCAGCCTCTATCTCAATCACGGGATTCGTTTGACGATCTCCTGATTGTCTGCGAAGTGCTTCTTCCAAGGCGGCGTCAATGTGGAAAATGGAAGAGACGCAACGAGAAATGTATTTCATGTGACGATGACGGACATTTTGAAGGAATACAGAGGTGAATGTAAGTTCTACCGCAGTAGCTGTGTTGATGTAAAGTTGCCATTCGTCACTCCAGTTCAGCTTCTTGCCGAATCCAATCCAAATAAAAATACCAATCCAAAAAATCAGAAAAAAATACACAGAACCGATGATCAAACTTACATAGTTACAGACAAGATCAAACCAATTTTCAGTAGGAAGTTTTCGAGCATCGCCAACGTCGTCCCGCAAATCTTGATCTTTTATCGGAGCTGAAGCGACTGTTTTTCCTTGGAGGATGGGACCAATGAGCCGCCGGATAGTCCTTAAACGTGAACGCAACTGGGCGATCATAGTGGTCAATTGACTGTGTTGATTTTGCTGTTGGCGCATCAAAAGCGTATCAGAAATGTAGCATTGGATGGAACCGCCGTCTTGCATGACAATTTGCCAATTATCAGGGCCATGATAGATGCCTCCTACAATGGCCCAAATGATGAGAATAATAAGGGTGAGGATGAAAACAAAGCTAGTACCAGCTAGCGAAGTTATCTTATCGAAGATACGGCCAGTAAGATTAGGACGTTTTTGATCAATGTAATCTCGAATGTTTTCATACTCGACGATAGCCCCATTGGTGCCATACTTGACTTTGTATTCAGCGCTGAGACCTTCTAAGGAAGACGAACTACGAAGAAATTTTTCGTCTTCAAATACTTGTTGAGTAGGGGCAGAGGAGCAGATATTGTGTTGTTTACCGGGGGATTGGATAGCTTGGACGCATTTTTTGAAGAAAGAAGGGTAGGAAGAAGGTTCAAGATGATAGGCCCCTGTAACTGCTTTTTCATCAAGCTTAGTTTCAGCGATAAGAGAAGGAAGAGCCGACATAGGAAAAGTTTTTAGAAGGGAGAATGCGGAAATTAGGAAACAACAGTAAAATAAAAATGAAGATAAAAAGGGGATGTGAGAACGCGTAGAGAAAGGTGTAAACAATGCAAACACGAAAAGTTAAGAATATAAAAAAGGTATCCGATTCGATTCGATAAAGGAAAACAAAAACAAAAATAAAGTAAATTTAAATCAAATCAAATCAAATTAAAATAAAATAAAACAAAATAAATAAAGGAGGAAACCCACTAAAGATTGGCATGAATTAATGACGATACTATGTCCAATGGAAATGGGCTTAATAGAACCGCAATTAGCAATTGACTAATTAATTTTAAAATTATAAGAGGAAGGAAACATAGAAAAACAAGGATTGAGACACAGATAACAAGGAAGTACTTCAATAAAAAAGGAAATAACCCTACACAAAATGGAACTGCGAGAGAAATTCACCTGATAATGAACGACCGCGTTTGTTTAAGCTTACAAGGTGAATAATTGCTAAAACAGGGAAGACCAAACAAAAACTTTCGAATGAAGAGTAGAGGTAGGTATTTATAGCTTGAATAGAAAATGCTTATCTGTTTATCAAATGATCCATTTAAGTTAAATAGTGGAAACCCTGACAACATAAGGAGATTTCGCGATTCTCCGGATCTGATAAAATTTACTTATCGTGCGATACCAACAAACGACAAAGGAAATAAAAAACAAACAGAATAAAAGGAGCAAGGAGCATTTGTAATTTTTCTCCGTATTTCTCTTTCCTTTTTTTTTTCCAAAAATAGAAGACCAGAAAACATGGATGAATTTCGACAAAAACGTGTTTGTTTACAAAAATCGGACATTCGGTAGTTCCATGGAAACGACAAACGAAGCGTTCTAGGTTTGTTTGTTCTTATTCTTTACTTTCTCTTGGTTACAGCATTTGAAAATGATTGACGGAATTCCTGACTTGTTGTTTTCCAAATTTTTTCGCATCGTATCTATTGATCTGATATTTCCTCATCTGGAAAATGATTGAGGATTAGCAGGTTCCTTCTTTTCATAAAGAGCCCATGCTCGTAAAACAAGAAGGAAAGAAAGCTCCACGTTGATTCTGAAGCTTTCCAATTTCTGCAATCGTATGATTAGCATTTGTAGATTGATGTATAAAATTGTGCGATCAATCCTACATATGCCAATGAAGTGAGTTTTTTTATTTCAATTATTTGTTAATTTTCTTTTTTCTATCCTTGTCACAGTGCAGTACAGTAGCCGGTCTTTTTGTTTCCTTCGACTTAAACTATATAATTCAATTGGGCTTGTCCATATATTTTGATTAACCAGAAAAACAGTCCTTAAGAAGTGAACCCGACTGAAACGACGAAATACATTTTTATAACTACTCGAGTTGTCACAACGTGACCATTTGTATCGTTTGTTTGTTTACTACAATGTAGAAATATATACTCGGTAGAATTATACTCGAACATTATTTAGAGTAATATTCCAATTCGCTTGGAACCATTGCCTGTTCCACCATGGTACCTAGTTTGTTCTTGTTTCTTCTCCAGAGGTAACAACCAATTCCTTAGTTCACCGGGTTCCTCACTTCATCCTCTGCATACCTGTGTAAACAAACCCACCATTTTGGATTCTACGCGTATTTGTTATATTTGTTCGTTGGAATTTGGATATGTAGCCATTGTATGTTTGCAAAACTTTCTTTCTGTATTTTTATCGCATTTTCATAATGAATATTAGAATACACGCTTCTTTCTTTTCCTTAATTTGCATTCCCAAGTCATCGACTTGTAGCTGCTCTTCTTTGCTTATACCCCCCTTCTCTTCCTCATTTAAAAAAACATCTAGATTGCTTCCTTTTTCCAACATATCCTCTTCCTCTATCCATCTTCCATCACGTCGGTTTCACACATCTCCTTTCCGTGCCGAACGTAAACCCACTCCTTTGTCTTTTGCTTCTCGAAAACAAAAACAACTGCGACCTCTTCTCATTCCTCCGGTTCTCCCCGTCTCTACCCTCTCCAATCACCTGCAAGTATCTACTCAACGATTAATGCGCGATTTAACACGTCTCGGTTTTGCAAATGTCTCCCCGAACTACTTGCTCACTTCTGAATATTCCAGCTTGATTGCCGAAGAATATGGCTTTAAAGTACTCACGGATTCCGCTCCTCCCTTATCTTCCGTAAAAGCCAAAACCTCCCAAGCAAATGCTCCGTTACGACCTCCTGTCGTAACTTTGATGGGTCATGTAGATCATGGAAAAACCACTTTACTAGATGCTTTACGAAAATCTACTATAGCCGCTTCAGAACATGGCGGTATCACCCAAAAAATTGGCGCTTTCACAGTTCCCTTCGATAAAGGCTCAAAGTCAATTACATTTCTCGATACTCCTGGTCATATGGCTTTTGAAGCTATGCGGAAGCGCGGTGCAAACATTGCCGACATTGTCGTGTTGGTCGTCGCTGGTGATGACGGTGTAAAACCTCAAACTGTTGAGGCAATCAAACACATTCAATCCGCAGATGCTCCTGTTATTATAGCAATTACCAAATGCGACCGTCCAGGACTGCAGCCTCGTAAGGTTATCGAGCAACTCATGAATCATGGTATCCAGGCCGAGGAATACGGCGGTGACACCCAGGTAGTGTCAGTATCTGCGAAAACCGGCACTGGCATTGATGAGTTAGAAGCCGCTATTCTAACTCTCGCTGAAATCCTCGAAATCCGCTCCTCTCCAAAGGATCATCTAGAAGGCTGGGTTGTGGAATCTAGTATTGCTAAAGGCGTTGGATCTTTGGCAACCATAGTTGTCAAGCAAGGTACACTGTCTACAGGAATGTCTTTGGTAGCAGACAGTTCGTGGGGTAAGGTACGTTCTTTGATGGATGTAAACAATAAAAGAGTCAAGCAAGTCTTTCCCGGTCAAGCCGTGCAAGTTCTTGGCTGGAAAGAGTTACCAAAAGCAGGTGACCATGTGTTTCAAGTGAAAAATGAATCCGAAGCCAAAGAAGTTTTAGCCAATGTCGCTCGGCGCAATGATGCTCAAGAATTATACCAACTTGCTGAATCTCACAACAAGCAACTCGAAGTACAACGTTTGAATTCATCGGATACTTTGAAAAGCAGTTCTGAAGACAAACCTGAATACTTTAATGTTATTGCAAAGTGCGATGATACTGGCTCCGCTGAAGCCATTATAGATTTTTTTAAAGGACTCAGAAACGACGATTTACAAACACATGTGCTATATGCTGCAGTAGGCCCTATCACGGAAAGCGATATCGAGAGAGCCGAAACCTCAAATGCAATTCTTATCTCTTTCGGTGTCCCTGTCCCAAAATCCATATCTCGAGAGGCAGAACGACACAAAGTCAAAGTTTTGTTTCACAATATTATATATCACTTGATGGAAGATATCCGAACCCTGTTTCGTGATCGTCTACCACCTATTTTGGTCCAACGCGTACCTGGTGAAGCCAGTGTGCAAGCAATTTTCGATATACGACATAAAAAGTCTAGTGTACCCGTAGCTGGTTGTCGAGTAACCAACGGAACTTTAGAAAAGTCACACAAAGTTCGATTAATACGTACAGGAAAAATAATTTGGAGTGGCGAGATAGAAAGTCTGAAGCATTTGAAAGACGAAGTTACAAAGATTGCTAAAGGGAGAGAATGTGGTATTCTTTTGAAAGGGTCTCCAGATTTTCAAGTGGGTGATAAAATTCAAAGTTTTACTGAAGAATATCGACCTCCCGATTTTTGATAACTACGATTAGAAGTTGAATGATAATTTAAAAACTTAGTTACCTGTAATTTTATGAATACGCATTTAATACATGAAATATTATTTACGCATGATATAAACATCTAAAAATAACATTTATTTAGAAACAAATATTTAACTACGATAATCAGCATTAATGCGTACATAGTCATAAGAAAAATCACAAGTCCAATTCGTCTTTTCAAAAGAACCGCTTCCAAGGTCAATATCGACAGTTAATTCTTCTTGAGCTAAAATTTCACTGGCACGAGTCTCATCTATATTTTGAGGCTCACCGTTTACTAGGAGCTTCAATGTTTCGGAGCCATCAGCAGGAACAAAGCTAACGGAAGTAGCGTTTGGATTTACAGTAGCACCGGAATATCCGACTGCACACAGGATACGACCCCAGTTGGCATCTTCACCAAAAAAGGCAGTTTTTACCAAAGCCGAATTGCTAATCGTAGAAGCTACGATTGCAGCATCTTGCACTGACTTAGCTCCACGAACTTGAACAGTTACAAATTTGGTAGCACCTTCACCGTCACGAACCACCAATTTTGCAAGGTCTTGGGCAAGTTCAGTAATAGCGTCACGAATGGGTTCGTATTCTGCAGAGGATGAAGTAATTTCGGAACCGCCAGCGGCACCGTTAGCAAGAAAAGCAATGGTATCATTCGTACTTGTATCACCATCAATGCTAATCGAATTGAAGCTGTTCGTGATCGCATGACGAAGAATGGATTGGACAGCGTCGGGAGCAATGGGAGCATCCGTAACAAAAAATCCAAGGAGAGTGGCTAAATTGGGATTTATCATACCAGCACCTTTCGAAGCACCAGCGACGGTATAGACGCGATCAGCCATTTTGACTTGCTTTGAGAGTAGCTTGGGAAAGGTGTCCGTAGTACATATGGCTTCAGCTGCACGCATCCAGTGTTGATGAGAAGATCCCATATCTTTGAGAGTGATAGCAAGTCCTTGTTTGATTTTGTCGAGTTTTGGTCTCTGACCGATAACACCAGTCGACATCAATAAAGTAGAAGGCAAGTTATCCTTCTTAGCTGAAGAATCCTTGTGTAGCTGTGTCAACTCCTCAGTCGCCTTAGCAATTGCTTTGGCATCTCGTATACCGCCTTCACCTGTAACGGCATTCGCACAGCCACTATTGACAACCACAGCATGAATCCCTGTACCGCCATTTCCTTGTAAAACATTACGAGACACCTGAACAGGAGCTGCCTGGAATGCATTCTTTGTGAACACAGCAGCTGCATTACAAGGGGTAGGCGAAAATAAAACCATTAAATCCTTTTTGGCATTAGCTTTTACGCCAGACGAAACGCCGTTAATCAAGAACCCTTTGGGATACGTCCCTTTTTGACTAATAAACTTTGTTTTGTCTGGCATAGTCCCTACCAAACGTACTCTACCATAAGCAGCAACGCGAGAGAATAATTTGTTTCGCATGTTCGATGGTGGTTCAGGAAGAATAGCTGCACTCAAGGACGAACAGGTTTTATCTGGTTTGGAATGCTCAGTCTCTGATTACGAAGAGATATTTTAGATCTCAAACTAAACGATTAGTCCAATGAGACGTTTGTGTTCTTGAATGATTCAAAGGCCATCGTCGTTCATATTGAAGGAATTTTTTGTCAATGGCAACATACTTTACACAGACTCGCTCTGTCTTTCCTACACTAGTTTCAGCCGTTCAGAGCGATAAAAAGCCTCGCTCCCTTTAACAGATTAACGAACGGGAACGAGATTACTGTTAATTTGATACTGCACACAACATCAAATACTTTTCCATTTATCATGGAAATAGACAAGTTTAACTTGATGTTCAAAAAATGCTGCAGTGGCTCATAAAGTTTGACTTTGATATTTTTTATAAAAAAAAAAAAAGAAATGGGCAAAAGCCTCCTCCTCCATTGTTTTATTTGCCCATTAAAAAACGGTTTCTTTTCTCAATTTGAAATTTTTTTTTTGTTGAGATTTAATTTAAAAAGTTTATAGGTTCAAAGTTCAGGTTAACTTTATGATTTAATTTACTGTTTCAGAGAAGTTGTTTACCGACTCCTTTCAGTTTAATTAATTCTTCAGATTTATCGTTTAAGATTTCTTTGTAACAGCTCACCAGAGAGTTTTTTCATTTGAGCCTTTTCCATCTTCTTCATATTTTACTCGCAATCCCAACAATTTCATAGTTTCATCGTTTTATAGATTCATGCATCTGCCAATTCATCATCACCAAGTATTCATTTTTTTTTGAAAGCAATTGCAAATGGTTCATTCATAAAGAAGCAATTGGGTTGATTTCTTCTTTCAGCATTTCAAATTTCATTCATTTAACATTATTTTAACTATCATTTGAATGATAATGTATTGTTTAGAGGGTTAATGTGTTAAAAGGATAAAAAAGGATTCAAACGAGTTTCAACACACGGCATTTTTAACAGAATGGTTTACACGTTCACACAATTCATTGTGAGCGTGAAAAAGTTTCAATAAGAACAACCAAAAAAGTTCCCAAAAAATAAACATTTATATACTTGTAAAAATACTTCATCCATAGACTGATATACACTTCACAAGCGACAACCATGCTTGAAAAATGACCAAAGCTCCCTATCATAAATCAAAGTACCAAAAACTAGTTTAAAAAAATCAAAAATTTTTGTTTTTTTAAAGTTTTCATCTTCATATCTCTCTCTTAACGGAACAGACAATTCAAAACCGAAATTGTCCTTAATAAGGAAAGGAAGTTTTGGTTTTAGACAAAACTGCCTTTGTCTTTCCTTTTTTCTTCGAATATACTTCATCCTTAGCATACAGGACAGAGTAGTTCGTTAAAAAAATAAAAAAGCCATATGAACAGCTGCATAAAGCCAAAACTTCCTTACGAAGGTCGAAGGGGAAACGTCCTCTTTTATAAACGGTCTCTGACTTTCAAAACTATAATCAGTACTATCACGCGGAATGACGTAAATACTTAGAACCTAAATTTAAGATGTCCAATAAATCACGAAACTTGTGAGCAACCACAAACCTGCTGGCGTCATCGCTATCGTCGTTTCAACTTTACATTTTACCGAAATCCTTTATAATCTGATAGTTTAATATTCGTAGCACAGAAAATCGGCTTAAATAAATTATTCAACGTTAGCGAACTACTTAAACTTCTTTACTGCAAACTCACTCTATTTCTTTAAATATAGAAACTCAATGGTAATAGCAAACAAGAATAAAAAGATTGAATATTTCTGTTTGGAAGAAGTGTGGTTTTATTTGCAGAATACTTCAATATGCTTGTTAATTCTTATTTTTCCTTTCAAATATCAAATTTTTTTCAGAAAAAGACAGTATTATTCTCGCATGCATTTCAAAAGCCATTTTTATTTGCACTCTCGTATAATTTTCTTGGTTGACGAATAATCATCATATCCATAGTGAATTAAAAAGCACAACCTTGATCTGCATTATTCCAAGAAAAAGAATTGCGATGGAAAGGTGGTTTTTATATCGATAGTACCTCAATTTCGTTCCTTTAAACAATGAAAACCAAGCGTTCCCGTATTGGACAAAATTAATTATAATATTCTTAAACGATTGAAAGGCAAAAATGTTTTATACATATTTGGGAAGTGGTATATGATCCCCACGCTTCCAGGGTCTTTCAATTTCCTTTTCATCTTTGTACTCTTCCTGAAGTCGGGTCAATTCTTCTTCTTTTGTCTTCTCAACCAGCTGGTCAAACTCCTGTTTACCATTTTTTCTAAAAAGCAAAACCTTATGCATATTCAATTTCGTCACGGGGTGTAAAGGACGCTTATGCGCTAAAGCAACTCCTACTGCTTTTGCCGTCATGTGAAATCTTGTGTCCTTGGAACCATCCACCCATTCAAGAATAGCTTGAGGTGCATTATCTCCATATCTAGGAGGCATTCTCAAAACACGCGTATATCCGCATCTTCGTTGATTGTATCTAGGTACCAGCACCTCAAAGACTTTCTTCAATGTGTTCTTCTGTTCAAAAACCATACCCTGAGCCAATTCTTGTCGATTGTTTTTAGGATTCGTTTTTTTGGCCATCGTAATTAAATGTTCAGCATGCTTTTGTGCTTCTTTTGCTTTAGCCCATGTTGTCTGGATGTTTTCGTGTTTTACCAGAGAAGTTCTATAAAACTAGTTAATAATCAATTCGAAAAGGATTTCTCCAACAGAATAAAAGTCAAATCCCAACATACACTAAACTTTTTAGTAAAGATTGTCGGTGAGCACTTGGTCGTCCCAATTTTCGAAAATACACAGTTTTGGTCATTTTCAAAAGATTACAATTGTAAAAAAATAATAGTAAATATTATATAACAGAACAAAGGAATGCAAAACTCATAAAATAGGGACCGTTAGCAATGTTGGTCAGTGGAGAGGAGAGTGCAGACTCAAAAATCACTTCAGTCATAAAGGATATGTATGGAGACCAAGTTTTCTTAGAATTCGAAAATGTCGTTTTTGCTACACAGTGGTACAATAAAGGAAAAAAAGATTGCGTTTTTGTATTCACTTCCATTTCGCTCACTCCTTGGAACAAGGTCATCGTATACTGAATAACAAAAGAACGTCTACCATTGTGATCAAAGACAGCTAAATCAAATATTTTAGAGAAAGAGAGTGATTGATATTGTTTTTATGAAACTCAACAATGACTGCTGAACATTTGTAACACTACATAGAATCGTAATGTTCTATAAAATCCTTCCAGCTACAGAAAGACTGACTATTCGAAAGGTGGTATTTTATGATCAGTCGATCAGTTACAGAGAAGAGAGTTCCATAAAAATACCTTAAATACAACGTTTTTGGAATTTCAAAGTAAACATAAAATGTCCATTCTTTAAAGCAATCAGAAATGAGCACGGTAGTAAACAAGTGGAGGGAAATTCGTAGCGAATAGCATTAAAATTGACTACTTATATAAAAAAGACAATGATAAACGTACATTGAAACCGAAACCAGGGGATATATGGCTATGCATCAGGTTCGCAATATCAACAACGAGCAAAAGAAAAAAGAAAACCAACAACGTTGCTCGTTTCTATAGAGAAAGCCAATGAAAGCGTAAAACCTATCGCTTAAACTTCCAAAAACCTTCTTCTATCGGATACCTCAAAGGCTGAGTAGCCTTTAAAAAGCCATCATCCAAGTCTTGCCATTCAAAAAACTTACGTTGCCAAGTCTCATTATTCACTTGCTCTTCACGTCTACGCTGACGCTGAGCTTCTTCTATTTTCGACTTTTCTTGACTAGCGGAAGAATAGTCTCCCGAGTCCAAGGCAACGGCAAAGTTTTTCCAAACACGTCTTGACTCAAAACTACCCTGATCTTCAAGGGGAGGAACAGATATGTTGATAGGTGAATAATTTGCACAATCAAGCCAGTTTTCCCAGACGCCGCGTTTAATATTTTCGCCATTCGCGATTTTTAGCATTCCTGTCCAGGATCCTTCTATACGATACAAAGGTTCGGCTTTCGAGTCGGCTTGATGGACAGAGCCTTTGAATGTGTTTTTCTTTCCAGTAAAGTAGCCCTTACCGCTATATTCAATGGTTGTCATATATCCGCTCGTCGATATAATGTATGACTTTTTGCTTAATTCAATATATGGAGCTGCATGTGTTAGCTTTTCTTTTCATAAACAGAAATGTATGCAAAAAACTTACATCCGTACCATAATCCCTCCAATGTAACCAGAGGAAAAGTGATATAGTACACTTCGTTGTGAGGCTCCAAAGTCAAACGAGCATGACCGATCTGTTTAACATGAATGTTATGGCCCGAGAATCCACTTTTGTGACCATTATAGCCTTCTAAGCGTACTCCCGCTGCTGCGTTGTAAATGTGGTAAGCCGTGATAGGAGGATGGTGAGAGACTTGTTCAGCAGTCAGTACAGTATCTTGGTCCAAGTTCGTCGACCACCTTCCAAAGAACTGTTCTCCCAAAATAGGATTCAAAGGCTTCTTTTCAGATCCATACTGTTTTCATGTTAGCCGCAAAGCCATAATTCCGTCCAAATTCCTCTTTCGTTCAGCTAGCTAGCTACTAGGAAAGGGAGACCAGACAAAGAAGAACTGGAACTTTTATATTACATACACGTTCATTACGAGTGGCATATTGGTTTTTCAGTGTACTAGCAAACCACTTGGTTACCAAAAGCTGACGTTCTAGAGGAGTTTGACCCGAGGGTAGCGAAATAAACAATTCGGGATGCTCTGCCTGCGAAAATGTTAGAACAAAATTTGCTCCTTTCTTAGTTGGAAGAACCTACCCAATAAGCTGAATACTCAATCAACGAGGTGCTCGAGAGAATAAAAGAAGGAGCAGTTAAGGAGGATAGATCTCCTGAACTAGAAGCAAGATTAGCATGCTGAAATATAAACCCATATCATCAACATGAAGTCTATCTGAGTAAGCATATTAAGGTGGTTTCGTCGGAAACTCATCCTTGTATTTGCTGCACGATCTATTCCGTTGAAGTCGTCTTTTATTACTTACAATGTAGCGATACTCTTTAGGAAAGACTTTGAAAATTGTTAACAACTAAAACCATCAAAGAAGAGCCGGAAAAAGTATTATTCTTTCCGTTTATTAGCATACCAACCAAGTAGTCCTAAAATAAACAAAGTTAGTATCCAATTCCAAAGGACAAAACAACATACTTCGTGTTTCCACGAATCTTTTTATTTCCCTCGCTATCACGAGAATCGTCTGAACTAGTCTGTTTACTACTCATGACGAGGATATGCAAAGGATACGTGGTTTCATTAGCAGACAAAAATCCAAATGAGATCGGGGAAGGGTAACGCATCTACTAAGGTGAAGCATGATCGATCATAAGGCGGCTTAGACCATTGCGATAAACAACGATAAGGCATTGGCAAGAAGTTGTTATGGTATGATTCGTTACATTATTTAACATATAACTGTGGACATTCTTAAATCGAAGACAAAAACTCCATCAGAAACATGAACCTGAAATAATACTACTAGTATTTTTAGGATACCATCTACTCGATCAAGAAACAAGATTAGATATTTATGAAGAATGCCATATGGAACCCTAGAATTATACCTTTAGCTATTCTACTAGAAATCACTTACGTAGCTTCACAGACTTCATTGTTTGTCATAAGAGACTACTGAAGAGTATGGTAAATGCTTATATGATTGTTCTAAGGAAAACGTTATAACGCTATAGTAAACAAATTAAAGAGGAAGAAAAGAGCCAAAGTTTTCATTTATATTTCATAAAGTACAGAGTATAGCAAAAAGAATCCAAAAATGTGAAAACGTTAGTGTTCTCAGTTGGAGCATGAAATGACTGCGGAAACGTAATAGAGAGAGACCTTTTCTTTCTTTGGATGGACCAACCAATCCTATTATGTATGCCAGTTCAAACATTCTAGAACGAAAGAAAGGTAGTTTTATTCAAAACGGGCATCCCGAAGTCGTTTAATACGGAAATGGCTTTTGAAATATTCATAAGTTCCCAGGTATATAGATAGTCCCAAAGAAGCAGCAAAGACACGTAATGTAAGACCTTTGAAAAACCCGAAAGCACCATGAAGTTGATAGATTCGCCTAATAGTTGTCTTGTAATCGTCAGGCTGTAGATTAATTTGTGTTTTTATGACATCTAAAGGTGTCAGAAGGGCTGCCGTTATGGCTCCGCTCAAAGCAGCACCCTTGGGAGCACCAAACAACTTATCGGAAGCTGTAAATTTTGACTTGAAGTTCTCATAAAGAACAAACTGAAATGCTGTAGCGGGAACATTCCGTATAGCCATTCCTTTAAAGGACTGCCATACATCTTTGCGAGAATGAAAAAAGGTAAATATAATGTTGGGTAAAGACAACCGCGATGTTTGCGCTCGTTGTCGAATGGCTTCAGCAGGAGCTAGAATACCACAAGAAAAAAATTCAGCTACAGAAGCAGATACAAGGTGGTTTCGAGTACCTGGTTGCTGTTTTTGCTTTGCATATTCATAGACAAAGAAAAACGACGAGGCTAGAAAACCAAGTTAATATCATCTTCAAAGGCTTTTGCTCTCAACATACTTGACGGAAGCGTGCTCACTAGAACACTGCTAAGTCCGCGATACAAATGTTTGAATCCACCTGTCTGATAAAACGGAACCGACGACTGCACTCGAGTAATGATGGTTGAAATAGGGAATACCTAAAGTTACATATTCCATTAGTCACTCCTTATACAAACCCCAATTAAACATAACAGTATGAATGCTTGCCTCTGACATACCAAGGTTTCTAATCATAGTACATTAGTTCACTGAACCTCAACCAAAAACAAACTCTATTGAAACAATCTTAACAATTGAAATAGGAAGAAATCCAAAACATACCTGCAACAAGACCAGCCGCTCCACCAACCTACAGCCAAGTTGCTTCGTTAATAAACCATTCAAGAAATGTCAATATAGTAGGAGGAAAAGAAGCCTACCAGCATGGGTTTCCAATGAACATCCGTCTCTGCCATTACAGAAAAAAGTCGATGCTTTACTTCCAAAAGCAAAAAGAGAGAAAGCGAAAGGAGACACTGCAGTCGTTTGGACGTCAGTGACACATAGTTCAGGTCGGTTAAAAAAATTAAAAGTTGCTGCTTGGTGCGCGGTACAAATGAGTTTTTGTTTCAATTTTTCAACTACAAATTATTCATTTCGTGATATAAAGGAAATACAAGCTCTTGATGGAAAGAAAGAGCCAAAAAAATTTTACGGAAGTATCATATTAAGCTTCTAATAAAATATCCATGCAATGGTTTGTAGAATTGATTTTGAGCGGTTCATCTTTACTTTTTCTTAACATCCTCTATTTGAACGGATCTATTTTTTTTTTAAGACAAGTCTTTACGTAAAACCCACTCTTCCACCAGCAACTGTTCCAAGTCTATTTTTGGAACCAGAAGTACGTTCAAAAGATCAGCGTCTTGACCACAACGCCTTTAAAGATCTTTTCTTTCTTATACGCTACAATTTTAAAAAAGGTGTCTTTATTACTACTGTCTTTTGTCCTTCTGTTTGTTTACGCTTCGTACGTCACTTTTTCTACCGGCAGTTCTTCCTGGACACTGCTTCTCCTGAAGTTGCTCTTTCCCAATCACTATCGTAGCTTTTCATGAGTTGACAGACCATTTACCTGGGGTTAAACGTGGAAGAAAACAAAGACACGCTCGTCTTCAAATATATAGGTTCCTGGTGCTTTTGTCATTGTAAAATTGCTTGCGAAGAAAAACCCTTTTTTTGACATTTCCTGTACTTCTACGAATTCGGTTTTCGGAACTTGTTCTAGTTGGTTTTACCTTTCCTTTGTTCCTTTGTTTTTTTATTTTTTTTCATTTCACTCTGGTTCAGCGAGCTTTTCTTTTTTTTATCGAATTTTTCGATCCAACGTCGTTGTGAGTGATAGACCCAAAATTCCCAACGAACTATATAGACCTTTTCAATTTTGGTGTTGAATCAAAAGAAAAAACAGTCTGCCTGAAACAGTTTGAAATTGTTGGTTCATGAATTGCGAAGCTCCCGAATATTCAGCTTAACCGGGTTTTATTGTTATTTCTTTAGAGTTTTCATAATTCACCAGATAACAAACTGTCTTTAGGAAACTTTGTGGATATATATTGGTTTCTGTTGTATAATAAAAGAAAAAGGGGTTGAGTGCGATTTCTCAGTTTCGGTTTCTAATTTCTTGGCTTTTTTTTTTCTTTCTTTTAATTGTTTCTTGGCATTCGGATTTAAATTTCTTTTGTAATTGCCTTTGCATGCCTAATTGTCTTTTTTTAGCTTCTCATTTCTTGTTCCGCTTTACTGAAAAGTTTCCTTCAGCAGAGTACACATTAGGTTTGCTGTAGGTTATTATCAGTTCTCTTCAGTATCATGGACGCAGACACGTTTGTAGACGGTTTACCGGGAACGACCGTCATCGTCAAAGATCACCATTATGCTTCCTCAGAGACTAGTGAATTAAAACGAGATGGAGACATTGTTCTTCAACCGCAGCCTTCTGATGATCCAAGCGACCCATTGAATTGGAAGCCTTATAGAAAAAATTGGCATATCGCTATGATATGTTTGTTTACTTTAGTTACCAGCGCCATTGCAAACGATGCTGGTTCCGCCCAGGATCAAATGAATGAAGAGCTTGGCATATCTTACGACGCTATGGACAACGCCGCTGGCGTTTTGTTTATCTGCGTTGGCTATTTCACGTATCTCTTCATGCCTGCTAGTTTGTTGTATGGAAGACGATGCGTTTATATGGTTTGTCTTATCTTTGGTATGCTGGGCTCCTTATGGTTTGCCAAAACCAATACTACTGCAAACTCAATCGGCAACCAAGCATTCGTGGGCATTAGTGAAGTTGCTTCGGAAGCTTTGACACAGTTTTCTCTTTCTGAAATTGTTTTTGAGCACGAACGTGGAATAAAAATTGGTATTTATATTCTCTCCACCTCCATTGGTACATATCTCGGTCCTTTAGCAGCCGGATACGTTGCTTCGTCTCAGGGATGGCGTTGGATTGGTTGGTGGGGTTTGATTGCTTGTGCCATTACCTTTGTTCTCTTTCTTTTCACTTTTGAAGAAACAGCTTTTGACCGTACCAAGGCTTTTGACGTTGGAAGACAACGACTTGTGGCAACTCAGGAATCTGCTCAAAAGCTATATGACGATAAAAAGGACGATCAGCAACACTCTTTAGACGCGAGCAAAGATGAGGTATCTGTTAAAGAATTTATGGGTTCTTCTGCCGATTCTTATAAACGTCTGACTTATTGGCAAAGGATTGCATTGATCACTCCTGCGACATCACTTTCTGGATGGGGTTTCCGACAATATTTTGTACGACTCGTCCAAACACTGCGCGTCTTCCTTTTTCCTGCAGTCATTTACTCAGGTATGCAATGGGGTGCTCAAAATGCTTGGCTTACTTTTTATTTAACTACAATGGAAGAAGATTGGATGGAAGCACCTTATAATTATGGTGATAATGCAGTAGCAATTATGAATGTCCCCCTTATTATTGGGGCCACTATTGGATGCATCTACGCTGGTTATTTGGGTGATTATATTACAATTTGGTTTGCTAAGCGTAATAAAGGTGTAAAGGAGGCCGAGATGCGACTTTGGATGATGATTCTTCCTTGTATCATCAACCCTTTAGGTCTGTTTCTATTTGGCATCGGGACAGCCCGTCACTGGCCTTGGGGACCAAGCTATGTTGGTCTAGGTTTTATTGGTTTCGGATGGGGTTGCGCTGGAGATACCGCGATGGCTTATTTGATGGATGCATACCCTGGAATGGTTTTGGAAGGCATGGTGGCTGTGTCTGTAATTAATAATACCTTTAGCTACATCTTTACATTTGCTTGCCAAAGTTGGATTAATAGCATTGGGACTGAAAAAACATACATCTCTATTGGTATTCTATGCTTCTTCTTTATCTTTACTTCCTTTTTCATGATTTTGTTAGGAAAAAGAATGCGCAAAATAACTGCTAAGCACTATTTTGCATTCCTTCGTGTTCGCAGCCTTTTGGATAATCAAAATACGGAACAAATTGTGGATCAAATCAATTCCTAATTCCCAGGATTATTTTGTATTTAGAATACGTTGTATGTGCTATTAGAAATAAATTGTTTGTTTGTTCATTCTTTTCAATTTTATAAACTATGTAAAGTTAGTCGAGGCAATGAAAGGAACGAATAAAGTAGAAACATATATACAATAATATATTTACTATATACAATATACATAAACTGTTCTATATTCTAAACCTTTTTAAAGTTGCTATAAACAATGTTGTTGTAAGTGTGAACCGTAATACCCCAAGAACCCTCTGTCTATAGATTAGTCAAGCGAATGAAGCAAAGTTTTGAACAATAAACAATGTCGAAGATGTTTCCTTTCTTTTTTGTTTTTTTTTTAGCGAATGCCAAGTTGAGTTGGCGTACAAACATACCTGATAGTCCGGATGTTTACACTTTAAAGAATATAAACACTAAACAAGGGAAAAGCTTCCCTGAGGTTGAACTCAAAAAGTCAATAAAACGCTTTTCACTTTCTCTCGGTTCATTAAGAAAAAGCACAAATGTATATAAACAAGTCATCTCGATCATTTAAATATTAAATTAAATTAAGGTTTTTTTTCGTTATATGTTCATTAGTCATTATATTCAACATCAAGAACGAGCCAAGGCAACGATCGTTATGCTTTGGCAAGGACGGTTTCTTCATGGTCATAAGGATTCCCATATCCAGCCTCAATACAAGCCTTAGCGAAGCGCTCGTCTTCGTCTTCAATGCAGGTTTGACTGATTTGAGGTAGAAAGAAAAAGGATAAAATAGCAACAAACATTGCCATTCCACTAGCAGCATAAAAATAGATTCGAATTTGATCTCCGCCAAAAGCGTATACACCAGCAATGGCACCACATTTTCCAATTGCAGCGGCAAGACCATAATAGATACCACGGATGGCAGTAGGTGAAGTCTTTGAAGCCATTAAACCAATGTTACCACCTGCGCCGTATTCACCCAATGACAAGAAGATACCATAAATAACACAGAAACCGGCAATACGATGTACCAATTGGTTGTAAAAGCCAGACATGAAGAAACCAATAGCACCTTGTAAGACTAAACCAGACACTAAGCACCACTTAGGACCAATAATATCGGAAAATATACAACCTAACCAAGAACCAGGAAGGTAAAATGAGTTAATAAGAGTATTCCATCCAAAGCTTTTCGCAGTAGATGCGTTTTGAGGAAGAATACCACTTACAATCGTACTAGAATACAAGCTAAATGCGTATGCAGATAAATCGTAGATGAACCATACGAGGGAAATCACGAGAAAGCGAATGCCGTATAGACGTAGGACGACAGACCATGGAATCTTGGAATAAGGAATTCTAGATTTCAAGTAAATACCATTTTCCTTCATTGGTAGGCGGAGAATAAGAAGTACAAGGGGAATGACACAACCTAAACCAATAGACATACGCCAAACTGCTCTAAGATGATGGTCGCCGAATATACAAACGAGAACATACGGAACGAAAGCACCTAAAACAAATCCCATGTCAATTGCAGAACCAGTTACAAAAATAAAAGAACCATGGCGTCTACCAGACTTCATTTGATTTGAGTTTTCGGAAGCAGCCACGGATCCACAAGGATATTCAGCGCCAAGGCCAATACCAAGGAAAAATCTATAAGCAATCATAGCAGAAAGCATGCCGTTGATGCTTCCATGGTAACCATAAGCGCCGGCACAAAGAGCGGTAGATACAAGAAGGATAAGAGTAGCAGTAATCATACCATTTTTACGACCAAAAAAATCAGAATACCAACCAAATGATAATTGACCGACAACAGTACCAACATATGCAACCATACCAATGTTTTGTAGCGCCTTGTTATTTGTTGTTTCCTTGGGATAAAGCTTCTTCAAAATCGTCATGACTGTACCAATAGAGTTAGAGCAATAGCCATCCGAAATTAAAGCAACACCGCAAACAAAAACTTCAAAGAATTTTTTCCATTCTTTGGTAGAATGGTTAGATCCCTTCTCTAGCTGCGACGAAGAATCGAAAACATCTTTTTTCTCGCTTTTTATATCTCCTTTTGAATTTATTGATATGGAACTTGAATCCGAGCTGTTCGTGCGAGAATTATCAAGTGATCTAGTATTAGGGACAGCTTCAGTTTCGACTTTTTTAAGAGAAGAAAAATTAGAATTCGAAGACATACTAATAACCGTACTAGAAAACGCTTAACGAAAGGAAGATTTAGCAGTAACCAATTGAATAAAAGATTAAGAAAAAATAAAATAACAACGGGATATTGAACCAGGGAATAATTCGCTAGAGCAATGAAAGGATATATAGAGTTAATAAAAGAGAATGCAATACGAAAATAAAAAGGAAACTCGTCTAAAACGCTTATAAGAATTAATTAATTAAACAAAATAAACAAACAAATAAAAGAAAAAGTTGTATAGCTCAGACCTGATTATAAGCTAAATTAATTACGGTCGGTCCCTTATGTTTGCTCCAGACAAAGTTAAGCATGGTTTTGGGGTTCTTATATGTTTTGCGACAATGACATAGGAGCGCTTGGAATGACATGGAACCCCCTCTCTTTTTTTTTTTTTTCAAATGCGTAATCTGAAAAGAAAAAATGGAAAACGTAAAAGGATTTTAAGTATTTCCGACGCTTTTTGATTGGCTCGCTTAAAAGTTCAGCTCCCTTTTTAAAAAAGGTTCGGGTTTGCGCGTAATTTCAAGCCGTCGCTTACCATTTTCTTAATCGGTAAGCAGAAAATTAATGACGTAATTGCAATTTTTTGAATTATGCCCACATAAATGCCGATTGTCGATCGGTATTTATGTATCGCAGGTTTAATTGCCAGCCGGTTTCCGTCTAGCCAACAGGAAAACATAAATATAAAAGAAGAAAATTGCATACACGAACGCCTGTAGGTGACTTAGCATATAGCGGGTTCTCTTGTTTTGTTTTTTTTTTTTTTTTTTTTTTTTTTAAATAAAGAAATTGTGAATTTTATATTCCTTATGTCATAAAAAAAAAAGAGAGCGAGACGAATGTGGTCGCTTAAATAGTAGTCAATTGAACTTTTTTCGACTCTTATGCAACAATTACCAAGAATAAGAGTTGGAAACGAATTAGATAAAAGTAAATAAAAGCAAATAGAAACGGTTTTTATTATTGAGGGAGGGGTGGATGTTATATAGCATGTTAATTTCTGTAGGTCCCGATTGACGAATACGAGTTGAAAACTATTAAAAGAATGGCAAATTTCTATCATACACAAACTGTCATAATTATATAAAAAAATAAAAATAAAAACAAAGATACTGTTTCTATTACCACTAAGATCTCTGTGAAGAGAGCAAAAACAAAACTCCCAAGGCGAGACTCGAACTCGCAACCTTCTGATGACCTTTTTAAGAGTCAGACGCTCTAAACCGATTGAGCTACCCGGGACTTGCTTGTTATTTTTTTATTAATTTACATGTTGGTAGTGAAAAGCTTTTACAAGTTTCACGGCAATGCTTATGGTCGCTTCCGTGCTTATCAATAATTCCATATCCTATGTCCGCAGAGTATAATATATTCTTTAAATACTTTTTATATAACCTGACAGTCTTTCACAAAATGTTCCCAGAATCACTCTGGTTACCTCTTTGGTAACGGTTTACCTTTTCGGATGGTTCTCTTTCATAAGAATAAATATGTTTATTTTTCGTATATCGTCAATCAAGGTTGTATGGTGTAATGGCTAGCACATGAGATTTTGATTCTCGAGACCTGGGTTCGATTCCCAGTACGACCTGATCTTATTATTGATTTTTAACCATGAAAAAGTCGTTAAAGCGTTTCACATTGCAGAAGAATACAATTGGTGGTGCGCTTGCAGTTGGATTGTTCTGCACAACAACAATCTTTATTATCTTATAGGAAAAGGTAGGAAAAAAACATCGTAATGGAGAGTAAGATATTTTCAATTGATCTACAAATATATTTGCTTTTTTATTCGGGAAATGTTAACTTAAGCGGTTCTGTATTCGTGAGCGTTACTGGCTTTTATCGTGAACATTTAGTTTCTATTCTCAATTCAGAAATTAACCAATCCAAATTTTTTTTTCGGATAACCGATCAGACTCTTTTTTTTTCTTACTTTGGCTCAAATACTTGAAGCCTTTTCTTTTTGCAAAGACTAAGCAGTATCAACTCTAAGTTTTAATTCAGTTTTATTTATCACGACCGTGAAATATTTAGCAATTTGCTTTTGTTGAAAGTCTTTGTACTCCAGCAGTAAAGTAGCCTCGTTTAGATAACTCTAATCACTATGATATCAACGTGCACAGTGTAAACAATTAAAAGATTCATAGCGGCACACTATTGACATCGCAAACTAGCATTCGGTCTTTTTTTTTTGTACCGTTCCTTTTTTTCCTTTTTTTTTTCTTTGAAAAGGTTCCTCTATCTTTCAAACAAATACTTGCACTCGAATCCTTGAAATCTATTCGACCTGTGTGTAGTTTTTGCGACGCTACTGAGCAGGAAAAATGACCAGAGACTTTATAAATTGAGAACTGCATCTGTTTGAATATCCAAAAACATTCAAAACGAAAACCGCCAACTATGTATTCCCTCTCGTTTATCGTTGAATCTTGCTTCAATTTATCAAGTGTCTTCTTTTTATTATGAGCTATTTCTTCTTTCCTTTTGTTTTCATTTCATGATCCTTCTCTGTAAATACTTGTCCGTTTTAGGTCTCTCCTTCTTGTTTATTAGCGATCGCCATCTGTAGTATAACAAAACGAAACGTACTGGCAAATTGTGGTTCATAATACGCAATGGCAACCTTATCCCGAGGTTTCGACATAACTGAGTTAGCGTATTTCTTGGCACATTTCTTTGCTCATCCCTTCCTTTTGCACTTTACTCTTTCCCTATCCCAATCCTAATCCCACACTACTCAAATACATTCCTGGACTTTACTCCTAAACGGCAGGATTCTTATTCTTTTACTGTTTCACATTAACAATTGTCATTTTTATAGCGATTCCTTTGAATTGCTTATGAATTGATTTGATTACCTTCTAGAGTCCGTTTCATAGAAATTTGCCTCCATCCTCATTTGCTCCGTGTCCAATACAACAATTTGGATCTTAAATTTGCTTTTCCTTCACAAATAAACTCATCGAGTTTCTCTACTTTTCTCGTATTGAATCCAATTCGTTTGCTTCCTTCTTTCTACTTTTGTTTCCATTTGTTTTACCGTTTCCGTTGCTTCAAGTTTGTTCGCCTCAAAGCTTTGATAATTTTACATACTTGCTCCTTTAATCTTTGCTTATTAGCTCTTCTCAACGTCTCCATGTTACTCCAAATTATCTCCGGTAGAATTTCCTACACAATAGATATTCATCCTGATACTCCAATCGGGGAAATTTTTGACCTTTTATCCCGCCAAGGAATCCTTCCCGATAATGCAAAACTGCTTTACAGTTTCTATTACCATGGTGCTCCTCTCAGTATGATATTGACTTGTAAAGATTATGGAATTTCTCAAGATTCTGTCATTTGCCTTTCCCCTTTGTCTTCATCCTCTCTGGACCGCTCTGTTTTTGAAGACACTTCTCCCGTGTCGTTTTACCTAAGCGTGGAACCTATGAATCCTTCGCAATCCTCTTCCATATCCGCTTCAGCATATACGACTGCTATTCCTCCTTCAGCATCTTATGAATCAAATTCCGTCAAGCCAGCTGCTTCTCCCTCTTCCTCCCACTCCTTCCGAAGACGCTGTTCGCATCCTACTTGTACCAAGATGACGCTTCGCTTGACTGGTCACTGCTTGCACTGTGACTTGGGTTATTGCGCTGCCCATCGACTTATGGAAGATCATGATTGCAGTGCTCTTAAGAACTTACGGAAAGAAGAGCATGAAAGGAATCGTTTAAAACTCGAGAAAGAACACTGTGATGGTTTAATTAGTAAAGTATAAGTTGGACTCATAATTCTGCTTTCACTGCCAAGTCAGATTCTTCTTACCCGCAATGATGGATCTTTGCTTCGTGCTTTTTGTTTACAGCTTCTTGATCCCTAAATCTTGTTGAACAAGTATATGATTAATGAAAAATTTAATTCTTTTAATGAACTTTCAGTAATATAATCCTAGTGTTTATTTATTGTCCTAATATTTTTATGATCGGTTGTCTTCGTGTCTGCGTCCACGGCTTTTCTGAGTTAGCCCTTGCTTCTACTTTTTCTGCTTTTAAATTTATTTCTATTATAATTCCTTTTTGCTTCTGATTTCTAGCAGCATACCTTAACCGTACTTTTTATCACCTTGCTTTGTCTCTATGCTCTCGAGTCAAAAAAACGACTTTTGTTTAAAACGAGTTTCTTTTGTTTGTGTATTCAATTTTCCTGTTTCATTCCTCTTTTCTTTGACACATATCTACATGGACGAAACATATATGTTTCTTATTATCATAGTCCGCATTCCATACTTCAGAGAACAAAATACAAACGACTTTTTTAGTTGGTTCAACAGTTGCCAATTTCCATTCTTATATTCCCAACATTCTAAGTACTTGGAAAGTTGCTGTTTTCCTTTAAGGTATTTTCAACAATAGAACAGATTGTTTCCATAGTTCTGAATAAATATTCAATCAGACAATTGAATACATGTATGAATCAATGATTCCTCCCTCCTTGCAATTTTTTATTTTTCTCTTCTCTTTATATCTCTATTTACAAGTAATTAACGTACCATCATAAATATTCTCAACTGAACAAAACAAGGCGAACATAAATAATAGGAGAATTCATCAATATTCTTGCTTATAACTATTAGATTGTAAGATTGTCAATTTGTTTTTATTTTACAATTGCTTGTTACTAATTTTACTTTTTATTTAGTTGTTTTAAAAATTTTTTTGGGACTTTTGGAACCGGTCATTACAATCGGAAATAAATTGGATTTATTAAAGTTTTCTTTTTTTTTCAATCGTTATTAATAGAAATAAAAGCAATGGAAACGAACTCTGCAAAAGATGCTGTCTTTGTGGCTTCTGAAAGACCCAAAGAAATGGATGTGATTGTTGAAGGCCCTGATTTCAGTCACTACGACGAGCGAAAGCAAAAAGGTGGATCTGGAATTACTGTTGAGGAGTTGATGCAATCATATGCGAAGATGGGATTTCAAGCTACGCACCTTAGCCAAGCAATTGAAATTATCAACGAAATGGTAAGGAGTGGAATTTATTTTTTTCATTTCTTCTCATAAGACTAACCTAGCCTTAGAAAGATTGGCGTGATCCTAATCCTCCAGAGGGAAAGAGCGACAAGGCTACCATTTTTCTGGGCTATACTAGTAACCTAATCTCGTCCGGCATTCGTGAAATTCTACGTTATTTGGTGCAACACAAATGTGTAGATGTTCTTGTAACAACTGCAGGAGGTGTAGAAGAAGATTTGATTAAGTGTCTCGGTCCTACTTATATTGGTGACTTCCACTTGGAAGGAAAAAACCTTCGTGAAAAAGGTTTGAACCGTATTGGCAATCTCATCGTGCCAAACGATAACTATTGTCGCTTTGAAGAATGGCTCATGCCTATTCTTGACAAGATGGTAGAAGAGCAAGAGACTCTTGGTACGCATTGGACTCCTTCCTCATTCATACATCGTCTTGGTAAGGAAATTAATGACGAACGAAGCGTCTACTATTGGGCTTATAAGAATAATATTCCAGTCTATTGTCCTGCTTTGACAGATGGTTCAATCGGTGATATGCTTTACTTTCATACCTACAAGGCCGATCCCCGCCCTATTAACCTTGATATTGTGGCCGATATCCGCAATGTCAATTCACATGCTGTGCGTGCTAACAAGACGGGTATCATCATCCTTGGAGGTGGTATTGTAAAACATCATATATGCAATGCAAACTTGATGCGTAATGGTGCTGACTGGAGCGTATACATAAACTCTGCGAATGAATTCGATGGTAGTGATGCTGGTGCACGTCCTGATGAGGCTGTCAGTTGGGGAAAAATCCGCTCTGATGCCAAAAGAGTGAAGGTAAGCTTCCTGTTCTATACTATTATATCTAACTCAAATCTAGGTTTATGGTGAAGTAAGCCTTCTCTTCCCCCTAATCGTCGCTTCTACATTTGCTAACTAAAGCGCTTTATCGTTAATTTCTTCTTTATATCTGATACCTGTTTTTCATATAAGCCAAGGAAATTAACTAAAAAGGATTCTTTTAATACAAGTACAAAACAGGAAGGGTTTTTTTCGAATATCTTTATAATAACTTTCTAGGAGTCTAAGGGTTTTTCTAATTAGTCTTTCTACACTGCTAGATATTCATACCACTTATGTAATTTTCCTTCTCCCCAGTATCCTTCATAGAACAGCTAAATAATCTATTGCAATTATTTTTTTGTTAGATAAACTGTCAACCTTGGATCCAAATTTTTACTGTAGATCTTCCAAATGCGTCTAGTTGTAACGTTCTACGAACAATCCTCATGAGTTTGACTTGAATAAATTGCAAACTAAAACAGATTTCAAAAATTCCTTTCAGTTAATACAGAGCACTTCATTTGACAAGTTCAGCTGCTAGCACGGTACCCATTTCCAGCACTTCCATACCTTAAAAAACGATACTAAACCTTCTAAGAAGGGATCCTTGTCATAATATAGTAGGTCTACAGAGAAAATAAATCACTAGTGAACGAATACCACGTACATTTATTTCCTGTTCACTTATCTTCCAAACTGACAACTCGAAACAGTGTTCCATCATTTCTGTTCGTTAGCTTTAATTTATGTTCATTCAGTTTGCACAACTTGCAAAAAGATCACGTTTTATAAAGCCTGTAATGAATCCTAAACCTTCACAATCTTACCTTGAAAAAGTGAAAGACAAAGGTATAGAAACGGACGACAGGAAACTTCTTGTTTTAGATCTAAATGGAACGCTTTTAAGTAGACCCTTAAAAGACCGTTCGCATTCGTCCGTGAGCAGTGCTTCTTCCAATGCCGTTCCACGCCCTGGAGTGAAAAACTTTTTAAAGTATGCATTTACAAACTACTCTGTTATGGTTTATAGCTCTTCTAGACGAAATAATGTTGAAGCGATGTTAAACTGTATCATGAATCCTGAGCAAGTCAAATCTCTTACGGCCTGCTGGACTCGCGAAAGTATGGGTTTAAGCACAGCACATTTCAATACGAAAGTGCAAACATTTAAAAACTTGGATGCGATTTGGGAAAACCTTCACCAAGACCGCGATGGACAAGCTGTTAATTGGTGCCAGTATAACACAGTCATTATTGATGACTCTGAAGTTAAGTGCGCTGCTCATCCCTTTAATCATATCCATGTTTCGGACTTTGCTCACTCAACAGTTGATTTTCAAAAGGATTTTGATTTGGTTTGTGCCATTCGCTACCTCAAACACTTGAAGAACATGTCCAATGTCAGCAACTACATTTCCCAGCATCCTTTCCGTGTGGATCATAATCTATCGCAGGATGAGAATCTGAAATATTTAGATCAAGCTTTTGAAGAACACAACAAAAATGTCAGTACCGCTTAAGCAAGCGGAAGGATTGAACCAACTATGAACCTAAGTTATCTATTTCTCTTTCACTATCATCACCAGATATATTTTTATATTTTTCTTTTTCAAAAATTTGTTATATTTATTAAGATAACATATCTACAATAATTGAAGATTGATGCATATATCTTACCAATTAAATCATACAAGAATGTACTTTTTAAGCATAACATCATTTCTTAGGCCCTTATAGGACGCTCGTTCATTTTCGTAGGACGGCGTATTTTTTTACGCTTTCCTTCTTCAAACAACGCAACTTGTTTCAAGTCTCTTCCGAATGTATCAGGCTTCTTCACCTTATATAAACGGACAAGATGATGCATTGAAGTAAAAGCTTCTTCGATCGTATAGAGTTGTGGATCCTTAGATGGTAATCTTTGATTTCTGCTGCGGTCAAAACCTTGGCCAGGAGGGAACAACTTCCATGCTCCATGGTAAGACATCTTGTACATTAACGATTCGCGCATAGTTGGAGTTGCGGCATCGTCAGTACGATATTCACCATTCGGAGTGAAGAAGTTGCGTTCAATAATCTCATCAGGCCATATGCCTTGCGAAATACGAATCATCCACAAAAACTTGTTCATATCATCACTGCTGAAACCGAGAGTACCGCCATAGATAATTAAAATGTAGTCAACATCGTGCTTACGGAGAAGGGGATAAGCAGCTTCCTCGTTCGAGGACATGGCCTTACCGACGGTAGCGATGTGAGTGTTATTCCAAGTATTGTTGTCAACAAGGGTTACACGGTCAGCCATACCAGCAATTTGGTAACCATAATCCCACCAACTCATAACCTTGGCATCATTGGGAGTATTACGGCGCAACCAGTCGTAAACCTCACGGAAGTCATCAATATACATCAAACTACCATCGTTCAAAACAGTAGACAAAACTACGGTAGGAGAAGAATAAGCGTTTGAAGTCACCCAACTTGAGTGGTAGACAAAAAGAATGAGGAAATATGCGACGGAACCAAGAACCATGATTCTAGGGAGCATGTTATAAATACCAATATCTGAAGTGCCCGATACGAAATACTGGAAAACTCCACGTCTAGTCTTAGTGGCTTTACCAGAAGGTACAGATTCCTCAGTATCTTCAGCATCAGGACCAACATAGGTATCTATAAGCGTTGAGATGGCTACGGCAGCAGCGATACACACGCAAGGAGTAAGGGTCAAAATTAAACGAACCATGACACCACAGAAATAAGTACCCATTACAGCGTAAATAATGATGAATACATGTTCGTTGCGAAGCTCCTTAAAGCAAAGATAGACACCAACAGGCAACAGCCAAATTAGCAATTGAAGGTCGAAGAATAAAGAACTCCAAGTAGGAGGCTGGTGTTCAGAGACAGAAGCAATGATGGGGATGTGAATTTTGGCATAGTTGGTATCCCAAAGGGAGTAAAAACGACCAGTCCAAGGGGCAATGACACCGGAAGAAGAGAGGACGAAAAGACCGGCAAAAGCACCTGCCACCAAAGCACCTAAGGCTAAGCGGAGCAAAACTCGAAATTGTTGGGAAGAGACAAGACCTTTTACATAATGATAGAACGCAAAGAGCTGGACCAATCCGAAAACTCCCATGGCAGACATGTGCTCACTAGTAGAGACAGGTTGAAAGCCAACAAAAGGTACTTGCATGGAGGACAAAAGACCAATAACGTAATAAGATGTGTAAGCAATGTAAAGCTTGGAGGTGTAGCGGCCCATTAACAGTAATACAAAGACATGCAAAGGAATCATATTGGTAATGAATACATAACCACCCCAGGCAGTGACCATGTAAAAGTACAACAAGCCAGTGCAGGCCCCCCAGAAAGAAGCCCCAGTCTTAACAGCCTTGATCCATAAGGCAAACGTAGACATGAGAAGTGTAATAGCAATAGCCTCGTTATCATATGAGCCAGCAACGGAGCGTGATGTATAACCCGGTGCAATACCCATGAAAGCGGCAGCCAAAAGACCACACGCATCGTTTTTCAGCTCTCTTGCAAGATAATATGTAGCGATGGCTGTGAGTCCAGAAAATGCAGGGGCTAGCAATACGCAAATATCACGAATATCAACGTTGATTTTAAGGAAGTGCATCACCTTGTAAATGATACCAGAAGTTACCATAAGGCCAGGGTACAGGGTACCACCAGCGACACGACCTAGAGGATACCAACTGCGTTCATCAAACCAGTTAAGAAAGTTGTAAAAGCCTTGTTCCACCAACACTTTCGTCGCACGGAAATTAAACCAAGGATCGAATTCATGAATAATTGATTCATAACGAATAACAGAAAATAATCTAGAGCAGACAGATGTAACTAATTGCGTTTTTGTTAGTAGATACATTCTTCGTGAAATCTAGCCAGCATCGACTTACCGACAATGCAGAAAAGAATGAGGATTTTCAGAGGAATCTTCCAGTCCTTTTCATGTGAGTTTACCACCTTTTTCGTGGAAGTCTTAGCAGATTCACCCATATCTAACCTGCTATGTATCCAACTGTGTGTTTGGCTCTCGTTTGGTGTAATGAGCCTAGGGTCTGAAGGAGAAGTAACGAAAGGCTTTGCTAACTGAATCCTAATAAACTTCAGTTTTTTTCTTTATTTAATTGTATTTTTTTAAAAAATCTTGTTATTGCTGTTTAATGCTCGGTTTGTAGATTCTTATTCCTATGGTCTGCAACCTATTACGAAAAAAATTGGGTAAAGTAGGACCATTATGGAGGAATACAATTCTTTCTCTCCCTTTCAATTTTATGAGTGAGTGAAAAACGAGACATGAAGCTGAGATGTTTGCGTTTACATATCGCCATCAAGCTTTTGAAAGGACCGTATCCCTTGACTACCTGACTCCTTTATCTTTAACAAATTCAGTACAACTAATAATAAGGAATCACCGTTAATCAAGCTTTTTTCGAAAGCTTTGCTTGTATAAATTCAAGGATGAATGACTAGAACATGTGTCAAGTCAACAAGCCCAATGAACAGAAGTAAAACATTTTCACAGAACGAAAGTCAAAAGCGGCCGGTCAAACGAGTGCTAGCTGTCGTGTCTGTACTGTCATTCTCCTTTTATATAAATATTAAGGAGGTAACTTCTCGCTCATAGGAATGTTTTCTTTCATGCGTGTCTCCTTAATCTTTCACAATTCTGCTTTGAAAGACTACATGCTTGTCCTGCTGTCAATTGATCTTTATTTCCCTTGTTTCCAAGTGTTTATTATTTCATTCTAAGGGAGCGTCTTTTTTCATGAATCTATTTCATGCGGAACTATTTCATACTATGATCACTTCTTCTAAATGATAATTATAATTTTCTTACTTCTTCAGCAAGACCAGACGGGGTCATCGATATTCAAATAAACAACGGTGATACGGTTTCCAACACTCAATGAATTCTTTTGGATTGCCCCACGTATGCTCACCTCCATCGCTGAATCCTATTGACTTCTTCTTATTCGTTTTCGGGACTACGATTCAAAGAGTCTCTCGAGGCCGAACTTTCTGGGTGAGATTTCTCGTCTCTAGTGCTTATATTCTATTGTTTTTCCTTTTGTAAAAAAAAGGTGTTTTTTTTTACGAAGGGCATGAAAGTGAATGAACTCTAGTGCCTTATTCATGACCCTGATCCAACCGATTGATTGTAGAGACACATGGTTCTTTTTTATATACTTTAGTACATAAAGTATGGAATCATGAATTGAAATTTCTTTATTATAACATTTTAATTGACTGAAAGCATATCATAATCACATAGTCGCTTTACAATTATCGTCCACTTTTTGGAATCTATCGACAAAGTTGGAAATCATTAATAAGTATTCAAAACAATTTTAAAAGTAAATCGAAGAAAAAATTATGTAAGCAACTAAAAGGCAACAGCTGAAACCCATAGAAATAGAAACAAAAAATATGACCTTTCTATATTGAATCCCCCTATCGTACAAAAAGAAAAAGAAAAGAATCCGTGACACATAGCAAAATCTATAGTACTTTCGACATCAATAAAATCCATGGCAAAAACGAGCGAAGTTCTGTGGTGTAAATTAAAAGAAGTAAAAACGAAACAAAAAAGGAAGCAACTTATTCACCAAAAATTAAAGAAATAAATTATACAAAAATTAGTTAGATAATTATCCTTAAACAAAACGCGAGTCAACATCAGAATAAGTAGGAACAATATGGCTTTGCTCTGGAATAGAGTGTTCAGGTCTACCCAGAGAAATGTATTCTTGATTAGCATGATGAAGCATGATAAGTGGATTCTGAACAGGATTCAACGAAGCGCTTGCATCTAGTAAATTAGCAGACGGATGATGAGACGTCTGAGGGAATCGACCCATGTAGTTATTAGACATGGCATATTGAGCTGAATTCTCTTCGGGCAAAGTTGATTGTTGGGAAGAGGCTAACTGAGCTGGTGAATGTATGATATCATTGGAAGGCAACATTGGTTGATACTGAACAGAAGAATAATTCTGCATCGGCATCGCATGCTGAGCGTGATGGTTTGGGCTTGCCATATGTTCTTGAATATAGGCGTTCGGAGGAGGCAAAGAGTGGTGAGGGGCGGCCGCATTCGGTATGGTAAGCATTGGTAGATAACTAGAGCCGCGATGACTTTCACCAATTTGATATTGGATAGAATTCAGCATTTCCTCGGAAGGCTTAACTTCTTTGTCTATAGGCTCTAAAAAGGGTTCACGGATAGAGGATTCTGGTACCTCTAAGCGAGGTGGCCTAAGATTCGGAGACTTTGAGGCTTGGAATTGAGGTCCCCCAATGAAGGAAGAGGGCATGGAAGCTTTGTGCTCAGAAGCCGCTGCCAGCATCGGAGAATGAGATAGAGGAGGTTGATGAGATGGATGTAAAGGGTGTCCTTCCTCAGAGGTAGGCACATATGGTTGAGAAAAACTCGATTTACGATTTTCTGGAGAATCCCCTATATAGTTTGCATAGATAGAAGGCATAGGAGGGTTCACAGGATGGGTAGACATATGCTCTCCAGCCGCTTCAACAGGACTAGAAGGAATATGGCAATGTGCTTGTTGCGGAAAACTTGAAAGAGGAGGGAGTGAAGAGGAGGAAGGAAAAGAAGAATACGGAGGAAGAGACACAACATTCATAGCTGAAACGGACTGCTGATTAGAATGTGCTTGTTCTGGATAAGAGGGTACAGATAAATGATTTGAATAATACGGGTTTGACGGAGGCAAGCGAGAAGAGGGATAGGAGGAACTGGAATCTGTAGTAGTAATCGAGGGATCCGAGAGGTTTTCTGACGGCACGTGAGGAACCGGAGCAGGAGCTAAAGAAGAAGAATAGTTTTGATTTTGAGGAGGGTAATTTATACTATGTGGCTGGCTCGATTGGTTTTTTGAATGAAACAAGAAAGGAAGGGGAGTATGGGGGGGAGGAGGTGGCGGTGTAGGCAAATGGTGAGGAAAAGAGAACTGAGAAGGATGAAGAGGGCCTGGAGGATGAAAAACAGAAGGGTTCTGCAAGTAAGGTAGAGAAGGAATTGAAGCACCATTGGAAGGATGATGAGAAGACGACGAAGGGTCTGGAGCAGCAGGATAATTAGAAGAGTAAGAAGGAATCATCGGTAATGGGTGAGGATGAGCATTGGATGGGGAAGAAGCAATGGCGGAAGAGTGCGAATCAAGGACCGTTCGCGAGGGAGGCCTTGTTTCAGATAAAGACACCGAGTTAGGATGAGAAGAAGAAGAAGAAGGAGGAGATGCTTCTGCAGAGAGAAGAGAGGAATGAGCGAGTAAAGGGATGTTTTGTTGCTCTTGGGACTGGGATTGGGGAGCGGAAGAAAGAGGATTTGAAAAATGTTGTTGGGATAAATGGAGTGCCGATGGTGATGATGAAGTAAGATGATGATGAAAGTCAGGTGAGTCTTGAGCTTTGCTAATAGCTCGCTTTAAAGAAAGGCGCTTCCGACGATAATGAAGCGCACGCTTTGAAAGACGTAATCCAAAATTGGCTTCTATTTGCGCAAGGGAATCTTTATCGCTTTGCCTTGCATAGAACAGTTGAGCAACTAGTTCATCGAGGGCTTTCGAAACATCTCCCGTAGCCGTTCGAGCAGCTGCTTCTTCCGTCCGGGGCGAGATAAATCGTTGCCGGTGTATATGAATCCCCCATCTAGCGAGCACACGCTTGTAAGAGCGTACACTAAACGACATAAAGTTAGTAATAGCTTGGAGAGAAAAACATTGTTGACACGACATAAGACATATTTGTATACACACACAGACACATTCTCTCTCTGTCGCTATGGATCACTCAAGTTCGCTCTTTCAAAAAGAAACAGAAAAGCAGAAACCATGAAAAACAACAATAAACGTGATTTCTTAAATTAATTTGAGTGCTTCTTTTTTTCCATGCGAGAGGACCAATATCCTTGATAAGTATATTGCTGTTTTTTTTTTTTGAATGGTTAAATGTCATGTTTCTAAAATTCTTCTTTCTCTATTTTAGCCGTGTCGTTCGCTTGTTTTTTCATCACAAACGAACATCATCATATGTAAAGGAGTATCAACAAATGTTTTTCAACCTACCTAGCGTCGAAATTATATAACTTCGACATCCGTGCCTGCAACTCGCGAACCGTCATCCCATGAACTTTGGAAAGTTCGACAATTTGTTCTCTTCGACAATCCCATTCTTTCGTCATTGAGAATGAAGTTTTCGGTTGTCTTAGAGAATGTTTTGATGGAGTTGGGTGTAGCCAAAACAAAATGGTCACAGTTACTCGGTGTATGTAGTGTGTGTGTTGGTTTTATTGCAGAACTGACAAAACCTTCTTTGGATTATATAATAATTTATGTAATAATATAATATGGTAAAGATTAAACTTAGTAAAAGAAGCGAGAGATCCTATTCTTAAATAAAACTACTTTTAATTTACCTTTGTTTTTTTTTTTATTCAAAAATTGATGAGTTTGCCCTGATTACTATTTCATAGTATTGTAGTTGGAAAAGTTGAAAATTATGACTCTTTCAATTGCTGGACGGCTTTCATGTCTCCACATGGACGGTGTTCTTTGTCCTAAATTACTGTAGGGATCGTTGCACTTAGATGAGGTTCCTTATGAATTAGTAAGAACCCACCTTACTTGGGAATTTGGTATGGAATAGGAGAAAAGGATCGACGTAAATAAAAAAAGGAACAAGAAAGTGAATAAGCGAAATGTAAAAGACTTATATGAATTCTCTCCCCTTTCTTTCCTTCTTCAATTCATTCTCTAATTTGGTTTGCCTTACTGAAACGAGCGTCTTCAACGATTAATGAAGTGATAAATTCTTGTCATGCACACGATAGACTAGAGTAGTTATTTATTGACTACAATCGTTTCTCTTAATCACTTTCTAAGCTATTTTTTCTACCATAGATTGTCGTAAATGTCATTATCTATCCATGATGATCATAAAGAGTAGAAATTACACATTTCAGAAATCATAATCATATCCATCTCTTTCTTTTCAAAAAAATAGAGAAGAGAAAAAGTTAGCATCTTCAACTTTTCAAGTGTCTTTCATTATATCCACATAGCGTTTACTCGTCTTTCCTTTTCCACGACGTCCTGTCGCCGGAGGAGGAACAGAATGTAATATGTCTTCCAAAGGATCAACGTTCGCCGCCCTGGCACCTGGAGCTGCGCGAGTGGTGGGAGGGATAGGCGCAACGCTCGGTAAACCAGGCGAATTACTAGGTCCCCTAGTTGGCGGTAATCCCGTACTTACAGGCGGATTGGCACTGGCACCTATTACAGTTGGATTAGGATTGTTTGGAGGTGATATCTCATCAGTAACCTTCATTGGTATAGGCATGCTTGGAGGTGGATTATTCATAAGCTTGGTTGGATTGACTTTCGGAGGAGGAGGTGGTGGTGCCACTTGGTTGTTCAACTCAGAGCCATCTTCATTCACCCATCGTCGTAAGTCTTTGTCATATCGCAAATGTGATCTTTCTCCTAACTTCGCTTGGTAAACTGAGGCTTGCTCCTTGTTATCGTCCCTTCGTAATAACTTGGAAAACCATCCTTTTCTATTACCTTTCCTCTCCGAAGCTGCTGCTTTCTCCCTTGCCTTTTCCTCTTCTTCGCGTTTCACGAGCTCCGCAACATTTTGCGCTGCTGCTCGTTTGGCTTGCTCGCTTCGACCAGAATCAAAACTTAAATCCTGCATTGATGTAGTCAATGCTTCCATCGGATGCTTTTCATTCTCGGCTTCCGGAACCTTCGGTACATATGCGCTTGTATTTAGTGGAGCATATTGTGATGCCTCGTGCGTCTGTCCTATAGGAGCATACTGAGAAGGTGCATATTGGGGCTTAACGGGAGCTGTAGGGATTTCCGGAACCGGAGCTTTGTATCGATACGGACTCTCCAAAGGCTCTCCTTCCATACCGGTGTCATATCCTTCTTCGACAGAAGTACGCGGCAACCAAACATTTTGAGTCGTAGAAGATGATGTGGGTGGAGCATATTGTGCTCGAGAAGATGCATCACCATAAATCGTTGGCTGTTTATACCCAACTTGAGCTTGCATTTGCCTGGGTGAAGACATTTGAGAATCCGTAGCCAAATTAAAGTTGGATAAATTGTCCTGGTATCCTTGGAAAGCTGGGGTCGGCACGTAAGCAGGTTCGCTGCTTAATCCAGCAGGATCAAATCTATTCATATATGGTGCATTTCCTTGGCTGACACCATAGTTGATACCCGTATCAGTAGGATTCGGCACTCCAGATGAAATAGGTCGATTGTCATACTTACTTCCATTTCCCATTGAAGACCCAGTACGTGAAGTTGCTTCTTGATGAGCAGCAACCTTCCCAAAAGGACCATTATTCGCAGTTGCTGGGCGTGAAATCTCATAATCATTCTCTCCAGCAACAAACTTGCTGAATTTACTACCCAATGAAGAAAGCACATTATCCAAACGCGGCCTTGAGACAGTTCTACCCAACCATGAAGTAGTAACGTCATCATTGGCATTATTTTCAAATATTTGTTGTGTTAAATCTCTTACAGCGAATATGAAGTCTGGATCCAAATTCGATTGCTTCTTTGACGCCTTGTTCAAGTAAGTCCCGATTAATTCACAATATTTCTTTGCTGTTTGCATTTGGCCTATTTCGGATAGTGTAGTAGCAAGGTAAAGTCGATAATTCATCAAATGAGGATACGTAACGACACCTCGTTCAGTGTGAAGACTATAGATTAAAGCCAAAACTTCAGTTAACTGAACGCTATCTAATAACTCATCATGAGTGGGCAAAGTTCCATCCTTAGGGAGACCAACTAAATGGAATAAAGATTGAGAATGCTGGGAGCAGATTTCAGGAGAAAATGTGAACATAAACACCATATGAGCAGCATAAATCCGGTTCTCTTGTAGGAGCAGCTTGCCGAGCTCAATTAATGCATTATTCTTATCTTTATATTGATTGCAGATTATATTAGCTACCAGCTCTTTCCAAGAGGCCAATGCATTCGTAGTTCTTGATTGCATTGACAGATTTAATAGAGAAGATGTACTCGAGAACTCGGACATTGATGTGGCATCAACACCAGACAATAACTGTAGCGCTAATTGAAGATTTATGCCAACGCCTGATCTAAGCATTTCTGTTTTAACTTCAGACTTCGTAAAACTCCTCACTGTGCTTTCTAAAACCTTTGGTCCTAATGCAAATGAAATTATTAAAGCAAAGCTCCATTGTTTCTCTTGAAGAGCAAAATTAAGCGCTTCCTCCTTGTCACCAATAAGTAAATAATCGTAAACGCGCTCCAAAAAAGAAACTGTAGTATCCCTCGTTGATACCACCGGAGAACTATCAACGTTTCTCTCCGGGTTTATTAATTCCTGTACGGTTGTTGCCGTATTACAAGGAGGAGGCTTTTCAAACCCGGATACGAGGATCTTAACTAGATTCTCTGGGAATGTCGACATATCTGGTATACTTAGAAGAAGCTCCATAGACTGCAGCAATAACAGTTTGTCTTCACTTTGGGATGTATCACCAGGAGATGAATAAGTCATCTCTAAGTTTAAATTCTCTATATATTTAGAGATCCATTCCTTTGCCGCACTCTTTGCATTTTTGTCGAGTTTATCACCAGAACCTATAAACGGGCCAGGAAAGTTACTAACATGATCATAATCCTGAGGTAGTAAGTCTGTCAGGCTTTGAAGTTTCAAAAGCCCGGGTTGATAACTATCCCTTCTTCCATTTGCGGAGTAAAGCTGGCTTGAAATAGGGAAAGAAGTTATCACTGTTCCACAAGGTCCAAATGTTATAATGGGCTTTGGTTTTGACCTAACCAAATCTATTTGCTGTTGTAGCATTTCATTAGATGATACCAGGTTGCTTTCGGACTTAGAAGCAGCAATGTTGGGTGATACAGGAACGGATGCAGCGATGGGAGACCGTAATTCTAAAGGATAAGGGGAGGGTTTTGAATACGGATGAGCTGAGTGGGCACTCAGGTAATCGTTTCCAACCCGAGTTTCTATTGACAACGGATTAGCATTCCCAGTCAATCTGTTGTCTTGTTGCACGTCAAGAAAATTCATACTTTCGCTTTCATGAGGTGGTTTGGCAGGCAAAGAAACTGTGGCGGGTCGATCCGGTATAGTTTCAGTATGAAAAAGTACTGGGCTTCTTGTACGAGAAACAGGACGTTGGATAGGAGGAAGAGTGGTTCCAGGGGTATCTGAAGGAAAAATATGCTCCGCATTGTATCCTCGATTAAGTGAAGGAATCGTTGTGTTGATTGATGTATCATGTGTTGCAGTATAAGAAGAAACTTTAGTAAGGGGCAATGGCGGTGCCGTACTTCCTCGAATTGATTGTATTTCATTACCGTTCACAAATGACGAAACACCTTCGGAGGGAAGCATGGGAGACTGCAAGTTCGGAACACTAGGATATGCTCTTCCAAGTGTTGATGACGGAGAATAGCCCGCTTTAGTCTGAAATCCAGTAGGTGGGTCATAACGGACACCGGAACCATCAAGCACAGATGTTTGTGTTTGTTTTCTTTGGGTTCCAAATGGAGGAGTATTGGGAATCGAAGCCATCGGCTTCTTGGGTTCAATTGGAGTATAAGAAACCGATGCACGAGGTAATTGTTGAACATGGGGGGATTCATTAGGAGATATAATAGGAGCATACGAAGATCGCATATTCTTTTGGGATGTCGGAGGCTTTGTTTCGAAGGTTTTTATTCCTTGTAAGGAGGCCATTGGAGCAGTCGAAGGCTTTATACTAGACAAATCAGAGGTATACCTTCCGCTCCCATACGGGCCATCACTCGCCCTCGCCGTTTGGTTGACAAAAGGATGCGCTGATACGGTAGCAGGGCGATCTTTAATATCAGGAGGCACCGGAAGTATGTTAGGAGGTTGTCTGGTTATAGTAGGTGGAGCTAAAGTTTCTGACGACAAAGGAGGAGCATTGAATCCTTGAACGTTATCTACCGTAGAAGACGAAGTTTTTGAAGCAGATATTTGAGCGGCTTTTCGCGCAGAAGTATAAGATGCAGATCGCTTTTGCTGAGCTTGTTGAACGATTTCTTCGGGAAGATCATAAGGTGAGCTATAACCTTCTTTGGAAGCAACAAAAGGTTTATAATTTTGAGAGGTTGGACGCCTTATGGTTTCCAGAGGAGATAACGACGCTGCTGGTAAGGGTTTGGTTTGTTTGGGAATATATGCTGAAGAAGAAGGTTGAGCAGCTGGTTTCAAGAAATTATTCATCAATGAAGAAAACTCGGAATCATCTATCAGTTCATTATAATTCGTATCATCGATTTTCTTTTCTTCTGACAAGTTTCCTAAGGATGTATCGTTGTTGGCAAATTGATTAAATAAGATCGTATCCTCGTCAGCAGTAGGTTGATTAAAGGAGGAGAAAGTTTCTAAGGAAGGAGCAGCATCGCGGTTCTTTGGTTGCTTGGAGGGAGTTTGTTCATGGGGTTGTAAAACCTCATAAAAGAATTTCTCCTCTTCTTCAGGATTATTCTGAAAAAGGTCCGTAGTTTCTTCCACAGTCGGATTGGAAGTTACCATCTTGGGTTCTTCATAGGAATTATCATGAAGAGTAGGATTCTCCTGTTTTGTTTCATCGACTGCTCCAGATATTGATTCAAAAGGTTGTTCACGAGTATTTTCGGTTGAACTGGGTTGGATATCATCAGTAAAGACATGAGTTGTTTCCTTGTCAAAACCACTTTCTCTAAACGGCTGATTCTTTGGAACGATTGATTCTTGATTCCGATATTCCATTTCTAAGTGTTTCGAAGATGATGATAAAACTGTTTCTGTAGACGCAGAAACAGGATGGTCATACTCTGCTTCCAAGGTTTCTTTTGTAGATGAAAATTGAGATTCATTAGGGTTATTATAGTCGATTAGATCCTGTGTTTTGGTCTCGGATTTCTGGTTGACTTGACCAAATAAACTGTCACTGCTATTCGCATCTGCGACGGACTGAGAGTCCGTTGATTCAATAAGGTTATCAAAAAGGCCCAAGCTTGAAGGCTCATCATTTGCAAATAATTGGGACATAGAGAAACGATTTTCGGCGGCAGAAGCAATGCCTTTGTTTACAGGCTCAGAAGTCTCCTCTTGTACGGTATCCGCATTGGCCTCCAAACTTTGCGATTCGGTATCCTTCGATTCCGGGTTTGGCGATGAATCTTCTTCAGCTTCCTTCGGTTCATCAGCTAATTCTTGTGATCCCAATACATCCCTCAATGATGGATCAAAGGAAGCCGTCTCACCTTTGTCCTGAGAATCTACCTGCTCGTGCATAGACTCGGATTCTGGGAAACCTATCTGTTCGTCGTTTTGTGCAAGAGCGTCTATTGGATCCTGGCTCGACACAGACTCAGCAGGACCAGTCACCACGTTTTTTTGATCATGAATCGAAGGATTCTCTTCAATATCCTTCACAGTGGACGCAGCAAAAGAGTTTGGCTGATCCAACTCCGATGACCCATCCTTCTCATCCTCTTCCGCTGTAGGATGCACCGGTATATTTGACTCTTCGAGTTGTTGAGGAGAACTAGAACTAATTAACTCGTTGGAAGAGTCCTTCTCCACTGCTGAGGGCGGCAACTCTTCTCTGTCTTTGGAAGTCAATTCAACATCCATATGATAAAACTTGGGGAATGAAAAAGAAAAAAAGGATGACGATGTACTTCTATAAGCTTTTTCTTTTCTTTAAAGCAAAAATTTATATTATATAGCAACGAATGAGGTAGGGAATTAGTGCACGGTGATCTTTAAATTCCTGTGAATACTTGCCATCCGAAGACTAATTTACAGGGAAATCAAAAAATAGCAATGTTCCTTTGGTAAATTCGGTATAGGATTCGAGAAATGGCTACTCTACTGCGTTTGTTGTGTAAGAACAGTGGAATGCGTATGGTGCCAGGTGTCTATTAATTAAAAATGAGTTTTTCTTAAGACTCGAACCAGCGACCCTTTGGTTATAAGGATATCATAACAAACCTTTTCGTTTCTATAATATCATATTCCAATATCATATTGTGTTCTTTGAAATGTGCAGTAGTTGCAAGGCTACAATCATATGAGTGTCGTGTAAGGAAATTAGAGGAAAAGATAAATTACATTTAGAATACGAAAAGAAACGAAAAGCAAGGTCGAAATTTACTAAAAACCCGTTCTATGGCTTGCAGCGATTCACCATTTCGGAAGCACGAAAAGAGCAGAGTTTTTTTTGTCATTGGACTGCCATTCGAAAGAGTAGAAAACAACACACTACGATTAACTGGTTTTCGATAGGAAATCCAGATCCTCGTACAGCTTGATTTGACTTCAAAAATCCTACTACTACTAGCACTACTACTGCTACTATACAGACCCTTTTTGCGATTGCCATATTATATAATTAAAAAAACCGTAATATTATATTCTATTAACAGGATGAAACAGTATGAAATGTTGCCTTTCCACGGGGAATCCAAGGGTAGATGAACCTTGAATACGCTTGGGAGAAAGGACGTTTCATTCTGCCCATCGTATTCAATTCCTTTATCAACGCAAATTGGTAAAGCTCAAAAGGAATCAAATTCGATGGGGTGTCAACTTTCAGCGAAGCAAGCCTGGGATCAGTGGTCCTTATATACCATGGAGAATTTTTAGAAATGCATTCTTTACATAAAAAATGGATATGATGGCTTTTATAAAATTATTATTTTGTTTTATACATACAATTCTAGAGAAGACGCGAAAACGCGAAATAAAAAAAATTTGTATTTAGCCGTTTTACTCGAATGAAACAAAAAAAAGAGTCTTTGAATTGCTTTTCAATGATTTCTTTTTCTTTCTCCCGTCATGTTTCTCGATTTTTTCTTCGTTTGTTTACATATGGACGCACTCACAATCCTTCGTCCTATTCATCTCTACACCCCCTAACGCACTTCACAATTCATCTTCTCTACTGCCATAGCTTAAGTACCAAACAAAGGCTGCCTTCCGCAACGACTTGACAAAAGCGTAAGAAAGCCATCCTGTGTAAAATACCCTTTTTCTCCCATCTGTAAAGTGTTGAAAACAACCAAACAACAGAAAAGGATTTGCATTTGTTCTATAGAATTGATACCCTCTCAAAATAATTTATTGTCTGGATTCCTAGACCTTTAGACAAGTATCTTTTTGTGATTCTCAATTTGCAGCCTTTTATTTCAAAACAATATTAGGTTCTTGTTTTTTTTTTGCGGAAAATCTTGTTACGATAACGTCTGTAAGAGTAGAACATCTAGAGCAGCCCTTGTTTGTTTCTTATATATATTGATTGATTTTGCAAGACAGGATCTGATTTGTCCTGATATTATTTTTCCAACCAAAAGATACTACTTGTTATCCTACAAAAATGGAATCTCCCACGTCTTATGAACCAGCTCTGGTTTATGAATGGATTATTCAGATTGTTTCGGGTACACAACGCGAAGAAGCATTGGTAGAATTATCACGTAAACGCGAGCAATACGAAGATCTTGCTTTGATCCTTTGGCATTCTTATGGCGTTATGACTGCATTATTACAAGAAATCATCAGTGTTTACCCACTTCTTAATCCCCCTACATTAACAGGACCGACATCGAATCGTGTTTGTAACGCGTTAGCTTTACTGCAGTGTATCGCCTCTCACCCGGAAACCAGAATCCATTTTTTGAACGCTCACATCACACTCTTTTTGTACCCTTTTCTTAATACCCTATCCAAGTCAAAACCGTTTGAGTATCTTCGGTTGACCAGTTTAGGCGTCATTGGTGCCCTTGTAAAAAACGATTCCCCAGAAGTCATCAATTTTCTTCTCTCTACTGAAATCATTCCTCTGTGCCTTCGTATCATGGAGAACGGTTCTGAGCTCTCCAAAACAGTTGCCATTTTCATTGTCCAAAAGTTCCTGTGCGATGACGTCGGCTTGCAATATATCTGTCAAACCTATGAAAGGTTTTATGCCGTCGCTTCTGTTCTAAATAATATGGTTTTGCAGCTTGTGGATTCTTTTGCTTTCCGCTTACTTAAACATGTTATCCGTTGCTACCTTCGTTTAAGCGACAATCCTCGTGCAAGAGAAGCTTTGCGCCATTGCTTGCCTGAACCACTCCGTGATGCCACTTTTGCCCATGTGTTAAAAGATGACCACAACACCAAGAAGTGTTTGGCTCAATTGTTAATCAACTTGTCTGACGTGGCTGTAGTAAATCCCTAAATTTCTTCTGATTTTTTAATTGTTTAATTATCTCTTATTTTCCCTTTTGCTCTCTCTATTTAATGTTTTATTGGTTTCTTTTTCTTTGGAAGTTATTCTCACTCTTCTAAATCTTGTTTACGTTTTTCTTTAACCTTTAATGTTTGCGAAAAGGTGATAGATGTTTTGTTTTTTGTTTAATCTATTCAAAAGAAAGGAAAGCTTCAGAGGCTATGACATTTTGTAATTCCCTAAAAGGTTGTCTTTCTTTTTGTATAAAGTGTGTTACCTTCTTTATTATTCGCTTTTTCTTTAGACGACGACGACACGGAATGGTTCGAATATTGTCGCCTCCTGTCTTTACGACTTCACTTATAGACAGGTGTAAGAAAACTGCCAGTTGAGTGCTTAACAAGCTACTCATTTTGTCATTGTATTTTAAACGATATGTAGCTACAACTGCACTTGTTTTAGAACACTTTTTTAAAAATTTTTACAGTAGCTATTGCTATTGTCTCCTTTTTCTCTGTGATCCTTAGTTATATTGTCTGTCCATTACAGATGGTTGAACAAGAATGCATGTTTTCTTTTATCATTTCTTTCCATATTTGTTAAATATAATTTCTCGTAGAATACAGTTCAAGGTCAATGAATCCATCTTTTCGAATGCTCTTAACAATTTTCCTGTATGAACAAAGTATATCCTTGCAGCTACGGTTAGTCAATCGAATAGACATCCTCATGTCAATAGAATCAATTAATCTCATTCATGTTACGAAATTTAAAAAAATGGAAAACTTTTTTGAAAAGTAATCGATTCTTAGCTGATTTGTATCGAGCAACGGAAAGTATAGAACAGGCTAAACAAGAATGGAAATGGATTTGTCAGGAACTACGGGAACTTTATCCGAAGGACAGTAAACTTCATATTCAGCGAAAAATTATACAAGCCTGCAAACTTCGTGGCCGTAAATACCCATTGCAGTATATTTTGCAAACACAACCCTTTGGTCCTTTGAATATTCAGTGCAGTCCAGGAGTTTTGATTCCTCGATGGGAAACAGAGGAGTGGGTAGAGCGAACAATGCCACTGTTGTATTCACTGTTGGTTCCAAATCCTGTACGCATTATGGACTTGTGTTCTGGATCCGGGTGCATTAGCAGCTATATTTCAGCGTCTTTCAAGCGTCCTCATTGTCTCCATATTATCGATATATCCTCAAAAGCTCTTCATGTAAGTGCTAAGAATCTACTCGCTTGCAAACAGGATAGCTCTACTCTGGATACTCAATTTCACAAAGTCAATGTTCTATCTGCAAAGAAACCAATGCTTAATTTACTGAGAAATTGCCATGCCGTCCTATGTAATCCACCTTACATATCACCAAACGAATTCTATTCGAACACAGATCTAAGTGTTCGAAGGTATGAGCCAAAGCATGCACTTATAGCTCAAGAGGATGGAAACCAATTTTATAAAATTATCGCATCTTATGTATTTGAACTATTGAAGGATCCACTCATTACCAAAGATGCATTGAGATTATTAGTCTTTGAAATTGGCTCTTCTGAACAAGCCAAATATGTCAAGAATTTGTTCTCAGGCAGTACCTTTCATACTACAATTTGGAAAGATTCCGCGAATTTGGACCGTACAGTCGTTGTACAGAGAACGTAAATTCTTACTAATCACTGATGCCAATTTTCTTGAAAAAAAAATTTTTATTTTCCATACATTTATGTGTTTTATTTACAGTGCTAAATTGCTATGATTCACAGGAAAGACATAAACTTTTCTCTGTAGTAAATTATGATTCAAAAACCAAGGCCTTATTCGTCACGCCCCCAAAAGGCAAGCAAAAATTAATTAATGCAACTTTGCGTTTCTATAGAAAAACTTAAGACTATTTTGGAACGAATTAGAAAAGAAAAAAAACAGACCAAAAACGAGATTATGAAATTAGAATAATAAGTATCGGTAGATGTCTAATTAGAATACAATAGAAGCAAAGCGATTTCCTGTTTACCAACCACGAGTAGCAAGCTTCTCATTCTCTTCCAAGGAAAGGACGCTTCTACCAACCATGGCAGCACCAAGGTTTTCGCTGACTTCAGCCAAAATCTTAGGATCATTATAATGAGTGACAGCGCGAACGATGGCGCGAGCACGTCTAGCTGGGTCACCGGACAAGAAGATACCAGAGCCAACGAAGACACCGTCACAACCAAGCTGCATCATCATAGCAGCATCGGCAGGGGTAGCAACACCGCCAGCAGCAAAGTTGACAACGGGCAAACGACCCAAACGAGCACATTCACGGACAAGGTCAATAGGAGCACCAATTTCTTTGGCGAAAGTATAAAGCTCTTCAGGAGCCATGGATTTGACACGGCGGAGTTCACCTTGCATTTGACGAGTGTGACGAACGGCCTCTACAACATCACCAGTACCAGCTTCACCTTTAGTACGGATCATGGCAGCGCCTTCAGAAATACGGCGGAGAGCTTCGCCCAAGTTACGGCTACCACAGACAAAAGGAACTGTGAAGTTTGTTTTGTCGACATGGTAGACATCATCGGCAGGAGTCAAGACTTCAGATTCGTCGATATAGTCAATGCCGATGCTTTCAAGAATTTGGGCCTCAACGAAATGGCCGATACGAACCTTAGCCATGACAGGTATAGAAACAGCAGCTTGGATTTCCTTGATCATGGTAGGATCAGACATACGGGCAACGCCACCTTGGACACGAATGTCGGCAGGAACACGCTCCAAAGCCATAACAGCGCAAGCACCAGCAGATTCAGCAACGCGAGCTTGTTCGGGATTCACGACGTCCATAATAACACCGCCCTTTAACATTTGAGCAAGTCCAGCCTTGACTTGGAAAGATCCTTTCGTTTCCGAGACCATTTTGTATTATAGGGAATTCAAAAAAATGTTTTACAACGATTCAAGAAATATCTAACGATGGTTATAAGAGCAAAAGAAAAAGTCGAATTAGATAATTCCACCTAGTCCTAATTAATTTTTTTTCTAAACACAAAAATTACGCCAAAAATCCTCCAGCAATTCCTGTTTTTTAATAAAGCACGAAAATTGTCTTTTTCGTGGCGATGGTAGATGACAGGTTCTCTCGTTGAGGTTCCTTTCGCCTTTTATAGTCGGAAAGAGGGGGAGGGTGAGGTATAATTGTAGGTTATCTTTAGCGTATCAGATCCCCTTAGATAATCAGTGTCGATAAAACTCCGGGAAAAGGACGCGGGCAAAAGTCATGTTGGATGCAAACAAACTGAACAAATAGAATAATAATAATAAAAAAAAATCATTTAAATGGACATACGGATTTTCTAGGAAGTGACAGCTTGCCGTAGTTTAATTATTGGGTCTTCGTTTTTTCTTTCTTGAGAAATAAAAGAATTGCCTTACAAAAACTCAATCGTCAAAGGCTTTCATGAAATACCCTTGACTCAGAAATTTGAACAGAAGCATGTGTGCTCTGGCATGATTTCAAATTTACAGGAAAGAAAACAAATTGTTAGGTTTCTTTCGGCCTTTCTTTCGTCTGTTGCTGAAAGAAAGACATCGGATGGAATGGTTTTGGGATGGACTTGTTTTCATGAATTTACAAATGTATTTTAGTAGATACTAACATTTGTTTGTATGCAGTCTTAAAAGAAGATACAATTACATTGTTCGGTTTTCTTTTACCTTTGTTTCAATCAGTAGAATCCATCATCTCTTTATTGCTATATTACTCTTCTGTACCTTATTACAGAAAGGATCCTTTTTGCTCGTAATCAGCAACACTGCGTATGAAAAAGTGTCGAAAAATGAAAGGATAACATTCCATTGCTTCAACTAGTGGACATAGGAATCAACAGCAAAAAGAAATTTGATAGTAAGTAAATTAGAATTGCCATTGACAACGGAAAAATAAAACAGCACACACATACACACACATACACGTATGCACAAAGGGGGAAATTAAATAAAAACCGGGCGTCATTTCAATCTTAAAAGTATTACGAAAACATTGACCCGAAACAGATAGATTGACAAATGATAGAAAGAGGATATAAAATACAAGAAGGAAAAACAACACACACACGCATTTAAATGATTAGAATAGCAAGAAAAACAAACAAACAACAACTACAACCAAATATTATCATTGGCAAGAAAAGAGATGGTTTAGAGACGTTCATTGGTACCTTCCATAACAACATCAAAAGGCTTCAGCCATTCAGGTTCCTCAAAGTCGGGAGGAGGATTCGCCCAGTTGTAATTGGGAACCGCGTCTTCAAATGAGCGCTTCACACCATTGGGTTCAAAAGAAAACGTCGTGTTTCTCAAAGCAATATTTTCAGCTACACCATTATACAAGGGCTGGTTATAAGCAGGAAAGGTCGTTTGCTTTGATTTGTAACCGGTAGACACGGACTTACGAATTCGCATACCCACGTCCATTAAAGATCCCTGGACGTCTTCGGGCAGTTCTGGTCTCATAGAAGACTTCTCAGGCTCCATATGAGCCTTGCTAGTCATGGTACGCTTGCTGGAATGCATTATTCCTCTGACAATCAAAGAGTGATGAGTTTTTAAAAGGTTATGGTTTTGGAAAGGAGTGTGTTCCTTGGTGGTTGTGACGTTTTGGCGCTACTTATGAAACAAGTCACAATGTTTGCCGGATCCCAAAAAAAAAACAACGAAAGAAACAACAAAAACAAAAAAAGAAAAAGAATTCTGCTGTAGTTTTAAGGATAAAAGCAATATCGAATGAAGGGAAATCAACAAGGAAGTTTGGAATGACTGACTCCGGTAATTTTCAGCTCAATTCTTGAAATTTGAATTTTTCATTCCAAAGGGTATATGCAATTTTTTCAAATTTTCACCCTCCACAAAATCAAGTAACAGATGCGTCGCTCGGATGCTAAAAGTGTCAAGTATGAAGAAAAAAGAAAATAAAAATGCGCAAGGCTGTTTTTCATAAACTCAAAAGTGCCGACTCATGACTCGGTTCCCATAAACAAAACTTAGTATTCCTCTCGTCTCCAAATACAAAACAAACACTCTTAGGAAAAGGCTCTTGCAAACCAAAGTAAGAAAAGAATCTTCATAAATCTACGTACAAACGGAAATCAATTTTTGTCTACAAAATTTTTCTGCACAAAATTCACCTTGTTGCTGAGATGAAGTCACCATTTATATCGAGAATTCATTCGCATAATAGCGACACAACTCGGATACTGAAAGGCTGTCTATTTCATCAAAAAAGGGTTATCTTTCTTATGTAAACAATACCGGCTGACTTTAACGTTTTCCATTACTTAAATGGACAACAGTTGTTACCTACTATAAGAAAGAGAAAGACTGCCAAAAACAACCATAAAAAACGAGAATTGTGATTTGCAAACAATTTGTATGTGTTTATCTTTTAAATCAAATTAAACGAAGGAAAAGAGCGGTTCTTTTCTCATCAGCTTGTTTTTGAAACGTTTGGACGCGCCATTTTCACAACACTAGAGCCAACAGCCCGTCTTTGAAATTTTGCAAGAATCTCTCTTTCGTTGTTTCTCGCGTTAGAGACGCAGGCTTCATAGATGAAAATTTCTTCTTGTTAAAGCTCTGGATTCTAAAATAACGTAAAATATTTGGTCAAATTTTCTTCAATATCTTTGTTTGTTAAAATTTTGTTTGTCATCAGCCTTGCTTCCTTTAAAGCTTGTGAAACGCTTTCAAATATTATAATAATAGAAGGCCTTTTTTTTCTCTCTCGCTCTCTCTCTCTCTTCTTTTTTTTTAAGTTCTAATTTTCTGAGGTTTTCATTCTTGCCATCTTGTCATGCAAATCCCTTCTTCGACATCAACCTTCACTCCTTTGCCCACTGAAGTATCTGAGCAGCCAGTTCCTTCTTCGCCATCTTCGCCATCTTCCAAAGGTCCTATCTCTCTACGGCCAAATCAGAATGAAGATTCTACTGAGAGACCGTCCAATGTGGTGGAACCTGCCGATGATCAAAATCCTGGTTCTCCCATAAAAGACATAGGTTCACCTGACGCCTCATCTGCTTCATCCGGTGCATCCTCTGAAACCTCAAAATCAGCAGGCTCAACCCAAAAGACAAATCCTCCTCAGCTATATCTTCATCTAGAATCCGCCAACCCAAAGGCTTTATCTACTTTTGAAGAAATTCCGAAATGCATTTATTCTGGGCATCTGGGCGAACCTCCTCAAAACGAGGCAATGACTTGTGATTGTAGACCTCAATGGGTAGATGGTGTCAACATCGCTTGTGGTCCTGATTCCAATTGCATCAATCGGATGACTTCCATTGAGTGCACTGACGATAATTGCTTTTGCGGACCTCACTGTAGAAACCAACGATTTCAGCGTCGGGAATTTGCTCCTGTCGACGCCTTTTTAACCGAAAAAAAGGGATTTGGACTCCGAGCAGTCGTGGACATCCCAAGGTATGCTTTTGTATACGAGTACATTGGAGAGGTTATTCCTGAGCAGAAGTTTCGGAAACGTATGTGCCAATACGATGAAGAAGGCATTAAGCATTTCTATTTTATGATGCTTCAAAAGGGAGAATACATAGATGCCACAAAAAGGGGGTCATTAGCACGCTTTTGCAATCATTCTTGTAACCCAAACTGTTACGTGGATAAATGGATGGTAGGCGATAAGCTTCGGATGGGTATATTTAGCAAAAGAGATATCCTTCGAGGTGAAGAATTAACATTTGACTACAACGTCGACAGATATGGTGCTCAAGCGCAGCCTTGCTACTGCGGTGAGCCTTGTTGTGTGGGCTATATTGGTGGTAAAACTCAGACAGAAGCACAATCGAAATTACCTGAAAGTGTTCGCGAAGCTCTTGGATTATCCGAGAAAGAAAACCGGGAAAGCTCTTTTGCTCGCAAGCAACGCCGTAAAAACGCCGTGGATGATCTTGCTCAATTAGTTCAACAGGTCAAGGCTACTCCCTTAACACCGGAGTCTGCTACAAAGGTTGTCGGTGTTCTTCTACAAACTAAAGACGAAGCATTAATTCGAAAACTGATGGAAAGGATTTTTTTGACCACCGATATCTCTGTTTGCAGATGTATTATTGCTCTACATGGTTATAATATTTTTGGAACCATTTTGAACAACTTTGATTTTGATCATGAGTTCGTCCTTCGCTGTCTCATAACGATGCAATCTTGGCCTCGACTTACCCGAAACAAAATACAAGACTCTAACATAGAGCCAGTGGTTAAGCAAGTGTTTCAACATACAGATAACGAAGAAGTGAAAAAGGCTGCCGAAAACTTACTAAATGAATGGGCATCTTTAGAACTGGCATATCGTATTCCTAGACGAAAGATCATTTCACAGCCGTCTCAGGATGAAAATAGTAAGGACTCGATTGCGGAAATAAAACTAGAAGATGCCTCTAGTGAAAAACAAGAAAATACACCCGAATTAGACAACAATTCGCCAATAAATTATCGCTCTGAAAATGAAAATCGGAATTTTAGCAAGTTTGAAAAGCATAATGGATATGCTACGCATAGAGGACAATACCACAAACGTCCCTCACTTCATAAACATCGTCGCATATCAAATAGTAGCTCTTTTTCGGACAACCGCAACACTAATGATGAACCTGATCTGACCAAAAATAATACTTCGGCTACTCCAAAAATTGATTTAAAGCAAATAATTTCCGCTGCCATGGATAGCGTTAATCATAAGAAGCTTGCCAAAGAACAAGAAGAGGAAAAAGAACGACTGCAGCAGCAGAAAAAGGAAGAAAAGCGAAAACTCGCATATGAAGAAGCTCAAAAAAAGCACACTAAAAAACAAGAACGGAAGCAAACTCATAAAAATGAAGGCACAAAGAGTCCTAATGAGCATCATCTATCCTCACATTCACCTGCTGCGCTGGCATTCAAAACACTTTTAGCTAAATTTTTCGCAAACAAAACTGCACGATTTCAAGAAAAGCTTGGAAAGTCGGAATTTAAGCTGCGAATCAAGAAAATGACAGAAATTATGTTAAAGAAACATCTACAACTGGTTAATAGTAAAAAAGAACGAGCGCTTCCAGCTGAGTTGTCAGATTCTCAACAGTCCAAATTGAAAGCTTGGGCTTTCCAATACCTTAATTCAGTAATGGAACGCGGAGGAGATCATAATAGCCCTTCAGAAACACCTACTACTGTAGAAAGTCCTTTGAAGCGCTCTAACTCAGCAACGGACGAGACTGATTCGACAAAGCGCATTCGGTCTGCATAAAAGGGCTCATACCATAAAAAAATTTTGGGTGTTTAACGTTTATTTCCTTTTGAAAAAGCTTAATACTTACTTGTGTCTAAAATTTATTTAATATAGATAAATGTGTACTAATATGAATTTGAACTTTCTATAAATATTATTTGATAATTGTTTTCATAACCCTCCATTAATAGATGAAAAGGGTATGAATAACTATAAACAGTAAACAAAGATAACAACTAATAGGACACCTAAAAATGAGGCTCTGTGTATATTCATTAAATAATTTACTCTTCCAACAACCACGATACCATTTCTCGTGAGTTACCTTTAAGATCCATCTGTTTATTAGGAAGTGTTTCTCCACCTGAGATGACAACTTTTTGAACTTCTTCTTTTTCTTTTGCACGAAATAGAATTCTTTCTTCAATAGTTCCTCTAGTTATAAAGCGATATACTGTAACTTGCTTCTGTTGGCCGATACGATGTGCTCGATCCATGGCTTGACTATCAATACTTGGATTCCAGTCAGAGTCATAAAATATAACCGTGTCCGCAGCGGTCAAATTAATACCTAAACCTCCTGCTCTAGTAGAAAGCAAAAAGACAAAAAGTTCAGGACGAGTTTGCCATTCTGTAACCATATCACGACGTTGACTAATTTTCGAAGAACCATCTAATCTCAAATATTTGTGCTGACGATACGTTAAGTACTCTTCCATAAGATCAATCATTTTCGTCATTTGGAAATAAATAAGAACACGATGATCGTTAGCCTTCAGCTCCGCTAACAGCTTATCGAGCTTGGACAGCTTGCCAGAATCCGCAATAAATCGAGACATTGAAGGAATACGTACAAATGAATATGATCCTTTTGCAACTCCTAATGAAGGAACCAAAGGTTCTCGAGGAGGAGGCAGAACTGTTATGGCTGGATCTGAAATTATACGATCTTCTTCGCTCTTTAGCGGCTGATACATATAGTGACTCCAAGTTGGATCTCTGATGAACATGGCTTGATCAAGCATAAATTGTCTACTTCCAGGACAATATATTTCTACTGGAGGAGCAGTAGCTTTTTGAACTAAAACAGAGTCTAACAAAATTAAGTCCAATTGTGCATCGCTTTCTTCAATGACATTCGTTAATTTGTACATAGGGCTGTCCACGTTAGCATCTTTACCTAAACATTTCAGCTTAGTTAAATTATCAGGCAATAATAGCATTTTATGCTTGTTAAAATAATCACCATCAAGGGTTTGGGCTTGCCGTGTTTGATATCTATGGGAGGAAACAGAGTTATTACTTGAACTCTCCAATAAACTTAACAAAGGGTTATGAGCAGAATGATTAATAGAGGAAGGGGATTCACCGATAAAACGAAGCCAAGAAAAAGAAGAGTTCTCGTCACTCGCTGAAGAATTGTGAAGGTACTCTGTGTTCCAAATGTTCATAAGATTATTTAAATATTTATTCTTAAAACCAGCTCGACTTCTTTGACTCGGCACATTCAAGATTCCACCCTCTTTGTACATTAGCCGTGGAATTTCTAAGGTTATAAAATTTCGGGTATTATATGGCACATCCAGAAATGAACCTTCTCTATTAATGTAAACTGATTTGCTCCAAGTTGCCAGACTTAAAGGACTGCGAACATCTTCACGCTCAAACAAGTCTGGATGATTGCAGACCTTTCGAAATTGCATTACCAAATTCATGATACTGGCAACCGTGTCATCACCTCCCAAAACTGCTTTTTCTAATAATTCTTCAATGGAGATTTGTCGCCGCAGAGCTTGATATAGTATTTTTTGTCTTTGGGTAAGGTCACAATAAACCTCTTTTTCAATCTTTTCACCTAATTCAGACTGAACATTTTTCTTCACTCTTCGCAACATAAATGGTTTCAAAATCATATGCAACCGTTTAAGTTGCTGCTCATTTAATTGAGTATTACTCTGAGCATGACTTTCAATATCTTTTGAAAACCATTCACTAAACTCATTATGAGAATCAAAAAGAGTAGGCATAATAAAATGAAGTAAAGCCCATAACTCTTGCATCGTGTTTTGAATAGGAGTACCAGTCAGAAGTAATCTATTTCTGCATTTGAAAGCCAATAAACTCTTCCAACGTGAACTAGAAGAAGACTTAATTGCTTGTGCTTCATCCAAAATCATATATTGCCATTTCACTGTTTGGAAGTATTGGGCGTCCAACACAACAAGTTGATAGGAAGTGACGACAACATGAAAAGGTGAGTTTTCGTCGTAAGTCATATTTTTCCTGCACCAAAATTTTCTTAAGATTTTACGATCCTTGGTACTTCCCCAATACGGAATGCACTTCAGTTTTGGAACAAAGCGAGTAATCTCTTGCTGCCAATTATGAAGAGTAGAAGCAGGAGCGATAATTAGGAAAGGTCCCCAAATATTGTGGGTCTCAGCAAGGTAAGCCATTACAGATATAGATTGCACGGTTTTACCTAACCCCATCTCATCTGCTAGGATACCATTGATACCTTGTTCATATAAATTGGCAAGCCAGTTGAGACCTTTCAATTGATATTCTTTCAGCTTGCACATCAACATCTTGGGTTGTCCTACGTCAACAGCGTTCATCAAGGTAGGGTTTTGGAAATTCATTTCTCCTTCATTCATGTCGGCAGTACTGCTGCTGGAAGAAATAGGTTTAGTATCAAACATTCTGGAGTGTTCGCGAGTTCGTAGCATCGCTTCTTGGGCATTTCCGACGGCTAATTTGTGAATACTTTCCTCATCATCAGAATCAAAATTTAGTTCACTTGCAGAAGCGGTTGGTGCATCTGAAGACGGTAAGTTTTCTCTGTCAACCTTCTTTTTACCAACAAAATGCGAGTATAATTCTGTTTGTGTAATTAAAAAATCTAACTTTCGAGCTTGTCGACGAGATTCACGATCCTCTTCTTCTTTCTTAGCACGATCCAAAGCCACTCTTTCTGCTTTCTTGCGCAAATCACGCTCTTCACGCTCATTACGCTTCCAAAAGACCATAGTTTCACGCATAGCACGTTTGGCCTTGGTCTGCATATCCTTGTTATTCTTTATCGTACGGAACTGCCAACGTCTTGCTTCTCTGGATGCCAGCTGAGAGGTTTTTCGAGCATTCGTCGAACGATTATAGTGATTTTGCTGTATTATTTTATACACTTTTGGAATTTCCTTTCTGACGATATCTTTAATGATTTGCATTTGAATGGACTCAACCGTTTTCTTCTTTTTATTAGGAGTCGCGGTAGCAGCCTTTCCATCAGCAGTACCTTCAACTGTGTTGGCTTTTTCTGCCTGGTCTGCTGCCTCTTTTGTGGCGCTAGAGTCTTCTTCTCCCGCTTGGCCAGATCTTTGAGGTCTTTTCTTCGTGTTCTTTTTAGGCGTTGACTTTTGTTCACCAGCGGCTTTTGCTGAATCACCTGTAGCTTTGGAAGACTTAGCTTTCTTTGCCTTTGAAGCTTTGGTTAAAGGAGTCTCAGGTGAAGACTCTCCGTCTTCAGCAATAGAAGACTTAGGCGTTTGGTCATTTGTCGCTTCTTTCTTTGCAAGGTCCTCTTGGCCTGCGGATTCGGCAGTGGCAGCTTTCGCACGAGCCTTAGCCTTTATTCTTGCCCTCGCCTCAGTTCTAGCTTCACTTCTAGACTTAGGTTTTGATTCTGCAGGAGGAACCTCTTGTCTAGACTCGGAAATAGGAATTTCGTCAGACTCGTTAACATTGTCTTCATGAGTACGTGTATTATCTTTAGCAGCATCTTTCTGCTCAGTGCTCTCAAGAAGATGCCGCTCCTTTTCGTTCTTTTCTAGCTTTTTCTTTTCAAGACGCTCAAGTTCAAGTCTTTCACGTTGTTTTTGTTCTTCTTCTGCACGAACTTTTGCAGCTTCTAAAGCAGCCACTTCCTCCCGAATAGCCTGGTGGACTGCCCAATCATGATTTTGAGAGTACTCTAGAGCATGCAGCTTATTATACCGAGCTTCATATCGCCAAATGAACCGATTGTGTAGCGAGGAGCGAATATCTAGAAGGCGCTTTTTTTCAGCATGAACAGCTTCATCTCGCCGATTTCGGAGATGTTGTAGATAATTAAATCGCGTAACCATTGTTTGCTGCTCATCTTCATCCGCGCTAAGGATTTCATCAGAATCTATGGAAGGAGCTTCTGGAGATAACAGAGGTGCAGAATGGTTTACGGGCTGAGGATTAGAATTATTATAACGACGACGTGATTGGTTTGGTACCGTGTGCGGAATAGGAGATTGCTTTTGAGAGGGTGAAACGCCACGTAAAATGGTATGAGGGAGAGAAGATACGTCTAAAGGAGGAGCCATGGCTGGGGATATTTGTTCGGGCATAACATTATGAGTAGATGGGTCGTAGCCCTCGTTTCTTGAGAGAAGAGTAGATATGCTTATAGATGGATGCATGGAAGCCCCAGGGGTCGGCTCTTCAAAAAGGTCGGAAGAACCAGTCCGCATGCCATATTCATGCGTATGGGCAACAGGAAATTCACTCATTCCTGGAGATCTAGCTACCCCACTGGTGGCTGTTGGATTATGGTGAGCAGGATGGTGTTGAAAAGAGGCAGACGTAGCATTGGTAGTAGACTGCAAATCAGCGGCACCGTTGGGTGAATGTGAAGGGATGTTGTACAAGTCTTTGGAGATCGGAGTATCCATCTGATTCGATGCATCCGGCTGCATATAGTTTGGTAAAAGTGCAAGGTCACCTTGGGCTGGAGACCCGAAAATATTAGCTTGAGTACCAGGGCCAGGACCTTGACCAGCAAGGCCTTCCATCTCTCCATATCCAGAAACGCCGCGGTAGAATGGCGCCTCCGAAGAAAATTCTCGGCCATATTCGTTCTGTATATGATTTAACCCACGGTGATCTACTTTACCTGCAGTCCCAGCACCAGCTGCCGTACTATTTGGGCTAACAGACCCTCCATTAGATTCGTACTCTGAAGCAACATATTCCATCCGTGGACTTGATCCAGTCATTTCATTTCCGTGATGCTGCCAATATAATGGAACCTGCCAATTTCTATTGTTTGCTTCCACTCCATATGGAGTTCCATGCGTATTCGTAAACTCTGTTTGTCCTGCCATTTCTGGTGCATTTCCACCCTCAAAACTCTCTCTAGGAGTCCCATTAAATAGTTCCCTAGAAGGATCCATGATTCATTTGAGAAAGATCGATTTTGGTGAAGACTATGCGTGTGGGTGAGCTAAATGCTCCAATTTAATTAACCACGTTTGTCTTCTCATCCTTGGCCACAGTATAACATGCTAAGAAGCGAATAGCGAATCGCAACGTTACGTAACGCAGTGGGACACTTGCTCGAGGGTGGTGGTAGTAGTAGTAGGGATCATAGTATGTAGGATGAGTAGAGTCGATATAAACAATGGAATTGAATTTTATTAAGTGAAATAACAGGATTACTATGGAAAGTACAGTTGATGGTTTGCTTTTTTCGTATTTTACTTCCGAATTGCCTAAGTATTGTTTTCTACGATTACCGGCTGTTCCATATATTTAGCATTTTGGTGATGAACGTATGGAAGCGAAAACCGGCTTGAAAACGAATATGAAAAGCTAGAAGAAAAATCAAATTTTACTGATGGAGACAGGATGTTCCATGAATAAATACGCTTGGCCAATGACAAGTGCATTGCTTCTCATTTCACACCTTCAATATTTTCCTATGCATTCGATATTGTTCTTTTCAGTATAGAAAAGTTGAGATTGTAATTTATCTTCCTTATCCTATTAAGTATCGATTCATCTAATGAAAAACGGTTTTTCTACCCTTTCCATTTCAATTTTAACACGCGAAAAAATAAATAAACGTAACAATGTTACTTCATTTGTGACGTGTGTTGTTTCGACCTGACCCAAAAAAACAGTCACAGGCTGCTATACAGCAGCTGTCTGTCATAGTACTCTCTACCATTATCCAAAATGCGTGATAAATGGAGGAAAAAGCGCGTGAGACGCCTGAAACGTAGAAGGAGAAAAATGAGAGCTAGATCGTAAGTGAACTGCTTTTTGTGAAATTTCCTCTTTGAGAGTGCGATTCACTAACTCTGAACAGTAAATAAGCTACTCGCTTCCCTAAGGATGAGCTAAGTAAAAAGCAACTGCAACGCTGTATTGCTCCTTTTCGAAAGAGGTTTTCTTCATTGTACTCGTATAGCTCCTTATATCTCATAAAAAGGGTTGTTATGGTTGTTCAATTACCGTCTGCAACACTCTTCAGTACAATATAATCTTTGTTCATCCGCTGTCTGTATATACTTTAATATCTGTTGTGTGAAGTCGTAGTGCTTTGTAGTGTATTGCGATTGTTTGTTCGTAGATCTTTAGAAACGTTCATTTCGTATTCATTCCATTCCGTTACTATGAGATGAAGAGGAGAGCAAGCTTTTTCTAACAAAATTTGGTTACGTATCTGGAGTAAAAGAATGTCATTACATTGGTGGTTTCAATTGCTTTTTGGTACGGAAAAACGTAGATACTTGGCGAATTGCATTTCCGAATTGACTTGGAACTTCTAGGTGCTCTTGCAGCCAACCTGGGAGTTTGGAACGTATGCTGGGACGATTGTAACGATGGTCCAATAATAGTATGCATGCATAGTCATTTCGATGTCGGATGGCTCTTCCAATACTTTGATTGACCGCTCTTAGGCAAGTATTTTCGTAAAAGGTTTGTGCTGCTTGTTTGGGATTCCTTCCTTTTGTCTGTATCTTTTCTTCCACGTACGCAACCTTTGTTTGCCATTCTATATCGTGAGCATTAGGGAAGGGCATCCCTACAACTATCACCGCTCTTCCTAGACGATCAGAAAAGTTGATTCCCTCTGATAGGCGACCTCCAATGACACAGAACAAGAGTCCTCCATGTCCAGATTCCACTGATTCACTATACTGATCAAACAATTTCAGTGTGTTTTCGCTTTGATCTTTTGATTCTATAAAAACCTGTTTTTTTTTCTGAAGCCTTTCCAAGGTCCCGTCATCCTTCCAAACTTTGGTTATGAATTGCAAATATGAAAAGCTCGGAAAAAAGGCGACCACACCGTCTGGAATTAGCGAAGTAAAATTTACGAGAGTTCTCCCGAGCTCTCTCGTCAAATTTTCTTTGGTACGATTTTGATAGGAAAACTCATACGGTACTTGCGAAGGGCCTTTGGAGAGCAGCAGTGTCAAAACGTTCTCTTTCGGAACTATATGCCCGCAAGAAAATTCATCAATTCGATTTTTCGATTCCGAGAACAATAATTCAATAAAGTCGTCTAGTGGTGACATTGTTCCACCTGCCAGTGTAACGGATCGGCATTGGTCCGTCAGAGTCTGAAAGTGTTTGGACGGATCAAGAAGCATATACTTTAAAAAGGCATTTGACGAATCCTGAACTTCGTAGAATAGTTTACCTTCGGGGGATGGGTTAGCTATTGCGGAAAGGAATGATTCAAGCTGCATTAACACAGGGGTGTACTTGTCTTCTTGTTCGACCTTGGCTTTTTCTTCAGTGGTATTGAAATCGTATGCATGAGATACGTCCTTGGACACACTTTCCTTTGAGTTTGAGAGGAACTTGGAATACCCGTCGACCTTCCTTGCAAGCTTCGAAACAGACAGATACTCTATTAAATGATGCAAATTTACTTGATCTGAAGATTGCGATACAAACAAGGACGATATTAGCAAAACCTTGTTTGTAGAACTTTCCTTTATATTTTTCTCAAGAAATTTCTTCAGTTCTCCGACGACTTTTATCAACTGTCGAACATGCATTCTATTTATACCATTGAGTCGTTTATTGAAGCGACTGAAGTAATGCTCAAGCTGAAACTCCGCCGTGCATACTTGCTTGTATGAAATAGAGGAAGAATGCATAGAGCAAATCGCATCGATAATATTATGTGCTTCATCGATAATGCAGATATTGTCTTTTAGAGGAAGGTTGAGTGAATTACGAGCAGACTCTTGCAAAAGCAACGGATATGGTAACGTTACGATCTGAGAAGAGTTGACTGCTTCCCTTGCTCCATAATACGGACAGACATGCAGTTTCTGGCCTAAAACAACCATATCTTCAATATCCATCACTTCAGCAAGAACCTCATCACGAAAGTCCCAAATTCGGGTATCGTCCTTCAGGTATGGACATTTTTCAGAAGACCCTAATCATGTTAGTTATGGAACGTTAAGTATCCGTACCTTGTAATTCGATGCACTTTTCGTTAACGGCTGACGTTGGTGACAGCTTTTGAACTTTTGGATTTATGCACAAGTTTTTCCTTGAAGCGAGAGAAACGACCCGTATAGGGGTAGAAATTTTTGATGTTTCTAATTTCTGTATCTCTTGTACAAATTGTCGGAGTTGAGAATGAGTTCTTGAAGAAAAGTAAATCTTTAAGATATCAGCATTAGCTTTTATTTTATTTCAATATAGATAAACCTTACCTTTTGAACAATCGGTAGTTTTTCATCTTCTGGCACTAAACGGTGAAGTAAATCCATTACCTTGGAGCTGTAGCCATTTTGGAAGGTAAGAGTTGACTCTGCATTTTCTTCGTGAAGAGAAACATCATTGGAAACCAAAAACTCTTCTAGAGAGTCATCTATAGTTTGAGCAGTCTTGCTTGACTTTGCTGTAGGGGTTGTTGAGGGATCCAGAATAACAGCTGGTGCTGCTCTCTTACGAAAGTCCTTTTGATGTTGGAAGCTAGTTGTTTGTAACAGCTTTTCTTTTCGATTCTTCTCCCGGATTTTGTTAAGTCGTTTTTCCAAGTATCCATGAGTGCTCTTAGCTTGGTTAACCTGTAATTCTTGATCCTGCATAATGACCCAATCAGGAATGGCATGCTTTGAAGAATTCGACTTGTTTGTTTCTTCTTCACGTTCATCGATTTCGATATGTAAATTTCCCTTTTTCTCTAACCATGTCAACGATCCACATAGCAAGCTAAGACTTTTTCCAGTACCAGTTGGAGATTCATAGATGCCAATTTTCTTGTTTTCAATAGTATTGTATAAAGCACGCATAAATTCTAATTGAATTGTATAAGGCTTATAAGGATGATGAAATTCATCTTCTATAATTTGATCCACAGAATTCATTTCTAAATAAGGCTTTCCCAGACGTTAGACTGACTTTTCTTTCTATTTAATTCCGGTTTCAGAATTCTACTGTCATCCAAGTGTAAAATTTCATGTAAATGAAGGCTCCAATATGCTGGTCAAAATTTAAACGAAAGTACTGATTTTCATTCTAAATGGTTCATCAAAAGACGTAAGTTCCTTCTAGTTTCCTAATTTTTTTATTTTTAAAGTGTTTCCGGTTGATGGAAAAAGAAAAAAGAAATTGGTCCAGGGTTGGAGGCCCATAAAAAGGAGGGAAGGGATCCTTTCTTTCAAATATAGAAACAACTGAGATTAGTCATTATTATTTTCTTTTAATTTCCTTTACCACGTAAAACATTGAAAACGGAATTTTTTTCTTTGGAAACCATTTTGTTTATTTGTTAAGGGATTGTAGCGTTTTGTGAGTATTTACTGTAACATAGGATTACGCCCGGCCACTCGTTATAATGTAAACAAACCGATGGAAACTAAATGTTTGAACATTCAGTGAATTGGGTGGCATTCTTCTTTTTTTCCTATGGTAATAACCTTGGTTATAGCTGATAGCTATTCTGAAACATCTACCGTCGTTCCAAAATCAACCTGGTAATGAATAGCACACTGCTTCATTTCATCAGTTTTCCAAGTGACCGCGAATGCAAACTTCATTTGCCACGAACTTTTACCTTGCAAGGAATTGAACTGTATTTAAGAAAAAAACCACCCAGCTGCTTATACACAAAACATTTCTTTTGTCTTTTCAGTGTAAACAATGGGATAGTGCCATGCAGCATATCGTTATTTAGATCGATGACATGAATCTTCAGTGATACGAAAACGTCTATAAAACTGTTGACGCGTAAGCAAACAAAAAGCAAGGTTTTTCCTGTGGATCCTGAGCTTTCAATGAGGTCTTGCTAAATTTCATATTTTTTTTTGAGAATGTCTGAAAAAAAACGACAGGCTCTTCGTAATTTTTACAATTTACCTATTCGTACACCATCTTCATCGACCGTGTCAACAGCTAGATCCATATCCAATGGTAATAACGTCCCTTTAAAAGAAGAAGCTAGTTTGAAAGAAATAGATCCTGTTTTTTCGAATGCGGATTTTGACCTAAATGATTATCTGACCAGTATTCATCAGAAATTGTCTCCTAACGAGCTTTTGCAACGCCAGAAACAGCTAGTATCCTCTATCCAAGAGCTTTCTGGTGACCACAAGTCTCTGGTTTATAATCATTACACACATTTGCTACATGCTAGCTCCGCCATTGAGTCGCTCTCGAAGGACCTGAACGATTTGCTTCCCCAGCTCCAAACATTTCAAGAAGAACAGAATGACAACACGACCGTGACTCCTGAAAACTCTACGTCGTAAGCGAGTCCCATATGCGTCGTCCGGCCGTTCAGTAGCTTGTGGTTATCCTGTGATTTCATGAGGTCTTCCCATATTTCCAAGTCTCAGCGCACTATTTGGCTTAGAAGTCTTCAATCTTACAATTCCTTTTTCCTTTATATATTCCTTCCTTTTTACATGGTTTCTTCAAAACTTTGGTTTACTCGTTTGATTTCGATGGAGCTCGGTATTCATCCTCCACAACCTAGAAGGAGAACCTATGAACTGAGCAAGTTCACTTCTCTTACTTCTATATTTCTTACTTGGAAATAGGGTCCCGAATTAAATGAATTGAGACAACACTACCTTCATTGTAATTGAATTTATTTGAGTCTTGTGTGTTCTCCTTGCAATATCCGGTTTTTTCCTACTCAATCTATACCTGGCCTTAGTTCCCTTCGATGCATTCGGAGCCACAAAAGAATGGACCTGCTACTCCTTATCATAGAGTGATTAATGTCTCTCGAAACTTTCAGCTGAAAGCTTCCATCGACAAAGGAAGTCGTGAATGGAGCTTCCAGCCTCGTAGTAGCAGTGCCGCCCTGTATTCAGCTATAGCATCTTTGGGAAATTCAGATTCTCCTTGGGAAAGCATCTTTGTCGCTTCTCCTGGTGCCGTTCAAATAACTCAGAATGAAACCATGAGTTCGTCGGCGGTGGTAAATGTCAATTCATCTTCCAATGTGTTAAGCTCGCAGCGTCGATCCCCCTCATCTACCATATTCACTCCGAAAGATCAAGCGTCCTTTCTAGAGAAGGCCTATCAGTTCTACAAGGATCGGAACATCATTTCAAAGATCGTCCCTGTTTGGGGAAAGCTGAGATTAAAATCTGCCCCCGGTTCTCCTCCTGTATCTTCTATACAGGATCCTTCTGAGGTCCTGAACTACGCTTCAGACGTTGGTTCGAATCGCTTATTAGAGGGTCCAACTTACGCAGATAATGTTCTGTGGGATGTACTGCATTACCGAATCCCTACAATTGATGGCTTTCAGCAACAGATATGGTGGAAAGACTTTAATAGATGGACTCAATATTTTGCAGACCACATCGTATCTATTTATCGTCCTGGCGATTTGATCCTTATTCATGACTACTCTTTGTTTTTACTACCAAAGCTAATCCGGAAACGATTGCCTGATGCAGATATTGTCTTTTTTCTTCATGTTCCCTTTTGCACTTCAGAAATTTTTCGATGCCTTCCTAAACGGGCTGAGATTTTGAATGGTGTTCTGGCCTCAAATGTAATTGGATTTCAAACTGACTCTTATGCACGGCACTTCTTAAGTACGTGTGTTAATGCACTGGGTCTGGAAATCACTTCTTCTTCTCATGTTGACACCTCTGATGGTTTTCGGGCAGCCATTTTGTCATCTCATGTGAATATTGACGTGCCACGTGTTTACTCAATATGTAATAAGCAATCTGTCCAGTCCAAAGTCTCCCAACTTCGTCATCTTTATCATCAAAATATGAAAGTCATAGTTGGTCGTGATAGACTGGACAAGGTTTGTGGCATAATACACAAGCTTCGAGCATTTCGTCAGCTCCTTTTGAAGTATCCGCAGTGGAGGAAGCGAGTGATTTTAATTCAAATTACCAGCTCTACTGTAGGGAACAACAATAGTGATTTAGAAATGCAAGTGGAAAATCTTGTTACTCAAATTAATAGTGAATTTGGTTCGCTAGATTACGTTCCCATTCACCACTTCCATCAGCTTTTGAGTGCCGAGGAATATTTTGCATTACTCAGTGCCGCCGACGTTGCTTGTGTTTCTTCAATACGAGATGCCATGAATACGATGGCTTTAGAATTTGTCGCTTGTCAAAAGAAAAACAAAGGTTCACTTATTTTAAGTGAGTTTTCTGGTACAGCAGAGGTATTAGTTTCTGCTAGTGTAGTAAATCCTTACAATTATACCGGATTTGCTGATACTATTAATGATTGCTTAAGGAAAAGTATGAAAGATAGAGAGCAAAAGTTTTCTTCTTTGTGGATGCAGGCCACCTCACAATCGTCACAACAATGGATCTACAAGCTAATTAGCAGATCCGGCAATGAAATTCGTTCTGTCAAAAGTCGAATGACTACCCCTTTGTTAACTTTATCTGATATACAAAAGCAGTATAAAGAAGCAAAAAAACGCTTATTTATTTTAGATTATGATGGAACACTAATCCAAGCCGCTAGGAATTCTTTGGATGCAGCACCAACTGATCGAGTCCTGCGTACTTTAAAGAGACTTGTTTCTGACAACCGTAATATTATCTGGATTCTCTCTGGGCGATCAAAAGCTTTTATGGAAGACTGGATGGGTGACATTTCAGAATTAGGTTTATCGTCAGAACATGGTAGTATCATACGCCCACCTATGGCAAGGTCTTGGTACAACAATACGGAAAAATTAGATTTATCATGGAAAGATACTGTTCGGGATATATTCCAGTACTACGTTGAACGAACTCAAGGGTCATACATTGAAGAAAAACGGAACTCCTTATCGTGGTGTTACCAAAATGCAAACTCAACTTACAGTAGATTTCAAAGTTTAGAATGTCAAACAAATTTAGAGGGTTTGTTGAAACAGCATGACGTTGAAATTAGTCCAGGAAAGTTTTTCCTTGAGGTTCATCCCAATTACCTAAATAAAGGAGCCCTTGTCAAACGAATCCTAAAACGAACGGGAAAAACTGACTTTATCTTTTGCGCAGGTGATGATAGAACTGATGAAAACATGTTCGAAGTGTTCCTACCAATGCCGTTCGATTATTTTGTACATTCAAATTTAGTTGGTGATGATACTGATTATGTTGATCCCTCTATGTCAAGCATAGATGGCAAACAAGTTGACTATAATATAGGAAACTCGAAAATAACCGCCTATCGTGTACATATCGGTTTAACGGACAAGTCGACGCTTGCGGATTATCACTTGCCATCTCCTAAGGACTTGGTTGATCTTTTGCTTACTTTATAAGTTTCCAAGTTTGAACCTTGGGACATGACATGAAATAACGAAACCTTTCTGTGATGTTAAATGTTTACTATTCGGTTATGTATTTATTTATAGCTACTACCCATGTTTAATTTACCATCTTTTCTCTTTCTCTTTGTATTTATTAACGTGAACCGTCGTTTAAAGTTGATATTTTCGTCAGCAAATTTATTCTCCTGGGGATCCAAATATAATATCAAACATGTGGAATGGTTAATGAAACTAATGCCTATATACTGGGATACCCTCGTAACAGTTTTACTTCAGTTTCTGGTCATTACATACTGCTACTCTTGGCCGAGAATTTAGTAGGGAACCCGATCTTAGGCAATGGTGAATGAGTTTGAGCTGACAATATGTATCAAACCTTCGTTTGTCTAGTTGTCAATATTCCAATTTATGATATTTAAATATGCGGATACGAAGATAATACAAAACTCTCGTTATAAGGAGGGCAATTGGAACTATAATAAGTTGCTTTAATGCTTTCTATTTTACATTGATATTATCAGCCATTATTTTTTTTTCGCTACAGAAGAGTTGTTTTCAGAATTTGATCCGTCTACTCTAGGACCGTTCAGCTCATTTCAGAATTATAATATGGACGATAGCTTGATTATAAAAAGGACCCTGCTGTTCAAACCTATTTTTCAAGGCCGGAAGTTACGATAATGAAATAATTCGTTGGTAGCCTGTAGACATTTTGTCAAGCTTTTTACAGTTAAATCTCGAGCAAGGAATCCTTGATAATACCGAGCTCTATTTACATGCAATCAACACTTGAGATAGAAGGTATTAATAGCGAGTAAGAAGTTTAAGTATCGACTGTATGTTCGTCTATCTTTTTGTTAATCGAGTCTTCCAAAAATGCATGCTTGATTGAACGAATAATTAGAAACGGATTCATTGCCTTTTCCTTTTTGAAAGTTGGGGCTAGTTGTTGTCGCATACGATTGCAAACTATGGATTAGTATGATCACTTTTTAGAATTTTTTATGAGTCTGTTTTTCTCTTCTGCTTATTATACTTATGTTAGGGTTTTCTAATATTTTATTTATGAGAATAAAGATTCAATTGAAGAAGAAAAATAAGTTTAAAAATAAATTAAATAGAACACTTACAAAACATATTTCTGCAAAATAGTACTGTTTGCTTACGACTTTTTGCTCTTGTTTTGAATAACTTTATGCCAAACAGAGTCGTTTGACAGCTTTGCATGATACAGGTTTTTATAATTAATGATATTTTCTTCTTTATGCCGGTGGTTTCTCGTGGAAAAGTTGTGTAGGAGAAAAGTAGTTTATTTCATGTTGTATTTTCATAAAGAAAGTCAAAAATTCGTAAGTACAAGGTTAGGTAAATAATGCAATAAAAACTGGCTCTCATTCTGGAAGAGTTAGATTCCATTTCAACTGATTTTCAGCACTTTCCTGTTGAATGGCATCTCGTATGTTGGTTGTTCATAAACAATTGCTTTGTAAAAGTAAAGAATCTTAAACGTATTTTAAATACTATGCTGAAACAATGCGGGAGAGAGCACAATTGAGAAATCAAGCACGTTTATTCATCCGTCATTCTGGCAGCTTTCTTAGCCCATATATCACAATTAAAAACCGGTTTTCCTAAACGCTCATTCACATCGTTATGGGCTTCACAGATCCATTGACATAAGGATTCTCGATCCTCCACTTTAGGATCGTTTCCATCCTTAGCCATCCAAATCCTAAGATCTTCGGCGCAAGCCCAGCAAGGATAGAATTTGGAAAAATTATATAAAAAGCTTGACATATTGGTTTTCTCCACAGTGGTGGGTTTTTTTGGGTAATTAGCAGCCATGGCATGTAAAAATGTCCAAGTGCTACGGCCTAACTCAGCAACATCTGGTAATCTAGGAAACGATACGGAGTCTGGTACTTCATTTGAAATTGTATGAGATTCAGACATATCCGTCATTGGCGACTCTGTTTTTGAAGGAACAGCATTTTGTTTCCTAGCGTTCATTCCAGTCGTAGCGGATTGAAATGAGGAGAATATGTTACAACTTTTGCAGGGTTTTCCATTTTCATCGTAAATTATACCTGTTTCTTTGTCTCTATATCTCTTTCCAAACATTTTTTAAGCGTTTTCGGAAGCCAACTCGATTAGTCTTAAGAAGTAGAAGAAAGCCAACGAAGTAAAAACGGTCAGGAGAACGCAATTAAAGACCCAAAAGCCACTTCTAATCAAAATGATAGAATTGTGAATGGCTTTTTTTTGAAAAATATTCAAGTTATGTTTTTTCCTTGTCTAAAATGAAACCAGCATCGAATACGTTGCGTTCCAAATTTCTTGAAAAATTTATGTATTGGGATTTTTAAATTTACAATTCTAATTCATATGGAACAGAAAAACAAGTCCAACTGACCAGTTTGAAGATCCTCCATTGGTTTGGTATGAACAGTATTGCGAGCGCGTTTATAAACAAGCTCAGGAGCTTCTAGCCATTTTCCATCCTCAACTTAAAGGATAAGGAACTATAACCAACTGCTAACAATGAAACTCTCTCCACACTCTTGAAAACTCGAAGCCATTACAGAAATTACGCATAATGAAACTGCCTAAATATGCGTGAATGTTGAGCCAAATGTCGCATTGAATCAAAGAACTGCAAATAGATCCTAATAATTACTGATCTTTTCAGAGCCTTTTTTATAACAAGAGAAAATTCAAGCATTGTTTGTTTACGAATGAGACATACTGCACTCCCTGAAGAGAACATTGTTATCCCAAGTTTACCAGCCATTTTACGAAGTACTGAACACATTTTGCCAAGGAAAACCGTTGGCAAATACAACTTTCTCTTACATTGAGCTTGGTGATAAATTTATTTTCGTATTTGTTTAAAATTTATTAGTTTACTTTAGTTTGACGGCTTGAAAATCCTAGGGTCTCTTAGTAAGAGCTGCTGTGCATTGTTTACTATGGGAATCAAAGGTAAAGGAAAAGAAACAGCAAGCTGTTTTGTATAGGTCCAGATATACTGACCAATTTAGGTCTCGCTCAGGTGTTGGCGGATAACGCTAATTCAAGTGTAAAACACAATGACATTAAAAACTATTTTGGCAGAAAGGTAGCTATCGACGCGTATGTGGATAAAAAAAAGAAAGCAGATCGAAACTTTTCTTCTGCATGTGGTTTGCAAAAAGTATGACATATTTTTAACAATGGTTTCTAGGTCTATGAGTCTTTATCAATTTCTCATTCAAGTCCGTGGACAGGACGGTCAACAGTTAATGAACGAACAGGGAGAGACCACGAGTCATTTGATGGGAATGTTTTATCGAACACTACGAATTGTTGATAATGGCATTAAGCCATGCTTTGTGTTTGATGGAAAACCTCCGACTTTGAAGTCTGGCGAATTAGCGAAGCGAGTTTCTCGTCATCAAAAGGCCAGAGAAGATCAAGAAGAAGCAAAAGAAGTCGGTACTGCGGAAATGGTGGATCGATTTGCTAAACGAACAGTGAAAGTCACGCGCCAACACAATGAAGAAGCCAAACGTTTACTTGACTTGATGGGGATTCCATATGTAACTGCTCCTTGCGAAGCAGAAGCTCAATGTGCAGAGTTAGCTAAATCTGGAAAGGTTTATGCTGCTGCTTCAGAAGATATGGACACTTTATGTTTTCGAGCTCCCATTCTTCTTCGTCATCTTACCTTTAGCGAGCAAAGAAAAGAACCTATTAGTGAATATTATTTGGATAAAGCTTTAGAAGGATTGGACATGCCCGTGGAGCAATTTGTGGATTTATGTATATTACTGGGATGTGATTATTGTGATCCAATTCGCGGTGTTGGACCCGCAAGAGCAATAGAACTAATTCGTCAATACGGCAGTCTTGAAAAATTTGTCAAAGAAGCCGACCGATCGAAATTTCCCATTCCAGAAGATTGGCCTTATGACGATGCACGTAGGCTGTTCTTGGAAGCTGAAGTAATTCCAGGTGATCAAGTGGACTTGAAGTGGAAAGGCCCTGACACAGAAGGTATAATTAAGTTCCTTGTGACCGAAAAAGGATTCAATGAGGATCGTGTTCGATTAGGAATTTCCAGACTGGAGAAAGCAGCAAAAACCGTACCTCAGGGCCGCTTAGATTCTTTTTTCAAACCTGTACCTTCTAGTCCAAAAAAGTCTACTGAAGCCGGCAAAACAGCGAGCGGTAAACGGAAACGTGACACGAAAGCTACTGGAGGAAATAAAAAGCGATAGATTTACTTTACTTTTACGGACATTTCCTTTATGAAGCCGAGTTTTCTTTTGTTTGTGTGATTATATACGGAATTTTTTTGTATATTAAGACTAATTTTTAATCATTTATTCAATTGCATTCATCAAGAAAAAGTCGTTTACAAAACAGGGGTATTCGTTAGAAATAACGAAGTTGTCGATATTAGTATAAACAAGATATCATCATAAATCATGATTAAAACAATTCAATTTCTTGTAATTCCGTTTCTTCTGATCCCGCATTCTTCAAACTCAAGAATGTATTCCTATATGGATAATGGATTAGTTTCTCATCAAACATGAATTGACTGAAGGATTCTTACCAGAAAAGAGCACATGTGCAAGCAAACGGCATTTGAAATTGTAATGGCATTAGATAAAAGTTAAAAGATTGAAGGAAAGGCCAAATAAGATAGTTTGCCTATGGTTTTGGGTTAATCACTGTTTTTACTAAATCATCAGTCATAATCATACCTTGAGAGTAGGCAAAAACAGATTCTTTAGTTTTTCACGAACATCGTTGAATCCTTTTCCTTTTTCTGTTATCGTCTAAAAAGAATTAGTAATCGGCCACCAGTACACGAAAATTCCATATGAAAGAAACTTACCATCCAAGAGTAGAAAAAGGCAGTACCAAAAGGAGCAAAGATGGCTTGATCTAACAAAACTCGAACAACTACATTGCTAACTCCTTTTTCCACAGGAAATCTTATGGACAAAAACTTTAACCATTTGAATTGTAAGGGAGAGATAGCAAAACCTATAGAAGTGTTAGAGCAGCAAAAGAAAAAAAAAGACCCATTCTCATACCAAAGGAAATAAATTGAAGGACACGAGCAAGGTTTGGAATTTCTGGATGAAAACGTATCTTGAATCTTGTTAGTAAAATGTACATCATCGTCAAAGCAAAATAAATTTGCATCCAGGAACTTTTCGACTCCGGATATCAAATTCAATTAGGAGTTTCTTCACTTCAACATACTCTTTCTCCGTTTAAGCCTACAACTGCATTTTTGTTTGTTTGATAATAAGTGATTCCTTGGGCAAGAACATCTGAAAGACCACCTAGCGTGCCAGCAGTAAAGCACATAGTAGAGATGGGAGCCTTGTTGAACAAAGCATTGTATCTAGCCCCTAAACGAGCAAACATATTTTTTGGTAAAGAGCGACGAAACCAAATTGTTAGAAACTCTCAAGAAGCACAGCAGAGCACAACACAGTTAAAGACGATCTGTTGTTTGTTTACTCTGTTTTAAAATCCAGAAACAATTTCCTAAATATAAAGAAAATCAACTTACAAAGGCAGAATAGAGGTAAAAGGAAAATGACTTTATTTACGATTTCGTGGAAGGGTATTTACGTTTAGAGTAAGGGATACGTAAGACTGAAATCAAGAACGTACTAGAATTCCTCGTTTAAAAAATGTAAACAAAAGATCGTTATAGATTTTCTTCTACTTCTGGAAACAAATGAAAAGAAGAAAAGCAACGCAGAAAACGGCTACTTGAGCAACTGCTTGTTCCACAGGTTTCACTTCATATGCAGCAACGAAAACGCACCTTTCTCTTATATACTTAATCCTTCTACATGAATTCTACCATTGCAGCTATACTTTTCCCAAGATACACAGCACATCTCAACTCATTGTTCTATTTCACATTTTTATTTCTTCTTTTTTCTAATTCTAGTCAGTGTTCAACTATTCTACAGCATTCATAACCAATTAAAATTTTATCATACTAATCATCCTCTACACTAGAATATGTTAGTAACGAATTCTTCGCATAGACTAGAAAAAAATGGAGAGGAGAGGAAATTGGAAAAAACAATATTCAGATAATACATGCTAAACTCGTCAACGTATATACTCCGAGTGAGCTGGGTTAACAATAGTTTTCATCCTGGTAAAAAACAATGCAGACATTGCAATCGTATTCTACCTATTTTAACGCATATTTCCTCACTTCCATTTTGAACTTACATTTTCCATTAAATACAAAGCTTGTGATATACCAAATAATCCAGCTTTACGTGGACTGACCACGTACATGGAAGAAGACAAGTGTCGTTTCCCCTATATATATTATTTGTGACTTACTTTTTTGGGTCACTAGAAGACGTGCATGTTTACAAAAAATGTGACTGCGAAAACCGTAAACAAAGGATGGGTAGTTTCTGATTACGATGCAGAGCAAATAAGTGTAGGGAAAATAAGTTTTATGTAGGGAAAGATAGAAATAATTCTTGCGCAGAAACAAATGCAGCTTGCGTTTGTTTGCATTTTCGTAAAATTGTAAAGATTGTTATGAATGCTTGATTCCATAGTATATGAATAAAATAAAAACTTTCTACAATTATTTGCGCTTACAAGTAAAATCCGAAAGCCCCTTTTTTTATTAATTTTTTTTTCCTAAATATACCCATTTATCTCTCCATATTTAACCATGGGAGGTTTCTTGTAGCGAACAAACAATTAGTCAAAGGTAATCTTTGTACCCGTAGGTTCTTTGATGCCGATAGAGCCACGTGCAGCATTGGCCAAAGAAGCTCCTGGTCGAATATCACGGGGATCGAAATTCTTTCTTCGTTTTTCTGAATGATCGTCAGTACGAGCAACAGAAGCAGATGCCTTACGGCCACGCTTCGATCTGTCTTCACCGTATTCAAGACGCCAGCTTTCATGACCCATCGTCATCGCCTTCATGGAAGTCTCTACATCATGGAAGTCAACAAACCCAAATCCTTTACACTTTCCAGAATCTTCAAAGGTCATCAAACGCACTCGTCGGATGTTACCGGCTTGCCCGAAATGCTCTCTCAACAAATCTTCAGTAGCATCAAAAGGAAGGTTTCCTACAAAGATAACTGCGGAAGGGGGATTTTTAGATTCTTGTCTAGCGATGGTTTTTGAAGGCATACTGGCCGATTTTGAAGGCCGCCCTTGATAATCATTACTGGATTTAATCAAAACGTTTCTTCCATTCAAAGGCTTTTCCGTGCACAGCAATGCTACCTTAAGAGCTTCTTCCGAATCAAAGTCAATGTAGGCAAATCCCTTGTTTTGGTTACGATGTTCTTTTGACATGGGCATATGGATACGGGTAATGTGTTCTGGAGTAAAATCAAACGAAATCTCATCATTTTGCTCAACACTCTCTTTTGCTTCTCGAACGAGAAACTCTTTAAGAATGGCTGGAGTCGTGAAAAAACTCAGATTACCAATCCAAATTCCCCATGGGGAACGTTTGCTCTCTTGTGTTTCTTCTCCTGAACCATATTTCGTCTCGATCTTCTTCAATCTCTTTTCTTCTTTTTTCTTGGCTTCTTCTAATGCTTGTGGTGTCCAATTTCCTTCCTTGTCGATTTTACCAGCTTTACGAAGTTTACGCATCAATTTTTTCGAAGGAGGTACCGGTTTTGAAACGTCAATTTCAATCTCTTCTTCATCTTTCGAACTTTTTTTGGATCCTTCTTTCGATTCCTCCTTTACCTCGCGTTTTTCAATGTCTTCTTCTGAAGCACTCATCATGAAACTTTTGATTTCTTTGGCAATCGCGTCCTCGGGTTCCTAAACTGTAACTAAATCAACAAAAAGTATATGATGACAATTCCAAATAGCACAACCTCTCAAAACAATCCAGTATATAGAAAACTTGTAAAATGCAAGTTTCATATACTTCAATCTAAAAAGGTACGCTGCTTATCCTTATTTTACATTTCCGCACTGGAGTACTCTCACTATTTACCTAGTAGCAGTTGTTTCCATGCTTTTAATTCTGTGATACTTGAGTATGATATCATTCTAAGAAGGAAATATTAGTCACAAGAAATCATCAGATTATGCATGTTTTTTTCCATATCAAGTCAATTTTTCAAGTGTAAGAAGTGACTCTAATGTTTAAAATATACTTTTGACTTTTTCGCTCTCGAGCTCCAGTTCGTGTACGATAATTTCTGGGTTTTTTTTTTACTATGGAATTCTTAGAACCAGCGAAAAAGGATCTTATCAACCTTATTTTTTCAAACACACACTTAAGTAAAAGACAATTTAAAACAAATATCGAAAGATTCCGAGTACATGGCTGAATTGAAACGATGATATTTTGACTTGACCATATTTTATAAGGTTAAGGTTGTTTTAAGTTAATCTAAGCGAAGGTTTTTCATGTTTATAAAGGGTTTTACATGTCGCAAAAAAAGTGAGCTTTTTATACAAAAAGCTCATTTTTTGATTTGAGAATCCATCTATCCAAGTATTCATCTTTCATTTTGTGATCTGATATGAAAATGAGATCCAATAAAGAAGTACGTTTTCATCAAAACCGTAGGTTTTTTGTTTTCAGCAAGTTCAACTCGAATGTTTGAATCCTCCTATCCATGTTTTTCGCAAGTACTCTATAAGTACTGAAATGACATTCTACCATTGATCACTATGACCAAAATTCATATTCCCCCGGCGCCCCCCGGGGGGGTTTCATTTCATGCAGATGAATAGTATTGTTAAGAAATTCCTTAAAACGGTAACACTTCAAATTTAGCTAATAAATGAAATAGACCAAGTTACGAAGAATTGACATTGTTCAATGATCAGTAATCATATTAGCAGTTAAACACAAGCTAACCTCTAGCAGCAACAAGTAGGAATAGTGGATTGAGGAGTAAGGTGTACAGACAAGCAAGAAGAATCTAAAAAGTTTCAACTTTGAACGAATCCTAAACATGTTGCTGCTACTAAAATTGTCAGCTTAGACCCAATGTAAACAATAATCGCGCCGCCATTGTTGTATAACTATAAGAAACGAATCCAAAGGAATTAGAGAAGAAAGTACATAAAAAAAATCTAAATAAATAAAAAGCATCAATGATTGTTTCGTTTGCTATACTCGGTATTTTGAAGTCGACTCTCGACTAAGTTAAGCATAGTATGAATGAGTCCATTGGCAATGTTCTTAAGGGTTTTGCATAAACATCTCTTTTCATAATCATAAAAAAAAAATTCCGACTTTTCAATTATGGTTGTACCATAATAGCAGAACTGACTCAGATAAATTTCCTGTATAAGATTTGAGCATTTAAGACCTATCTCCTAAGGTAAATAAACATGTTTGCCAATTTTATCACCCCTGCTTTGGAGGAGTACAGAAAGGTAGATTAACTCACTGTTCATCGTTTTTCAATAAACTGGTTGCAAAAGCCATACGACTCGAATAAGTAAAATCCAAGTGAAATTTTAAGTCTGCAACTGACAGAAATCTACTCTATTTCAACGAATCTAACTCAGAACGAATGGGCATTCACTATGGTTCAAAATGACACTTTCCTTAAAGCTATAGATTCAAATGCTCAGAAATGGAACCATAGCTGCAGCATGTGCTATCACCATCATGTTTCTCACAATATTTTTATTTGCAATTGAAATGTCGCGCTTCCATCTTTCCACATTGTTTAGGTTATTTGTTTACAAACAAATCCAGTCTCAGAGACGCGTGAAAGGAATCATCAAAGTTCCAAGCTTTAGCGATTCTATCTTGGGTAAACATATTAATTTTTTATTTTTATTTTATTTTACATTACCTTAAGCAGAATTCTTTTCTTTCTTCTCTGGCATCCTGTTGACTTTCACAATCCACACTGTTCGTCGTTCATATGCAGTATGTTACATAAGGAAACTAATCGAACCGCGGTATGCATCCAAATAAAAGCATTCACGATATTTCCAACGTTCTTTCTCCTGTCTTTTCCTTTTTCTTTTTGCAATTCGCTTTTGTTTTTCCTTTTAAATTCACTCATTTGCTGAAACAATGGACGCCCTTCCTCCTTCTTATGAATCTCATTTCACTCTGGATACCCCTGTGCATCGACTTTTAAAAGACAAGCGTGTCATTCTCGCCTCTGGATCACCTCGTAGAAAGGAACTTTTTCGTCAAATGGTAAGTAGAAACACTCCATTCATGGATCTATATCTGTCTCTGTTGATTTTTTCTGGGGAAACTTGGGTTCGTCCTTGACGTGAAATGCCCTTCAACATAATTCATAGAAGCCAAGAGAATTGTTTGTAGAAAGACGAATAGAATTCCAAAGTGAATTTTAATCTAATCGTCCATTCGTCCGTATGGTTAAATTTCACAACCTTTTATCAAAAAAAGCAACAATGTCTCTGGAGGCGTTGAGAATTTATAAACGTTTGCTAATTTATTCCTGATCTAGGGATTTTCCAACATCGAGATATCTGTTTCTGGATTCGCTGAGGATTTGGCCAAGTCTGCCTACATTACTCCTTGGGAATATGCTGCGGATACCTCTTCTCAAAAGGCTTTAGCTGTCTATCAGAATTTGGTATGCTAACTAACCAAAAAACACACACACACTATCGTCTAAGAATAAATCTAACACTTTCTGTTTTTCTTTAGGCCACCGAAGAAGATTCCCCAGAGATTGTCATTGCTGCCGATACCGTGTTGATATTGGATAGCGAAATTATTGAAAAGCCCTCCGATCCTAAACATCATTTATCCATCCTCAAAAAGCTTCGAGACTCAAGAGAACCACATAAGGTGTTTACTGCCGTTTCTGTTATCGTGCCTATGGATGTACCTATTCATCCTGGCTACGTTATGAAAACTCATTTGGAAGAAACCCAAGTAAAATTCGATCCTTCTCTTTCAGATGAATTTCTTGAAGCCTATGTTCGTTCAGGCGAAGGTGTTGATAAAGCTGGTGGCTATGGAATTCAGGTACGTATTTGAACTTTTTCAACATTACGTTGGTAGAACTGCTGACTAATAATGATTTAGGGATTCGGTGCTCTCTTAGTAGAATCCATCCAAGGTGATTATTCCAATATTGTCGGACTTCCTTTACGTGCTACATTTCGTCTTATGGAAGAAGCACTAGAGCAAGGAAACGCAGACAATTACGACTAAGGCCCATGAAACTATTTCTTTTTAGGGCTCATGAGGTAATGCCCTTCTTATTCTCTCTTTTTTTTTCTTCAAAACTATGCTGTATGTTGATTATGATCATATTACTTAATAGAACCGGCTTTGAATCATCTGTTGTGCTTTTGCTTATCAATGCCATGCTCTATTTCCTTTCTGGGTTTTATTTTATCTTTATTTCTTTTTCTGTACAACTGAAGCACTTCTCTTATAATATTCGTCCACAGAAACTTACAAATTGCGATGTCCCTTCAACAGTAAGACGTGCGCAGTTCTCACATTTCTTTATCCAATCCATTTCTACCTCTACAACAAGACTTACAGGGTTGCTTCATTTGGCTTTCTATCATAATGTATTTCTATTTTGATCGCATAAACACATCATCAGACCTTGTGCTCATCTCTTCAAAGAGTGTACTAGTTAACGTGTATAAACCCTCTTAGTTAATAGGAATCATAAAGCGATACAAAGGGCTTCTTTTCAACATAGTCATGGCTTTTCAGCCAAAGAGTACTTTGATTTCCTTAGATAAAAACTCTTAATTCGTAGCGACTCCCTTCTTTTTTAATTCAGCTTGAAGCTGAGCAGAGAAATCATCATCACCAATGTCCTCATCATCCCAATTATTTTCCCAGAGGGTATCATCGCCGGTGTCGAGTTCTGTGTCCTTCATGGGCCAGTCTTGCACGTTGTTAGCTCAATTTCCCATTACGAATGCTTACTTTCTGTAGCAAAATCCTCAAATTCATCGTCATCCTCCAAATCTACACATAAAGTTAGTCAGGATCCTCTTTTAAACGACTGAATTACTGGCGATTGAACGATATACACTCAATATGCATCTAAACATATACCACAAATATCAACCACAGCCTTGTTTTGTAAACACTTACTCTCTAAGCTTGGTAATACGGTGCGCGACATTTTTCAACAAAGATGTAGGTAATTGCACTGGTTAAGTTTGCAGCCTTCAGTTTCCAACAAAGTACCACCCATCATCAAAATAGCGCATCCCAAGGAAATGACGTTAATAAACAAAAAAAGAACACAAGAACTAGAAGGATTCTTTTAGACGAAATCGATGAATTAGAAGAGTTTTCGTTCCATGAACAACATCTATTAGAATTCTCGATAAAAATATCAAAAAGCTCTACTAGAATGAGCGTGTTCCTTAGGGCAAAAGATCAAAAAAGTGTCAAAAGTGTATATCATGAATGCAAGAATTTTTTATTAATTAAAAGGTAATCAAACTACATGTACAAAATTTAGTATTGTTGTGACTTAAAACACATAGCTCGTCCAGTTTATCTATTATTATGAGAACTGTAAACGAAGGGAAAAGACATAATGAATCAAGCTGAGTATGGGTATCAAAAAAAATATCAGAAAGAAATAACACGGCAATAAAGGAAATAAGGAATCACATAGAGAACACATTTTCCGTAGCACGATATTGTAATTAGGTTAAGTAAATCCTTCGAACCTCACTTCATCTTTTGGTACATGCTTATTAGACTAGTGTACTCAACCTCTTCTTTGGGCCAAAAGTAGCAAACAAAAATCCATAAATTCTTACGAACATCTTCCTTCTCATTGTCAGGAAGTTTTGTTACGGTAGCATCAATATGCCCCCCTATAGTCGTTAAACACTCCGTAAATAGCTTTACCAATTGTGTTCGTTCCAAACCAGAGGAGCCTTTTCGAAGTTTTTTCATATATTTACGAACCGGGTACATCAGTTCCTTACATTTTGCTTTTTGATCACTAGTCAGCCCATCGCCTTCAGGTTGATCTGATTCTTCTCGTTTTACCGAAGGCTCAACAGAAGCACGAGGCGAGTCTCTATGAGGTGTTTCAGATTTCACGTCTTTGCCAACATGCTTTTTTCGAGATTCGGAAACCGACGGAGATGGAGTGCGAGTTACACTTTCACTGCGTTGACCATTCTTATTAGACTTGTTTACTGTCTTTCTGTTTTGGGATTGCCTCTTTGGAGCAGGCTTTGGAGTTTCAACGCCTTCTTCAGCTTTTCGGTGATAATCTCGTAATGCACTTAACAGATATTCGCCTCGTCGTACCAAATGTACAGAAGAAGGAACCTTTTTCTCTTTTTCCTTATCTTTCTCTCCCGAATTTTCAGACTTATTATCATCCAAAAAGATTTTGTCCTTCATTTTCAATTCCGGATCGTCGCGAATCTCTAACCAAGCTCCAAACCCATGTTTACAAATACCAGCTAGTAACATGGAGTCTTCCCGCCTTCCCCATTCACATGACCAACCGTGAACGGAGCGAAGATGCACAGGGATCTCAAAAGAGGAATATCCTGATGTTGGCATTGCTTCATACAATACATCGAGATCATTCAAACGTTGGATTAAAGTTTCGGCATTAATGTTCTTCACTCCCTTGAAGGTAATTAACAGTGCCTTTCGAGATTTTTGATTCGTTTGCTCAGACGCGGCCTCTTTTTCCGCAGCATTAATGGCTTTTTGACATACTGCTTCTAAATCAGAAGCTATCTTTTTTACTAAATGAGCGTCTTGCGTTGACAAATCAGCATATTTAACAATCTCTTTGTAACGATGCTGAAGACGACCATATCTAATCATTGCACGATATAGCAAGCGAATCTCTTTTTCCAGTAACACTTCATCCCTTAACATCTGCTTCTTGGATTTTTTCTCGGATACATCAGTATTAGAAGGAGAAGGCGCAGCCATTTCAATTGGATATGGTCGGTTTCCACGTCTGTTGTTCAACTCAATCTCTCTTTTTAGAGCTTCTTCTTCTTTTCGTCGATCCTCCTCTTCATATTTTTGTCTTTCGGACAGCGGAATAATATCATCCCAAGAAACGTCGGCCTTATAATCCGTAACCTCAAATTGCTTCAGGAAATCTTCACCGCCCATACTAGCACCGCCAACGTCGTTAGAAGTGTCATGGTCTTCAGCATGCTCCAGAATCTCATCCAAATTCATATCTTCCAGCCTCTTTTGATTGTCCTCTGCCTTGAACATATTTGAAGCTCCAAATTTTAGAATTGCACTAAGCTCTTCTGCAGAAAACTTGTCATTTTTAGCGTTCTTTTGTTTGTCGGTGACACCAAGGGAAATGATTGCATATTCTAAAATCATTTTTCTTCTGGCTCTTTCCAATACGTCTTCCTCAATAGTGTCTTTTGATAGAAAACGATAAACCATAACGTGGTTCTTTTGACCAATTCTATGGGCACGGGCCATGGCTTGCAAATCGGCCTGTGGATTCCAATCAGAATCAAAAATAATGACAGTGTCAGCTGTCATTAGATTAATACCCAAACCACCAGCTCGAGTCGAAAGCAAGAATACAAAATCAGGACTACCAGGTGCATTATAGTGATCGATAGAAACTCTGCGAACAGACGCAGGAACAGTACCATCCAAACGCTGATAAGGATAGCCTCTTAATGCCATATAATCACCAAGGATATCTAACATGCGAACCATTTGACTAAAAATTAGTACACGATGTCCATCTCGGCGTAGTCTAGAAAGTAACTTATCAAGTAAAACCATTTTCCCGCTGTTCATAATTAGACCTTTGAGTACTTCCTCTCGTCGTCCCTGAGAACCAATCTTTTGCATCCATGATTCTTCGACTCCGTCAAACAAATAAGGATGATTGCTTGCTTTTTTCAATTCTATGACTATGTTCAAAAGCGAAATTTGGCTACCAGATATAATGCTTTGGGTAAGAACACGATAGTTACGACTTAAAATATTCTTGTACCAATATGTTTGCAGATCAGATAATTCCACCCGCAAAATACGCTCTGATTTAGAAGGCAAAGATTTTTCAACGTCTTTTTTTAATCTTCTCAGAATATATGGTTGCAGATGTTGTTGAAGGTTCCGAATATAAGTCTCTTGTTCCTGATCTGGAGCTTCCAAGTTTATTTCCTCCCGAATATCGAATTTTCCAGGCATCAAAAAATCGACTAAAGCTGCAAGCTCTTTAATGTTATTTTGAAGTGGGGTACCCGTAATAAGCAGTCTGTTGGAATTTTTAAACTGCGATAATGTTTCATAGAGTGAAGATTCACTGTTTTTTAAACGATGAGCTTCATCGATCGCCATGTATTGCCATTTGATATTACTTAAAACGGAACGATCCTTAAGGACATATTCATAAGTGGTAAGCAGCAGATTAAACTTTATTTTTTGAGTTCCTTCGACGTAAAACTCATAGTCTCGAAGAACCTGTCTAGAAGCGGTATTACCAAGATAACTGATGCAGTTCATATCCGGAGCCCAAAGAGAGAAAGTTTCTTGCCATGAAGGGACTGTAGATAATGGGACCACTACAATAAAAGGTCCGTGCTGTCTTAAAGAATGGGCCAAGTATGAAAGAAAAGCAACAGTTTGCACAGTTTTTCCTAAACCCATTTCATCCGCCAAAATACCGTTCTCATTCTTATGCCAAAGATATGCCATCCAATTGACACCCGTCAGCTGGAAGTCACGTAATTCACCACCTGTAATATAAGAAGGCTGCTGCTCTAGTTTACGATACTTAGGCCGGGTATGACCATAGCTAGTACCACGGGATGGCATCAATGCACTATGCTCTCTTTCGTGAAAAGATTGAATTTGTTCTTTGGCTATAGGCTCAATAATGTCGGCAGGCTCCCACGTGCAAAAATCATACAAGAGATGCTTCCATTTAACCAAGTACTCCAAAGAGCCATCTGGATTCCTATATTCATAGACAATGCGATCTACTTCTTTGTATTCTTTGTAACTATCCCGTTTTCGTTCTATGTCAATCTCCATAGCCTCAATGTCCTCTCTGGTTGTCGTCGGATCTTCACGAATTTCACGTTCCAGAAGAATAACCTGCTTAATATGGTTATCGACCTTTTTTGCTCCTCGGAAACCAACCAAATTATTGTAAATTTCCCAGGTACAATGCAAGTGGGACATATTCACCCACTTTATAAGAAATTCGTAATCTTCAGTGACATTTGATCCATCATGTCCTTCTCGGAGTCTATGATCCAAGATACAATCTATGGCTTTTGTTTCTTCAGGTTCTTCTGGAGCTTCAGCATCGTAATCATAGCCATCATCAAGTTCCTCCTCGTCCTCGATTGATTCAAAATAGGCATCTTCATTGTAATTTACGCCTTTCGAATTACGAGAGGAAAACCTTACTTCATCCACGTTATAATCAGGTGATGGTTTCCTTCTTCTGGTGCTCCTACGAGAACTATCACCATAAAAACTACCATCGCTCTTCTCATCTTCCGATGAGGAAAAAGATTCGGCTTTATCCTCATCATCATCACTTAAATTCCTTTGGCGATGAGTCCCATTCCTCGTACCACGGCGCTGTTTTGAGGGTAATTCCTCTTCCAGTTCAGCATCAACATACACTCCAGGATTCGTACGAGTACGTCCCTGTTTTCTAAGTTAATAAAATTACGCTAAAATATACCATAAACACTTACAGATCGTCGAAGACCGTAAAGTTCAGGATCAAAAAAATCACCGGAGTCTAATTTCCGCTTGGACGAGCTGCTCTCGGCAAATGGTTCAGACATGTCTTTATATAGGACTGTCAAACTAAAATCGCGGTCCAATAGCCTCAATGTTTTAATTTTGAGTGCTCAGGCACTTTGTCTCATAACAGCTAAACTTTTAGTTAGTTTGTTTAAGTAACAGGAATTATATTTTTCGTTTCAAAAAGCGAAAGATGCATCAATGAAATGACATATTTACAGAAGCATGAGAGTACGCACGCTTTTTAAGTTCTCGACAATCGCGCAAACCATAGACTATAGGATAAAAAAAATGTACTAAGATCCAATTTAAAGACACAAAGACATATACGGGTTACATTTTAACGAACAGCGACTTGTTTAGTTCTAAATCAACGGCATGCAACTCTCGAGTTAGAAGGATAGACAATAGCAAGTCCCAACTTAGGTAAATGAAATACATATATGAAAATAAGATAACTATTCATAATAAGATTCGAATTCTTAATCCATAGTATCTCATTTCAAAGTAAATTGTTAATGCAATCGGTGTTTTTGAAGTATGGCAATCGTCGAGACAAAAAAAGAACAGCGGACAGATTCTCAGAAAATAAAAGTAATTTATAACTTACACGTTTAAATTACAACCGCCTATAGTAGTAGAATAGCTACTATAAGAGCCTAAAGTTGTTTTCTACTGAAAACAATTTTTGTGGGTGCTTGGTGAAGGGTAGGCGAAATTACGACTGCTAGTGGATATTTCAGACTACAGAAGGGTTACTACAAGGACGAGATTTACTAAATAACGGATGGAATATGGTTTTATATGCGTTAGGACTATAATACAAGTTCATAATTAGTGGATTTCACCTTCCTCACTCGATTCTCCATCCATGCCAGACACAGGAGGAGCGTTCGACTGTAAGGAGTTGAAATCATTCGCATTAGAAGGATGAGCTGGCCCAGGAGGTCCAACATGTCTGTCGGACTTCATTGGCAAATCCTCATCATAGTCTAATGGAGGCTTCATCTCGTATACCCGGGTACCAGACGTGTACCCGCCGTATGCACTATCTCCACCTTCATCATAATAACCTCTTCTTATTCTATTTTGCTTTTCCAAAGCGGCTTTTTCCCTTTGTCTGCGAATGTATTTATCGAAGGCAGCAACACGATATTCTTCCGAGTCTAGCGCAGAAAACTCCGGTAATTTAGATAAAACAGGCTTCATTTCTTCATATGTAGCACTTAAAGGGATGGGAGGTTCTATATATTTGATTGCACTTCGAAGATTATCAATTTTTCGTCGAATCCGACGCTCATCAGCTTTCTTTTCGTCAGCTTTACGTTGAGCAATTTTTTCTTTCGTGCGTATGATAACCTCCGAAACAATATCTTCAGAAACAGAGTCATCCCTATTGTTTTCTTTTAGGCTTTGCATAACACGCTGAACAAATTCTTGGACATCGGAATTTTCCTCCACTCGAAGTTGCAAAATTTGAAGACAATCCAAAACCACATTTCGCTTCTCCCGAAATTCATTTTCGAATTCAACGATAATGTCCCAAAAAAGGTCTAAAGGAGTAGATCCAGGCTGGCCAAGCATATTCAGATACCTAGGGTCATCTTTAAAGAGAGGATAAATTTCTTTCCATTTTGTACGTAAGGTTATCTTCTTTTCCTGTCGAAGATCAAGTAAGAGGGTTCGGAAAGCATCACGGTTCTTTCTTTCAGTCCTATACTTTTCCTTCTTTTGTCTTTGTTTTTCCGTAATGTATTCTCGCTCAAGATGTTTGATATGACTTTCATAAACCGTAAGAGCTTCCAGCTTAGATAAATGTTTCATATTTGGATTCTTTTGGTAGCGGGGATCATTTTCGAATTTTTCTTGAGCAGTGTTCCACCGTGTGTAAGGATCTAATTCTAACTTGTTCAAGAGGACACAAAAGTCATCAAGAGCATTCTTTCTATTGTTTTTTTCTTGTTTTTCTTCGTCTTCTTTGAGCTTTTGTCTGTGTTCGAAAAATAACAACTGTCGCTCAAACTCAGTGGGAGCAGCCAAAAAAGCAGCTTCATCAGCTAGCAGTGTTTTGGCAGTTCTCCATAAAGTGTATGAATGAATGTCGTCTCTTGATTTCAATAGACTAAAAAAATCTTTTCGAAGTGCAAGAATTCGATTTTTTTCTCGGTCACTCTGTTCTGTCAAATAATTCATTATATATGCATCAAAAGCGCATTTTCGTTCCCAAGGATTTTTAATAACATAATAACCTTTTTCCGTACATAATTCATGAACAGCTTGTTCCCAAGTCCAGCTCGGGGTAACATTGAATGAATCCAAAAATCTAAAAAAAGCTCGTTCAGCGGCCTCATACGTATCGAAATCCTCTTCACGGTGGTCTGCCCGTTTATGACGCTTTTCTTTGGGCGGTACAAAGTTGGGAGCACGCTTTCGTGAGATCGCATCTTTTGAAGGCGCTGTCTGTTCTCTGTCAGGTCTCGCTTGTTGTGTCAAAGACTCTGGGAAGGCTTCAGAACGCGTCTCCTGTTCTTGCTGTAAATGAGGAAAAGCTTGTTTTGTTTCTGGAAGTGTCTCTTCGGCGATCGCCTTTCTATATTCTTCGGGAATTTCCCACACAGACTCACGTGTATTAACGTTGTACCAATATTGCTTTCCATCAGCGGTGGTGTATTCTTTCCAAGCCAGTTTGGACAATTTTCGTTCAAATTCATTCATGAGTTCTTCTGGCTTTTCCCAAACGCTCCTTCTAGAAATCGAGTCATAGTAGTATACACGACCATCCTCGGTTTTCACTTCGTGCCAGTCAGAAACCGGCTGCGTCGCCTCTTGCGACTTTTGCGAATAGTCGATTGATACTTCTTCTTCTTCTTGCGGTACTTGTTGCCAGGGAGGAGCAGACATTTTTCCTTTTGACAAGCAATTCCCTTCTTCAGGGAAGTTGGGTCTGGTAAGGATAGTGAGGGCGTGGTCAGGTCCATGCACACTAAAGTGCGTTCGTTATGTTGAGATTGGATGTTCAATGTCAATAAAGTCGATTGTTAGTTTGAAATGAATCAATATCTATATGAAAAATAAGAAAAAGATCTAACTTGTTCTTTTTTTGTTTTTTATTTGAGACGACCACCAATTCGTTACTATGATATAGGTAAACGATATCGTGTTAATTTACTTTTGTACGATATGTTTAGGAAGTATCCCTAAAAGATTGACAGACATACTATACTGAGCAGGGAGATCTACATGTCTGAATTCTTATTTTTCTTTCTCGAAATTCTCTCTCTCCTTCCTTATTGAGGGGTTTCCGCAGTTTTATTTCACGATTATAAACTTACTTACCGTCTCGCAACGATAAACAGGTTATGGGTTATGTGGCCCTTGGTAGGTAAGAAGTATCAAAAACGCGTATTTTTCCAACTTTTGACGTCCGAGGATAAAACAATGGTAAAAGTCGCTGCTTTTGCGTGCGGTGTAGCGAGTAGTGGAAAGAGTACGTTTTGTGGGTCTCTGATTTCGTATATGAAAAGCATTGGGCGGACGTGCCATTTGGTAAATTTGGATCCAGCAGCAGAGAATTTTCAATGGGAACCTACAGTGGACATTCGTGACTTGATTAGTTTGGACGATGTGATGGAAGAATTGGACTATGGCCCAAACGGTGGCTTAATTTACTGCTTTGAGTTTTTGATGGAAAATTTGGATTGGTTGAATGAAGAGTTGGGCGACTATGATGAGGATTATTTGATTTTTGACATGCCTGGGCAAATTGAATTGTATACTCACGTACCTATTCTGCCGACATTGATACGACACTTACAAATGACTTTGAACTATCGACCATGTGCATTGTATTTGCTGGAAAGTCAGTTTCTCGTTGATCGAGCCAAGTTTTTCGCTGGTGTCCTTAGTGCCATGAGTGCTATGGTTATGTTGGAAATCCCTCATCTCAATTTACTCAGTAAAATGGACTTACTAAAGGATAATAGCAATATTAGCCGCGCTGACTTGAAACGATTCTTGAATACAGATCCTCTTCTGTTGACCGGCGAAATTAATGAAAAGATGAATCCCAAATATCATGAGTTGAATCAATGTATCGTGCAATTGGTAAGGATACTGACTGAATACTCTTGAGAAGCCGCTCATGGTTATGCTATGAAGCGTTTCAAACCTTTGAGCGGGTCATTTTCTCTTGTTTATAAATTCAATGGTGCAACTTGTGTTATTAACTAACCATCTAGATTGATGATTTTAATATGGTAAACTTCATCCCATTAGAAAGCCATAACGAGGAAAGTATAGAGAAAGTTCTTGGATACATTGATGATGCTACGCAATGGCATGAGGATCAAGAGCCTCGAGATCCTGATCGAATTGAAGCTGACGATGTTGAGCCTGGGACAGGAGAAGTGGATGATGAATAAGAAAGTTGATAAACATGGTATCAATTGGGTTTAGGAAAATTTTTTTGCAAATTATATAAATATTATGGTTTTGTTTTATGTTCATTTAAGCATATGAGAATTGTAGGTGCATCCGTCTTCAAAATAGGTAAGAATTGTTTTTATGCACAGAAACATGATGTTAGCATCGCTACGTAGAAACGACAAATTGAATGAAGACTTTGTAATCTCACCTGTTCTTGATATGTGGAACACTTGACCTTTGTTTTTTTTTTTTTTTTTTTTTATTATCTTCTTCGTAAACAAATAGGTTCTTCCCTCTGCCAACAAACACCATAGTAAATGCAAAAGAAACCATTGCAATTGAAGAATGGGCCAATTCCTGTCTATTTGCCAAAAAAAGCCTAATAAAAGGGATATAGAAGTTCAACAAGGCCAAAATCGTTTAGAACAACCCACAAGAATAGAGAAACCAGTGGGTGTCCAAAAGCCACCAAGGGTTGTAAAAGAATCTGGAAGAAAACTAGCGGAATCACCCAATGTCTCTAGTGATGCTGATTTATCTCCTGCGCAGGCTGCTAGATTAGCGGCAGAAGTAAGTTGAGTTGCTGTAGTAGAAATCCTCATTTGTTACTGTTTTCAATGCTAATACAACATTAGAAAAGAAGCGAAATAAACAAAGAAAAAAGTAAAACTCGTCTTCGTAAGCACACATTTTATTAACGATTCATATGAATGGAATCCGACGTTGTACGTCGAAATGTCAGACAGGTTATGAATCAGTGGCTTTCATAAGAATACTTTCTAGTTTCGTTCGTTCCTATGCATCTGCTTAGAAACGATCGATTGTTGGTTTCTATATTCTAGCATGTTTTCTTTGAAAAATAACAAAGTACAAGGAAAGGAAGCGCATGAAGAGATTAACTGTTTTTCATCAAGGAGATAAGAAAAGAAAAATTTAATCTCTTTGCTCATACTGTAGTCGTTGGAACATTCTCAGAATGTACATGGCTAACAAATCGGTACAAACTATCAAGGTTTATGGCCAAGCGAAAAGTTTAACAAAAAAAGGAGCGCACTCAATTTTCATGCAGTTTTTGTTTCGCAGTCCTTTCAGCCTTTCTATTTTCATTGATATTAAGATTTTTAAGATCCTCAACCTTCGTCCTTTCCCGCGAACAATATTAGGTGGTAAACTTGATCTATTGATTCATAAAATGTCTAAACAGACTAAACCAGGTCATGACTTTTAAATTATACAAAAAAAAGTAATTTATAAAATGATCCAATAACAACATTGATAACATTCGACATCAAAGGAATTTGCTCTAGGTCAAGGTTCTATGATAAAAGGAACTAGCCTTAAAAATCAATAAGTGCGGCTTTCAGAATGAGTTGAATGGTTCTCTAGCGTAGTATTCAACGAAGAATGTTCTGAAAGTGGGTCCATCTTCCAAAATAGACGCTTCCAATCACTTAGTTTTATTTCAATCACAGGAATTGAAGAATGAAGTTCTGCATTTGGTCTTTCTAGTGCAGTCAGGTTTGTAAAAGGGTAAACGGACGTGCCATTTTGCAGACTGTGAATAGATTGAGAAAGTCTAGTAAATAATCGTATGCGTTCTACATCTGATTGTGTTCGTAACAATGTTTGTCTTTGTTCATTATCTGGAAATTGTTGTCGATCATGGTCGTTTTCTGTTTGTTCCGACAGAGCTTGCCGTAGTCCTGGTCGCCTTGTTCTATCGGAATTCTGGTTTAGAGCTATCCTTAAAGCTTTCTGGTTTGAAGAAATCAACACTAAGGCCATAAATATTTGAATGACGAATAGAAAGAAATCGGACAAAATGATGACAGAGCAAGAAGAAACAGCCTTCTCTCCAATAAAATTAATAATAGAGCCTCCATATAGGTACCCATTTAAGCTTTCACTAGGACTAGGAAGACCGAAGACGAGTCGAGAAATCGCTGAAATAACAAAGCTGACTAGCAAAGGGTAAAAAAGGGGAAATGTTGAAAATTGTAAGAATGGTTTCGGTGTAAGGTAACTCTGGTAATAGTCAGTAAAATTGAAATTTTTATAAACACCCTCAAATCCAACGAGCCCCAAAGTCGCTCCAATACATACCAGTTGCACAAATATTTTAAACAATAAAAGAAGAATCACAGGACTAAAAGTGTAAGTAGCTAGTCATCCATGAAATTTAATGATTCTTGAGTTTAAGTCCTCCTTGGAAAACGAAGATACTTACTCCTGATAATATTGCTGAATCATGATAGCATAGCATAGCATATCGAGACACCGAAAGAAGGCTACAAACTCTCCCCGGTGGTCAAGGACGACAGTATCCATCCTTATAGACAGTCCGTCCCAATGTACTTGAAACGAAAATCCTCACGACTTGCAAATTCGCAAATTCGCAAATTCACGAACAATAAATGGCAGCAACTACCAGTGGAATGCCCGAAAATACTACAATTTCCAAATACACTTATTGCAAGCGAATAAATATTCACTAGACGAATCCGATTGATAGAACAACAACACACCAGGAACGACAGATTTTTAGCAATACCGTTTTCGTTTCAATGAAGTGTGTATGTCCTATGAGCCAAGGTGCCAACTTGGTCAATCTCTCCTTTACGAATCCAACGAGCCAGTACGATACGGTTACGTAGATCCACAGAAATTCCTACTATCACCTATAAAAACAAAAGTTTTTAATGCTCAATTCATTGGTCTTTTGGCAGACAATTGACATTTGTAATGTCTTCCTTCTTGCATTTATGGCTATGAAAAGTGCTTAAGGAAGCGGAACGAAGGCGCCAATGTTTTTTTACCGCTTATTGTTTTCATGCATTAAAATACAATACGGAATATTGCACTAATATATTAACGTGGAATTAATATTACGTTCAGGTTCACTAAACCGTTGGTAGTACCTAGCAGATGGATTGTTCTTTTTAGCCAAAGAATTTGGCATGAGGATATTGCGCCGGTTGTTCTTCTATAGAATTTTTGTGTAAATGCAATGAATGAAGAAAAAAAAGGGAAAGAATTTTGGTACAGGTTTCAGGGACATGAATACAGAGATGGAGATTTGAAGACGTATGGTAAACAAAAGGAAAGATCCTCAGAAATTGAACCTTTAATTAAGTTGACACCTTATTTGGATTCGTTAAATGGTAAGGATAAAGAGAATAAAATACCAGAATGAATGATGGCATATGTCGAATTTGCTTTGGTTTGATGTAAAAACAGTTGAAAGTGCATTGGAAATTGCTAATACATATGAATGCAGTTCCTAGGAAGTCAGAAGAAATTAGAAAAAAGTATCAGAATGAAGAGCCAAGCTTGATTTTGCATATTCATAAATATCACTTTCGTTTTGAACAACAGGATGGAGCATTCACGTATAATGGGCCAGTGAAGGCTATCTTACATTACATACGAATGGAATTAATACCACCGGACTGTTTAGAAGTCTTTCAGAGCTCAAATATAAAGTTCTACGATGGTTGTCTTACAGTGCGCATCATTGATCATCGACATAGCAACTCTAATGAATCTAATCAATTTCAATCTTCTAACGCAGCATCCGCTTCAAAAGCTCCTCCTTCTTCTTCCTCTTCTCTTCCAAATAACGTAACAAATGCATCGAATGCACCCAATACGGAAGCATCTATTCACTCGCCAGTGCCTGCTTCGACAAAAGCATCCTCGTCTCCACCTGTTTATTATACCGTTCTTCGCCCTACCCCAGAGACATTGTATCAGGACTTGTGCTTGTTATCCGAAAGTTTAGCGGGACAACTATCGGATGAAAACATTCTGGACTTGGAGTCAAAAATTTTAGTTGCTTCCGAGCCGCCTCTGGTTTTAACGCCAGCTACCTCGAAACCACAAATGATCCATATCTTAAATCAACTGGCCGATGCCCCTCCGCCTTCAAAAAGAAAGCGACAGCAGGGATCTGCTCAACTGGCCGGCGAAGAAGCCGAGCGACTTGAAAAAGAAAACTTACTTTTGCTTATGGATGACCAGCGGAATCATGATTTTCAACCTACTTTCCAAAGACTACAATTCATTGAAAATGTCCGCAGGAAGCGTGCCATTTTACAGCAGCGTCAGCAATTGCAGCAGCAGCAGCAGCAAGCGACACGACAAGAAGCCGCTGCTTCTCAGATTTCTAGACAACAGCAACAGCAACAGCAAATGAAACAGAGAAGAACAACAACACCAAAAACTCAACGCCAAGCGCCTCCTCCCAACATTCATATTCCTCCTGTTCAGTCGACCATGCAAAAGCAAGCATTTCCAGCAGCTGTTCCCCCCTCAATGCCACAAAAAACGTCTAGTGGTATGTTATCTTTTATTTTTTACTTGTTGACTTGCTAATAACTTTCCGTTTAGGCACTTTTCCTCCTTCCACGGGTCCAGCATCAGCAAATTCTCCTGTTGTCAAACGGGAACAACACATGGATATGAATCGTATTCGACAGTTAGCCATCCTTTTTCAGCAAAGAGCTGCTCAGATGAAAGCACGAGGAATGACACGTGAACAAATAACGGAATTATTGAATCAGCAAGCAGCTGTAGCTGGAACTGATTTACCTACCATAATGACAGTTGCTAGGAATATACACTTGCAACAGCTTCAATTACAGCAACAGCAGCAACAAATGAAATCCGAGCGACCATGAGAAGCTTTTTGACGATTTCCCTTGTTGAACGAGAAAGATACACAAGAATTAATTTATGTTTAATTGTATATATTTCGACTTTACTTTCTCATATAATTAGTGTATATATATATTTTGATGTTTCCGCCCTATAAATTCGGAACTCGAAGTGTTACATTTTACTCTTAACCATGCACTAGCAGAGTAATGAAAATCGGTTTAGCTTCTGTCTTAGAGACAGGTTCTCTTTTAAGGAAAGGTATGTTTTTTATTGAATTTTTATTGCTGGAATATTATGATGAAATAATTTGCGATTGAGAGATGGGGAAGCTCGGGTTCTCGCCTGATCCCAATGGGCACCATCAATATGCGACCAATACTCTTCTGATATTTTCAGCTTTTCATTCATTTTCTATTTTTGAATGATCATGTTATTAACCATTTATTTAGAGAATAATCTAGTAGAATGAATATGATCACTCAAGTGTATGACTACGCGTTTTTCTAAATGTATGTTTTTAAATGGTTGATTAAAGTATACTGCAATTTCGGAAGATGTGATGAAATATTTGCTCATGAAATTTTTTATGATTTTTTTGCTAATACACCAAGATCTCTGAGATCTTCTTTGAAATTTCGGTATACTAATTTATTTCGTATTCTGAATAGGAAACTAACCATTATATTTAGGACTGACTGTACTGCATGTAATAGAAATGATATAGAATAGGATAGGATAGATCTCTCAATGAAACATTTTACAGTACAGAAATGAATTTAAAGGTAGATGAACTATGTAAAAGGAAAAATAAGAATAAAAATGGAAGCGTTCAAACGCTGGTGTTTTAAACCATGTTTATTGATTTTCTAGGGGTTTATAAAAGAAAAAAATAACACCCAAAAAGTAAGCCCATATAATTTCTACCGTATTGAAGTTTTTATTTATCGTCGTCTGTTTCGATCTTTTCCATGTCTACTAATCGTTCGCCTCTAGCGACACGCTTAGGTTCGACATGGTGATTGACACCAATTTCACATTCTCGAAGTTTTGACCGCTGGCTGATGGTAGCTCCAGAAGCAACGATACAACAATCTAAACGAACACCATCTTCCACAATAATATTATCCATCAAAATAGAATTACTGACAACAACACCTTTGGCAATAGAGCAATTTCTTCCAATGATACTCTTTTTAATGTTGCTATTATCACCAATGGCGGTACCCTCATTGACCATGCAATCTCCTCCAACAAGGGCTCTTTCAGAGACAGTGACATCGATGAGACGAGGATCAGGTGTCAATTTAGCAATCTAAAAAAAAGTCAGTCAATGCTATTTCTGTTGAATGTAAAAGGGAGATCAAAAAACATACGCATCTATTGAGTTCAAAGTAATTGGACAAATTATTTGCACGAGCGCAAAGAAACTCTTCTTTGGCAATAAAGGTATTTATAACCAACTCATTAGCACTATCTTCAATATTCTCATTTTCAGAGTTTTGCAAATCTAAAGAGTTAATATAAGGATCATGGACAACCAGCCAAAATGAATATGGAAACATACATCTGTTGATATCTTCGCGGACAGCAAAAGGTCTTTGATATTGACATTTTACCAAGTAAGGAATCAAGTCACTGCTGATAGAGGAAATGTTTTCCTTTTCCCGGATTAGATCGACTATCCAATGCTTAAAAACGTAAATATGAGAATCAACCAGGTTTGTATGAAGGGTGATGTTGGGATGCTTCCATAATAAGGACATTCGAAGTGATAAATCCCCTCCAATATCAGCAGAACTTTTAGCGTACAATAATCTCTGTGTCGATTCTTCAACGCCGATCAAATGCTTCTCGGTAATTTCCTTGGCCTGGTTCGTAGTGTGCTCATGTTTTAGTACATGACTATATACGACAAGAGCAGAAGGGTCATTTAAACGAAAATGATCTAAAACCATGTAAGGTTGCAAATCAGTTATGCTGTCACAACTTAGACAAACAAAATCAGTCTTCAACCAGAAGTTAATAAACAGGATTCAAAAAGGAACTAAACTAATAGAAAAAAATACCTTAATTAAATGGGCTACCGCACGAAGAGCATCAGCTGATCCCATAGAATCGTCCATCACAGTAGGAGCTTCCACATGTATCCGCAAATGGCCGTCGTAGCCAGAGCGTAACCATGAGCTGATATGAGCCTCAGCTTCCTCCATACAGATAATAATCACAGAGCTGAATCCAGCAGCTTCTAACCAGTACAGAGGGTAATGAAGCATGGGCTTATTGCCAACAGGTAGCAATGCCTTTGGCAATGCATCGTTTCCGGTTAACGGGTATAAACTGCAGCAATCAGTTAGTAAAAGCATCTGAAGACTCGGAAAGAGACCAGTTTTTATCGGTCGCTGATATACCTACCTGTTACCAAAACCAGCAAAGAGAACTGCTTGAAATTCAACTGGAATTGACTGAGACTGAGAGCTTGGACGACTTCTGCTTCCAGGGACAGCGTTAAACATCGTAGGGGTATTTGTAAGAGGCAATGCAGTCGGTTCGTACAGGATTGACATTGTGGTCAAGTCTTTTTTTGCCAAGAAAATTTATCCTATGGAACCTAGAGAAATGCAGATCCTAAAAAACGACAAAAATAAAATAAGTGAAATAATAACAAAAGAAATGCACCGAATCTAATGATAATAAAGAGAAATGCTATTTCTTAAAGAACTATGCCTTTGGTAAGTAAATAGTGTCGAGGAAAACACATCCGTAAGTAATTTAGCATAGCTGAACGATATCATTAGTAAATAAACCGGTTTTGCAAAATAGGAGATTGGAAACACACTCATTCTCTCGTTTGCATAGGAATGAATTCACTCGGTTCACTTGATTGAAAGGATAATTTTAGATGCATTGAGTTAATATGCACGCATGAAAAATTCTTGTGAATCGGTAGTCTAAAGCCTAGCCATGATTGTCGATGAACAAGAAAATAAATACAGAACCTCTTGGAAAGAAAAGATGGAACGACCTCTTCCTTCTAAAGAATCTAAAAAGATTGAGGTCTGAACTCGTTTGAAAGTTGATTGGAATGGAAACGAAACCAAAAGCCATCTGGATTCAAAAGCACAGTTCCAAGTCTACAGCTCTAAAAGGGAATGTGAAAGATTTTATATTTATAATCTCTCATGTCTACGAGTTTCAGCATCAAAGAATTCACTCTTCTTCCTTTCATACCATCCATCGAAAGCCGAGAGCGATGACAATCGCTGTATCTATGCTGCGTTCATTTTTTTTGTGGATTATAATTTCATCTTCATTTTCTTCTAAGATTTCCGGGATTTTCTCTCTTGCTCGTCTAACTGCCTATACTAACAAAATTTTCATTTTGTTTTGATTTATTTATCTTTTTCATCTGTGATCATCAAAGTAGATAACATCTGATAAAAGTACTCTCAACGTGAAAGACTACTTATTTCGCTACCGGCACAATTTTAACTTACCCTTAACCATATACTTAACTAAGGAGGTTGATCCAGTGAAAGCTGTAAGGACAGATTTTCCTTTATAATACTATTGTAAGTCAAAAAGAAAAAGAAAGAAAGAACAAACGAATGAAGAGAGGCCTTTGTTGAGTGTCAAATTCTTAGTTGCCTATGATGATTTCCATTAAATTTTAGATGCTAGACTTCTGAACTTCATATTATGTAGCAATTGGACTTCTGAGGTGAATCGGGACATTAATTTGGTTTGATGAGTATAGAAAAAGAGAACATCTTATTGTTCACCATCATTAAAAACGTTGGAAACCTTGGTTTCTCAAAGGAGTTTGAAGGTTATACTTTTATTCCCTTTATCTTCTTTTGATTTCATTAAACAATGGATTGAATGCTTAATCCTTCGATATATGTTTGTTCCTGAATTCATGTTTTTGACACCATCTAGAAAGGAAATTTCGGTTGTTTTTCCTTCGTTTTCCTTTCCTGTATTTTTTCTATTTCATGAATACATGGCTAACCTAGATTACAGCTAAAATGTGCGGTATTCTAGCCTTAATGTTGGCTGACCGACATAGCCAGGCTTGTCCTGAAATTTATGAGGGTCTTTACAGTTTGCAGCATCGTGGACAAGATGCCGCTGGTATCGTTACTGCTGGTAACAAGGGTCGACTTTATCAATGTAAAGGATCAGGTATGGTTTCCGATGTTTTCACTCAATCTCAGCTTCGTCAACTGGTCGGTAGCATGGGTATGGGCCATGTTCGTTATCCCACTGCTGGAAGTTGTGCGAATTCGGAAGCCCAACCCTTTTATGTAAATTCCCCTTACGGTATAGTTTTGGGTCATAATGGTAACCTCATCAACGGACCCGAGTTGCGTCGTTTTTTGGATACAGAAGCTCATCGCCACGTCAATACTGGTTCCGATTCTGAGCTTTTATTGAATATCTTTGCCTACGAGCTTCAACGTATGGATAAGTATCGTATCAATGAAAACGATATATTTGAAGCTCTTCGCAATGTCTACGACAGAGTCAATGGTGGTTACGCATGTGTAGCCATGATTGCCGGTTTCGGTATCCTTGGTTTCCGGGATCCTAATGGCATTCGTCCTTTGGTAATTGGTGAACGCGATACCCCTCAAGGAAAAGACTACATGCTTGCTAGTGAAAGCGTAGTCTTGACTCAATTTGGGTTCCGCAATTTCCGTGACATTCGCCCTGGCGAATGTGTCTTTATTCGTCGTGCTGATCGCGACGATATTTTGTCTGGCCAAAGAGGCCCTACCTTGTTTAGCCGTCAAATTGTCCCTTGCAAGCGATTTAGACCTGATATTTTTGAATATGTCTATTTTGCCCGTCCCGACTCTGTCATCGATGGTCTTTCTGTTTATCAGTCTCGACTTAATATGGGCGAAAAGCTAGCCTACAACGTTATGAAGCGTTTTGGCGAGGATTATGCTAGTAAGATAGATGCTGTCATTCCCGTTCCCGATTCTGCTCGCACTAGTGCTTTACAACTTGCACAAACCGCAAATCTGTCCTATGTTGAAGCATTTATTAAAAATCGCTACATTGGTCGTACTTTTATAATGCCTGGCCAACAAATTCGTCGCAAGTCAGTCCGCCGAAAACTAAACGTTCAGCTTCAAGAATTCTATAATAAGAATGTTTTGATCGTTGATGACAGTATCGTTAGAGGAACCACCTCTCGAGAAATCGTCCAGATGGCTCGTGAGTCTGGTGCCAAGAATGTATACCTTGCTAGTTGCGCACCTATGATCACGCATCCTCATGTTTATGGTATTGACCTTGCTGATTGTAAGGATTTAATTGCCTATGGGAAGACAGAGGCCGAAGTTGCTGAGTCCATTGGGGCTGATGGTGTTATCTATCAAAATCTGGAAGATTTGGTAGCTTCTTGTACTACTGAAAACGTTTCGGACTTTGAGCTTGGTTTATTCACTGGTGAATATACTACTGGTGCTAGTATGGAGTACCTTGTTTATCTTGAACAAATGCGTATTGCCAATAACCGTGCTCGCAAGAACAGTTTCGCTGAGGATGAGGAACGCGAAGCCCCCGATGACATTTCCTTGCATAACACGCATTCTGATCCTTCTTTTGACTAAAAAAAATTCTTTTTTTTGGATATCTTTTGATACGAATGTGCTTTTTAAATATTGGACTCATTTCCTTAATTCCCTACTTCACCCATATTTACATATAGAGATTCAAGCAGATAATGTTCAAGATGTTTCTTAATTTTTTACGCTCTTCTTTTTAATTTGCTTTTCTTAATTCTTTAATACTAATGCTTGAAATAAATATTAATAAATAGTATATACCATCTGAAATGCTGGCACGTAGTTATGAAGCACTCAAAACGTAGACAGTAGGTTGTTTCTTTGTTGAGTAAATCTTAAGTCTTTTACCTTCGTATTCCTAATCCTACTCATCGTGCTCATTATGCAACCCAGAGAGTCGATAATATGAGACAAAGCTGCTCGATTTCCAGTTTCTGGCAGTTAGTTTTTAGACGTCCTCTCAATAATCGGTATACGAAACATTTCTATGGCTTAACCAACTAAGATTTCAGTTATTTACAAGCATAAACGAATTTAGACTTTAATTTTCAACTATAGTGCTTTGACTAGCAATAATTAAATGCTTGGGCAAGTTCTTATCGATAATCATGTCCGAGAGCCGGATACCTGTTTCAGAAACCTCCAAGCCTGCCTTAAATGAAGGTTATGAAAGAGGTTTAAACAACTTGCAAGATGATGCATCCATTTATTCAAATGGACGTTCCAGAAAAGCGTTTGTAGGGTCCCGCAAACAGAAAGGAAGAACAGCAAAGCGAAAAAAAAGCCAAAAAGAAGATGAGTATGCTATTAACAAAAATTTCCTTCGAAACGCCTTTTTTTATTGCATCTTCTATGTTCGCTTTCTTGGATGGACTTTATGGAGAAGCTACTCAATTTTAAAATTCCTCGTCTACTATCGTAAAAGAATTATTCTAATTACTTTCCTTCTGTTAATGTCTCCGATTTTCTTGCTGACGCAAGATTATGAAACCGCTCGACTAAGGACTATTAACTGGATTGTTGATTACATTCGTCGGTTTACTGCTATCTGGAAGCCCAACTTTGAGGCTACTAGCCCTCCTTCCTCGAACGAAAATATAAATGTCTCTTATGAACTCTTCACCGATTATCCAGAACAACGTTCCCTGGTATGTACGGCTATTTCGTTTCCCTTTCTTCAATCAGTTGATGCATTATTTACCAGTTTTGATCGAGTGGACAGCGGCTCGTTTGGCCGGCCGTCTGAAGAATTGTCCAAGCTTTACAAATCTGCTATTGAGAACACTAAAGACTTAGAAAATAATTGGAACCTTTTATGCACGGATGATGCTCTCAATCCGAAAAATTCGAAATGGAATCTATTAGAAAAGGACGCTCAAGAATATGACCAAGCGCTAGATTCTTTACAAAAATGCTTAAAATTGCTCAATCATATGGCACGTTCCGTATATGACTTTAAACGGTATAATGATCCTTTTAATGTGCTGATATTAAAAGATATAGAACAGGACTTTTTCGCTCTAATATTGAACTATGCGCATTCATTACCAGAGATAATAAAGAAACAGAATGTATTAATAAGCCTGGTATACCCTAATAGAACAGCAATGACAACAGAGATTGGACATCTTTCGGCAAAGTCTGAGAAATCAAATAATGTCCATCATTTAGAAAACTGTCCGTCCACGGTTACAAAGGTTGCTTCTCATGAAACCTTAACAAACCTCACGAAGAGTTTGGATGACGCTCGAAAAGATGTTCTAAAAGCTTTTGAATCACTTTCGGTCAACTCTTCTTTAAATCGGCTGAAGGATATATCGAGAAGCTATGTAGAGCAAACAGTTAGCCGTTTAAAGAATCCCATAGTCAGTCAACCCAATTTTGCCTTGAAAGCTATTGGTGCAAGCATAGATTATGCATGGACTTTTCCAAAGCCAACTGTTTCTGAGATTTTTAAAGAATATTGGAGCAAAAAAACGAATATACCAGCTGTATTACTAAGCGACAATATCAACAGTTGTTGGTGTTCCACCCAATCCCTTGCTCAAGTCGCTATTGAAGTTCCAAAACCTATATACATAAGTCATATCTCGCTACTACAGCCTGTTCATGGAGACGAATCGAGTTTTCCACAAAAATTACGTGTATTTGGACTATTGGATAAACACACCAATGCCAATGAAGCACTGAAAAATCAAGAATCTCTTCTACTACTTGGAGAAATACCAGTTCCCCCAATGCTATCCACCGTTGCAACAGTCTTTCATCTACCCAAATACTCCGAGAATCCAGAGCAATTAAGCCAGTTTTTTTACAAACGCTTTGTCATACAAGCTTCATCATCTAGAGAACATTCTAATTCACTTTGCTTATACCATATTGGCATTCATGGAAAGGAAATAAACCTTCAATAATTCAAGATTTTGTCATTCCCTTACCGTTCCTATACTTTTATGTCGTGCCCAGATTTCGTGTTGAACATGAATGCAACTTGATTTGCATTTGTTTAGATCTTTCATTGCTAGTATCTCTGTCATATATCTATAACTTCCTTGTTTTTTTGTTTACTTTCTTATAGAATACCTAGCTGCAATAATAAAAGTAAGTTATTATTTTACTAAATATCCAACTACCCTGTATTACGAGTGTCTCTACTTACCAAATACTAACCCTTTTAAGTTCATCAGAATGTCTTCTGAATTCTCTACAATCCAGCCTGGAGGGTAAGTATAGAACTATTGTAAAGGATAAAAATTAAAAAGGAGAACACTTATTTCTTCAGAACCATATGTCAAAACAAGATGTGTTTCCAAAGCTTTCTGTAACCAAGAGTTACCCTTGATATACCCTCTTTCTTTTTTCTTTTTATTTTTTGAAAAAAACATTGGGTTTCTTGGTATTTCTGCTAACTCTCGAATAGATCGTTGATTCTCGCATGGCGTATTCAAGGAAAAAAGGTCTTAGTAATTGGCGGCGGAGCAGTTGCATCTGGAAGAATCAATCATGTTTTAAATGCTGACGGAATTCCAATTGTTGTTAGTCCTGAGAAAGGACTTTGTAAAGAGGTAGAGTTTCGCATCCATGAAAAACAAGTGGAATGGAGAAATCGAGAATTCTCTCCAGAGGATGTTACAGATGATATAGCCATGGTTTTATCAGCAGTTGATGACCCTTCTTTGTCTACTCAAATTTATCAGTTATGCCAGTCTAAACGAATTCCTATCAACGCGGCTGACATTCCACCAGAATGCGATTTCTACTTCGGCGCAGAGATTCGAGAAGGACCACTTCAAATTATGGTAAGCACAAATGGTAAAGGTCCCAAGCTTGCTACCATCATTCGCAATCATATTCGAGACAATCTTCCAGACGGTGTATCTCCTGCTATTACCCAAACCGGACTATTGAGACAAAAGCTTAGAGAACTAGCACCTACGCCAGAAATGGGAAGAAAACGTATGAGGTGGATGATCCGCCTCTGTGAGAAATGGACCTTAAACGAGCTGGGATCTCTAAAAGAAGAGCACATGGACAAACTGTTATGCCATTTCCCTTCTTCCGTCCCTACGTATAAAGAATTGACGAGACCACCACCTAGCGCATTTGCGAACTGCATTTGGGCTACCACTATTCTTCTGACAGGCGGTCTGGTTTTTGCAAAATATTGGAAACAACGTTGAAACACATACATCTTATATTTTTTGGTTTTGATTAATTTTACTTGAATGAAGAAACCTCAAAAACTAAAAAAATCTATATCTTCAAACATTTAAAATTCTTACGCGTTTCTCTTTAACGAGAGGATCGTTTCTATTTGCCGTTATTAATAACCATCAAAAAGTTTTATTTTAATATTATCTTTACAAAGTGTATTTGAAGTCAAAGTAATTTTTGTCAAATGCATGAACACGAACGTAACCATCTTCTCCTCCACTGGCATAACCAGTGCCTTTAGGATGAACGGCAATGGTGTTGATGGGACCAAAGTGACCCTTGACACGACCCAATTCCTCTTCTAGAATAGCATGATAGAAACGGGTCTCGAATTTACCCTGTCTAGAGGCAGTTGTAGTGACATCTCTAGCTTCTTGACCACCACCAACTACGACAAAGTCTTGAACTGGGGTAATGCTTGAAGTGTTCAAAGGAGTGTCGGTGAGATAGGTCTTAATAACTTCGAAAGACTCAACATCGATGGCTTTGGCGGTGGTATCCTTACAAGCAGTAACGAAGTATGTACGATCAACTGAGAATTGTAAGTCCGTGATGCTTGCACCAGGATTGTGAACTTGCTTGGACTCCAAATAATCACCAGTTTTAGCATCATAACGAGAAACGGAGCCGTCATCATGACCGGTTATAAGGTACTTGCTTAAATAAGACCAGCCAGCAACGGTAGCCTTGGACTCACGGGTTGTGATAACATACAAGGGAGTTTCGGCGGCAACGTCGTTTTCAAAAGAAGGAACGCGGACAACAGTGACTGTACCAGAAAAACCCATTCGTTGTTCAGTAACGGCAAGAATCCGTGAATCATCCTCGTTAAATTCCACACGCTTCACAGCGGTAGGGAATTCCCATTTGAACAATTGCTTTCCGGTCTTTACATCCCAAAGGCGCATCGTGTTATCGGCAGCACCACTAACCATTAAGGCGCTGTTCTCTACACATCAGTCATTAGTAAAGGTCTTCAGGCACGACAACCCAAAAATACTCTCATAAGCCATCCATCTAAACGGAAACCCAAATCGTGCGTAAGCCCGGATTTTTTTTCATATGACACCAAAAAAATTCCGCCATTCATTTTTATACATAAAAACCGTCCTTACGCTATGTTCCTGTCTATGTTTCACGTGTCAAGCTCTTAAGAGTTTTTCCTGTAAAAATTTTTACTTACTGCTTATGTCACAAGTCCAAATAGCACCAGTATGTCCCTCGTAAGTTCCTAAACGTTCTCCGTTGTGGGAAAACCAAACGTTAATTACCTTGTCTTTGGCACATGAAAACAACAAATCACCCTACACAAATCATTAGCACAAAGATTCCTCCCAAAAGTCACCAATTCATCATTCACGTACATCGTGATTGTATTTAATTTGTGTCAAAGGACGCTCGTGCCCTTGTAAGATGATGGGTCTCATCCTTAGTCGTGTCTGGTAAAGGGAGAAAACGAATTGACTGTCGGTGTAGTCTTTCCCTAACATTTACCGAATAGTCGTTAATGCACTGTAAGTTTTTTCTGCGCAGTGCAGGAACTATTTATTACCAACGCGTAAGAGTGTCCTAAAATACAATTACGTGGTTGAACATATGCTCTCAAAAGGGTGGAGTGTTACGTTTGGGGTTTAAAAGTAAACAAGAACAACATCCTTTGTAGTTAAAAGCATTCCCTTCGAAATTTGATAATCTTGATTGGTAGTCCTTTTTTATTCCATAAATTGTTTAAATAAAAGGTGTTCTTTGAGCTGTTAAGAGTCTTGAAATTGCAATATTGGAGCGGTTTACTTAAAAGAAGTTTATGCTTTGAAAGTGAATTCGGTTAGAAAGATTACTGAATACGGAAAGATACCATTGTTATCTATCACCTGCTTGAGATTCTGCGTCCATTACTTCGTTCAATTTTCTAGAATTGCTATTATTTAACTAATTTACTATGGGTAGCTTATTAGACTGGTTAATTCATTTCCCTCCTTTATTATGGGGTTTGGAGCAAGTTGAGGAAGTTGCCATTCGTGCACTTAAGCATGGGAAAATTCCTCAGCACGTCGCGTTTGTCATGGATGGAAATCGTCGGTGGGCGCGTGAACACCGCGTGGAGACTATTGAAGGTCATAGTTTAGGTTTCGAGACTTTGAAGAATGTATGTGTTGCGCGCGTCGAGGCTTCATCGTTTTTACTAACGCAAATCTTTAGCTTCTTCGAGTCTGCCTGAAGATGGGTGTCAAGGAAGTATCTACATTTGCATTTTCTATCGAAAATTTTAAACGTTCGAAGCATGAAGTAGATGCTCTAATGGATATCGCCAAGAATAGTCTCAATCAAATTACCGCTCATGGGTAGGTTTTCATTGTTGTTTTGTTCCAATTCGTATTAACAACGCTTTCTTTAGGGACATGGTGGATCAGTATGGAATTCGAATTCGTATTGTCGGTGATCTAGCTCTTCTTAAACCAGATGTTTATGAAACTGTCGTGAACGTTGTCGAATCAACAAAGAATAATACTAGGTAAGGTTTTTTTTGCCAACTATTCTCTAACTGGTGTTCTAGGGCTACTTTGAACGTTTGCTTTCCATATACTTCCCGTCACGAAATATCTAACTCTGTGCAAAGCATTGTTCATTTAGCAGAAGACGGAAAATTAGTGCCAGAGGATATCGATGAAAGTTTATTCGAGAAACACCTTCTTTTGAATGATAGCCATCCTCTTGACTGGTTGATCCGCACCAGCGGTGTTGAGCGTCTCTCGGATTTTCTGCTATGGCAGGTAAGAATATCCAACGTCTATCCTGTACTTTACTAATGAAATACTTTAGGTCCACGAGGATTCCCAAATTAGCTTCATCGATAGTTATTGGCCTGACTTTTCTATTTGGCGTTTTTTTCCAATGCTCATCCGCTACCAACTACAAAGTCAACAGGGAGAATAAAATATTGTCTCTATTTACGTTCTGTCCCATACTCACTACTTCCCTTCCTTTCTTTCTTTTTACCTCTGATTAGTAATTTACTGCCTGTTCTTATATTGACGTCCAATTGTATGATGGAAAATCTGCGATATTTATTCTTACATTTTACATTATGAATCACGACCAAAAAAGTTAACAACTTCTAAATATGCCTGATTCTCTCTTTGCACAGCTGCAACGCACCGATTGTCATCATAATGGACTTGCCAGATGCCTGAAACATCCGTTAATAGAAACTTAAGTAGCTTTCCTGTTTTTATGTCCCATAATTTTAAAGATCCGTCATTGCTACTAACAATCTTGTGTTCATCAGCTTGTAAAGTTCGTATATATCCACCGTTCGCGTACATTACCATTTGCTGAATACCACTTTTGAGGTCCCATATTCGAATCGTTGAATCAGCAGAACCAGAAATAAGTTTATCCTGTACAATATTCAGTAAAGTAACCGGTAGTGAATGTCCTTCCAAGGTGTACAAACATGCCCGTGTTCGTAAATCCCATACTTTAACAGTTTTGTCCATGCTACTGCTGATACATAGATTCTTCTCCGGTTCATAGAGAACGCTATATACCCTAAGGGTATGCCCGCGTAAATGGCATAAGCATTCACCAGTAGAAATACGCCAAACTCTTATAGAATAATCGTAGCTTCCACTGACCAATATATCCCCATACCCTGAAATGCACCGGACTGATTCTGTGTGACCCAGAAGTGTGTGCACATAGTAAGGATTTTTTTCCCATTGCTCAATAGATGTTGACTCGCTGGGTAGATAACGAGGATCATTTTCCTCAGGAAATTTCCATACTCGAAGAGTGTGATCTCGAGATCCGCTAACTATATAAGGGCGAGAAGGTTCAATAACAACCTTTCCATCACGAAAAACCCTTTTCGGAGTTAATATTTCGAGACAGCGGATTGTAGATGTATGACCTCGAAATATATGTGTACATTCTCCGGTTTTCATGTTCCATACGCGAATTGTTTTATCTAGGGACCCGGAGACGAGTGTGTTTCCATATATCTGCACGGCCCACACGCCATCTTTGTGACCATCCAAACGGGTTTCTAAAGCTCCTGTCACGGCACTATGGATTTGGATACTTCCAGACTCGGAACTTATCACGATCTTGTCGTTATGGATTCTTAAAAAAGTGATCATTCGATCAGAATCGTGTACAGGAAAAGAAAGATGAGAGGGCGGTATAGCAGGAGAAATCCAACGTTGCTTTTTTACGTAATGTCTTTTGAAAATCTCGTAATAATACTCATCAGCGATATGATCATTATGTAAGAATGGCGGCGGAGTTTTCAAAGGATAAGCATACTTCCAATCTTGTATGTCGACGGAGAATCCTGACTCTTTAAATTGTAGTTTCCAATACAGAGTAAATGACATAAATATGTTTTTCCATTTTTTATGTACAAGAGGTACTGTTAAAAAGGATTGGATATCTAGGTATCCCAATATTTCGCGGACAATGAACTCGGGTAAATGCGCCAGTAAGTCCTTCTTTAATAAAAGCTCACATTTATTCATGAGTGGCCGCATGTTCTGTCTGTCACAAGAGCGTAGTAATTGAAAAAAGGTGTATGCTTGAATGTTTTCAGGCAAAGATTGATACTTCTCAGCAATGGACATCAAATTTAACGGTTCAGGTTGAGAAGAAGAACAAAAGGCAGATCTTCTTTGGTTAATAGGAGTTAACGATGCATCCACTTTTGGAGAAGGAGGGATACCATACGAATTTGGAGCTGAGGAAACATCATTTCTTCTGCATATCCGTTTGCGATGACTAACAGTTAATCTTTCTGATAGAGCAGAAGGACTAGACGATAATAAGTTTCTTTGCGGGACTAAAGCGACATCGAATTCTCTAACATCTTGTGAAGAAGTCATATCGTAGAAACGATAAGAGACATCTTCAGAATTAACGTTGAACTGTTTTAAGGAATCAGGGAGCGCCGACTGCCTTAAGGGATATTGCTCATATCTACTTCGATTTCTTCTTTGAGCTGATACGATGGAAGAATCCTGAAATCTTTCTGAAAGGACTGAAGAGTCAGAGGGTTCTGGAGGGGTTGCTGGATTACTGTTCATCAAGGACAAAGAATCATTAGTATTAACAGAAGAACTTTCTGTAAAATAATTAAAAGACATGAAAAAGACAACTGAGTATTAGAAACGGAGAATGATTGAAACGAAAGACGAACAGAAATTAATAATTCATATACAATTTAGTAGGGACAAAAACGTATAATAAAGAAAATGAGATAAAAATAAAACAGAATATCTCGGAATGTGAAATGGATCAGGAAGTGTTCTGTTTACAGGTAGAAGACTTATGAAAATGAATGACTTTGAAAACACCTTCGGAAAAGAGATCAAGGGCTCAAAAATGGAAGCAAAGATTTTTTTAATCTAGTTTTTTGAATAATAGAAGCTTGACGATCCTAATTCCTAGTCATGAAAATGCATTGTCAAATTGCCCAAGAATGAATGAAGCTGAGTGGGGTTCTAGGATGTTTAATGTGTTGGACTAGTCAGAGTGAATTGTTTAGATGAGCTAGCATAGAGAAACGTTTCAATCTATTAAAAATAATATTTTTAGAAGAAGAAGAACCTAAAACAAATTTATTCAAATGTCAAGCAAGACCCTGGTTTGTCAGTCACTTCCATTCTATCTAGAAAAAAACTTGAAATAGTTACAATTATAGTTGCAATTTATAAAAGGCTGAATAGAAAAACACACTACAATTGACTTCTACTTGTCAATGCGGTTGCCAAACATGGATTATGATTACTCTTAAATGAGAAGCTCTCTACTTGTGACAGGGAATTTCAGAAATATCAAAGGATCATTCGTTTTTTTGCTATAGAATATTCTTCAAATTGAGATGTAGGAGTTCCCATCGCAGGACTTGTTGAATTAGTCACCTGCAGAAGGCTCTATTGAAAGCCAAGTTAGAAGGTAGGATGAAACTGTAGTTCAACTCAACATACAGTAAGGAATGTTTGTCTTGAATCTCTAAGAACAAGTTTAGAATGCGAGCCCCAAGACGGTTGCTCTCACATTGAAGATCTTCACTTCACTCACTGTTTGAAGGATAGCTACCAATATGTTTATTTTATTTACAAGTTAAAAAGAAGATAAGGCCCATTTATAGATAATAAAATCCTAGGCCATACCTTTTCAATTGTAAACAAACCGACGCGATGCTGGAAACAAAACACAATGAATTTGGGCGAAGGCCACTCGTTATCAGAGAGAATTTTAGCAAGTAAAAAAAGATGCATAAGATTTAAGAAATGAAACATCGCATACTCGTGTAAGTACGAGATTGTCAAGTAGGCGATCAAAAAAAGCGCGTCTTTTTCGTGTTTACCATCTTACGTTAAGCTTCTTTACCATTTGACAAATTCTCTCAACATATAGTTTATAAAAAAGCAGAGAGAACGCGTCTTCCTTTTCCTGCTTCTTTTAGGTACGCGTTTTTTACATGATCCTTTCCTTAGCACAACACTTCCATTAACCCATCAAACCTCTTAATTTTAAAATACTTCCAAATCAAAATAGTATCTCTCCATGGATTCCTATAGAATGCACCCAAAACTGATCGAGGAAAATCGTGGTAGCTTTTTTCGCGTCCTTTTTCGCAATGATCAAATTCCTGTTGAAGGCTTCCTTTGGAATATAGATCCGGTGTCTGGGACTTTATTTCTTTTAAAAGACCCATCTGCTTCTTCTTCAATACCCTCGTCACATTTAGAAGAAACTGAGCACCGTGTTTACAGTATCATGTCAGATGCGATTCGAAGCTTTGAGAAAGATGATTCTGTGCAGCCTCTTTCACCAGAAGCTTTACTTGAATGGGATCATCTTTTAACCTAAAATTCGTAGAAAATTCGTGAAATGGATTTTATGTTTTCATTGAGATTGAAAAAGAAGTGAGCGAATCCGGTCTTTTTTTTTGGTTCTTTTTTGTTGAATCCTTTTTTTTTATACTGGTTTTGTATTTACAAATTATGGGAAATGAAGACTTCTATTCGATTGTGAATTCGTTCTCTATCACCGTCTAGCTTAGGCACTTCGGTGATATCATCACCATTTTAAGATATTACTTCCTTCTCGGCGGTTTCCCTCTGCCATTCACATATCTCACTTTCTAGACTGAAAATTGAATTATTGCTATGAATCAGTTGGATTTAAATGACCATGGAAAGTACGAAGTGCTTTCCAATGCATCATCAGAAAATTCGAGTGTCCAAAATGAAAACCCAGGAGAAGCTATAGTTATCGCTCATCGAGGGTAAGTCATTTTATTTATTGAAATTGCAGTTGCACTTTTAGCAGCATTTAATGCTAGCTTTTTCTTCTATTCTTCTGTCTGAATAGTAATGGTCAAGGTGTTCAGATCTTTGACATCGGTTGAATTTTACTCTTGATCATCAGTTAGCAACTGTACATTTACGGTCTGATATTGCTTTGTCTCTCCACGTTTTATGTATGTGTATTAACCAACGGATAGATACAGTGCAAAACAGCCAGAGAACACACTTGCTTCATTTCGAGAAGCAGCAAAAGCCGGCATAAGGCACATCGAAGCCGACGTTCGCCTTACCAAAGATGAAGTCGTTGCCATCTCTCATGACCGACGTTTGAAGCGCATGTATGGAGTAGATACATACGTACATGATATTGATTATGAACATGAAAATGGCCATTTTCGAACCATTCGAGAACCTTATGAGCCTTTACCAACATTTCATATGTTCTTAACGGAGTTGCTAAAGTATCGTGGGGTTCAATTGTATGTAGATATAAAGCCTGATGTTGACATTTTCATTATCCCGAAAATGGTTGACTGTATGCTTAACATCAATCTTGATTTAAATTTTTGGGCAGATAAAGTTATTTTCTGTATTTGGTCTCGTCGTTTTCTACCGGCTTGTGATAAGTACGCTCCTACGATCAAGATTTGCCATATTGGATTCAACTTTTCTTATGCTCAACAATACTTTTTAATGCATCCTCGAGTCATTGGAGTCAACATGGCCGTAGCGCTGCTTCTACTCCCTTCTTCACAGGACTTTATCGAAATGGTTCATGCTCTAAATAAAAAAGTTATTACCTGGTCCGTAAATACTCCCGCTGCATTCTACCTTTCTTTGAAAAGAAATTGTGATGGTGTCATTACAGATGATCCTGTTGTAGGAAAGGCACTTTGCAACGGACCCATTCTTACGAAAACTTGGTATTGGTTTGACTATAAAGAATGGTTTCTTCTGCTTATTGGTTTTCTCCGTGTAAATGCCATTTTTTATATTATTAGAAACATTTTTCTATGATTTTCGCTTTTCTCCTTATCATATGCTTATGTTGATTTCATATATGCTTTGTAAACCCTTTGGGAGTATCTATTGTGTTTGATATTCCTATATATTTGCTTTTTTGTTACCATATAAACTAATGACCTTAAAATAAGCTTTCTCCTTCTTTTTTTTCAGTTTAACTCTTGTCTTCCATGAATTGAATTGAATCGAAGTCTGGACTTTACCTAGTGCTTGCTCAGAGTTTCTAAATTTTCATTTACATATAATAATTTGTTGTTATTATTTTACTATCTATTTTTTCCAAGTCAGTAAATGGTCTTGTTTCTGTGTTTGATTTGGTAGATGCCTCTTTCAGACAACAGTGTTAGATTTTCATTTCATTGTTTATTATCTTTATGTCCTCTGATTATATGAAATATCATGGAGACTACTTGACCTTTTCTTTTGTAATTTTGAACCGTTTGATATTAACTTACCATTTCAGTCTCCATCTATAAACCGTGAATTAGCTGTAAATTCATAGGAATATAAGCAATTTAAAGAAATAGTAAATATTTCTAATTGTCTACATTTAAAGGCTAGTGAACCTACAGTTGGATATATCATTTCTACTAAAGTCGGTGTCTGTATTTTACCAGCAAGACTATCGAATGTCTAAAAATGGTAGAGTCTGACCAAGAAGCTGCTGGGACAGCTTCGCATACTTCAGATAATGAATCAAAACTTAATAATCAAGCAAAAGAAAAGAATGCTGCTTTGCCTGCTGAGACGAAAAATGAAAAGTCTTCAGATACTTTAGAAATCGAACATAAAAACAATATTGTTTCCAACGAACATTCACTAGATACAAAATTAAAGAAAACAAAAGAAACAAACAGCGATGAAGTCGGTAATGATGACAACATTAGGACTGAGGAGGATCAACCAAAAGCAGAATTCAATGGATCAGTCAATGGAGAAGACAATGAGCAGCATAGCTCTGAATTAAATAAAGAAGAAATTGAAGATAATCCGAATGTAACGTCGAAGAATGCTGACCCAAAAGGCCCTGTTCCAGAAGAAAATGAAGACCAATTTCGGAATGAGAGAGAAACCGTCGATACAACCGAAGAGATTTCCAAATATGAATTTAAAGAAAGCCCCCCGGAGCAGTCTAATCAACCAGTCAAAACACCGGAAGTAAATAATGGCGAAGAAGAGTCTGAATCACAAAGTGAAGCGGTCAGTAATTTAACCAGGAAATCGATTGCTACCAGTGATTATCAGAAACAATCTACGGAAGCTAAACGATTACCTTTCCAGAATTCTGGCAAGCTGAATCCACATCTCTTCATTATAGACGCCTTTAAGCAAATGTCCAAAGCTAAATCTTTAAAGAAACACAAGAAACTTCGCGAGTCCATTGAAAATGTGCAAGTTGAATTGCAAAAGCAGCCCTTTTTGCTTCCCGAGACGATACTCGAACCACTTGTGATGGCTTGTGAAACAAATAGCGCTACATTGCTAACAATAACTTTAGATTGTTTTGCAAAACTAATTGATTATAACTATTTTGATTCCCCAGCTATAAACTCGCCGGAGATGTCTTTGATGGAACGAGTTGTAAATACCATTGCTTCTTGTTTTTTTGGTGACTCTACCCCTGAAAAAGTTCAACTGCAAATAGTTAAGGCTTTACTTGCAGCCGTAACTTCTCAGCGTACATTAATTCGCCATTCATCTTTACTTATGGCAGTGAGACAAACTTATAATATCTTTCTTTTATGCAAAAACCCCACCATTCAATCTACAGCCCAGGTTGCTATAATGCAGATGGTGGATTCTGTTTTTAATCGACTTTCCAATGTGCTCCATCAACAGGAAGAAGCCAATGCAGCGATTCCCCCTAAATCCACAGTTGAGCAAACTCTTATGCCGGATCCAAATCCCGTTTTACCCGCTGATCCCCCTCAAAGTAAACTCACCTTAGAATCCTTTGAACAACGTAAGAGTTTTGATCAAGTAAGAGAAGAAGCTCCTTTGGAGGGAGAAACGGTAGAACAGCAATTATTAAGGGATGCCTTTTTATTGGTCCGTGCTCTTTGTAAATTGTCAATTAAGCCCGTGCCTTACGAAAACGACTATGATTTGAAATCACACTCGATGCGTTCTAAGTTGATGAGTCTTCACTTAATTTACCGCATCCTTTATAATCACATGGACGTTTTCTCTAATGCCGGGATTATGATCAAGTCTCCATCATCTCCTCCTACACCTTTAATACATGCTGTAAAGCAGTATATATGTCTTTCTTTAGCAAAGAATGTTGTCAGTCATGTTCTTCCTGTTTTTGAAATTTCGTGCGAGGTCTTTTGGCTTGTACTATCTGATTTAAAAAATGTAATGAAAGCTGAGTTAGAAGTTTTCTTTACGGAAATATTTTTTCCAATTCTTGAAATGAGGTCTTCCAGTAATCAACAAAAGATTGTTCTGTTAAATGTTTTTCATCGAATTTGTAAGGAACCGCGAACCCTTATCGAACTATATTTAAATTACGACTGTATTAGTGGAAATACAGAAAACGTATATGAGCGTATCATCGTCACCCTAGCGAGGATTGCAAGCCAGAAAACTGTTGAGCCTCCTTCTGGATTTTCTTTTAAACCTGAGCATGCTGTTACTGACAGGGTCGGATTTGTGTATAATGACTTGAAGGATCTTCCACAATTAAGTGTTTCTTTTATAGGTAATTATTCCCATCTCCACGATCCGCCTTTCTTTGATTATCAAATTAAGCTGAAGTCATACAAGTGCCTTAATTCTGCACTTTCTTCGTTATACAGCTGGTGCAACCAAAATTTTGATTCAAGTGATTCTTCAGCTCATGATAATTTAGATAATTCTACGAGCAACAAGCTAGATGAGAGTCAAAGAAGCGTCTCCGATATCTCTTCTATTCGAAATAACGATGCCTCAACCGACAATATCGATACATCAACAACTTTAGCTCTTGATGACCCTTCCCAATTTGAAAGCTTGAAGCATCATAAGAAACTATTACAAGAAGGAATTCAAAAGTTTAATTACAAACCAAAGCAGGGAATGAGATTTTTACTTTCGCGACATATGATTGAATCTGACTCTGCGAGTGATATAGCTAGTTTCTTACTAGATACCGAAGGTTTAAACAAAGCTGCCATTGGTGAATTTTTGGGAGAGGGCAATGAGGAGAACGTTGCTATCATGCATGCATTTGTGGATAAAATGAGCTTCAAAGATGTAGGATTTGTGAATGCTCTTCGTTCGTTTCTTCAAAGATTCCGCCTTCCTGGGGAAGCACAAAAAATAGATCGCTTTATGTTGAAGTTTGCCGAAAAATATGTTGATGATAACTTGGGTGCTTTCAGGAATGCTGATACTGCTTATGTCTTGGCTTATTCAATTATTATGCTGAACACAGACCAACATTCTCCGCAAGTTAAACAGCGCATGACCTGTCAAGATTTTATTCGAAACAATAGAGGTGTCGATGATGGCGGAAACTTAAGTGATGATTTTTTAGCCGACGTGTATGATGATATTCAAAAAAATGAAATTATAATGAAAGACGAACAGGGAGCGTCTATCTATAATGATTTCCCTACTCATGCTAGCCTCGGTTTTGCTGCAAACATAAGTAATGCTTTGGCTACTGTCGGCAGAGATTTACAAAGGGAGGCTTACTACGTGGCTTCAAATGAGATGGCTAATAAAACTGAAGCACTATTTAGAGATTTGTTAAAAGAACAAAAACAGAAAGGTAAGCTTACAGCTAATGATATTTATTATACTGCAAGACATTTCGAACATGTCGGTCCTATGTTTGAAGCCGTTTGGATGCCTATATTGGCCGCATTTTCTGAATCTTTACAGTTGTCTTCGGATACTACATTAATCCAATTATCACTTGGAGGATTCAGACTTGCGGTAGATATTATTTGCTTCTTCTCGATGGATTTACCCAGGAATGCTTTTATACAAACTCTTACAAAGTTCACTCATCTCAATAATATTTCAGAGCTCCAGCGAACAAATATGGATGCTTTGCGGGCTTTACTTGATATTTCTTTAACTCATGGCAATCAGTTGAAAGACTCTTGGAAGGATATTCTCCTTTGTATTAGTCAACTCGAACGAGTTCAGCTAATAACAGCTGGTGTTGACAAAAATTCAATACCTGATATTAATTCAGCAAAATTGATGCGTCACTCTGTTGATAAGGAACACCGTTCATCCCGAAGTGGGAGTGTTTCTTATAGATCAACTTCGACTACTTCTGCTAAACCGCCTTCCCTGGAAATTGCCAAGGAATACAGTTCTCGTGAAGTAGTAATGGCTGTCGATAAGGTGTTTTCAAATACACGGACTTTGGGCAGTGAAGGTATTTATGATTTCGTAAAAGCCCTTATTGAAGTCTCATGGGAAGAAATAGAATGTTCGTTAGAACTGGCGACTCCCAGACTTTTTAGTTTACAAAAGCTTGTGGAAATATCCTATTACAACATGGGCCGTATTCGTATGGAGTGGTCTAGCATTTGGTCATTGCTAGGAAATTACTTTACTCAAGTAAGTTCTCACGAAAATTCGGTAATTGCATCATTTGCTTTAGACTCACTTCGGCAATTTTCTATGCAATTTTTGGAAATTGAGGAACTTTCTCATTTCAAGTTTCAGAAGGACTTTTTACAGCCATTCAAGCATGCGATGGATTGTCAGGATGTAAAAATAAATGACCTTGTCTTACGTTGCGTTGATCAGATGGTCAAGGCTCGCTTTCAAAATATAAAATCCGGATGGGGACCTATATTTCAAATATTGACCTCGGCCAGCAAAATCCATAATGTTTCCATTTTACAATATGCGCTATCTATTATATCTACTATATACAATGACCATTCAAGATGCATATTCTTACAAGGTGCTTACTCTGAAATGGTAATGTGTCTTTCTAAATTTTCTCAACTGAATGGTAATCAAAAGTTCTGCTTAGTTAGCCTTGACATGCTGAAAAATCTCGAGGGACACGTTGTAGAGTACTGTGAAAGTGAGAACCTGCTTGCGTTTTCTTCAAAATCTGAGAAGCTTTACTGGTATACTTTACTACTCGCGTATAAGGACGTTATTAAGGAAGCGCCGGATTTAGAAGTGCGCTCGAGAGCCGTCAAGCTTTTATTCAACTGTCTGGATCGACGTGTAGTTGATTTCGATACTGATTTTCTAAATAAGTTATCTTTGGATATTGTTTTATCCATATTTTCCATCCTTTCTATTTCAAATTTCCAAAGGCTATATTTGGCGAAAAATACTGAGGAAACAGATGTATGGATTCTTACTACAATGGTAGAAGCCCTGCGAGCTTTTATTGAAGTTTTCACGAGGCATATGGAAAAGCTTCGTAGTTTACTGCCAAACGTCCTTTCCTTGCTTCAGAAATGTATATGCCAGGAAAATAATATGCTATCCAAGGTTGGAATTAGCTGTTGCGTACAACTGATCCAGAAAAATCGAAAACAGTTTAACGGGTCTGATTGGGATGAGGTTATACACTGTATCGATGAATTATTGAAGCGCACTTTGCCCATTGAGCTCCAAGATCATTCTTTGTACCCGCAAACAGGTACTGAGCCAACCGATGAAGAAGTAGAGTCAGCTTCTATCTTTTCTTTCGAATCCAGCAATTTGACCAAACAAGGCAAATCGAAAAAACAACAATTAAAGAACATTGTTGTTAAGTGTACTTTGCAGTTGTTAATGATAAACTGTTTGTGGGAACTTACGCACTTTGACAACATTCTTTCAGACATACCAAAGGAAAAAGCTTTGATACTTTTAGACCTGCTAAGTGAGTCGTGGAAGTTTGCAGAGTCGTTCAATTCGGATATTGAAATTCGTGCAAAGATCCTGTCATCTGGAATAGTGGACCATATGCCTAATCTTCTAAGCCAAGAAGCCTCTTGTGCAAAGTTGTTTTTATTTATAAGCTTCCAAAGTATTGCTTCTCTGAGAAGATATGGTGATAACGAACCCGACTTTGAGAAGTTTAGTAATGCCTTCCAACAGAAGATTTCAGATGCTTCCAAGTTAATTATACGAGGATTTCAGAGAGTTATTTTTGATAATCCTGTTAAGGGTGTTGCTGCTTTTCAACCCGTCATTACCGGTCTGGTCGAGTATATAATTTCTTTAGAAGATACTCAGTTCATGCGAGGACGCAAGGAATTTTACGAACTTTTCTGTGATATCCTTGCTTGCGGGCATATAGATAGAGCATTAGGGTCTTCAATGAGTAAGTTCTTCAAGCGTTATGCTGCTTTTCAACCCTAAGGATCCATAATTTGTCACAAGATATCCGATCTAATGATTTTACGTTACGATTCTCTAATAATTCCTCACGAATTTATCTATAGTGATTATAAATTAACTAGTGTAAATACTATAACCTTTCTGCTGGACTATTTGCTTGTTGATATTACAATGTTTGACTCATATACCGAGTTCTCAAAAAAAAGAATAAACCATATCAAGAAAGGAAAATAGCTAACTCATTATCATCTTATTTACAATAGCGTTCTGATTTCTTTTCTTCCTGTCAGTTGACATGTGTAATATGCCCTAGTCCATTCCTTGCAGCTCGTACCAACCGTAGAAAAACCCTACTCAACGTATGCAGCTCAATTAATGCATTTGCTATAGGAAATGTTAAAAAATGGTCTGAAAATGAAGAGTATAAGGAAATATTCCTGCTTTTCAAGACTTTTAAGAGGTTATAAGCCTCAAGGGTTTGCTTTTACTAAAGGTTTTCATAATGGTTCAACAGTAAACGATACAAAGGAGGACGATCATTTGATTATTTTAGAGCCTAAAAGGAAAAGAATTTCTTCTAAAAAATTTCAAAATGTTCCTTCAGTGACTCACAATTTTGTTGAATCCATGGCATCAGAACTCTTAAGAGATCCAGGAAATGAGGAGTCTATAACCGAACTGCGTCGAGCTCTAGATTCTTTAAAGCCAAAGGAAAAAGATATTTCATCGGCTAGACTCACTCAACTTGAAAAAGCCGTAGATAAGTCTTTTCGACTTCAGCAGCTTCGAAAACTCATTGAGTCCTTAACACTTAACGGAGCAGGAAAACAAAACAAGGCAGGACTTATCAAATATATTATACAAGACCACTGGAAAATAAAAGTTAAATCTTCAATTGAGGATGATTTGGTAAAGGAATTAGAATTGCAGGTCAGCCCTGTCGGCATGTTTTTCTTGCTATTAGATAAAGCAGCTGATGTCAAAAATTTGTCCAGAATACATGATTGTCATGTATTCTTTAATATTTCGGATTACCGTATTCGTGTCCAGGGAAAGAATAAAGCTGCGGAAAATATGAAGGACGATGTTTTTAATCGCCTTAACCAGATACAAGTGGCTTCATTTCAATTTCCGGAAGCCTTAGTGTCATTAGTAAAAGAAAATCTTAAGGAATTTTCTCAGAGAACGAAAGCCTTTCTTGAAGTTCGAAGCAAAACTGAATTGAAGATCAGTTCCATTCTTGAAGACGGAAGAACGTTTGAAGATATTAAGAAGACGCTGTATGCGTTGGTGAATGGGTTTTTTTGTGGAAATAAGTTTTATTCCGTAATTCCTTCTAAGAAACTAAATACTACAGTTGGTCTTAGGAACAATGCGTTCTCTATGCCATGGTTTACAAAAAATAACAATACCTGGAAAAGGTGGATGAAAGACGTTGGATACTCATGGGACACTAGTATTCAAAGAAGCGATTCCTTTGAAAATTTCTCAACAGTTCTTCCAAGTTTCACATCTGAGCATCCTGCATCGTCTCTCGATAATATTTTGATTACCCCACTGACTAATCAGAAAAATAGTGATTACTTACCAATCAACTCTTATATAAGAGAACATGAAGGTAGTTTTTTATTGGATAAACAAATGTCTGAACAATCTTCCCATTTTACCGATACTATACCTATTGACTATTCCCTGAAAGCAACTTTTGGGCATTCTTTATTCCATAGCAGATTTTTTTCTTCAAAAGAAAATGAATTTCATTCATTAGCCCCTTCAAAAAGTACCGATGGAAGTGCTTATAATATTTTTATTCCTGGTATCCCCAATCTCTTACCGACACTTTTCCATGTCATATCTAAAGAAGAGTTACTTAACTGTGAGTCTTTCAACGAAAGAAAGTTACTGTTTGTGCCAACTATCGAATCGAATCAGTTAAATAATCCACATTATCTGGAAATGTCGTTCTCATCCCCAGATAAAGATGATGGTTTAGAAAGGCAGAAAAAACAGTTATATGTGAAAAGCCATAAGCAAAGTCAAATGCTTTTACCAATGCATTCTGTTGACCTCTTAATGAGTTCCTGTAGTCGTCAAACAATCCCTTGGGAAGACGCATTTAGCGAGTATGCTGCCAAGTGTTTCCCATACTTGAGTGCTAAAAAGTTCCATAAATGTCCCAACCAACTTTGTCTCTATTCTCCACAAAGCGGTTCGAAACAAGACTATCATCTATTAACTTATGAAAAGCATGAATGTAAGAAATTCAGATTGGGGTCCTCCGAGTTATTATGCTCCTATGTTGCATCCCCATATTTTACTGGCGCGGTTTTGGAAGTTCAAGGCGCTTGTTCTATCGAGGACTTTTTGAAAAATGTTTGGAAACTTGTTGATCTTTACCAATTTCCAAATTGATGGACTGATTAAGCGTCGTATTTGGTGAAGTATCAAGGTTTCATGATGCTGTTCATAATAATGATTAAAATTACGCTGTACATTAATCAAACTTAAAAAATAATACATTTATAGCTTCAATTTTGTATGTTGGTCTCTACGTATGTGCCTTCGGCATTGGTTCAATAATTACTACTTTAAAGATGAATGGGTCCACTAAAATTCATGTCATCTTTCTGTTATCCTTTCAATTTATATTTGTATATACTAGATTTGTTTCTTATTGTTAGTTCGCCTGCGTAAAGAAAAAAAACTTACACTTCGTCGACTCTACCTAAACCAACTAGGCCCTCATTTTTATTTCACAATTGTTGGCCAATTTATGGCTAGAGTGAGCTTTTTTTTAATTTTTTTTACTGAAAAATAAGAAAAAAAGCATTTAAATGGTCAGCAACTAGGCTACTGTCGCCCGCTTGTGAAAATTTTGATTTTGGCAAAAAAAGTAGAGTCTTACGGCATTTTTGCTTCTGGTCTTGAATTGGCGATTACTGAGTACAAGGAAAAGAATTCCTTTTAGTTTTTTTACATTTGAAGGTCTCCTTTTCTGCATTTGACATTGGAAAGGTATTTTGTTGTTGAAAATAACAATTTTGCTAGAAACCAGGATCTTTCGGAATTTGTGGTATACTGAATTAGCAACTGGACGTCCGTTTCTCAAATCTCAAATTGGAAATAGTGGTAACGCTTCGTTGCTAATAATTCCCTTACGAAAGACCTATCGTATTCTTTTTCTTTTCTTTTTTTTGTATCTTAGTTTTTTCTTCTCGTTTTCTAATATCAAGCACATTTTGTGTCGAAAAAATAATTTATTACACTAATACCCAAATTGTTTATCTGTGTTTGCTGCTACCATTGGAAGTCTTTATTTTTCATTTTGTTTTAGCTTCATGCCACGCCCTCAATCTGATTTACCTCTTGAAAATGATCCTTCCCTAACACATGAGCCAAGTTTCTATGACTCCACTCCAAATTGGTATAATTCGGCAGCTTTTCCAAACTCGCAGCCCTTCCATCGAGGTCATCCTTCCTTCAGCCGAAGAAGTCGACTAAATTCCAGCGATTCTACACCATCAACGTCAATGTTGAATAGTCGATCTCCTTCTCGGGATGCATCGAATCATCAGTCTTTACCACGGCTTGATGGAGCTTCATCCAATTTTCCACCGTTTTCTCAGTCGAGTCATCGCCAATCTCGAAGGTCAGTTGGTCTCTCTCGTAGTAACGCAACTCGAATTTCAAGAAGGAATCTTCCTGAATGGATTGAAATGCTTACGGACATGAATTTCGACGAAACATTCCCTTTGCCTGCTCTTTTTTCTTCACATACGGAAAGACTAGTTGATCGTGTCTTACGATTGAATCGATATTTACAAGCCAACGATCATCGGGATGCCGGTTTAGGTTTGTCATCTATATCCCCAAGGGATCAAAGGGCTGAGCCGGTAGCTTTAAGACCAGCATTTCCAATTTCACCATCACCTCCTATTTCCTCTGAACGTAATGAACCATCACAGTCTTTCTTTTCATTCGATAATAACTCACATCCTATTTCTCCTCATCACTCATTTTCTCTTGTTAATAATCAACATACGGACGGACGCCGGTCCGAACATAATTCTCTGAGCAGTGACGGTAGTTCGTCGTCAACGGAAACAAGTTCTCAAAATCATCCTCTGGAAAATCTTCGAAATTCGTTGCATAATTCTGCGTTATCGTATTTAAACAGCTTGGCAAGCCGCGAGTTAAGTGGAAGCGGGCGCTCCTCACGGTCTAGTTCTAGGCCTAGTAATGTAAGAAAAAACTCTCTGATCTCTCTGTTTTCCCGACATAAACGGCTGTGTCGTCAACATAAAACTCGACAGGCAAAAAAACGAGTCAGGTTTCTTTCCCCTTCTTGGTGGCTTCGCAGCGGTTCGCTTTTTCAAGGCTCTCAATTCGAAGGATGTCACTCCATAAGTGGACTATCCTCGAATGTTAATTTGAAAGATCGTTGGATTGTCGATGTTTCTATTCATTTGGTAGATTATAAACGCTTGCAACTTGAAGGTCAATTAGACGCTTATCCACACAATCCGGACAGTCGCTCGTCTGCAATTTCTACAGCCTGGAGTGGTGAAATACTTGACTTTTCAGAAAGTAAGAATTTTGCTACGGAAAAATGGAGCGCCCCCTTGGAGGTTGATGTTTGTTTTTGGCGCAAACTATCGCCCTTTCAAAGCATGGATTCGGATACATTTTTCGATACCATCACTGATGGTAAGAAACTCTCCAGAGTCTGTCGTGAGTACATTTTTATGAGATGGAAGGACATAGTATACCTGGGAAACCAAATTGATCGCTCTAACCACAAAATTTCTGGGTTCTACTTTTGTTGTTTGTCGAGAACAACTGGTGATGTCCAAGGATATTATTATGACCCACATAATACTGCATGCTCACAGCCGCTCAATTTGTATCCAAAACATTGCAGTTTTTCTCCCTCCTGCAGTTTTCTTTGAGTGTTTTATGAGTTTACTTGAAGCTTTAAATTATTCATGGCTTCTCATTATAAAGTTGAAATAAAAAAGAAAGAAACAACTAGATTTTCTTTTTGGTTTAATTCTGTATTACTAGATAAATATTAATTGTAATGTTGCTAATTGTTATGCACAATATATTGCAAATGATGTTTTTATTGCACACCGTCGTTCCGTTCTTTCATGCTGTCAAATGTAAAAAGCATTCTGGACACTGCAAACTGTTTCAATGTGTTCAGTGGTGAATTCTCGACACATTTAATAGTAGTCAGAAAGTGGATTCTTACCAACAACTACGACCGCGATTCCTGGTGAATATACCGTGTTTCACCAGTAAGAGCAAGTATTCATCATAAATGCAATTTTCTAAAATTGCAAAACCATCTTTTATCGCTTCAAGGAGGTTTTGTGAGATAAGATTACATATCAAGAAAGCACCTCAGACGATCCTCTCTTCTACCAAACCCTCAATCCGACCCTGTAAATCGCAGAGTCTTTGTTTTTTCCGACAATATAATACATCTATGATCCCTTCAGATTTCTCTAGTAATTATTTTCCGTTTGACGGTGTCGTTCCTAAACATGAAACTCAAGCTTATGAGTTCTTGAAGAAGTATCCGGAATATGATGGCCGCGGCGTCACTGTAGGTATTTTAGATACAGGTGTGGATCCTGGCGCACCTGGACTTTCGGTGACGAGTACTGGACAAGCTAAATTTAAAAATGTTGTGGACTGTACAGGAGCTGGAGATGTTGATACATCACTTGAGGTGGAATCCCTCGATAATGCTACGTCTAATGAGTATATTACTGTTCAAGGCCGTTCTGGGCGGACGTTGAAACTTTCAAAAGAGTGGAAGAACCCCACCAAAAAATGGAGGGTTGGATGTAAACTTGGTTATGATTTTTTCCCCAGCGATTTACGAGAACGTCTTCAAGGACTAGAGACAGAAGATATGAATAAGAATAATCGAAAGCTATTACAAGATGCTACTGAAGAATATGCAAAGTTTAAGGCTGAAAACCCTGAGACTCCTACCGACAAGGACAAACTTTTGAAGTTGAAAGAGTTGGAAGCTCGCATCGAATGCCTAAAGCAATTTAGTGATGATTTTAAAAAAAACGGTCCTCTTTTTGATATCATTACCTTTCATGATGGTGAACACTGGCAAGTAGTCGTGGACACAAGTCAGTCTGGTGATTTAGTTCAACAAAAGCCTCTTCGTCCATTCTCGGTTGCTCAGGAATGGGGCACTTTTGGATCTAAAGATTTACTTAGTTATGGTGTTCATGTTTACGACAATGGTAATGTTACTTCGATAGTTGCTGTTAGTGGAACTCATGGAACTCATGTTGCTGGTATCATTGGTGCCCATCACCCTGAAAAACCTGACTTGAATGGTGCCGCTCCTGGATGTCGACTTGTCTCGCTGATGATTGGTGATGGTAGATTAGATTCTTTAGAAACAAGTCATGCTTTTTCTCGTGCATGCACAGAAATCATAAAAAACGAAGTCGATATCATTAACATAAGTTTTGGAGAAGATGCTGGTGTTTGTGATAAAGGACGAGTTATAGAGCTTCTTCGTGATGAGCTCTCTGGTAAAAGAAATGTCGTAATCGTCTCTTCTGCTGGTAATAATGGACCTGCTTATACCACTGTTGGTGCTCCTGGTGGAACTACCACTGATGTTATTTCAGTAGGTGCATATGTCACTGGAAGCATGATGCAAGCCCAATACAGTCTTCTTTCGAATGTGCGTGATACTCCTTATACTTGGTGTTCCCGTGGTCCTACACTAGACGGTGATACTGGCGTTTCTATCTATGCTCCTGGTGGTGCCATTACATCTGTTCCCCCTTATTCCTTACAAAATAGTCAGTTAATGAATGGAACCAGTATGTCTTCCCCTTCAGCATGCGGTGGTATTTCATTGATCTTGTCTGCCCTGAAGGCTCAAAATATTTCATACACAGCTTCGGCTGTTAAGAAAGCAGTCATATATACATCGAAGGATGTCCGAGATGATTTTGACGTTGGAATGTTGCAAGTCGACGCTGCCTATAATTATTTGACCGAGTCTGATGCAGAAGCTGCTTCCTCTCGCTCTTTTACAATTAAAGGAAACATTGGAAATAACAAACGTGGTGTTTATCTCCGTGAAGTGACTGATCTTGCTAGTCCTTCCCGTCACACATTTTCCGTCGCACCCAAATTCGAAGAAGGAGAAGAAGCGGCTAAATCTCAATTTGAAGTACAGATCTCTCTTGCTGCAACTCAACCATGGATCCAAGCTCCAGAGTACGTGATGATGGCAGGAACCGGAAGAGCTATTCCTGTACGTGTTGATCCAACCGCTTTGGTACCTGGCTTCCATTTTGGTAAAGTTAAAGCCTTTGAAGCCACCAAAGATTCTCGTCGCTGTTTATTTGAGATCCCTGTAACTGTCATGAAACCATCCGCAGTAGTAAATGCAAACTTTCCACTACGTAATGTCTCTTTTGAGCCAACATTGATTCGTCGTTATTTCCTTGTACCTCCTAAGGGAGCTACATATGCTGAAATTCGGGTTAAGGCTATTTCTCCTTTAGAGTCGTCCAATATGCTTTGGATTAGTACCAATCAGGCTCTTCCTCAAACAAAACTCAAGGATGCATCTACAGAACTTATCATGTCTGTATCGGACAATGAAGTGACTACCAAGTTAGTACCTCTCCATGATACGCATACCCTTGAGCTTTGCATGGCACAATGGTGGTCTTCTTTGGAGCATATGACTTTGGATATCGATATTAATTTCCATGGTATTAAAGTTCTGAATGGAAGTGAAATTACACTTCATGGGAATAAAGGACTTGAACGTCTTGATTGCATCAGTGTTCGTCGAGAGAAGTTAAAACCCGAAATCTCCTTTGATAAATTCACTGAATCTTACAAGTCAACTGAATCCGTCATCCAACCTCTTGGTGAGCGAGACGTACTTCCAGATAACCAACAGTTGTTTGAATTGGTTAACTCTTATTCGTTAACAGTAGAGGAGAAAAGCGATTTGACAGCAGACTTTTCCGTCCCACATAACATGTATGACAATGGCTTCAATGGATTTTTTGTCATGATCTTTGATTCGCAAAAGCAAAGAGTGCACTATGGTGATATGTATACATCGTCCCATTCTCTCGAAAAAGGCGAATACGTTTATAAGGTGCAGTTATTAAGCGTGGACCCAATCAAGCTTGAAAGATTTAAAAATATGACGCTGAAATTAAGCAAAAAATTGAAAAAGTCGATTACTCTCCCAATTTATTCTGACCATATCGACTTTTGTGATAATCGGAAGGAAAGCTTTGACCGATCAGTTATTGAAGCTAACATCATAAAGAGCTTTATTGTTGGTACAGATTTTGAAGAGTATCCGTCTGAAATTAGTGATAAATCGGTACTTACTGGTACTTTGAAGTTCAATGACTGTGATAAAGCATCAGTACCTGTTTACTTGATTCCTTCTGTAAAGCCCGTCGAGAAACCTTCCACTTCCAAGGAATCACCTAATCTGGTTCAATTGCAAGTTGATCTTTTATCCAAGTTAGAAGGTGCCGATAAGGACAAGCATTTGAAATACCTGCAGTCGACTTATAAAAACAGTTTGGAAGTTCAGCTTGCAAAATTGGATGCTGCGAAAGAAGACAATGAACGTCTTTCTGCAGCTGATTCCATTTTGTCTCTTATTGATCAAGAAGGTCTTTCCCGTTATTACAGCAGTCAGAAGAAAGTCGAGGATACTATTCCGAAAGACACTGCATTGGAAAAGAATACCTCCATGCAAAAGGATGCTTTCATCAAAGCTCTTGAGGTTAAGTGCTCTTTATATGCTAAGCAACCCGGTAAAGACACAGATTCTTACTCCAAGTCTTATCAATTATTGTTAAATTGGTTAGAAGATTCTGATTCTCGTGTTTCTGTAATTAAGAAGGACTATTATAAGAGCTTATCTCAGTATGGTTTAGCTTTGAAGGCTTTAATGAAACTAATTAATGAGAACGGCAATTCGGGCAAGTCGGACATTACCAAGCTCCTTGACGAAGAGAAAGACCTGTTGCAAAAATTGGGTTGGACATACTGGTACGATGTATCTTATGTTGATTCTGTTAAAAGAATTCCTCCCTACGGTTATGAATTATTTTAAGCACATAGGACGACAAACTCTGAATTTCAAAAATCAATATTAGCTTAATTTTTTAATCTCAGGCTATGTAACAAGAAATGTTTTAAACAGCATTAATAGTAGACAACTGCGTATATGAGTATAGATATGACCATGACCAATGGTAGCGGTATAAGATGAAATGAAAACTTCATAGAACTATTTTTTTTATTATTTTTATACTCTAAAAGAACAGTAAAGGAAAGTTTAAAAGGCTAAGTACAGAATTTAAAAAGAACCAACCTTGATTCTATACTGTCTACTCACAACCAGGTGGAAGAATAATGGACCTGGAATATTAGCGTACGAAAGATTTAAAGTTAATAAAAGATGATTTTTGGAAATTGTTTATTCATTCAAAGACAAAGACTCTTTTATTTGCATGGATTGCGATCATGGGCTCGAGCATTCGCTATGCAGCAGGTATGTACACCTTTGACTGAACAATTGAATATAATGAACTCGGATGACTAATTCTATCTCAGAAATTCAAAGACAAAATAATAATTAAAGTAAAAGCTGGCACAGGTGGCGCTGGATGTTCATCATTTGGCCGAGAAAAGTTTGTGCCATTTGGACCAGCTGACGGAGGGAATGGAGGTGATGGAGGATCAGTGTACATAGCTACTAAATCAGGAACTTTCAATAATCTATCACACCTAATGGGCCATTACAAGGCGTCTGCTGGAACAAGCGGCAAAGGAGGGAATCGTCATGGTAGCATAGGGTCCTCTTTAATTCTCTATGTTCCACCAGGAACGACTGTTAAAGAAATACAAAATCTGAACGAAGAAGAAGAACAAAATTCTACTTACTCAGTTCAATGGGTCCAACGACCAGGTAATGAGAGATTACCTATACAAGCCTTGGAAGGTCCATCTTTTGAAGAGGAAGCCGAAAGACAAGCGCAAGAGCTTTTTCATTGTAAGTCTCCTCCAGCAAATGCATACCCTATAGAATATAATATGATGGACGATGACGGCAAACCAAGAATTCTATGTCGAGGTGGCATTGGCGGTTTTGGAAATGTACACTTTTTGAGCGAGAAAAATCGCTCTCCCAAGTTTGCAACTAAAGGAATGAAGGGTCAGTCAAAGGTTTTTGAGCTGGAGCTTAAAACCTTGTGTGATATTGGTTTAGTAGGGCTTCCCAATGCAGGAAAAAGTACCCTGCTGAATTCATTGACAAGGGCAACCTCCGATATCGGAGAATATGAGTTTACAACCTTGCAACCTCATTTGGGAACGGTTCGTTTGGTTTCTGACAATCATGTTCCTGTGAGCTTCAGTTTGGCGGACATTCCGGGACTCATTGAAGGTGCTAGTGATGGGCGTGGGCTAGGTTTCGAGTTTCTGCGTCACATAGAAAGAGCAAAACTTCTTTGCTTGGTAATAGACATATCTCCGAAAGCAAAGATCCCATGCACCGAAGCCTTTCAACAGCTTTGGAAAGAATTAAAAGAATACAATCCGAAGCTCTTGGAGAGAGTTTCAATAGTTATTGCAAACAAAGCAGATATTTCTGCTGAAAAACAACTTGAAAAGCTAAAGGACGTGGTATCCAGAAACGGACAATCGATAACTGTAATACCCGTAAGCGCTGCTCGAAGAGAAGGAATGGACACTCTACTAAGGTGTATGGCAGACCTATATACAAAAATGAAAATCGTATAATGTATTCATTAAATTATTTTTTATTAACTGAATTGAATGTGAAAAATGCGGGTACCAAAAGGAGAGTCTAGCGTGAAACTTGTTGAACATTGGTATTCTGTATAACCTCGAGTCGTGCTTTCAATCGGTTGTATGGCATAAATTAAGGAGTTCATACTAGAAAGGATTAGGTTAAGGAGCAAGCAACAGGCACAAAAAGAGAAAGTTTTGTAATAGACAAAATATCTCAAAAAAATTAAGGGAAAAAAATATTAATGCAAGCTTTAGGAAAAAGTTTTCTGTTTTTGTAAAACATACAATATACCGCGCCGGGAGCCCATGAGCTGTTCTGGAAAGCGCTTCAGACAATACTTCTGAATGCGGCGTCCTAGGCCCAGCCGTAAAGGAGAAGCAAATTGAGCTAAAGTAGTTATAGAAGTCTTTGAACTATTTTCCATAGACGACTGGTATCGGTTATACTCCATAACTTTCAGGAGTTTGAGATGATCAATGTTGAAAGTTTCGCTCAGTAGTTCACGCTTTTCTGCGTCGATTATGGATCTTTCTAATATGTAGGATTTGCTTACATTTAAAAGGTCTGAAGCCCATCGCGGCACTTTCCCTTGCTTGACCAGTAGTCGTTCTGTGTGCAATCGACCGTTTTCATCAACATAACGCTCTAAGACATCGGCAGACACAACGTGAGAGCTGTAAGGACTAGGGAAACCATTAATATTAATTCGAAGAACCTATGAAGACAGGCTTACGTGTTACATACTTTGGGTACCTACGCAACCACGCCGACGAAACTTTTTCCCAAGGGGCATCAAACTCGGTTTCATCTTTACAAACAGACATGCCAGAGAATCGCCAAAAGTGAATTATATTCTCTTTGTTTTAAGGTACTTAGTACAGGCAATTATTGCTAGACTGCAGACAGACACGCTTCTTTGGTAGAAGTTAAGTCAGTTTTACAGGAACTATCTGGATAGTGTGATTGAATGAACTTCACTATAAGATAAACAAAAAGCGAAAGTCAATTGCTGTGCTTGGGAAGATGCGAAAATTCAATCTTAATGTTTCTACCTGTCAATGAAATGGAGAAAGAGTACTGATATGGATGTACGGAATTCTCTAGGAGATGGAAGGCTCTTGTGGAAAGTGGATGGACATGTATCGATTCTCTCATTTCGGGATTCCGAAAGCAAATATACATTAAAAGAAGACTCTTAAAAGTAGATTGTCTCTTTTGATTGCATATCCTCGCCAGAAATTGCACGACTTGTAGAAAATCCTTTTCCTCTTGGATGGAATGATTTTATGGTTCCTTACCTCTGTTATTTCTACTGTATGCTCTAAGAAGACTTATATTATCGAAAGGCTAAACAGGATATCTGTTTATGCAGCCAGGAAATGTAGACCTCTTTCCTCCGGATGCTTGCTCATTTGTTTTAGGAAGGTATAAGGGGCCGTTCCTGAAATTTTTTACCAAAGCTGCTTTTTCTATTCTCAATCTGTAAAGTTTCCGTTCTACTTTCGTTTATTTCTCCTTTTATGAATACATGTACCAACCTTGCAAATTGGACTTTGCCATGAAATGACCTTAAACAAAGTAACACATACTCAAAAGAAGTATCGAATATTATACTATCGTCTTAAGAATGAATTTGGAGGAAACATCCTTTATCAGGAATTGAAGTCGGAAACAGCTGAATCTTCTGTATGTCTTATGAAATTGATAAAGGCTGGAAAAAAGTCAAGGAAAAAACACAAGGCTTGTTGGTCCCTTGTCACCTGTAGCATCACTTTCAGTCAGGGACAAACAAAAACGCATTTCAAGTTATTTCTTTTGGTTCAGCTTACTCTTTAACATAAACTAGCTTTAGAATTGTATATAAAGTCGTTTACATAAACTCTTAAAACAAGCTATTTTGCATCGGCATATTCTGCTTTTATACACCAGCTTCATTTGATGCAATCAGTTTTATAAACTTAGATTTTTCTTTATATATTCATGTATACAAATATCGTCTAACTTTACGTTTTCACCATCTCTTGATTTCTCTGTCTTGGGTCAAACGTACCTTCTTCCCTCTTCAACTTTGGAAAAGAAGGAAATTGCTTTTAACCGCTTCATTTACCTATTTGTAAAGGACGGTTCGTTTCTTTTCATAAAATGCAAACAGAAAACGTAAGAAATTCGGATTCTTGAAAGCTGCTGAACTAACGGTCATGATGATAGCAAGGAAACGATTTGTACCCCATTGCTGTGTTAATTGATGAATTAAAGGTTTGTGAGACGCATTGCATGAAACGACGTTAATCATTAAAAAAAAGCATGATGAAATCACGTACAGACTTAATGCTTTGAATCGGTTATCCACGATTGCTTTGGCTTTAGGACCAGAGCGCACACGTGATGAGTTGATTCCCTTTTTAGACGGTATGTATTGTTGAATTTGTTTGTCAGAAAAAACTGATCGGAATTGGAGAGGTTTGGTGGAAAGATTTGTTTGGAAATGAAAGTAGAAAAGGTGTTGGGATTCCATTTGCAATTTCGTCCTTTTTTCCATCCTTGTTTCTTTCCTCTTCTTTCTAAAATAAAATGGAGAAAACCCTGCTAAAAACGGAAAACTAACATTTTTTTTTAAGAATCGATCGATGACGAAGATGAAGTTTTATCGGCCTTAGCAACTCAATTAGGCGACTTCGTTGACTATGTAGGAGGACCCGAATATGCTCATGTCTTATTATCGCCGTTAGAAAACCTTGCTGCAACCGAAGAAACACTTGTACGCGAAAAGTCTGTGGAAGCTTTAAACAACGTTTGTAAATTTTTATCACAAGAACAATTGGAGCAGTATTTTGTGCCTTTGGTACAACGCTTATCTACAGCTGAATGGTTTACTTCACGTGCTTCTTCAGCTGGCTTGTATTGTGCAGCCTATTCACAATCTCAAAATCCTGCTGTTAAAGTCTCTCTCCGCCAAAGCTTTAGTCATCTGTGCCATGATGAAGCCCCCATGGTTCGTCGTCCTGCTGCTACGAACTGCGCAAATTTTGTTCTTCTTATTACCAAACAGGAGGCTATTGATGAATTTATCCCACTATTCAACTCTCTTTCTAATGATGATCAAGACTCCGTTCGTCTTCTTTCATTTGATATCATGATTTCCCTGGCCAAGGTGTTGGAAACAGACTCCGATATTCGTCACTACTTGATTCAGCCTTTAAGGGCTTTTGTCCCTGACAGTAGCTGGAGGAGTCGTTATATGGTAGCTGCTAATTTTGTGAAGCTCGCAAAGGTTGTTGGTACCGATATTATAAAGGATGAACTGATTAAGCCTTTTATTTTACTCATGAAGGACAGTGAACAAGAGGTTCGTCGTGCCATCGCAACTCAGATTCCTGGAATCTGTGAACTTTTAGACCGACAAACTGTTCTTGATGATATTATTCCTGTCCTTCAAGATCTAATTAATGATCCTGCGCAACATGTCCGTGCTGCCCTTGGAATGAATATTGGTGCTCTCGCACCTCAGTTAGGAAAAGAAAAGTACGATACTAAATTCCTTTTAATCCATAATTACTAACCATCCGCCCTTCTTTTTAGAACGATTGAATGTCTCTTACCGATGTTTTTGGAATTGTTAAAGGATGAGAACCCTGAAGTTCGCCTTAATATTATCTCAAAGTTGGATGTCGTCAATAAAGGTAAGGAAATTTCAAAAATAGGAAATCCTTTATTAATGCATCATTGTAGTTGTTGGTATAGAATTGCTCTCTCAATCTCTATTGCCTGCTATCGTCACCCTTGCGGAGGATAAGCAATGGCGTGTTCGTCTTGCAATTATTGAATACATTCCCTTGTTAGCACGTCAATTGGGCGTGGAATTTTTTAATGAGAAAATGGGAAATCTGTGCATGTCTTGGCTTGAAGATCATGTGTATTCTATTCGTGAAGCTGCTATCAAAAACTTGAGGCAACTTACTGAGGTTTTTGGTTTACAATGGGCTACAAAAACTATTATTCCAAAATTCTTGGCTATGCGTGGACATCCTAATTATCTGTATCGTATGACTACCATTTTCGCTATTAGTGTAAGTATTTCCCACTGTTTTTTTTATTGTACTATGTATTTCAGGTCTTTACTAACTACATTTGTATAGGAGCTTGCACCGGTTTTAAATGCAACCGTAATCGAAACTCAAATCCTTCCTATATTGCAACATTTGTCTAAAGATGCAATTCCTAATATTCGTTTTAATGTCGCCAAGTCCTTGAAAGTTTTGAGTCCTGTACTAAAGTCAGAAGGAAAAGGCGAGGTATATGAACAACAGATTCTGCCCATTCTAGAACAACTTACAAAAGATGTGGATGAAGATGTTCAATTTTTTGCAAATCAAGCGCTTGAAGAAACAGCTAACTGAATATGAGGGTTAAATAAATAATTGCATTTTCGGGTACTAGTTGAAAGCTTCTTTTGTTATATATGTACACCGTGAAAGAGTCTGAATGAATTAGTTTACATAGCAAAAGATAAAAATGCGAATGTATAGGTATACAGAGAGAAGCTTTTTTCTTTGCTATTTACAGATAACTTATTAATGAGCGCAACTACCTAAAGATCACCATGTCTTTAAAAGCTATGGAAGGAGATAAAAAAATGAAGACGCTTCTAATAGATTGTACGAAAAGTATTTAATGAAACTGACAAGAGATGCATATTATTTGGTAGACATAAAATTACATTTCACTGGGAAAAAACCTAGATGAAAGAAAAAGGAAGAGCTGGCCGTACCATACCGTCTAAAAAGTCAAGTGCTAAGTAAGGTAAAGGAGATTAAAAAGAAAGGCAGATCTAAAATAGAGCATAAAGGGCGTAAGGCAAGTAAGACCGATGACCTCGCGTATTTTAATTGGCAAGAATCATTTGGACAAAATCTATAAAATATCGTTAGAAGAAGAAAAGGAGACGGTTGAGTAGAATTCGAAAATGAACGTACCATGATAGTTGACCATCCCGTCTTTGACTGGAACACCCTTTAAGAGCTCATCCATTTCCTCGTTTGTGAGTTTTTCACCCAAAGAAGTCAAAACTGAAAAGTTAATGAGCAAGAATACACAAAGCAAAATAAGCTGACAATGGCAGGATCACTTACCATAGCGCAATTCACCAACGCCAATCATGCCAGTAGCATCCTTGTCAAACACTTGGAACCCCTTGACGAATTCCTCAGGATCACCGGGCATATCAAAGCCATTAGGACGATTCAAGACCTGAAGAAATTGATCCATACCGACTAATGCAAGGGGAATGGTAAGTAAAGGAATCAATTAAAGCATACATCAACAAAAAAAAACACAGCTAGTTGCTATTGCAACGAAAGCAAGCTTAAAAGTGGTGATATGGTGGAAAAAATAACATACCTTCGGCAGGAAGAGTCGATTCAATTTCAGTAATTTCAGCCAAAGTTGGATTTTGACCGCAAGCGCGCAATAAATCGCCGATGGAACCCTTGGGAATGCTTCCAGTTCCATGGCGGTCAAAAAGAGAGAATGCTACAAATCAGTCAGTCTCTGTATGTTCAGCTCATGACTACGCAATTTTTTACCTTGTTTATAAGGAGAATCGTCTGCAGACATTTTCTTGGTGATGTGGAAATTCCAAGTTCATGTCCTTCGTTTACGCCTTGGATCGTACACAAACTGTTCCTAGCAACGGTTGCTATGAAGCGTTTGTTTACTGAATACAGCAGCCGAACGAAAGGTAAGAAGAAGCATATATAATAGCTAACATAGTACATGGTATATGTTTATTAACTAAAGTATATGCTTACAAACTACATATCGTAATATATGACATATATATGCTTATAGTCGCTTTTGTTTGATATATAACTCTTTTTACATAATTTGTTAAAACCCCATAAGAAGGGGAATTCATACAGAAAGTATATTAATTTATTTTTAATTTGAAAATGTTTCAAAGAACCGATTCGTCTGAACATCTGTTTCAAGACTACACTGCTTTACTATTTACAAGTGTTTTGCTACGAAGCGAAATGATGTAGAAAAGCAGTCACTTCGAAATTTTTTGCGAAAAATCTACGTGTAAACAAAAGAATCCTGAAAGTCACTACGAGTAAAAACAACCCAATTTCAAAGGTTTTTTGTACTTTTTTCAAGTAGATAATCAAAGCATGTATTTCATTTGCTTTTCTTCTGATTCTTTTCACGATATGCTCGACGTTCATATTGGTATTGTTGTGGTACGAGCGATGTAAACAAAGTCCAGTCGACAGACATCACATAAGCTGTAGCATTCTCGAATCGAAGTATTAGTAACTTGTAATTTATCATGATGCATCTTTGTCTTCGGTAGAGTCCCTTTTACGGATGCGTATCGAATTGGTATCACTATATGATCAAACTCTTCCCTAGAATCAGTGAGAGAAGCACTTAGACAGAGCCAAACACACGCTTGTCATTGTCAGGAAGTATTGGATCCTTTCTGTCTGGTATAAGAGAAAAAGGCATTATAAAAACAAAAAGAAATTGTTTTTAATTTTTTATAATAACGAGTTTAACCAATATGTCTCCTGTAAGTAACCAGCAAATAAGGATTTAGAATGTTGGAAGCGTTATAACGAAAAGGCTGATTTCTGGAAAATTTCTTTTATTTGTAGATGTATACGACATTTGAAAGGAATTAAAAAAGATGAAGGCTATAAGTTTCCTAGCAATAACAAAGAGAGAGAGGAAAAGGAGAAAAATTTCCTTTTGCTTTCTTTTCCTAGGAGTGAGGTTGAATTCGATTCAATTAAACCAAACTGTATAAGATTTTTTGGCTTCTAAATCCTTTAATTTGACTTTTCCTTTATTGCAAAGGTGCAGATTTTCGCTAACTTTTTCAACAGGCTTTCCTTCCTAACGGTGCCACCAATGACTCTGAAGCTCTAGACGACAGTCGGATTATGGGTTACAACCCTTTGGTTCCTCCTGCATTGCTTCAACAGGAATTGCCTGCTACCGAAGCTTCCCGTAATGTTGTTAAGCAATCTCGTCGTGAGCTCCAAGCTATCTTAAACAAGACTGACGATCGTATCATTGTTGTCGTTGGTCCTTGCTCGATCCATGACCCTCAATTGGCCATCGACTATGCTAAGCTTTTGAAGCCCAAGGCTGAAGAACTCAAGGATGCTCTTTGCATTGTCATGCGTTGCTATTTGGAGAAGCCCCGTACCACTGTCGGATGGAAGGGTTTGGTTAACGACCCTAATTTGGACGGTTCTTACGCCATCAACAAGGGTCTTCACATGTCTCGTAAAATGTACTGTGACGTTACCGATTTTGGTGTGCCTGTTGCTAGTGAAATGCTTGACAGCATTTCTCCTCAATTCTTTGGTGATCTTTTGAGTTTCGGCGCAATTGGTGCCCGTACTACCGAGTCCCAATTGCACCGTGAGTTGGCCTCCGCCTTGTCCTTCCCTGTCGGTTTCAAAAATGGTACTGATGGTACTATCAACGTTGCCGTTGACGCCATTGGCGCCACCTCCCACCCTCACACCATGCTTGGTGTCAACAAGCAGGGTATTGCCTCTATTTGTATGAGTAAAGGCAACAAGGACACTTTTATCGTTTTGCGTGGTGGTAAAAAGGGTCCCAACTACGACGCTGAAACTGTTCGTAGCGTTCGTGAGCAATTAATCAAGTCCAACCTCCCTCCTCGTATAATGGTTGACTGCTCTCATGGCAACTCATGCAAGAACCACCGTAATCAACCTCTTGTCTCTAAGACTATTTCTGAACAAGTTCGTAATGGCGATGACTCCATTATTGGTCTCATGATTGAGTCTCATATTAACGAAGGTCGTCAAGATGCTCCTATTAAGCCTGGTATTAAGGAGACTCTCAAATACGGTGTTAGTATCACTGATGCTTGTGTCAGCTGGGAACAAACAACTCCTATGCTTGATGAGCTTGCTGAGGCTGTTCGTATTCGTCGTCAAAATGCTAAAAACTAAATTTTTTTGGGAACTCATTTGTTATTGGTTTAATACTGTTCATAAAATTCAGCAACAATAGTATAATTCTACGTTATGGAAAGTAGTAGCTTGGTTTTGAAAGATTTTACGTAGTGTTGTTTATTGTCGATTTACTTGCATTTCTTTATTGTTTTTTGGACTATAAATATATATTTATACATGGATTAATACTGTAACTGCATAGATGGTATACATATTTGAACCTCCTTTACTGAATAACCGTAACAAACGAACGTTGAAACCCCTAGGCCAAACATGAAGATTAAGATGAATGTAGAACGCTAAAACCAGACATTCCTATGCTTTGGTCATCCTTTTTACGAGAAATCAAAAATCGATATCATTTTTTAAGTTTCCCGAATCATGTACCCATACACACGGCGCTAGTCTATTAAAAACAATTCCTTGAATAATTAAATAAACATTCCAAAAACCTCATAGATCAAGAATATCCTTGTCTTAAGAAAAAAAAAACAACATAACGAACCAAAGCAAATTATCTTCTTCGCTCAATCGACGCGCTCACCCAGTGATTAGATGAACCCTGTGGATTTACAGGTTTCTTTGTCATCTCATCGTAAGCATTCATAGTAAAGTATTTACGTTGAGACAGATTCAGCTCCCGTAATAACTGATGATCTGGTTTTCTGGCATGCATGAAATTACATAGGCCACCGCGCAAACACTCTGAAGTTTCATGTTGGCGGCAGCATGCTTCACGAAAATCAGTAACAGGAGATAACTCTGCATATACGGGTTTTTGGGAATACCAGCGTGAGTTTAAATCATCCACGGCCTTTTGTGCAGAGTCTTCGTACTTAAAGCGAACATACACGTTTCCTATTAAATCTAAAATTCGTTAGTTCAATGATAGAAGATTGAGGAGACGAGCCATGCTAATCAAATAAAATATAATATTCTAGTTATTTCAAGACTAGCACGACCACAAGGACTTACGATCTCCGACATTATCACAAACGACAATTTGTTCAACCTCGCCATACTTGGCAAATTCACAAAACATGTCTTCATAAAACGCGTCAAATTGATAGTTCAATTCGCGACCAGACATCCGTTTTCCAGCTGGTTCATGGATTGGGTTCTTATACAAGTTTGGACACAAAATCGTTTGACTGAAATTCGGTTTCACGTGCTTACGAGAGCATCGTTCTCCATGTCGGCAGGCTCCAATTTTCGAGTAGAATGTACAGTTAACTTTGTCCTGTTCTGTACCATAAATACTAGCCAAGCGACTTGCCATTGTGATGAATGGTAAAAGGATAGTTCCCAAGACCGCCCTGGAATACTTATTGATTCCAAATATAGTGAGGTTTACCGAATGCGGTATCCGCAAAATACCGTACTTGTTTATTCGCTTCTTGAATAATTCAATTAAAAAATAAACATAGAATGTAAATAAAAACGAAAAGAGCATTCATAACTTATCTTTGCAGTAGAAAAAGAAAAAATAAAACATGGGTATTGTAAAGAGAAACATTTGAGTATTACTAGCTGACTCAGACATTTTGTACCGTCATATACATGCCCATAAGGAAGGATGCTTTCAAAATTAAATCATCTCATGACATTATAACTTATTTCTGAACAGATATTATTATTCCGGATGCCCACAAAGTCTTCGCTTCTTTCGAGAGCAACAAAACTCGACTTAAAGAAGGTACCGTGTTAAACTCCACAAGGGGAATAGGTTGGTCCAACTCTAGTCTGATTAAGAAAAGATTCTTATTCTGAAATTGCAAGCCCTGTAAAGCCATAGTATTCTCTTTTCCTTCGGAATAGAAAAATACTTTAGCATTCATACTGAAGGCACCAAAGAACGCATTCACATAGATGGGGCTGTGCACCTTGAGAGACGAATCAAACGTGAATGCACTAATATAAGCAATTCGGGATAGATGGTAGGAATTTTCTACGTCTATGCAAAGGGTCCCATTCCTGGTAATTAGTAAACATGTATGAAAAATGAACGACTTACATTAAATTTGGCAGAGAAGATAGATGCATTTCAGTATGTTCACCTGGCAAGCACCAAGTTCGAGCATGTTGGTGTAATTTGAGGCCTGATATGTTAATAATCAGAATTTGTTACATTACTTACTTTGAACTCTTGCCTCAAGCTTTCCGACAGAGGTATAAATTTTTTGGTATGCTTGAACAATACCGGAATGTACGTCAAATTGTGCAGCAATTTTGTTTTCTGGAAGTAAAGACCAAGACGTTATAGTCAAAGACAAGGGTAAGTGCTGCAATTGGAGCTTCTCATCAATAGACTTATCGGATAACTCGTCGATTTTTCCCAATAAAGTCTCATCGTCGTACCATGATTGGAGTGTTCCATAAGAAAGAGTAGTCAAATTGTCTCCTCTAAATCCACTGACAGGAAGAAAAGAGGACCAAGGAACAGTAATGCTATAGGTTTCCTTCAGACAAGTTATGACAGATGACACGACATATTGGTATTGCTCTTCTTCCCAAGAGATTTGGTCCATTTGAGTTACAACAAACAAAACGTTCTTAATGGTTACACCGTAAAATAATCGTAACAAACAGACAATGCTTTCAATTTCATCTAATGGATATTTTGCATGAATGACAATGACGGCGATGTCGGTTGTTTGCAAGAATGTCGCCAAAGCTGCAAGATCATGAAGGGGCAGGGCAAAAAGGGATGACAAGTAATTATGAGAAAATGTTTCAAACTGATAGAGACCGGACTCATTACGACCAAGAACAGAGGAAAGATTCTCCTTTCGAGAATTAAGAAGAGTGCACCTTTGCATTAATTTGATATCGAGAGCTCCTACTTGGTACAAAAGCCGAGCTAAAAGAGTCTTCTTACCAACCTTCGGTGCGCCGAAAATTGAAATACGGTTTGTTGGTTTTATGTCTTTCGAAAGTTCCAACAGCTTACTTTTATCCACCATTACATCTTTGGTTACGGTTGGTGTAGCTATTGAAGTAGAAGTTCGTTGAAGGCTGGCATTTTTTAATTGCTGGAGGGAATTAAACAGCGCTCTGTCTTTTCTATTGTATTTTTGAAAACCTAAAAAAAGAGAGCAGGTTAGAAGTAACTTTTAAATTGCGATACATACCCTTGGATTTCGACTGTGCCATCAAAACGAGGTCATCTGGACTTGGAGCGTTAAAGCCAAGAATTGAGCTTCTTTTAAGGTTCACTTTAATTTCCTTTTGCATGGCTTTCTTTTTAGCACCTGTTAGACATCGAGCAAAGATGGATGGAGCCGCCATCATCGACGTAGGCGATGAAGAAGAAAGGTCATATTGTGGTAATTCAGAAGAAGAGGGATCATAATTGATGTTGTTAACTTGCTCTTCAGGAGGAGCCGGATATCTTGAAAGGGTGTCATGGTCAAGTTCTTCGGAAGGAGTTTTCGATTCTGCAATGCGTACTTTGCGAAATCGCTGTAGCAATTGCTCCTTGTCAAATGAATCATTTGATTTGGTATCTGGTTGTAAGGAGGAGGACGATGATGAAGGTAAGGGGCGTTTATTAGAAGCCTCTTCAGAGTTTTGATTTTTCTTCTGGGCAGCTAACGCAGCTAATTTAGAAAGACCGCTAGGTTCTGAAAAAGGTTAGTACAGTACGAGAAAATATTGGAGGAAAGAAATTAAATCAATGAATAGATACGTACGCGAAGAAGAAGCAGAATATTCTGTGGTATCATTGGATGTTGTTTGCGAAAAGTCCAAAGGCGCAGGATGCTCTTCAACAGAAGGAGGTGGAGTTTTCAAGAGAGACGTTAGCTTTCCGGACGATTCTGGCGCCGGGGTATTCTGTTGGTTTGCTCGTTTGGCATTTAGCAGTTGAGAAAGTTTAGACATGTTTTCGTGGGTAATGGTAAGAAATGCATGAAAATCGACGTAATCCAAGGAGGAAAATGAACAAGAAGAGGGTTTTATTATAGATACAAAGCAAAAAGTAAAATACCAAAGACAAATACTAAAGTGTTGGGGAAGAATGCAAGGGTCAGGCCAAAAGAGGATTGAAGGGTAAGCTCAGGAAATGATGGAAGCACCGTTTGCGGTGCAACGAGATTCTAAGCAAGAAATCGTTTTATTAATAAAAGGTTATACAGAAAGAGGGCTTTAAAGAGACAAGAAGAGCAAAGAAAAGAGCATTCGCTCGTCCCAGTACACAATCAAAAGGTGTTTCTTTTTTCTTTCGATATTCTTCTCGATAAGCAAATCGAATCAGCTTATGCGCCTTCCATTACTCTTTTTTAAGGCCTTTTAATAAAATAAAATAAATGGAAATATGCCTCTTTGCAATATCATATTATCGAAGAATCTTTATATCTCACGGAAGTGGAACGAGCATGGTATCCAGGTTTAAGAATTTGGAAGAACCAATGCAAAGAAAAATATTGTAATGTACTTCGTCATACTGCGCTTCGTTCCATTCCGGATCAGAAACCAACTTCTTAACCCCCATTACGACACGCCCCACCCCATACCGAACAAATTCGCTAAACATTGGGGGCGTGTCTACCCTAGGATTCCAAAGAAGCTTGCTACACGTAATACCTCCGCAATGAAGCTCGTAAAGAAAAATGTAATAGGAGTTGAGATCATTATGAACTCACGAGAATTGCATTTATTATTCTTGTCATTATTACGTCGAATGTAAATATTAAAAGTTATAAAAAGGAGTCTACGATCTTTCTATACAGTATCAATTGAATTGAATTGTTATTAATTACAATATGTCTGATCCCGAAAGAAAGCCCTTCACTGACCAAATGAAAGAGAAGATCACTCCTGATTCTTCTAAGTCTACCATCGACAAAGCAAAGGAGCAACTTACTGATGCTTACGACAAGGTTGCTAAAAACTTTACCTCTGATGAGAACAAGAGCACTACTCAGGATGCCCACGACAAGATTAGTCGTTTTGTTGATGACAAGACCAAGAAGTAAGATGGGCTTATATTTCCATCTTAAACAAACGTCCTGGTCATGTTTAACAATGTTTCAAAATTGTATTTTATAAATACAAAATGATCTTTTAAATGATTCACTCCATTATTTATGTCTCATTTTGGTTCATGTGAATGAACATAATTTTTCATGATTTTGAGATTAATAAATAACGAACTTTTTTGACCCTTTTTTTCCTTTCCTTCACGTATTGTTTGTCCTCTGGAATCTATATTGGGAGAGAACTTACAAAGTCTCTTTCTTTTCACCTGTTAGAGGAAGAATCTAGTGGTTTTTCTTGAGGCTACTTTGGCCATACACGTTTGCATAGCTTGTTTGTGCATAATGCGTGAAATGAAATCACATCGAAATGAACACTTTGGTTGTAGAAATTTTGAGCATTGTATTCCAAAATTAACAGTAATGAATTGAGACAGTAAAGCAAACACAAATGTCAAATCTCAAAACTCAAAACGAATAAAGAAAGTATTGCCATATACGACAAATCATGTAAACTAAAAAAATAATATTTTAAATATAGACCAAAAACAGAAACCCAATAACAATACAAATTAAAGAAGCAACTGCATAGCAAAATTGAGTACGTTTGCTTTGTTTTGTATTTAGTTCGAGAAGTTCAGGGAAAACACCCAAACATGCAATGTATAAGAAGCATCCCGCGGAAAAGGGCAAAAGTTTATCTTCAAGTTGCAAAAGAAAAGCAGCAATAGAGCTCTGGGATGGTAAAGTTGCGTCATCCTTTGCAACAGAGGCAAGGGCGGCCGAATGAATCCAAATACTAGTAATGGATCCTAAGAGACCGGCAAACATAGTAACTAACTGAAAGGAGAAAGTTTGGAGTTTAGTGTACCCATTGCGCATTAAGATAGCCAAGTCACCGATTTCGGCGGGGATTTCATGAAGAAATACAGCGCACGTCGTAGTAATACCAATGGACGTGTTTGCAAAAAACGAGGTGGTAATGGCTAAACCATCCATAAAGTTGTGGAAACAGTCAGAAAACAGGTTTAAGTAGGCAATTGTTTTCTCCGAAGATGATGCTCCGTTTAATTTTTCGTTATCATCGTCATGTTGTGTTGCAGAATCTATGGAAGCATCATCATCATCAACATCCTTAGTTTCTTTTTTATTTTCATTGCGGCGTTTGCGTAATTGTCGGGAAGATGGATCATGGCGTTCATGCTGTGTGGTGGATGATGAGGGAATAACTTTTTCTTGTTTCTTTTTTGTTTGAATGACATGATGACCATGATGGCCTCCGTGGCCATTAGATGAAAGAAGGATTCGAAGACCTTTATCCATAATAAAGAATAGCAAAATGCCTGCTAATATAGACACGATCGACGAAGTAGAACTTGAATCTTCCTCAGCCTTTTCGTAAATTTCCGGTAGCAAATGACCAAAGACGTCTCCCAAAAGGCTGCCAGCGGACAGGGCGACAAACAGATTTAAAGATCCAGTGTTGAGGTTTTTCGGGACAATGAGAATAAAGATATTCGGTGGAATGCTTGTGAGAAAAGTCGCAAAAAAGCCGTTAACACTAGGTGTAAAGGAAAACAATTCCTCCATCTTCTTCTTGATGGAAGAAGACAGAGGATGATCTGTGGACAGCGAATGTTCACACTTCTCCTTGCTGGACGATCCTTGCTCTTGGGTATTTCCCTTGCTAACTTTTAAGGATTCCAAATAAGCTTCGTTTTCTCTCAACGACTCCATGACCATCCTTATATCGTTTGCAGTTTGCTTTCGCTCCACTTCGCTCATGCCGGCACCCGTTTTTGAAATACTCAGCAAAGAGGGCTCGTTATGAACCAATTCATCCATAATTTTTTGAAGACGCTCAGGATTGAAGTATCTCATTTTCTCCATAGCTAATATGGACTCTCGTTCCCTTCCCTGTACCAAAGGTTCTTGCAGGCATTGCACCGCAAGAAAAAAGCTAAAGGCTATTAACCAGCCAACCCATCTTCCATTCCCGAACCACATTGTTTCTATACTCCAAAAAATTGCTGTTGGGATTGATGGGTCTTTACTATTGATTTGGACCTTTGCTGCTGAGTACACGTAAAAAGCAACTCTGGAAGGAGTCATTGGAAGCAATATTTACGGTTACTTGGACATGTTACTTGAATTACAAGGGACAGGAAAGAAAGACTTACGAAGGAGATTTATGGAGAAGGAAAGTGACTTTTACAAAAGATTTGTACGTTATAAGATGACGGTTAATTTGCTTCTCGCCTTTGCATTCTTCTTGAATTCTAGCATTCGAAGATATTTTCTTCTCTAGTATGATATTCTATTGGTACATTCGAAACCAGATTCCCTTTTATGAAGGTGAAGTAAACGCCCTTGTTTTATTTTCGATGAGATTGAGCATACCAATGAACTTATTGAGTATAATCTAAGCGGGATTGTCTCTATATTTTACCGCATACTATAAAAATTACATTTATAACCATGACTAGGTTACTTTTCGTTTCATACAGTTCCTTGTTTAATTGCAAATTAAAATTTTTTTTTAAATATTATTTTTCTATACATTCTTCTTGTATCTATGGGTAATTCTAATTTATTTTTCTTTCTTTGCTTTACGCGCCTATGTTTATTAATGAAGCGTACAGTGTGCCGTCTTAGTAAAAAATAACGCAAAATAAAAGACCTTGAAAACACACATAATAAAAGCTGTGTAGAAGCTCGCTATCCACAGAACTGTAAGTACTTTGTATGGCTGCCACATTATTTAACCAGAACAAACACCTGAAGACGGTCAACATGTTTCGCAATTCCTTTAAGCTTTTTGGTAACCAAATTAGAAACCTCTCTACTCAGACACGCCAGGCTCTTGAGCAGGCTGTCAAAGAGGATCCCGTCGTTTTGTTCATGAAGGGAACTCCCAACCAACCTATGTGTGGATTCTCTTTACGCTCCATTCAAGTCCTGTCCTTAGAAAATGTTGCTACCGACAAATTAGCCACATACAATGTGTTGAGCAATGAAGAATTGCGCGATGGAATTAAGGAATTCAGTGACTGGCCTACCATCCCACAACTCTATATCAACGGCGAATTTGTTGGCGGTTGTGATATCCTCATGTCTTTGCACAAGTCGTAAGTATACTTAGAAATCATAAGAATAAGAATTGGAAGAGGTCATTGACTACATATTTATGGATGGAGTGGTTTTCCATCACGCAGTGAGTGTCCCTGTTTCCATTCTTGGGTTTCTTATACTGTTGACGTTCTAATTAACTAACAACTACTTAGTGGCGAACTTCATAAAATGTTGAAAGAGATTAATGCTTTAGCGCCGACAAAGCCTGAAGGCGATGTCGCCAACTAAACAAAAAAGACCTTGCAATGATGATTAGATCATAGCTAACACAGCAAATCCTCCTTTTTACAGGGTGTTAAAAGTTTTCAATGTTTATGTTTGGTCTTTTTGTGCGAGTTTGCTAAAAAATATTTCATGGGTTACCTTAAACAATAAAAATAACAAGATAACGCTGGCTGATCTAGCAGAGTTACAAAACGTGTGCTTAATGATATAAATATATAATGAATTTGGGTCTATGCAAGAAACTGGTCTGCTTTTTGCTAAAAGAATACACTGAAAGGTCATTTGTAATCCATATGTTTCTTCTTTAGCTTTGTAGTTTTGTTCCAGATCATTCAAATTAAGTTAGCAACGCGTCTCTAAATCATGTTGCTTGAACTCTAAAGATGCCTTTTTCAATTGAGAACCGCATTGTTTTCATGTCTTTTTGTATTTTCTTTCAGGTTCGTCTTTGTTTATATTACGCGACGCGCTTTCTTCGCGCGTTTTCATCTATAGCCCAGTTCATTGGCCGTAGATAACTTACTTTACAATGATTCGCCCATCTAGGTAACCACAACACCAAACTACCGTGTACACTACACCACACGTTCCTTTATACCATCCACGGTTCACGTATACGCGTTGTCGCGTCGCGTCGCGTTTAATCCTTTATATGCTTCCAAGAGAATTTTATTACTCCTTTACAGGTTGATACGTCTTGAGTGCTCATAGACGTGAAAAGACCCTGCCCTTTTCAGGACTTTTGTGCCTTTGTTTCCTTTCATAAACCCTGCCTTTACTAAACATCCACGACGCTTTCCCATTACTCGCAAAGGAAATTTTGTCTCTCTTGTTCCAAAAGATTAGTCAGGCAGCTCAAGCTCATTTTACTGTTTGCTTTTCGCCGTCTCTCTCTTTTGCTTTGGTTTTCCATTGCTGACATTTTCCCTCTTCCTTGACCTAGAAATCCTGCTTTCTCTTTTTTTTTTCTTTTTCTGACAAAGGTGAAAAAAGAGACTCCTCATTCCCCTTTCGTTTAATACGAGTTTTAGTTGATTCACTCCTTCTTAGATTTCTTTGTTTCTTCTGTACTAAGGACCGAAGTAGCTGCTGCCTTCCGGCTAAAGAATTGTACAACCACTTTTCTCTTCATTGCAATTTAATCGGTGTACTAATTACCAATTTTAGTTCAAATTACTTTATTTGATCATTTGAGATTAAATCGTTTTCAATAACGAATTAATTCTCTCGTCTTTGGATCAGCGTATTAAACAGGCATCGTTAGAATCAGATAGTTTTGGGTGCAAAACGCATGTTTTTTATGTTAGTAATTGATTCATAACGTCCAATTGCTCTTCTTAAATCGGTTTTCGAGTGTTGTTTCTTTGTGAAAGTCGTTCAAGTCATTGAATTTCCGAAAATCATCGCGTACCTTTGACATACTTTCTTTTTCATCCTAAGAACTTAATAGTTTGTTCCTTTATTTCTATTTTTATCTTTATCTTTCCTAATTTGTTGTTTACGACTTTTTTGTCTTGGTATAACGACTTTCTTTCAAACGTGAAGCTTTTTGACTATTTTCAAGCATCTTTCTTTTATTTTCGTTTTTATTTTTCTTTTCTTTAGAAAAAGAAACTTTATTTATATTTTCTTTGGGTTCGGCGTTTCTTCTCTTTTCAGGTTTGTTTACATTTCTCGATTTGTTTATTTGCGACATCCTTCTTTGTTTTTTCATCCTCCAACCACCTCTAGGCTTCTCCACCCTTTTCCCAATACTTATTTACTCTTGGAACATTTGCTTAGTGTTTTCATTTACTGTTTTTGACGTTCCTTAATAACGTTAACTCAACCTTTTCTACTTTATACTGCTTCTTCTTTTATTCCCCTTAAGCTTAATCTCAGACATCTTACAGTGCTTGTTATTTTCTTTAATCTATTCCCCCATGTCTTTGCTTCCTGGTTCTAAAAACCATCCTACAAAATCTGTTTCTCAATATCATGATGAAAATGCTCCCGCTTGGGACCATGACAAAACAAAAACGACTACGAATAATGCCCTTGGAACCAAGCCCCAATCAAATTTTGAGATTCGACTTCCACGCCGTAATGCCCTTGCTGATGTTTCGAATTTAAAAAATCCTTCAGAATTTGTGGAACCCTCCTCAAAGAAACGCTCCCTTCAAGAGTCTCAGAAGCAATCTCTTGAATACCTTCCTTCCACTGAGGAAGAGTTTGAACATATTCGAAGCAAGAAGCGCAACAAGTCTTCTGATAATGCCGTTTCAACATTAGAAAAAACGACCCAAAAAAATGTTTCCAATTCGAGTGACTTTACGCCTTCCAACCCTTTAATGGTTGAAGAATATGAATCCGAAATCTTCTCTTATATGGAAAGTTTGGAAACAAAGTGCTTGCCCAGTGCGACTTATATGGACAGACAGCAGGAATTAACATGGAAAATGAGGGAAATTTTAAATGAATGGCTTGTGGAAATTCACACAAACTTTTGTTTAATGCCCGAAACCCTCTTCTTGGCCGTCAATATCGTTGATCGTTTTCTATCTTTGCGTGCCTGTTCTTTAACTAAATTCCAATTAATCGGTATTAGTGCCCTTTTAATTGCCAGTAAATACGAAGAAGTTATGTGCCCTTCTATTCAAAACTTTGTGTATATGACTGATGGTGCATTCACTGCTGAAGACGTCTGCACCGCTGAAAGATATATCCTTCGGGTACTTGATTATGACCTTGGTTTCCCTAGTCCTTTGAACTTTATTCGGCGAATTTCGAAGTTTGAGGATTACGATGTTCAAACACGTACGCTTGGCAAGTACTTGACTGAGATATATCTTTTCGAGCATCGCCTTCTCCAATATCGTCCCTCCATGGTCGCGGCTTCATCGATGTATTTAGCCCGAAGACTTCTTCGTCGCGGTCCGTGGAATCCTGCACTTGCTAAAGCTTCCGGTGGATATGAAGAACATACACTAAAACCTGTTGCTTACATCCTTCTTCAATATCACAACAAGCCAGTCGAGCACAAAGCATTCTTCCAGAAGTATGCTTCCAAAAAGAATCTTAAAGCAAGTGTTTTCGTACATCAGCTCGTTCGACAAAGATTTTCTGTTTCTCATAATGCCGATGATGAGATCCAATCCGACCCATCCTCTTCTATCAACAGCGACGGTCATTAACGCTTATATTTTTTTAACATCTATATACCTTATTACATTCAAGCTATCTTACTTTACTCTTCATTGCTTATTTTTTTTATCCCATTCTAAATGATGATTGAAAACCTCAAAACATGTTTTATAGCTTCAAAAAAAGCCATATTTGAAGCACCGCTATATTTCTTCCTTAATTCGTTTCAAAGCGAATTACTTTGCAATCACCTTTGATCTTGCGAATCATCTCTTCCTTTTCAAAGCTTATATTTATTTCTATACTTCATCTTCGATATCCAACGCATTTTTTTTTCAGGTAATAGGATACCCCTTATATGTTCACCTCAAAATATTATGCTAATTATTCATATTCATTTAAATCAGGTTTATAATCAATTATTACTAAAACATATATAGAAATAGACAATGTAAATAAATATAGGACTTTTATTTAGGTTACTAAATTATATTTTTCTTAGCAAAACAAACTAAACAATCAAGTGAAAGAGAGATGTCGCGCAAGGCAACTATTAATAACTTAATTTTATAAAAGATTAACGTACAACATCAACATAGCAACTTAGGACAAGGACCAAAAAAAGACAAGCAGTAAAAGGGTAGAATATACCTTAACAGAGTTAAAGATTATTTTGGTGGCTTATAGGGTTCCTGCTGTTCATTATTGACCCATATATCATGACCACCAAGTCTACCACTGGCTTCGCTGAACAATGTCGAAATTGGAACCATTAGAGCAACGCTTGTATTTGAAGCCACAGACGGACTACGCATTTCTAGGAATCTTCGCTTGACACGCGGACGAACGCTTTCTGGAAGAGCTTTCATTTGCCTGTCAAACTTAGAACCAAGGATATGTCTTATACGGCCACCACGAATCTTTTTCACGAAAGAAAGAGAATCTCTAATTGAATCAATGACTTCAGTCGGTGAAGAAGGCTCGTATGGGATAAGTCTGTTGGCTTCTAAATCATCAGTGCCGGGACGATGTATTGCACGGAACCTTGGATGCATAATCCATGACAGGACTGAATTGATCAATCGAAGAGGAAGTACTTTTCTTAAAAATTCATTGGGTATGCATCGAATAAGAGCACCAAGTGGAATAGAGATAACACCAAAGATGATAGAAATGGCCCAACCTTTACCATCAATTCTCGTAACAGAAAAAGCAGCTCCTCCAAAAAATACGATAACAACTTGAATACCTGCAACAACCAAAAAAATGCCGACAAAGAGAAAATTGTGGTTGATTCTTTCAAATATGTTCAGCTTATTATCGAGTCTTCTATTGTTTAATTCATTAAACAATTGAAGCCATACGAAAGTATTAAATACAATTGTTTTCATATCATTCGTTTTATCGGAGTAGTGAAAAAGTTGGTTACCAGCAAAGTGCAGCACCAAAGTAACTGCCAACTGGTAAATTGACTGACCGATAATCATCTTCCACATATCAAAAGTAAAAAGAGACGCTTTAGGATCTTCAGGTGCCCTTTCCAAGACTTCGGGCATAGGGGGATCAGTGGCCAAAGCTAAAGCTGCCAAGGTATCCATGATTAAGTTAACCCATAAAAGCTGTACGGCAGTAAGTACAGAAGTCTGATCTGAGGAAGCAACAGCAGATATTATAGTAAGAAAAACCGCAGTAATGTTCACAGTAATTTGGAATTGCAAAAACTTTTTGACTGCATCATTCACAGTACGACCCCAGGCAATGGCTTTAACGATGGAAGAAAAGTTATCATCCATCAGAATAATATCAGAGGCTTCCTTGGCTACTTCAGTACCAGACCGACCCATTGAAAATCCAACATTTGCCTTCTTTAAGGCTGGTGCATCGTTCGTACCATCACCAGTTACTGCAACTACGTTGCCTAGTTTTTGAAGTCCCTCAATAAGCAATTGTTTATCGAGAGGAGAGGAACGAGCCAGAACATCCAGCTTGGGTAATACCTCTAATCGGCGCTCTTCTGAGAGAGATCTGAATTCAGGACCTTCCATTGAGGTACCATCTGGAGTAATAATGCCGCATTGACTAGCAATAGATTTTGCTGTGATAATATTATCACCAGTAACCATTCGAACCACTACACCAGCACCTTGGCATACTTTGACTGCAATTGGAATATCAGCACGGAGAGGATCCATGATGCCGAAAAATGCCAAGAAAGTCATGTCTTGAAAAAGATCTTCCCATTTCAATGGATTATTACTATCTTCGTTATTCACTTTTATTCCTTCAGGAGGCCAAGAAGAAAATTTGCGATAGCAGAAACCTAAAGTACGTAACGATCGTTTGGCATAACCTGTAACCATTTGCTGAAAGTAATCTCTTTTAGGCTCTATCTCTTGAACTTCGTCTAATGAGGTCCCCGTAATCACTGATTTAGATTGTTGTAACACTTTTTCAGGCATACCTTTGACGACAAACAGATAGTCGCCTTCTTTCTTATATAGAGCACCAGAAGCCTTTCGATCCGAAGAGAAAGAAAAAAATTGAACTATTTCAGTTCTATTGCGAAGTTTATCGGCATCCTCGAGTCCTAAATCATTAACCGCCATATCCAACAAAGCTGTTTCTGTCTTCGAACCAATAAATTTGGGTTTCTCCGAACTGTCATCAAATAATTGTCGACAAGTAGAATTAACAGTAACACTATATAACAAGAGATCCTTTAATTCCGGAGAAAGTCGTTTAATAACATATGGACTTGATTCAGCTTCCTCAAATTTCGATTTATCGGAATTGCTGTCCACACCCGTTGGTGTTTCTTCACTTGAATTGAAAAACACTAAATCTGTACCAAAGCCACCAGCGACCACTGTCATTCGATTTTCTGTCAGTGTTCCAGTTTTGTCGGAGCAGATATTAGTAGCTGTTCCCATTGTTTCACAAGCCTGTAAATGACGAACCAAATTATTATCTCTTTGCATACGATTCGTCGCAAATGCCAGCGCAAGTGTGACAGCCAAAGGAAGACCTTCTGGTACAGCAACAACCAAAAGGGTGACTGAAACAATAAGAATTTGCAAGAACTCTTGTCCTTTACTTTTCGACGAAGTCGAATTAGACTTCAGATGAGCCAAGAATTCAATCAAGAGAATTACAAATAACAAGACAGAGGCAGCACCTCCAAGTTTAGCAATAGCATCAGCAACGCGAGATAAACGAAGTTGCAGAGGAGTTACTTGTCCCTCAGTACGCATCGCCATAGAGGTACGACCGTTAAAAGAATTCACACCTACAGCAGTCACGAGCAATTTGCCATTACCTTCCAAGACTGTAGTTCCTGAAATAAGATATGGATCTGCTTTCTTATCGTATTCAGTTTCAGGTTTCGTTCGGGATAGTGCAACATTCGCATCTACCTTTTTTGTAGCGTCTGTTTCACCTGTCATGGCAGATTCGTCAAGGACCAGATTGTTCGACTCAATTAATACACCATCAACAGGAACAACATTACCCGCTTCAACGAAAAGAATATCTCCAGTTAATACTTTGAAAACAGAAGTTGACTGAACGGCACCATCTCTTAGTACCTGAACATCGAAATTTGAGACTTTTGCGTTGAGCTTTTTAAACTGTAATTCTTTCTGCCAATCATTGACACCACCAACGGTAACAACAATAACAATAGCAACTATAATCGCGACACCTTCTACCCATTCGACACGAGGTTCAGGTTTCCCGGTGATAGGATCGATATTCGGCGGTTGACCAAATGTCTGATATAAACCAAGAGCTAATGAGATGACTGCTGCAATACTAAGTAAGATCAAAACTTTATCTTTAAAGGCTTCGAGCATTAGACGAATCAAGCCTTTGGAATCATGTTCTGGTAAAACATTAGCACCATAATAATGAATACGATCACAGTTGTCTGGTAATTCGGTAGATTTTTGGTTTCCGGCAGAGCTTGTTTTTTCAAGATGGAGATCCATCATAGGATCCATGTCTTCATCCAAGATATCTCGCATGGAAAGCTTATCGGAATAGTGAACTTCAGAGGTGGATATACCATTATGAGGATCAACTCGAAACCCCTTAAACAAACCGGGAAGACCGTGAACAGCATGAAGAGGGGAAGTATTTTTTGGGTCTACAAACTTTTGTAGAAGAGGTATAGGAAAAGCGAACGGTGCTTCATCATACTCGCTATGTAACAAACAATCAATGGAGACCTCAGAATTATGAGAAGTTTGTCCATCTTCGGACTGGCCATTCTGGGAATTGATTGATAGATTACTGGTGTAATCTGGCGGAGGATCATGTTTATCGTCAACTGAATTCTCATACATACTAGAATCATCACGACTAGAAGACGGTCTGGCGGTTTCTGAAGAGCTGGGAACACGAGACGAAGCCGTGTTATTACTTTTCGAGCTATTTCCACGTTTCGGTTTTGAGGGAGGAATTTGTAGGTATTGTGGTTGTGACGAAGAATCAGCATTGTGGTCTGAACCCTCGTCAGGGTGCTGATTCGGTTGATCTGGTTGAGAAGTCATGAGGGATAATTAGAAGACAAAAATTTAGACAATAACCCCGGTAAGATGAGCTGTTTAAGAAAAAAAAAAGACCAAACCGATAAGGGCAAAAAAAATGAAACAAAGGAAAATTGATAAGAAACAATCAAAAAGGATGGAAAGTCTTTAAATTTTTGCAATCATAAACAAGTATCAATAAAAGAAAACGACAAAAGCAAGGACTTTTAATATAAACAAAGATTTGAGACAAAAGAGGTCACTATTCAAACAGCTTGCAATAATCCTTTATATATCTGGAAATTCAAGAAGTGATTATGCGACGAGGAGAGCCAGAGACAAGCCGAATTACGAGAGATGAAATATGGGCGTATAAAATTATTCGTCGATATGTTTTCTCTTCACGCAAAGACCACCGACAAAAATTCCTTGTTGAACTTTGTAGCAACTAAAAAAAAAAAAAAAAAAAAAAGAAAATAATATGAAATAAAATAAAAACTTCAGAATTCGTTTAGTAAAGCTCGTAGTGAATTACGGGCAAAAAGAACATCCGTTACCAAATCCTTTTAGACCTGATAAAGAGTATCTAAACGATTACAAAGTAAAGCGGAAAAGAAAAACCCGCGTTATGAATAAAAGCTTGAATCCTACAACACGAAGAACCAAGCTGATTTAATACAAAACTTTCTGTAGAAACTTCTATCGAAGTAAGAAAAGAATTTTTCAAGAAATAGTATATGACGGAATTTGAAATCCAAAGAAAAATTCAATCGCTATGGAACTGGATTTTTGCTTCAAACACGTCTCAACTTTTTGAAAGTCTTAAGACAGTGGACTGTCTTGATATAGGTAGTTGGAAGGTTTTCAGTTTGCGGTGTGGTAAATGAAGCTTATCAGAAGAGCATATATCAACGCCCCCTTTCAGTATCTCTAAATGACTTGATTTTTATTAAAGAGATTTTTTAGATATAAACAATTGTAGAAGCTACGAAAATAAATTTTTAAATACCGACAGCTATCCATTTACTCCTCTTTGTTGACAGTTGCTCAAAACTTCCATATGCTTGCCCCCGAAAAGAGCAAAAAACCAGCGATGAAGTATACGTAAGTATTTTACTTCATATATCTTTGCAAACTTGCACTTCTTCATACTGTGAAGTGCCACTTTTTCCTACTATATCATGAAGACACGTTTCTTTCCTGTACACAAGGCAAGCGTCATACCTAGATAAGTGTGGCTTAGCTATGTCGATTGCGATCGGCAATGGATAACTTACTTTTCTCGCTTAAGTCAAAGTCGTTGACATGTCGCAAATGATGCAAATGTGGAATGAAATGGAGAAGAAAAGGAAATATAATACCAAAATGCTGTAGCATTTTGTTGGTGGTTGTTTCAATGGGATATAGAAAGTATGGGAAAGAAAGAAGGTAAAAATTTTCCTTTTCCATGTTGTCTTTTTGACATTTCGTTCTCATTTATCAATTAGTAGGTAACAGATATTCGAAGCTTGTTTTCCCCAGATGAAAACGATCGTAAAAGGTCTAGAGAATAAAGTAAAAAGTTGAATGATTTTTCTGTCAAGCCTCTTGTACTTATTCATTTCATATCGTTGACCATAGAGTAATCGACTTGAGCGATGGACATCCTCTTACACATTAAAAATCTGTCTATTCCTGTGACATCAGGAAGTCTCCTCGTTTATAACTTTGGTCTTTGTCTTTGTCTTTGTCTGATTCTGTTTATTTATATTCTTAGAAATAGACACGCAGGTAGTTGTACAGACGAAATACGCATCTTCTAATTATACAAAGAGAAGAATATGAAATAGTAGCTTAAAGTTTCATTCTTTTCTTTGAATTTCCCTTGATATTTTCCTTCGCGAAACGTTTATCTCCTTTTTCTTCCTATTCCAGCTCCATTACGAAGCGCTTTTCATCATGTAATTCATCTCCATCAGATCTTCAAATTTATCTATCTCTCCTTTTTCTTTTTTATTTTTTTTCTTCGTTTTCCTCGATTATATTGGGATGACTTGTGCGTACGGTTCTTAATACGATATTACAAACACCCTACCTGAACGCTCCCACATCGTGAATCTTCAGACCTTACCATTCAGCATTTCAAGAAGGTTTACGCGTTTAGACTCAAATTTCGGCTTTATCCTGCGTTCTTTACATTCTTTCTATAAAGAAACCATTCTCATTCCCTCCTTCTGATTGATTGAAGTCTGATCCTCACTTCTGAAATGTCTCAGGCTGATTTCTGGATACTTTCGATTCCTTCTAATGGGGGATCGAATAGTGACTTGCAAGATGACCTTGAATACGCTCTGGTTTCAGGATCCACAAAATTGATCCAGATAGTTAGTCCCTTCAATGTTCCTCTCTTCAAAGTAAGTATCGCAACTTCTGATCAGCTCGTTTTCAAACACCAAGAAGAACCGTAGTGCTAACTTGACTTTATAGGTAGAAAGTTTAGATGTTTTAATCAATCAAAATGAGCAACTCGCTAAACAAGATACTCAATGCTCGGCGGCACTTTCAAAAACAACAGAAGTCATTAAATCCTTGGTATCTACTTCTTCAGAAGAATTGAAAGACTATTTTTTGGTAGATGGAAGTAAGCAAATAACCTTCTTTCTCTTTTCCTTTCATTGCTGACTCTTTCCCCCAGGAACCCCTCTAGAGTATATCACTTCCTTTCAATGGAATGCTTCTCGATTTCGTTTAAGCAAAAGTATTACGGATTTATCACAAAGCCTTACTAGTGTATGTAGGTTTAAAAAGGACTTCTGTTAACGTACCTATCAACAGGAAGCGCTTGCTCTTGAAAATGACATTCGTTCTAGACAAACCAACTTTCAACAGGCTAGCAGTGCTTATCAATCCATCCAAAAGAAAAAGAGGTATTTTTACTTATAAGGAGGAAAAATATTTGATTCCTAGCTTTTGCGCTAACGCAATTTTAGTGGAAATTTGTCGCAAAGATCTTTGGCCAGTATAGTCCGCAAAGAGGACGTTATCGTTGATTCTGATTATATGACAAATATTTTCATTGCTGTACCATTGTATGCAATATATATATATATATATATTTTCATGTATTTGAGAACTTTCTCTGACATATCTAGGAACGCTGAAAAGAAATTCTTAAGCTCGTATGAAACTCTTACGAACTTGGTAATTCCACGATCTGCTCAAAAACTTGATCAAGACGAAGAATTTGCTTTGTATACAGTCATTGTCTTCAAAAGGTCTGCGGAAGAATTTACGTCAAAACTCCGAGAGCAAAGGTATGCGGTGTAAACCTATTTCTTACCACTTTATGCTAACGTTTGTGAAAGATACACGGTTCGCGATTTTACCTTTGAATCCGGACTTCGTGAAACCGAACAAACTGAGTTTGACAATGCTGCTGAAAAAGAAAAGCACATTCGTTCTTCTCTTCTGCGGTACGCCAAAATTGCGTTTTCAGAAATTTTCCAACATTGGGTTCATCTCAAATGCCTCTTGGTATACGTAGAAAGTGTATTACGATATGGTTTACCCCCAGACTTTTCTTCCGTCGTTTTTCAAGTAAGAAAAAAAGCAACAGATGGCTTGAATCGTCATCAATGCGTGTTTATGTATCTATAGTAAACTAACCAGAATAGCCCATTGAGAAAGCAGACAAGAAGATCAAGGCATTATTGAATCAGAAATACTCCTATTTAGAGCAGAACACGTCTAGAAACTCTAAAGCCTCCGATGATATGAATGCAAGCTTGGACGAAAGTATGGCTGGACTTAATTTGCATGAAGAATACTTACCTTATGTACTCTTTACTGTTCCTACAAAGTCTTTTAATTATTAGTATAATTCTTTTCTAATTTATTTTACTCAAATGAGAATCCTAAAGGTTGTATAGTCCAATATTTCGTAATGAATAGTCTAAATTCGACTGACTCTGGAGAGTTTCCAAAACCAAATTGATGTAACATGCGATTGCCTTCAATTCTTCTAGGATTAGGTAAGAAATACACCGCTTTTACCTTGTCAAAGGTAAAAAAACAGGTTTTTAAACCACAAACAAGACGTGCACTTACGTTTGGTGCTTTGACAACGGGATTTGGCATCACTGGATACATGCTGGCAAATGCTGCTCAAAAATATCACGTATATCCAATTGTATATACAGATGAACAAGTAAAGGAGATAAATCACGTTGAAAATTCGATTCAAAGCTTAAATTTCGTTCAAGAGTTGCGTCGCGATCCAAAGTTTCGTGAAATCAGAATCCCGTTCAACCGTAGCCAGCATAGTCTTACAAGTAACTTGCTAGGTGGTTTTGGAAGAGTTACAGTGCCTCCCCTGATTTTTTATAATAGAGAGAACGCCCAGGTTTTTGCTGTAGCACACATTGGAAAAGATGTTGCTCTTGATGATGGATCTATTCACCTTGGTTTAATTGCAACGTACGGATAAAGGAATCAATGATAATAGTTGACTAATTCTTTTAGATTTATGGATGAGATTCTAGCTTTTAGCGTATGAGAAACTCAAAAAGAATGATGACAAGGACTTTTACTAACCTAGCGCATTAGAGCTTCTTGGGTCTTCCCAACAAAATTGGTGTAACAGCTAATTTGTCAATTTCCAATCCATCAAAGGCATACGTCGACAGGTTTTACGTTTTGCGCTCTCAACTTCAATGGGCAAAAGGGCGCAAAGCCCAGGCGCACGGTACTGCTTACATGCTATCAGAGGAGGGAGAATCAAAAGATTCGACTTGTGTTGCAATTGCTGACGGTCTTTTTGGTATGCTTCTATAAATATGTACAATTGTTACTGACCGTTATAGTGGAACCCCGATTTGCCAAGTATCTTAAGCATGTAATTCCATTACAGTTGTAAAAGAATCGAGTACATAGAAATGAGAGACACTATCTCAGAACGTTTGCAAACGAAGGACGAAAGTAAAGGAAAGGAAATCTTCTATTACTATTCAAAAAACGTATTTTAGTATTAATTGCGATATTCTCACAGCGTTGAGATGCATAGCATGATGCAAACAAGAATAGCCATTCTTCAGAGAAATGGAATATCAAGATACTTTAGAGGCTAACATGACTTCATGAATGTTTCATTACATTAGCGAAAATTATAATGAGAGCTATTTGTTTGATTTTGTCCATGCAGTGGAACCATTTTGCTTTCTGTCAGGTTTAGTACAAACATCATTACAAGAAAAACAATGAGTTTTCTTTTATTTATTCTATGACCGTCTCTTGACTTTAACTAACATATCATGCTGTGTTATGATGAGCATCGTGCCTGACAATTTATTAACAAGTTTGAAACTAATGTTTAAAGAAAACCAAAAATATACTAAACTTTTTTATTCTAAAAAAGAATAAACCTACATTTGACTAAGGATAATGATGGACACGTCAACATGTCTTATGCCTCGCCCAACCTGTCAACAGCCAAACAGAAGTTCAATTTGAGATTTTTATGAGATTCGATCAGGATGGGTCAATGTCTATCTGGACAGCAATCCCGTCAAAATTTAGATCAAAGGGATGGGTCTTCATCGAGATTAATCCTGAAGTTACCGAAGTTATACAGTCCGAGTCCATTACTAACCAGAGAAGAAGTGGAAACCTCGAGAAATGAATTTTGGGAAACTTGTTGGGCTTATGGAGGTTCCAGGGAAATTTGGGAAGCGCTACATAAGATTATTAGCTTGCTGTACGAAGGGAATGCGGAGGCAGCAACGGAGTTGGCTTCTGCAGCCGAATTGACGATACCTGAAAACGATATTGGAAAAGGAGCTTATGATTCGAAAGGAACCTTTTATGAAATACCAAAAATCGTTGCAAGGATTCCACGAGCTTTTGCGGAGAAGGAAGAATCTGATGACGAACAAGCAAACCCGTCTGGTAGTCTCGAGGATGGAAAATTTCCTGAGGAAAAGGGTACGGGTACACAAGTTACCTCTGTAAGTAGTCTGGATGATGGTGAAAAGTCAGAGCCTTTAGAACCGGTCATAATTCGCTATTGCATGGACGAGAGGGACTACACAATCCAACTCAATTCGAATGCTCCTTTACTCCAAGCAAAACCTGCACTTGCTGAGGCTGGCTTAGATACTGTTCAAAGATTGTTTTTTCTCGGTCGCATCTTACAATGGAAAAAAGCTCTCCGTCAACAGGGTTGGTCTCCAGGTATGGTTATTCAAGCCATGTGATACAATTCCAACACTTGTAACTTTTTTATTTTCCTTACTTTTGTAAGTTTGTTTTAGGTACAAATGTCGACTTCCTCGATCAGATATCATCTTTTATTTTGTCATCACTCTTTTCCCCAACATCTTTGTTCTTAATGTTTGTTATCCGTATGGATTTCTTTTGCTATCTTGGTCCAGCTTCGTTCTTGCATATCATATATCATGAATAATTTCTTTTTCGTCCCTCTTGTCTGCCTTATCGTGTTTCTATAAAGCAATGCTACTGTTAAGCTTTATCTTTGTTAGATACATGCTAATTCCTTATGCATTTTCTGTTAATTCCTGCTTATGGTAGTTTGTTCATGTTTTTTTTCTCTTTTTTATTGCACTTTTTATAATTTCCTATACAAAATTAGTCCCGCTTTGGTTTGGCTGTGCTTCTGAATTTACGGGGCACGATGTCTTCTTTCTAAAAAGTATTTGTCTTTATTATGGCGGTTGACTTTTCCTTTATCTTTAATGCTAATTGCTATGAAAATTTTCCACGCTTGACCCGATTATCTTTAATGCTCTATCACATGTACCATATAGCAGCTATAGTATGAACAATCTTAACTAGGGATGATGTGAATGAGTTCTCAATATATTTATTTTACTAAAGCACACTTCGATATTCATGTAAAATCAATTCTCAACATACCTCAAATTTCCTCTATCATAGAAAGTCGTGCAATTTTCATCTTATAGCAAATTACTCTATACAATCTTATTATTATTATCGTTTTCATTGGATTGTAATCAAAATTCATTTCAACAGCGATACTTTTCTGATCTCCTTTTATTTCTCGTAACAGTGCATACTTCACCAGAGCCATTGACAGAATTCACCATAATTAGTCAAATTTATCCGGAAGAAGCAGAATTTATTGGAATTATTACAAGAATTAGAAATATTTTGGTATTATTTGTTTCAAAATTCGCTTCATTGCTGTGTTTAGGAAACTCAGAGCAATAAGTATTATTGCTCAAGTGTTTTCAATAACTTGAACGCACGAAACAAGTTTACCTTGCTTTATTCAACAGCTCATGAGTTAATTTGCAGTTTAATTATTCGTCTGGTAATTCGTTTTTCTTTTAAGTTGTTTATGACATTTCGTTGATTTCTACTCATTCTTTCCGTTGTTTTGCATTTAACTTACCAATTATATGTTTAAAAATTTATTTCTTTGCATAATATACTGCTGCTACGATTCTATTCCCATTGTTAAGTGACCTTCCCTATTTATCGCATTTTCCTTTGGAATTGGTTCTATCTTTTTTTTTAATTACAAAATTATATTATGCGTTCTAGCAGCGAAGATTCTGCATCTGAAAATGGATACTCTATTCCACTAAAGGATTATCCAAAAGAGACATCCATGTCAAAACATGCAGATAGCGCTTCTGGTTTTCATAAGGAGCAACATGTTGAACAAATTAAAACCTTCGACGATAATGATTTTGATGAGGTATTGAATGAAGATGGCTCAGAATCTTTTGACCTAGGAATCCCTATCCAACGTGAAAATACCGACCCTAGTCTTTTGGAGATGAACTACCCTTATTTGTCGAAATCTAGGACTTCTGATAAACCAGAAGAAACATTACTTAAAAAAGGCGTGAAAAAACATAACAAATATTCAGTTAAACGGACATTTAGGAAACCTGACTTTTTTCATAAGACATCTCCTATAGTTACAAAGATTTTTTCAGAAATTTACAGTGGAATGTTGAGAGTGGTTGCCTGTCCAGAACCACGAGATGACAGTTGCTTCCGTAATCGTCAGTATAGGGACATATGCAAAAAGGTCTTTTTATCAATTCCCTATAACATATTAATATTTTCAATGATTGTGACACAAGGTGTAATCCTTATGATTCAATCAGATGACCCGCATCACAAAGAAACTAGTGTCACGGTTATACTTTACATTATAGCAGGTTTTTATACGCTTGAGATGCTTTTCAAAGTTTATCTATTTGGTTTTATGTATGATGGCTCATACTCTTTTCACTCGCTTGTCGATTCCTACAAAAAGGGACGACCTCGGGATATGTCTTATATGCGCCATTCGTGGAACAGAGTAGATTTTGTTTCAATTATCAGTATATGGGTCATGTTATTCAAAAAGAAGTATGATGGTATTTATCGTTTATTTGCGATGCTTTCGTGCTTCCGTCTAACGCGACTATTAAATTTGACTCGAAGAACGGAAACTATACTAAAAAGTTTAAAAGAATCCTCATCCCTTTTAGTTCACGTTGTGTCATTTGTAGGGTTCTTTGGTGTACTGATGGCCATTCTAGGAGTACAATTCTTCAAAAGATCTTTTCTAAGACAATGTTTCTGGGTTGCTGAAGATCGGTCTCAGTTCGTTCCTACAGGAAAGTTCTGCGGTGGATATTGGCTAAATGGGACCATACAACCCTACATAATATCATCCGGAGAGTCTTCAAATGTCAGACCTCGTGGTTATATATGTCCGCAAAACAGTGTATGTCAAGATCATGAAAATCCTTACGGAAACACTGTAAGTTTTGATAACTTTTTTAATTCTTTAGAGCTTATTTTCGTTATTATGAGTTCAAACACATTCACAGACTTGATGTATGATATGATGGATGCAGAATATTTTGTTTCTTGTGTTTTCTTTATATTTGGTACTTTTCTATTAACTTTCTCGTTAATGTCTTTTGTCATCGCCGTCGTCAATAATTCATTCCTTCTGTTACAAACAAGAGACGACAACAAAGATAAGAAAACTGGAAAATCTCCCAACTTCGTATATATAAAACACGCCTTTTCTAGACGTTATTTAGACTATTCTGATTATGTTTGGATCATTTTTATAGTTGTTTATTTCATCGTTTTGGCTACGCATTCCTATGACATGGATAGCAGAACGACTTGGAAATATTACGTTTTTTATTGTGTCTTTAATGCTTTTCTTGCATTTGAAATACTGTTACGATTTATAGCTTACCTTCCGAATTGGCGAGGATTTTTTATTATACCCACCAACAATGTGGATACTGTCCTTGCTATAATGAATCTGGTTTCATTAGCTCCCCCTATTTGTAAAAATCCTCTCCTCAGCGGATGGTTGTCTATATTTTCTATCGCACGGATTTATCGGGTGGTGTTATTAATGCCTTATACCCGTAAGATTGCAAAGTTACTGTTTGCTAACTTTATTCGGCTTCTAAATTTGATGCTGTTCTTGTTAATTTTGCTTTTCATTGCCTCAATGTTGTCTGTAAGACTTTTTCAGATTTTACCACCTTCTGAAAATTCAAGTGACGATGTTGATTTTTCAAATACCTATGCCGCTTTTCTTAATATGTATCAAATCTTTTCTAGTGAAAATTGGACTGATATTACCTATAATGTCCAAGAAAGGTTAGGACCTTACAAACTCGCGTGGATGCCCGCCGCATTTTTTACGCTTTGGTTTGTATTTTCTAATAATATAGTGCTGAGTATGTTTATATCCGTGATTCAGTTTAACCTTTCGAGAAGCAATACGGATTTGAAGTTGCAGCAACTGAAGATGTATTTGGCCAGACTACTTCGGAATTATAATCCATTTCAAGCATCATTAACATTAAATGCACTTTTAAAGAGAAACAACTCACAGATTCGTAAAGATAAGGAAGAGTTATACCGAAAATGGGTTTTGGAAGATTCAGTTATAAAAGGATTCTTAAATGACACCACGATACCTTCTTCTGAACGTTTAGGTCCAAATTTCGACACCTATCCAAACGGACCTAAATATTCTCCTTCTAGGATAATAAATACGATCAAGAGTTTTATATTACGGGATGATCCGTTTTCACAAGCATACTTCAAAAAGATAATCGGCTTGAGATGGAACAAAGACATGAACCTTAAGACAGCCGAAAAAGACATGAAAGCAGCAAAGGCATTCGTCAGAATCAAACAAGCAGAATATTTGAAAGAAAACCCCAAATATAATTATGTGTTTTGGTTCATAAAACCATCGAACCGCCTTCGAAACTTTTGTCAAAAACTGGTTGAGCCTGGTTGCAATGAACGTTATGAAGGAGCGGAACCAAACCAATGGATCTATCGAATTTTTCAAGCTTTTATTTACGCATGTATTGTATGTGCCGTGGCAATAGCTTGCGTCACGACTCCTATTTATGAACGAGACCATATTTATTTGGGCCAAGAGGGAAAGACTGCATGGTTTATTTGGACCGAAGTGGCGTTCTCTCTCATATTCACGTTCGAAGCGGCCATTAAAATCATTGCTGATGGCTTTTGCTTTACGCCAAATGCATATGTTAGAAATACTTGGAACTGTATTGATCTTTTCGTTTTGGTTACGTTTTGGATTAACATTTTTGCAATCCTAACAAATCGAGGATCTCTTTCCAGAGCTTTTCGGGCTTTCAAAGCGCTTCGAGTATTACGGCTAGTAAACCTTACTAGAGCACCACAACATATGTTTCATGATGTCCTTATTAGTGGATTTTTCAAAATAGCATCAGCTATGGTAGTTTCGGTAAGTTTATTAATTCCCTTTGCTCTTTGGGCTAAAAATATTTTCGGCGGGCAATTATATTCTTGCAATGATAGCAATGTGAATACTCGGTGGGAATGTTTACATGAATATGCTGCGTCTCCAAGCAACTGGGAAATATGGGCCCCTAGAGTTTGGAGTAATCCCAACGGTTACGATTTTGATAGTTTTCCTCACTCTTTATTGATCCTTTTTGAAATTGTGTCTTTAGAAGGTTGGATTGATGTTATGCGAGATGTAATGAATATTACAGGACTTAATAAGCAACCGCAGGATAATGCTTCACCAGGGTATGCTATATTCTTTGTTCTTTTCAATCTGATCTCTACTATTTATATTTTGACTTTGTTCGTTGCTATTATTATCCGGAATTATACAGAGCGCTCCGGATCTGCGTTTTATACCCCAGAACAAAAGGCTTGGTTGGAATTAAAGCGGCTGATTAGATCTATGAGACCGTCGACTAGATCGGCTGTTCGTCCGCGGGGAATTCGAGGGCGTTGCTATGACTTTTCAGTTGATAAACATGGCAAATGGAGAAATGTATTTACAGGAATCTACATATTTCATGTTTTAATGCTGATGACTATTTTTACTCCATGTCCAGTTGCTTTTACTTATGTTAGAAATGCTATTTTCCTTTTGTTATCTATTCTGTATGTTATTAATATTGGAGTCAGAATTTATGGGCTTTCCTTATATTATTATTTTCACAGCTTTTGGAATATTTTTGATGTGATAATCACATTTGGAAGTCTTACTTGCAACATTTTAGCGTTAATCGGATTCTCGAGCAAATCACTAACGATGATACAAACTATCTTCCTTAGTTTAATTAGCATGCACTTAATTCCGAGATTTGATTGTTTCGATCAACTGTTTAAGACTGTAATTGTCAGTTTGCCCTCAGTTATTAGCTTGATTGCTACATGGTTTGTCCTTTTTATTACTTTTGCTATAGCCTTCAACCAGATTTTCGGTCTCACAAAATTGGGAGAAAGTGGGGGCACTAACCGCAATTTCAGGTCAATCAGAAATGCTTTGGTTATTCTCTTTATGATGTCCTGCGGTGAAGGGTGGAATAGTGTCATGCATGACTACACTGTTAATTTCCCGAATTGTATCAACGATTCAGACTTTTACAACTCTGATTGTGGTAATAGACCTTGGGCATATGCATTGTTTATCTCATGGAACATAATATCAATGTACATTTTTGTCAATATGGTAAGTTTAAATTTCGTGCTTATATCATTGCTAACGTTTAGTTTATTACTGTTGTTTTCGAAAATTTCAACTACGTGAGCTCTTATTCTTTTAAAACTCTTGGACGCTCAGATTTCCGTCAATTCAAACAGTTTTGGGCGCCTTTTGACCCAATGGTAACAGGCTATATTCCGAAAAGGAACGTGGCTAGGTTTTTAGTATCATTGAGAGGAATTTACGATTGCAGGATCTACAGAGATGATTTTTCCGTAACAAATTTAGTATCCAAAACAAGAGGAGGGAATGATACTTCGAATTTATTTATTGACGACGAGTTTAATCTGAGTATTAACATTAACCTTGATGGTTTGGACAATACTTTATTAGACTTGGATATTGAAGAAATAAGGAAACGTCGAAAGTCTCTCAATTTATTATATACAGAACTTATGATGCTTCCTGGCAATGTTGTGTCGTTTTCAGATATGTTGATGGTCATAGTCCTACATAAAGTCGTTGATCACAAACGAGTTTTACCTATTTCAGACTTTATTCGTCGAACATATGTACTCTCACGACTAGAAGAGACCTTCAGATTTGAGAAGTTAATGGACCTGATTGAAACTTCGAATTTAAGGCGTGCTTTCCTTAATCACCTCAAAGAGAAGAAACTAGCAACGGAAAATCCCTTTATAACTTTGGAGGAAGTTTCAAGTCTTTCAGTACCTGTTTTTTCCGAAGCTTCGTCTCAAAATGGGCTGGATCCCGGTCATTTGCAAATTACTCCTTCTTTGGGTACTAGGTCTCCTTCTTATTCCAATTCTTTGGTTCCCTCGCAGAAGTCGGGATCTATACTTTCAGTGGAAATTTCCCCTAATCAAAATACAGCATCGGCTTCTAATGATAATGAACTACCTCAAACTCCCCAAACTCCCTCATTCAAAGACGTTATCCTTCGTGGGTCACATTCATTGCGTTCTGCTTCCGACCAGCATTCTGTAAACGAAATGGAAGCCGGATTTGGTGTAACGACGGCAGGAACAGGAAGCACAGAAGATTTACACCAAATTGTTGACCAAATTGATGATTATTTGGAACTTTAACGATTAACGATACTTATAAACGTTTACTGATGCATCTCAAATGCCTGTCTGTCAATAACGGTTTGAGTTAAGGTTAATAAACTTGCTAGAAAAAGAATCGGGATATCAAACAAATTGTTTCATGAAATTTTTGGATGAGGATTTTGTCCAGGTTAATATCTCTTACGCTTACGCATAGACGTTATTCATGTAATTTTAGTATATGTAGACGAAAAGTCATTATAAAAAAAGATTTATTATAAAAATGTTAGATTTAATTGCAAAGATTTAGTACAAGTTATATATAGTAAGTCATAACGCCTATTCCAAAAAAGAGTCGCATTCTATCAAAAAGTAATTATTTTACACTAACGAAAACTTCACCGCCCTGATCGTCAATTAAATCAACCAAGTCCTGTACATCCTCAGATTCTTCCTTCCATCCAAGACGAATGGAATACTGTAATCGGCGAAGTTGAGGTAGCTTACCATCGGCCAATGCAGAAACAAGGTCATCGGCTTTCACCAAACTGATTGCAGTTAATAAGCTCCCAGAATAGCTAATTTCTAAGTGTTCGACCTTATGGCCAGATTCAGACTCAGACAAGCTCTCAAATAAATTGGATGTAATGTAATTTGCAGGTACACTAATAACGCTGGCGTAAGGGCATAATTGAAAAACACAATCAAGAGCATTACGAGAAAGTTCGGCCATAGGATACTGAACGTTTACAGATGTAACTGTTTCACCCACCTTGGAGAGTAAAGTAAAGATGCCTGTATCTGTTAGTTGAGGGCAATTCGTTATGTTTACGCTTCTCAGTGAAAGTGGAAAATTGGAATAAGCAACAAAGTCGTCTGTAATAGCTCCAGCAAAGCCAATATGTACAAGAGAAGGTGGCCAAGACTCAGTAAGCCTGGGAGAAAACTTTGATAAAGCAGGAAAATTAATGTATTCTAAGTACTGGAGGTTTTGAATTCCCGCGAAAAGGTACTGTAGGTCGATTCGTTCAGATAAGACAGAAAGGTCAATTTTTCTTAAACGAGTGCAGGTGGATAAAGCTCGAAGAGCTGTAAAACCAAGACCTGTTTGGGGACCTGAAAAGCTCTCCAGGTCCCTTGCACATCTTCGCAGCAGGCGAGAGGTTATTGAAGCTTTGGAGGTATAAGAAACGCTCGTTAGATTTAAATGATGCACCAATTTTCCATAATCAGTTTCGCTGATCGTGTTGAAGAACTTGGCATAATTCTTTGCGTTTAATTTGGGGAAAAAATAAATAACTGGTAAACCACCGGAGAAGGCATTGCGACAAATTCTTAATAAAGCGCCATTATTCTTTGCTTCATACGGATTCCAGCTTACTAGATTCTCAAAAATGCGAAGCCATATTTCAGTTGGGAGATTTGGCATCTTTTTGTTAAAACGAAAACCAAATCAACATTGCCTTTTTTCAAATATTCCAAAACAATAAAATTTATAGAAGTACTTAGTTTATTCCATTTAATCCGATTTCCATTGAATAAGAGTTTTTGGTAAATATATGTTTACCACTTGTTTAGGCGTAGAAATTCGCAACAGTACAGCTTTTCGTTTTCATGTACTAGGAACTTGTACGTATTCACTATTTATGGAATGAATTTAGGAAATGAAGTGAACGTCAATAATGTAAGGAAAATAAACTTATAACATGTAGAAAATCAAGAGGTATGGATAAAAAGAAGTCATGATTCGCACATGAGGAAAAGACTGCAACAATGCTTACTTCGCTAGTTGAATTTAGTCAAACAAATTGATTTTTATGCTTTGAAATTGAGAGCGAGCCGAAAGAATTTACGGTTTCGCCAGGCGCATTCATGTCGACGAGAGGATGTTTTAGAAGTCAGTCCTGAGTTGAACTCGTGATTTAAAAGAAAAAATCAAAATTGAAGAAAGCTCTAAGAAAGCCGTCTACCTGGTGGATGGAGACAAGCTTATGAACATGACCTTTAGGTTCTTTCTTTTTGTTTGACTCTGTCTATAGACGGATAGATGGCTTTTCAAAGAGTCACTTGATTCAATGATTTCTCTAGCTTTCTTGATTGTCTTTTTTGGTGAGCTGATGAGATTTGTTTCCTCGCCGATTTTGAGAATATAACTAGACTATTGCTTAAAAAGGTCCAACTTATGTGCCATTTTTTGAAAAAGTACAGTGTTTTAATGGCTCTGCATCATTATCCATTTTTTAACTTCTTTTCTAAAGCTACTTTTCAATGAAAAGGACTCGTCTATCGAGAATGCGAATCGTCTAGAAAAGAAGAAGGCCTTTTATGTGAAAGGAAAAAATGCAAGGAAGAAATTTATTAACATTATAATTCGCAACCACTTCAATCCAGCCGTAAGGAATATCGTTTTCCGGAGACTCAAAAATGTTTAGCATAGAAACTCAGTATTTCTTGCTTGCTGCACTGTTTTATTTGGAAACGAATGAAAGCTTAGGCTTAATAATTTTACCTTCACAAACGAAACATAAAGAATACTGGACTCTCAGATTTAGTATCCTTAAATGAAAAGGGTACCTTTCTTCTGTTCATGTCGTTAAAGAATTTCTAAAGCTTCTATGTATGAATTATTGCATGCAGCTTTCTCTTCTATAACTCGAGCCTTTTGAAGTCAAGGAAAAGTTTGTTACGGATGAAACCCGTGCAATCAATTACCTTTATAGTTTAATACTCGAAAAAAAAGAGGTCATAACAAACATCACTTCTACTAGAACTGTGAGTCCTGAAGATTGGAAACTATAGTGCCATAACGAAAGCCCAAGTTTTTTAAGGATATGCCTATTCTGGAATATCAAGATTGGCTCGAAAAGTGGAGATTAGGATCTTTAAGATTTGCATTTTCAATGTAATGTCAATCAGGAGCTTTATTGACACCAGCGCTCGTTTATACAGCACAAGCACATATGATTATATATATACCCACAAGAGGCTGTCAAATTCCCAACTGCTAAAACAACTATTGATATTAAGGATAAAAGACGTGTTTTATCTTTCAAGAAACATCAAAGGAACGACCGCTAGCGTTGCTCAGACTGTATGACAGGTCAAAAATCAAAACTTCTTCTTTGAAAACAAAACAAGTGCGTCTTGAATGAGATTAGATCCTACAAAATGTCTTAGTACATAAAGGATATTCAAGTTGGAATTTATTGCAAAAATTACCTGCAAATAACCATAAAAACCAAATTATAGCAAAAGCATATGTTGTTAATATCTTATTTAGAAAGGTCTTCACGTACTTATAACAACATTTCTAAAGTCTACTGGTTTTACAAACGCTCATAATGTGTAAACAAACCTTGTTCCCTGAAAGGTAACTTTTTAGGTAACTAAATCATGCTACCGGATTGCTTGAAAGAAAAAATCAAAGTTGCTTCAAGAAGAAAAGGGCTTCCAGCAAGGTAACTTAGCATTTCTTTTTTTTTTTTTTTTTTTTTTTTTTTATTTCATCTCCATCTTTATGTTGCTAGTTGAAAGTGCCGTATCAGTTGATTAATATTTATTATTTTTATGGTAACTTACATAGCACGAAAAGTGACACCAATAAACAAAAGTTTTTCTTAAGAAAACATGTACAGAATGAAAATTTATCCACCTCAAACATTTGAATAAATAGAGTTCATCGTTACATGTTTAGTACACAACAATTTGCTTCAACAACGATTTGCTTTTCTTGGCCATTGAAGCCCTTCCAATATAAATAAGTTACGAAATACTAGTCCCATGGCACTTAGACCAACAGTGTCAATATCTACAAACGAAGAAAATAAAATATAGAATTAAAACCAATGTGGCCTTTACGAAAACTTAGAACATTTAGAACTCAACTCAAATATTATTAATATACAGTAAAACCGTGAAAACCAAAAGATTAAATTATTTTGCCATTGTTCCCCAAAACCAATATGATTATTCGTATCAGACATAATAAGAGTAATCTACTCATCAGTAGCAGATTCAGCAGCCGCTCTTTCTTCAGCTGGTGACACCTTTGATTCTTCTATTCCATTCCACTCTTCTACATCTTCTTTGTTATTATTGTCATTTACATTTTCTGAGTCTTCTTGTAATTGCTCCTCAGTTGTTTCTTTGGTAAACTTATCATCGGTTTTGGAAGAAGCATCATCCTCGCCAGATGATAAACCTTTGGGTCCAACAAACCAAGGGATTTTGCCTCGCATAAAGTCATTCAAAACCATTTTTGCAATAGAGGCCTCATCAGCCTCACCACCTTTAAGTAAACGGCCACTCTTCTTAGCAAGCATACAAAGAAACTCGGTTGAGTCTCTCCATCCAGAAATTTCATATGTACGCTCCAAATGCTTGGTTTTACAACGGGTTAAGACAGTTGGAATGTAAGCTTCTGGGTTGCTGACATTTTCCACTCGAACAACACCCTTTAGCAACAAATCCGCATCTGAGTCAGTGGAACTAGGAGGTACAATTCCAGGGCAATCAATTAAGAAAATACGCTTCATTAGCGTAACATACTGCCATACCTTCGTTTCGCCAGGAATAGGTGCAACATTGCATACTTTTTTCTTACGAAGAGTGTTAATAATGCTTGATTTTCCTGCATTCGGATATCCGACTAAGCCCACGGAAACTTGCTTTTTGTCGGAATGCAATGAAGCATATTGTCGTAAAAGCTGAATAAGGGATCCTTTACCAAAAGAATTGTTAATAGAAGCGTGGAATGCAATTGTAGGATACTCTTTTGCTAAAATTTTGACCCAAGCTGCCTAAAAAAGAGTTAGTGAAATTCAGAAACCTAATTGAAAAGTTATAATCCGAGGTAAAATATGTGCGTCTTATCCTTGGAAATACAACCATAATAGTCACCATACAAGGTGGTTGTATTCAACGTTGAAAAAGACTATACTGCTAATACCGGTATGACCAAAACGGGCATAAAATTGGTATAGCGTGTCTACTATCCCAGAGTTGTAACAGACTGCATTCGATAGATAGCTGTGCTTAGAGCACACGAAAGAGTCCTGACTTAACAATGGGTACAACCAACGAATTATAACTTTTCAGTGCACGTTCAAAAAATTACTTACCGCAACAGAAGTCGGAATTAAATCGATTTTGTTTAATACCAAAACCATGTGCTTATGGGGAGCTTCTTTCTTCAAATAGCGCTCAACGGATCGGCATCGAGTTCCCATGGGATCACGAGCATCCAGAACTTGCAACAAAACATCACTCGAGTCAATAACTTTGTACAGTTCATTCCAGATGCGCTTCGACTGACCCTTGTTAAAAATAGCATCCCGAGCAGCCATCGTAACATCACTTTCTGGTTCTGGATTCGCCAAAATTCGTTCTTCTTCTTTTTCTTCATACGCATTTTGTCTTTCACTCGATGCGTTTGCTAAGTCGGAAAGAGAATCAACTGAAATCTTTGGGCGTTTCCTTTGTGCCTTGGGACCAAATGTAGTATCAAAAGGTTCTGATTCAAGGACACGAACCTTAGGAATGTGAGAATTTTCTTCCAAAAGTGACATGGGCAGCTTATTCCTTCTCATCAAGACTTGATATGGATCATTTGCTTTTTGACCCATAGCTTCACGAAACTGAGTAAGCGTAGGCTGCGCAATTACTCGAGTACTATTAAACCAACGACGATCTGGTTGAATACGAGCTTTTGGAACTTCATTCGATTGAAATTCGGCGGGACGAACAAGCTCACCTTTTGCATCATATTTAGCTTTGCCGCCACGAAACATGTTCACCTTGGCAACATCCTTGGCATTACGATAAAAGTTTTCACCTTTTACACGCAAATTACCGGGCTTTTTTTCGGTGCCGTCACGGCCCAATCTGCTTTTCTCTTTTTTAAACGTTCCCATCTTAACTTATTGAAGCCAAAACAACTAAACAAAACTTGGCTTCACTCAACCACGCTCCTTTTAGATGTGGTTGGTAGAAGGTGACTTCTTTCAGTAGACAAAATTTTATTATACGCGTATGGGTAACAACAAGTCACAATCATTGGGTATGTTTACATGAAATGAAGGGTTATTCTTTTTTCATAAGTATGGCTGAATGGCATGATAAATCTATCTTTCTAAAAAAATAAAAATGAATTGTTTCTGGTTTGTTTTGAATGAACGGTGTGAATTTTTGGCAATGCAATGGTAGCAAAAGTCTGTTGAAGAAAAGGAAAGCATTATTATCATTCATTATTAGTAAATTTACATAACAGGAAAACCGGTGAAAAAGTCATGGGAATCATCAGTTATAAGAAGCATTGTTGAAAGAAGTAAGACTTAGAGAGAGCTTTCAAGGTTTTCCTTCTTTTCACTCTCATAAGAACTCATATTTAAAGGAATATCCGAGCCTTCTATGACAATAGGAGACTCTAAAGGCTCTTCTTCAGTGACTGAAGATTCTTTTCCATAAACTGCTGTTATGCTGAGTTGCGAAAAAGACAGCACGATCATAAATACAAGATAAATGATAGCTTGGTTTTTAAAAGAAACACCACCTGCATCAATACCAAACGAAACACACATGCCAGCAGCTTGGGTACCCTTATACAAGCCAGCGTAACTGGCATACATAGTAGGATTATTTACCAAAAGCGAAACACACCATTGCACAGAGACGACAGATGAGCAATACTGAACCCCCATAAGCAAGTAGAGAACAATGGCTTTCCCATAGCCATGATCGGTCCAATCAAGACTGGGCGAAGTATTAGTGAGATCGATTTTGTTTTTCAAAATCCAGGCAAGCTCCCCAGAAAAAGAGACGATAAGAATAATTGCCTGTATAGAAAGTCCAATGAGACCGCGCTTTCTACGTGGAAAGCGTTTTGCGTCTAGGACGGCCGTAAATAAATAAGGAAGAAACAACTGAATAGACCAATATAAAACATTGTTTAAAGACCGTGTACGCAATGAAAAATAGTAGGAATTTAGGTGAGATTGCCAGGCCACTGTACTTTGAGAAATAAAAGCAGATGGTAAGAGAACCAATAAACGCCAATCTTTGGCAGCAGCAATAAGGCCCCTTAGTTCTTCAACCAAAATCACTTGACTTGGTGGAAGAGCGAAAGATCCGTCGGATTTTTTTACGCTAGATGGATCCTTCACGAAGAATGTCGCCAAAAGGACTGCCATAAACATGATAATGATGAAAATAATGTATACTGCTTCAGGAACACCCGTGCTTTTTGAATGGTAGTTTAGACCAAAGGCAATTAGGGATCCTACAGTGCTACCCAAAGCGAGAATAGTCCATTGTGTTGACACGAATAGAGACTTTTGGTGTTGACACGAATAGGCAAGACCGACATATGCTGTCGCAGACCAAAGTAAGCCTGCTGCTACTCCAAGATAAGCGCCTGTAAATATTGGAAACCCCTGCTTCCCAGTGCGATCATAAAACCAAAGACCACCGATGTACATAGGATAGCCAGTGGCACCAACTGCCAAAGCCCAGCGAGGACCCAGTAATTTTAAAAGCGGACCCCCAAGCCATCCAAAGAGGGCATACAAGGCATATAATAGTGTGTTGGTAACGTCTGCGAGATGAAATGTTGACGGATGACCGCCTCCAGCGCCCAAACCAGTAACAGCGAGATAGATGCCAGGACAACAAAAGAGAATACAAGAGACAACGAGATTTTGAAATTGACCAAATTGAATGAACCGGCAGTTGGCCGTCTTAGATAGAAGATACATATTAGTTTTCGTTGTCTTGAACAGAAGAAGACCAAATTGAAAGGAGACACAAATTCAAAATTAAGATGAAAGATTATGAGACAAAGGTATCCGTTAAATTAAGGATATCTTTAAGACTTTGGAAATGTGATACTTACAAAAATAAATAAATTACACGCAAAAGCGGCAATCTCAAAGCAAGCAAATATATATATTTTTATGTATTAGTTCACCTCTTACCTTCCTTATCGAAGAAAACACCTTCCTCGAGTCTCAAGACTACGACTCCTCTAGCTTCCACTAGCCAACGTTTGATAGTTCTGCCAAAAACCTATTATCTTATGGGTGTTAGTGGATCTGTTCCCCGAAAGGTACAGGATAACTGTTTCGTATAGGTCAATGATTATCTCCCGCATAGCTAATCTTTGCTTGATTATTTCATGCCCATGGTGGAGCTGTTTTGTTGCTTAAATAGTATAATCTAACATAGTGTGTCACGAAAAAAAAAAAAAAGCCATAGTAGAAGCTACTTTTTTATTATTTTTGTTAGCTCCAGCTTTCTATGTGCCTCACACTTGGTAACCAAGTTGGTTGTTCTTAACTGGGAAAAGTTCATGTCGAAACCAGTATGGGAAATTTGATAACGTATGCAAACCTTTTCAGAAAGATGGAAATTGCAAAATAGTCGATTCATGATTACCTTTCCTCTTGTAATTAGTGTTTTCCGGACCATACATTCTGGTCTAACATGGAAGGCTTGGGCATTTTCATTACTTTAGGCGTCCCATCATCCAAGAAGACGATTGGGACACGTATAAGAGTTTTGAAAAGTTTATTATCATAGTCCGAAAGACATTTTTGCGAAATTTGCTACTAAAAATACCAACTGAGCAATTAACTTTGTATTGACCCGCGAGAGAGAGTACCAGACCTGGCATGGATAGATGCCGAAAGTATGCGGGGACTGAGTAAGATTCAAGCGCCTTTGGGATTGACATTAGTAGGATGAAGCTCTATGCTACTTTACACTACTTGCTACATCCAAATCGTCTTACGTGCATGGATTTACATTTTGAGAAAATTTCTCGTTGGTTCTCATGTTCAGGAAACCTTTGGTTTACATACATTATTAAAGATTTTTGACGCTTTCCATCTTTATACCTACAGTATCAACACTTCTATCTTATTAAATTCGTGGACTGGAACATGAACGTAGATGGGGAGACTTTCCAATGGTCATCAACTACTATGATGTGTTTTCTTGTTTATGTTGACTTGGTTCAATACTGAAAATTCAAAGCTGATAAAGTTTTCAACGGGAAGTTGGTGTCAGTCATGAAAGTGGTGCAGCCCAGCAGCCCTCAAAAGAATTCCTTCTCTGTTGATTTTCATTGCATAGGGTCTAGTCCTATGTGCAAGATAATAAATAGAAGGGAGAAACTCGTATAACTTGTTTCTTAGAACCAAGCTACAAGTCGATATCAATATGAGAGTGGGATTTTTTTAGCTAAATAGTGAATAGCCGCGGTCTGTCTCATACGACTCTTCTTAAAATCCTAAAAGTTCATCTGACACATACTTTTTACTTACAGATTATGAAGTGCTCAAAGAAAATTTGACTTGATATATCTAAAGCTCACATTGCGCTGCTAACTATTTCAATAGGATTTCTCCATCTTTTGAATAATGAGTTATTTGTTTGATGGAACGATTTTACCTGAATTCACTGGGAGAAGCGATTTCATGAGCAATCCTTCCTTGATGGCATGACAATCCTCACAATAAGCAGTATCTCTTTCCTGTTTTAGTCACCTGCTACTCTTACTAAAATAAACTCGAATTATCCGCTTGAATCTTGTGGTAGAAATATTCTTTTTTTTTTGGCTTCTTCCTTAAGTGCTATAGCGACCGTTTTGCCAAAAATGGCCAAACATTGCCCAGCGTTGATAGACAAGGTAAGCCAAAGGTAAATTTTTATCCTTTCTAAGATAAATTGGTTTTTTTGTCGCAAAAGTTATAGCTTCTACCTGTTAAACTTTTATGTTTATGATAGAGTCTTAAGTTTATGATGAATAGATCGTGTTTCAGAGCTTTCCATCTTAAAGAGCCATGTGATTTTGAAAAAAAGAAAAGAAAATAAACTCTACATCCTGTTCTCGCAGTTCTGTAAACGAATAATGCTCGTCAACTTCATGGTTCATGAGGCCTTACTAAAATTTCATTTTCTAACGAAATTAACGAAAGAATACATAGTAAAATATTCAGAGCTAAAATTATTCAATTATTTATTTCATCAAGTGAAAAGTTGCACCCTTTGGATGGGTCTTGACTAAACGATGCTATAACGCTTCTCTTTTCGTTATAGTCATTTCCTAAGCATTGAAAGTTATCTTTTTAAAAGAATAACATATTTCATTTTCTCTTGAACTTTCACTTTCTCTACATTTCACTTATCCTCTACCTACCAACTAATCCCTTTACCAACTCCACCTTCCCCAAAACCAATATGGCACCAAAAGTAACTAATGCTTCTTCTCTGGATGCTTTCTTTGCCTCTTACAACAAAAAAACAAATTCTTCCTTAAAAATCATTGACTCTTTCTTGGCTTTTCTCGTTGTTCTGGGTGGATTGCAATTCATCTATGCTGTTCTCGTAGGAACCTATCCTTTCAACTCGTTTCTCTCTGGATTTATTAGTTGTGTCGGTCAATTTGTAATAACTGTCGGGTTCCGTATGAGTTTGACTACTCAAGATGAAAAGGATGAAAAGTCCAAGTGGTCTCCTTTTACCTCAAATAAACGGTAAGTAGAATTAATTTGAAAGTTTCAGGTATAGAAGCTTTTCCTTCAGCTGTTAACTGTTCCTCTATAGCGCCTTTCTAGAGTTTTGTTTCTCAAGTCTTGTCCTACATTTCTTTGCCGTCAATTTCCTCGGTTAAAATCCCCAAGCTCTCAACAATTGCTTTCTTCTTAAATGAAAAGGTTGACGCCCTACGAATTTATTTGCTACGGTCATTAGATGCATGTACTACTATTCTACTTGTGAAAAGACAAACTTAATGTAATGAAATATTTTTTTTAATTTCATCTTATGAACAAAAATCAACCTTTCAAATGAACGAAAAAAGAAGCGAATTAATTTAACCAAAAGAACGAATTTAGTACGAAACAAGTAAAATTAACAAAATATATGAATTACAGTTGACTCATAAACTTTTCATGGGTTTATGATTCCTCGAACTGAATATAATTAGCATAATCACCAACAGCTAAAGGGTGTGGATGCAAAAAGCAAAAGACCATCTCAAACATAGTAGCTATTAACATTATGGAAAACATTACAACCATGCTAAGACAGAGACTGATGATTACAACGTGGCGCGTGCTTTTGACACTTTTGTCGGGTCTCGGAGGATGTACTGTTCGAATAGTAGGTAATGTTGAAAACTGTACAACAACATCATCAATACATTGTACATCGCCATTTCCATCAACAGCTGTCAACAATGGAAACCAGGTATTATTGAATAAATAAGCAGCAGAAACCCTATTTTGGTTTTCTAAAGTAAGCAGTCCTGATACGACAGCAACTGATCCATTCATTGGGACATCAGGAAATGCATTAACGTCGAATACACCCAAAGACTTTATTTTTGATTGATTCAATGATAGTCCATTGGAAATATCTTCGATTTCACTCCCCTCTAAACTAATAAAGTAGGGAACGTTGGGCCTAGTGCTATACCCGTATAACAGAAATGAGGAAGTATTGAAGGATGCACTGGTGGGATATCTAGCTGTGTAATATACTGGGCCCAAAATAGAAAGATCTTTTGAAAAAGGAAACAGAGTTTGAGTTTCAGTATCATAAATCATCAAATATTCTTTTCTTCCATCTTCAAAAGAAAAGTCTCCGCCGACTAAAAGCTTAGTGTGTTCATCGTTCATATATTCCATGCTGTGTACAATACCACGGCTGTAATTGTATTGTACTTGCTGCCACGTTTTTTGGACGGAGTTTAGATGACATAGTCCCTGACAACTATTGTCAAGAGTACTTATATTTCCTCCAAAAAGAGTAAAAGAACATTGGGTATAAGATGGTAAAATGGTATCAATTTTACCACGAAGTTTGGTTAGATACGTGGTATTTACAAGCGTATTAGCGGTAGCATTGAAAACGCGATAATGGCCATTTTCAAGGTAAGGATCCTTATAGTCACCAAATAAAATGTAAAGTTCATCTGCAATAGCAGTAACTTTTGAAATTGACTCATTTGATTCCAAAATTTGTTTTGGGAATGAAACACCAGTCTTGTTAAGCATATAAATTTTTGAAATTGTATTATCTTGAGTGCTTTGGTTTATGGTCGCCAAAATAACCATTGAAGTGTTTTGAAAAAAATTTGTGACCGATTGAAGGTGCAAATCTGAAGGGATATAGCGCAGATAATCAGGAACAAAAGAAGTAGCGGCTTTAGGAGTCGAAAAGTACATGATACTATTCGTTGAGTAATCAGCAAGCGCATTTAATTTTCCTAATCTTATCGTTGAATCATTTTTTGTAGCAATACTTTGAAGAGTTCCAGAGAAATACGGATTCAGGTCAGTGTTTCCCAGCCAGCTTTGCGACGAAGGATTCCACAAAGCATACCCATCCACCGTTAATGTCGTGTTATCCTTGTTGTAAACAGTATTAAAATTACCTTGAAAAGAAATATATGTAACAGGTTGTCCCAACTCATAAAGGATACTAGTGCGTATGCGTCTAACAGCACCATTAGTGCCAAAACCAAGAGGTTCCCAAATACCGTTATTGAACTGAGCAACATAATTCAAAACTTGACTTTGATCGCTAAGTGATTGAAATAAACCAGATATATACATTACACCTCCATAGTCAAGTATATCCGTAACCGCTCCGTCCATGCCCCAGCCTGGAAACGACTTGGGTACTTTAGACGAATTTATATATATTAGATTCCTTCCATATTTCGAATTAAAGTCACCACCAATACATATACCTAAAGAGCAATTTTGAACTGCGTTCACAAACTCGCTTGAAATATCATCAGTAGTGAATATGTTGCTTGGTCTCATAGAATTATTCGGATGAGAAAATGACAGAAAAACAAGACCCTTACTAGTTTCGTCCCATATATTTTCTTCACAACGGAGAGAATGAGCAACCAAGCTACTATTATTGAAAGGCAGAATTTCCACATAAGGTCGAAAGGAAGAAGAAGACCCTTGCACAAAACCACTGTATACTCTGATATACTTATTATAAGAATACCGCTGAGAGATCACCTTCTGGCTTGGAGACGCATTCTCAGCGTAATGAACTTTAACAACCGCATCATTTCGATAAGAACAAGTATCATCGTAATGACAACCAGGGACCATTAAATCCAATGAAACATTTGATGAGTACGTTATATTTGGTATGAATGTAGCGGTAGCATTTTCCAAAGAAGGAGATGAAATCCAATAAGGCATAGAAGCATTCTGCGTAGAAGGTTTCCAAATCCCGGTATGCTTTGAAAGAGAATTGTAACCAGGGAATTGACAGGCATCTTGATTAAAGGAATTATCAAAATAAGAGACGGCGTTCTTTTGAAAAAATTGAATACCCTTAACAGCGACTAAATCGGCACCAGGAGCATCATTGTAAAGATGCACATTTACTTCATAATCGGTCCAACCTTCAGGAAAATAGAAATCGTGGTATTGTTTCGATGAATCTAGGGAACAATTGAAACTACAGCTTATAAAGCTAGAATTATCAGCGGGTTTGTATGTCAAAGGTACAGGTTTATCATATGAATTAGTCAAATGAAACGAGGTGGCTGAAAAGGAAACTATATCGTCAGTAAAGATTCGGATGGAATAAAATTCAATTTGGTAAAGGGCCCAAGAATTAAGAGACACCGAATTTGGATAAGACACATCCCAAATAAACAAAGAATTGTCTGAATAACAAGATAAATCCATGACAGAAGTACTGGTAGAGCTTTCGGATAATAAAGTAGAAGAACGAAAACCAACCTTTGCAATTTGGATCTGATCAGTAGGTATAAAGGGTGTACTACGTGTAAAATTCCCGTAAACAGCAATTTCATCGCTCGCTGTTGGCAGAACGGAAGAGACGTTACCATTAAAAGAATATACATATTCAGCAGCAGAAAACGGATCTGTTAAATTCCACCGGTAAAGTTCAGTAATGGTAGTAGACAGATTTGATGCATTAACTAAACCGTAAAGAAAAGGGGAATAATCATCACAAAAAATAGAATGCAAATGAGAAGAGGTAGATGAATGATTATGCGAATTGAGCTCATAAGAAGTATTGGAAAATAATTCGTGGACAGTTATAGAAGAATTCAATCGGTCAAAAATGGGCAGGTAGGATTTATTGTCATCGGGAATAGTGGTAAAGCAAAAATCGTTGAAAGAAGGAAGTGGTAAAGATATTAGAGTCCACGACCCATTCCTATACTGTTTATATAATTGATATGAGGTATTAGCAGAAACAATAGGCTCTGACAAATAGTTGAATCCCACAAAAGGACCTAAGAAAGAAACATCATAAGAAACAACTGGGAAAACATAATAAAGAAAGACCAAAACAAAAGCAAAAAGAATATGAAAACGCAATTGTAATTGTGAATATGCAATTCCCATAATCATTGATGCAAATAAAAGAAAGACGAAAAAAAAAAGGTGTCTAATTTGCTATCTTCATTCTACTGCAGTTTCGCGAAATGCAATAAAACATAGACGTTATAGTATACAAAAGAAGGAAAAAAAAAAAAACCAAAAAAAGAGAGAAAGGAAAGAGACGATTAAGGGCTAACACCCCGTAAATATGCTGCTATCCTTAATGAAACTTCCGGTAGTTGTTAACGGTAAAAGTCATCTATCTCCCTTGTTTACATATATATACAAAGTCAAAAATTCACGGACATATCTCTACACAGCTAGACAATGTTTACAAACACGTGTGTAATGGTTCATTCTATTTATACTTTAACATTGAGTTTGCATTACTCTTTATTTACGATCTATTCGAATAATACTTACTGTTACCAAGCACGGCTTACAATCTGCAGAATTTTTATGAAACAATCTTATTTTGAAGCCCAAAAGCAAATTTCAACCAAGAATTCACTTCGCCGTACGCCGATAAGCTTAAGCAACCAAAGCAGAAGCAGTGGCAGACTCGTACTTCCAGGTAGGAGGAAGAGCACCGACCTTGCGGTAGTAACGGGCAAGACGGTGGATACGAGACTCGATGAGAATCAAGCGGAACTTGGAGTCCTTGTCCTTACGGTTACGCTCCAAGTGCTTACGGACGGTAACAGCCTGCAATCGTTAGTAACTATAGAAAAATTGCAACAATCAAGACAATCGTTGCAAAGGTTTGTCTGTGTGATAACCTACCTTCTTGATAAGATTGTAGAGATCCTCGGGGAGCTCAGGAGCAAGACCTATCACTCTGTCAGCACACAGAACCAAGCAGAGGCGTATTAATCTAAGTAATAAAGGGCATACCATTAGCCTTCAAGATACGCATGATCTTTTGACCTATAGTTGGGTTAGTATCTTCATTTTCCAAAGTCGGGTTTTTATAGCAAAAAAATTTTTCTCGCTATTCTTTTTTCTCTCTGTTTAAACATACCAGTAATGAAGCGAACTTGAGGGATTCCATGAGAGTCACGGAGAGTCACACCAATTTGAGAAGGGGACATACCCTTCTTGGAGAACTTGACAATCTGATCGACAACAGATTCGGCATCAGCCTTGCACCAAGCAGGAGGAGAACGAACATAGGGTAAAGCAGAAGAGGCAATACCCTTTCCATTACTATGCATACGACCCATTTTGACTTAAATTTGTTGTTTTCTGGTTGAGGTGCAACGCGAGTGAGAGGTGTGTGCTAAAGAAGTTAATCTGCCTCTTTTCTTTCTTGTCATATACAGCGTGACTGGTTCCTTAGTGTACCCTACCCTAATGTCGGTTTGGTTCTAAGCGGTCGATCACTATGCCTGCTTCTGGATCCCAGGAATGACGCGCTAAAAGATTATATAGTTCCTGCGGTATTTTCGTTATAAGGACAACGGTTAGTCCCGTTATTTTTTCAGCGTCTAACTCGGGAAAAGTGCGTAAAATATGCATAGGACTAATTGTTAGTATGCGTAAAGGGAGATACCGATACATAGTGAAACGGAGTGAACAGAAAGAAAAGCAAAAGTTGAAGGAAATTGATGAATTGAAAGAAGGAAAATAACGGACATTCCTTGATTTCATTCTTGTTTCAAAAGGAAGGATCAGTTTCGGGAAGGTACTTTCTATACCACGATCACTGGTTTGTTTTTTTACATACCTTGGATGATTGATCAGTTGGTCACGAAGCAGAAGTAACTGTGCAATAACACAGAGAATATTGAGATGGGTTCCATAGGCAAACAGAAAGTCCCAAATTGCCAATACTTCTGACAGAGGTGCTGTGCATGCACTCAAAGTAAGGATAGCTAAAATGTTAGCAAACAGAGCACAGATCATTTAAGAAAAAATAAAATTCTTTTGATCAAAGACAAAAGACAATAATCAATCATATCTACTTACAAGGTAGAGCATACAGCTTGGCAATTAAGCCTTTAGAAAGAAGATGAGAATAAAGAGGATAATCGACCGTTTCAAGGCATTTATCAAGAAGCTAATACAGGTTAATAGGATTAGCTTTCGCAATAATAATTAGAAATAAAAAGAGAAAAAAGAAGCACCTACCTTAGCTCCTCTATGTACTCCATCAATATTAGGAAGAACGTATTGAGGACACTCACGCTGTAAGAGTCGATCAAAATGATGGAATGCTTGGCTTTCACTTTTGCAAACATATAGAAAAGGAGAAGCGAGTACGTTCATACCTTGGACGTAGATGGCACCTCGTTTCCAGACATAGGCATTCAATAAACGGGAAAGTGAAGCTTGAGATACGCGGGAGTGAAACCTCGTCTCAACAACTAAGGTTCTAGATACATCGTTTTGTATTTTTTGAGCCATAGGAGAAGGACCTTGACGTACATAATGAATGTATTCATCAGCGCTACGAGGGGGGGAGTTCAACAAGATGCTCCAAATATACGGACGTACATGAGAATTTCCTTCTCCATCTGATTCAACTTTGTCCAACATTACCTCATACCGCAGTCGAGAGACACATTCTGAATGCTCTTCTTTAGATTTTGGTAACAAACGCAGAAGACGTTTATTATCTATAGCAGGCATGAATAAAGGAGAAAAAGGAGCAATCTTGAGAATAAATTAAGTATTAAATTCTTTTCATAAAAAAAGATCGATATAAATACAGCGTTCTAGTCCAAAAAGTCAAACCGAATGCATTGGATGAGAGGAAGAAAATGATGCAAGTGTTCCGACTCCAGGAGAATCGATTTCAGGAAACCAAAATTGAGTAAAAATGGTTTGAAAGTGTTTGAGATTACAAAAGTTGGACTAGGACCAGGTCTTTTCTGTCTATGGTTCCTGCGCTAAGGTACACACTAAGGCGTCTTTCCTTACAAAAATCTCTCCTATGAGCTTCTATGGATTTCATTCATGAGCTTTTATTGAAAATAACTAATTCTTTCAAACGTCGCAAAGTTTGTCTTCGGACTGCACGAGACAACTGCTAGTCAAAACTCAATTGCTCTCTCAAAAGGTCATAAGAAGCTTGTAAATTTACATGTTTCTTGACATACTTTTTGTGATCAAGTATCTTATCTTTTGTGAAATCTACTATCCCTTGTGGTCAGTGTTAGTACTGCCTATATGTATTTGTTATGTGCCTTTAAGTGCAAATCCAAGTGATGGAATCAGAAGAAAAAAGAGCTGTACACTTTCAACTCCTTTCATAATTTTCAATAGCCTTGGCAATTGGTTCCTACTGCAAAAACCATTGACTTATCAACGAATATGGCATGAAGGACAAACAAACCTGGAGGGAATGAACTACAAACCTTCAATTCATAAACAACATTAAAATAGAATACACACTTTTTTATGATTATACTTCTATCGATATACTACAACAGAAAAAGAGATGTTTGTTTTTGCTTTACTACGATATCATATTCTTCTCTTTAAGAAAAATACTTCAAGACTCCAACGAAACTGCATAAGAAAGAAAAAGGAAGTACAGAGAAGTAGATCCTTTTAAAGTTTGATATAAAGAAAAAATTTAGGAACTAGGCTTGGTCTTAAAGGTCAGAATTGATTGTGCACAACATTGTACAGCAATGTCTGATTCCAGTATAAAATCTAAAAAAAATGTAAGTAGAAACAATAGTAACACTCTCGTCATTAGTTCAATAGGAATGCGAGAAAAATATGGTCTTTTAGCCGTACTCAACCCTCGATTAACATGTCTTGTTCTGAGAATACTTACCTAGAAACCATTTAGGATGAAATAGCCAATCCCTCGTACTATGAAAGTTGTAAAAAGGAATTACACGAAATGCTCGAAAAGCGTCACGAGCTGGAATCTTCCTTGATGGAAGTAGAAGATTCCTTGTATCAGTTAGAAGGAAACTATCTGGAGAAGACATCAGGGACAGGGAATATAATACGTGGCTTCGACGGATTGTTGAAAACTACTGGATCAAATTTACGACGTCGTTCAGATTATGTAGAATCAGATCGTTTATTCTCACTCTCCTCTCTCACAAGTCCCAATGCTCGTTCTGTAAATTATGATCTAGATGACTCGACAGAAACAAGCAGAAGAAGAAAGCGTAAATATGAGGGAAATCAAGCCGATAATCGCCGTCGACTTTCTTTTCGTGAAATGTAGAGTTCCGTATCACAGTTATACAGTCAACTCTCTATAGACATTTTGACAAAACATATTTATCAACCGATAATAAGAGAAGATTAATAGGGTTTATCGTGATACATAATATGATGTTTTCTAGGGTTTCTGCAACGGTTGTTTCAGTATTGAATCAAGAACTCCTCTTTTACTTTTTCAAACGTGCATAAAGCAACTTAATAAAAATAGTAAGTTTGACCTTTGGCCTGTACATTTTTTCCTATGTGAATTACTACGTCCTTGAGAACTGCAAGCAGCATGGCTTTTCACACCTGTTTCCAATAAATTGCAAGTAGGAAAGAAAAAAGGATGTTTTCTATGCGTAATACAAATATAAGAAAGTAATACTGAATTGTATCTGCTTTGATGAAAGAGATTTCAGAGTTTTTAAAAAAAAAACATTGAATTTATTTCAATTTATACACCCGTCTTGTAGCGTAGCTTAATCTCTACAAACAAGGGTCGATGGAAGTAATTCATTAGAAAGAAAGAATTCAGCTCACATAATACATAAGCGCGTAATCAAAATTCGTGGAAAGGTAAACTATAACAAAGTAGGAGAAACTTTTTCAGCTTGCGGGTTTTTCTTGGACAATTCCACAAGCAAAAATGGATAAAACAAAAGTGATGCAGACTTTCCTTTATAAGCAAATATAAAAAAAGCCTGCAAAGATAGGTATTTTTCCACCGTTTAAGCATGTACAAAAGATCGACCGCTTGCAGTTTTCCTTTCGATTTTCACGTCAGGTTTAGCACGGTTTAGAACCTTTTGGAAGTCAGCAACGCGCTTGCGCATGCGTTGGTGCATGTAGGCCTTGGATGCCTTAATGTGATAATGCAATGTATTGCGGAATATTTGAATGTGCGATATACAGTCTTCTCGGACTTGAGGAGTGAAATGACGTTCAAATAAAACAAAGGTTACGAACCCGCTATCTTCGTCCTCATTCTGGATGCCGCCAACGTTACGGATTTCCAAAGGAGGCTCACGGTAAGAGAATAGAACTTGTGGAGCAGTTTGAATAGAAGGGCGGCGACGGGCATCCACGAATTCTTGTAAGAAAACTTTACCAAAAATTCTGTCTGCTTCTTCCAAAAACTTAGTGGAAAAGACGACAGTGACTCGATCGTGCTCGGGCCATAAGACAATCATTTCCTCATCACGGTAATGGATAGCCATGTAGTTTTGAGAAACTGACTGCTTGTTCAATAAAACAGTACTTTCGGGGTCTTTCTTTACCATTTCAGCCAACTCTGCCTGCTTAGCAAAAGCACTATGGAATGGAGCAGCAAGTGCATTTCGCTTTAACAAAGAAGCAGAAATAATCAGTTGCTCCCTTTCCTCTTGGGTAGATGGTAATTGTTCCAAATCGATAACGATACTAAAGTTGTATCCAGTCTCAACAGGGCTATGGACGTAAGGGCCATAGATTTGGTTGAGTAGATCCAAAGTGCCGTAATTAACCAATTCAGAGAAGCATTTCATATACAAACTAATTAAAATTTTCGTTTTGGACTCTGGAGTGGAGATATGAAAGGTCACTCCGTCGAAATCCGTGACAACTTGATCAATTGACGACGGATTGTCACTTACGGGTTAGCTTTCAAGTATATTTTATTTCTTTTCTTACGTTTGAAATCGTTCTGTCAGAAGATCGTGAATAAATCTGTTGTTATAGTCTAACGAGAGCATGGTGGATGGTAAGCTGGGTTAGTCTTGGTAAGCATGTAAAGTCATCATAAGTTAAGAAGGAATCAAACGTAACAAGAAAAGAGAACTGAAAATTCAATAAATTTAAATATAAAGTTTTTCATATTAGATTACTAAGTAAAATAGGAAAATTCGTAAACAAGACCAAAAATATAAAAGGAATAGCGATCCTCGTATGGAAAAGGAAAGCTTCTAGATGATGATTTGAACTTTATTCGAAGTAGGTAGCCGATAATAACAACGAAGGAGAAAGTATGCTTTGCTGGCTTTTTATTATCGACAGCTCGGCGTACGCTGGGTGATAGTTTTTTACATTTAGAGAGCTAATTCGAGAAGCTGTTCGTTGAACAACTTCATGCACTGAGTTTAATGAAACTTCAACAGCCTTTTTGAACGGGTCTGTTTCGTCTTTGAATTCATTGGAAGCAATGTGAGCTGCGAGAAGCGCTGTTAACAAATCACCGGTACCGCAAAAGAAGCCTTCAATGAAAGGAATCTTCACATAGAATGGCTTTGACTCGATGGAAGAAGCAAAGCAATAAAGATTTTTGGTGCTTCCTTCCATCGCCAAAAATGAGGAAATCACGACTTGCTTGATACGATATGTTTTGTGCAAAAATTGAACACAGTCGTAGGCAGACGCTAATGATTTCACAGGCATTTTTGTTAGGACCCTAGGAAATATTTGTTAGATAATCCTATAAAAAGAATAAACTCATACTCGGCCTCAAATCCATTAGGCGTAATTAAATCTGCATAAGGCAGCATGGAACGGTATAGAGGAAGAATTACTTCCTCGACGTACAGTTTTCCATTATCTCCAAGAACAGGGTCCAATACTAAAAAAAGTGTCAGTATGAAGGTTGGTTGTAGCAAAACTTTTGAAATATCCTACCCCAAAAGGCATTCGGGTTTTTCTCCTTTACAAGTTTAGCGATTTGGAAGATGGTTTTTACACATTCCATTCCGCGAGAATATCCAGTCAAAAGACACTCGTATCCACTTGGGTTAGCAAGGCTGACACCCTCGTACAAGTCCATGATTTGAGCAGCTTCTAAGGTTCTTCCTTTAACAATCGGGTATCCTGGAAATGTCAGAGTTTATGCACAGCATTGTATGGGAGAAACAAACCTGCATGGTTTGACAGTTCTACAGTGGGAATGACATCCACATCCCAGCCCAAAAGTTGTAATGGAAATGTAGCAGAACGATTACCAACGTAACCGTGACAAACAGACGACTTTTTGATTAGTTTTTTAAATTTTGTATTTGAAAAATACCTGAATAGCCAAAATACGTTTCGTTTCTAATGGATTCATAAGCCTTTGAATATTTTAAGAAAGCGTTTGGTAAAGTCGAGCATGCCAGGAAAACGCAAAATTTGATTCAAGTTTTTTAATTCTTTTCAATTTCATTATTTTCTTTATTTTATATTTTGCTAAAGAGTGAAATCCTTTTCAAGTGATTTTCGTTGATGAAATCGCATTTTGCTGAATTTCTCCTATTGCTCTATTTTTTCTGCAGAGGGAGAGGCTAAAAAAACAAAATTAATTGAAAGAATTTGTTCCTTTAACATTATTAGAAAGAATTTTCCGAAAGATTATGTTTTTGTACTTTTTAAGATTTGTTTATAGGAAAGAAACACCAATAAATCCAAAAAAAAAAAGGCGTGTGAAAGCAGTTGCTCTTACGCACGAGCGATTTTTTTCTTTTTTTCTTTCTACATATTGTCCTAGGTATTTTCACTGAAAGAGAGATTTCCTCATATACTTTGTTTACGATTTAATGTTTTTGCATGTTGTCGCATTCATCTGAAGCTCACCATCCCTTTTTCAATAGTTTATGTGTCAACATATAATTCAAGTTCATGAATCTATGAGCTAGTGTTTACCTGCTTGGTCTGTATGCCCAAAATGCGTCTGTTTCATACAGTGAGGACGGTTTTAATTTTAGAGCCAGAATTCGAAATGAACGCCTTTGTTCGATAAACAAAAAGAAACTTTATGTTTTTTCCTTGAGAAAAAGGCTTCAAAAAGTACTTGCACAACAATTCACATTATCATATTCGTTTGTCCGTTAAAACGATGTATATCATTCTAATGGACGATAGTAGGCGATGTGAAAAGGAAAAAAAAAAACAAGATTTTAGAAACATTCTTTAATTGGTGGTTTTTCTCTTGATGAATGAATGAATCTGTTTCTGCTTTTTTCATTGTACTTTTCTTATGAGACTGAACTCTTTTGTTTGTCATCTTGAACCATGGTCAAGGCGTTGATCGTTCATGTTTTCAATTTATTTATTTTTTTTTCCTTTGAAACTAAAAAAAGTATCGAAACAGGTCCATTATATTATATATTATTGAAGACAAAAGAAATCACTTTACGTATTTGTTTGTTTATGTTTATGTATGCGAAATTCTTTGTTTACATGGCTTTTTCAAGTCAATGGAAAGGAGAAAATACCACTCTTTCATAAAGGATACCGAAGAAATACATTTTGTTTTGAAGAGCTTCAAGTAACCCCTCCTTACTTATTTATTAACCTTGGTAATAGCTGAGTACTGAGTAGATCATAAAAATGAGAATGGTATAAGCAGCAGCTTGTGTGACTACAAAACCAACCTTCAGAACCTCCTTTATTTGGAAAAATGTTTCGTTAACCGCATACCGAACTTTCTTGTTCTATACAAAGGTTGCGTCGAACATATCTAAATTTGGGCTTTTTTCCAAGTATCAGGCGTCATTGAAAAAATTCATATAGGAATATCTTTTTCATTGTAAGTCTTTAAAAATAAAGCTTTAAAAATTCCGGCTCAAAGAAATTCTTCAAAACCCGACTTTAATTGGCAATGTTTACAAGCACTTTTCATAGGAAGAAGAATGTAATTGAGGGAATAAGAGTACAAGAGCTAATTCTAGTAGATTTTTATCTTTAAAAAGAAAAGAATAATGTATGGATCTTCCAATGCTTTCTCTTGAAACTTGAAAGACTCTTCTTAGTGAGACTCGTATTTGTTTCTGAAATGTTTTCCTCCTGAATCCTACGGGTTGCAAAAAAGAAAAGAAAGCTGAAAAAACTGCTTCAGATAGAAGAGCTATTTTAATCAGAGTCCTTGTAAGAGATATGATGATATATTCTCAGACCTGAATTATCAATAGGAAATGGCATTAGGTATACATAGACGTTGAGAATGATTCTTTTTACTCCTTTTCATTGAATGAAATACTCTTGCCGTATTTATACCAGTTTAACTGCGTTCGATCTTTCCGAATACTCTGGCACTCTGTCATAAGTTACAAACAAGAAAAAGGATATTGCTTCAAATTCTACCTTTTTTTTTTTTTACTTTTTTAACATTTCTTTTAGTCGTAAACTGCTCTTAAATTCCTCCACACTGCTTGAACTTTCCTCTCATCTCACATATACCAAGGAAACTAGAACCAACCTCGTTTTCAACGCTCTCCCTTTACAAGCTAAGATTTGGCATCTTTTCTGATATAAACAAGACACTTTCACTAAATTGCTGTCCCAACACATCCTGAACTGCATGTACATACCTTGGTTACGATTAATTTCTCATTAACTACTCGAATCGTAACTTCTGCTCTTTTACGATCCACGGCTAGGCGTTTGGCTTTCAAATTTAATCGCAGGTTTTGAATTAACGCTTCCTGCATCGTTATACCTTGTTATCTCCTAGCGACTTTCTTTCTCTTTTTCCTTGAATTCGTGTTTTGTTAAGTACACTGTTTGCGGCCTTTTTAACATTTTCTCGAAGTAAATAATTTGGAGTTCCATATTCCTATCATCCTAAATTCGCCTTTTTTCTATGTTAAATTCCATCGATTCAGAGAACCCTCCTCCCAGTTCGACTCCCTTTATAGAATGTTTCGTAACAGAACCTAGAAAGGAGCTACAAGGTTCACGCGATGCCCATGTTTCTTATCTGATTATTACCAAGGTATTTAACTTTACAAAGAGTCGGCCTCTGTTATATGAATACTAACGCTATCGTAATAGACGAATTCACCCTTATTCACTCGGTCAGAATGTAAAGTACGACGTCGGTTTTCTGATTTCGTCAAGCTTCAAGAGATATTATCTCGCTTGAATGAGGATTGTGTTGTTCCGCCCCTTCCTGCAAAACACAAATTAGGTATGTTTCCTACACTTTCCTTATATTCTTTGAGATTCTTTCACTAACATTTTTTAGAATACATTAAAGGAAATCGATTTTCAGAAAATTTTATTAATAGAAGGGCAAGTCTTCTAAATAGGTACATCACTCGTTGTGCGTTTCATCCAGTTTTGCATCGCTCTCCTCATTTCATTGCCTTTTTGGAGAATCCAAACTGGAATAATTATGTTCGCTATTTCATTCAACCAAAACTAAATACTACTTCTAAGCTGGACGAGTTTTCCGACTCATTGTTGAATGCCTTTTCGAAGCTCAAAGAAGAGCCTACTGAATTCGACATTCAGCGGGATCATGTTCAACAGTTTATGCTGGGTATTTCTAACCTCGAAACTTCAATTCAAAGAATTGTTAGGCTTGAGAAGACTCTCGAGACTGATTACGAAGATGTTTCTACTCAGTTCGATCGATTGGCTTCATTAGACCGAACACTCGAAATTCCCGTTGAGTCTGTACATCAAGCTCTTCAAAAAACAGGCGAAGAATACTCTTTCTTGATCGAGAAGCTAACTCTTTTGCTCGACACAATAAAGGATGTCCAGTCTTATGCCCAGTCTCTCAAAGAGCTTTTGAAACGTCGTGATCAAAAACAGCAGGATGTGGAGGCATTGCAAGAATATTCATCAAAGCTATCTCTAGAAAGGGACAAAATTTCCTCTGGTGGTTCTAGTGGGTTTAGCTTTTCTAAAACGTTTGATGATTTGCGTGGAGTTGATCACAATGATTCTCGGCTGAAACGACTAGAGCAGGTTCAGTCAGAACTACAGGCTGTCGAGCAAGCTATTCAAGAAGCTTCGATTATTCATGAAGCATTTAATCAACGTGTTCGGGAGGAATCAAAACTTTTTGATAATGTCCGCCAAAGCGAGATGCTTAATGCTATTAACGAATATGCAAACATCCATGTTGAGTTTTTTACGAACATTCGGGAGCTATGGCTTCATGCTAAGCAGTGATATTGCTTAATGACTTTTACTTCTCTTTGTCATGTTAAGTTCAAGTGCTTATGCAAGTAATTGACTAACTTGACCTTTTGAACTATTTATTATGATGGTGATGATGAATATGATGCACAACTTTTTTTTTACCGCACGATAACTCATGAAATATTATAGAATTATACACAAAGTTATATAGTTAATGCACATTACAATCTCATTATTAAACTAGAATATCGTGAAAATTAAATAGTAAGAAGCTTCGTTTTAAATATTATGGGGCTTCAACCTCGTCTTTACTGTTTAGAAGATGAACCGTATTTCTTCCTAGATTTTTTAAGACTGCGATAAACCGACGTCTTTTCTGGTGTATAGCTACGTCCTTTGGCTTTCATAGTATTAGCAATTAGTTCTTGCTGCTTTTTTTGACATTCCTCTGCTTCAACTTCGTGAAGCAGTTCGGATTGTCGCTCCTGTAAAGATTCAGGAATTGGTTCCTGTACAAGGTCCGTTTCTTCGTTAAGTAATTCAAATCCGACCAAAGACAGTAGTTCCGGCATAGCTTCCCGATATGCTAAATGACCTGGGACTAAGTCAGTAACATCAATATTTTCCATACCAGGAATATCATCAATGCTTCGTAATCCAGCAACGCGTCCAATTCCACCAGAAGTAGCTCGAAATAGATAACCAAGAATCCAGTCATTTTTCTTAAAGCCATTAACAAATCGTCCAGCCACGACTGAACTTGCTCTCAGCCATGACGAACGCTTAAAAATGACAGGAGTACCAAAAAGGTATACATTTTCCACTACGCTAAATTCTTGCTTCTTTTCTAACTCTCTTAAACAATAGTATATCACACGGGCACCTAATGAATAGCCCACTAGTGTAACCGGTCTGACTCCCAAATATCTATAGCACAATAAATCCGCTAGTAATTGACCAGTAGCTTTGGCTCGATCCAAAGAGTTATTCCAAGGATTGTCAATTAAATAACTAAGCTTTGTCAGAATTAAAGGGACTTGTATAGCACCCATCAATGATACCAGTACAGTAGAACCCAATACTTGCTGCAATGATTGGGTCACAACTTCCGTAGCTAAAATGCTCATCGTCTGACCAGCAGACGCAAGCACTTCTGGCTCCCACAAAACTGAAAAAACGTCCCCTACTATCGGGTCGAGGGAAGAAAACGATAAGCGTACATCATCTTCTTTGCCAGACATCCACCCAGAGACGGTTACGACAACATTCGAACGTCCGTTGGCATGAACTGGTCGAAACTCAAAAGTTTTGACATCAGCTTTTCTATGTGCCATTCCGGTAGTTCCTAAATGCGTTCCTGATAAGACACCTCCGACAGTAATCAAGGCGGCACTTCCTCCACCAGCTAAGAAACCTGAAGAAGCGACACCACCCAAGCCTACGGTAGTAAATGCAGCCCCAATCCCAGCTGAAATAAATGGTGCTAAAAGACCAGATGAAAGCCCAATCACTAATCCTCCACCAACGCCTGCTAAACCCATCAAAACATATTTGCGACGTCTTGAGAATTTCTTACGAAGCTTGACAACAGCTTCACTATTCGAGCTTGATCCCATGTCTAACTCACCAACGTTATCTGTTTCAATGGTTTCAATAATATATTTTTCAAATTTTGTAATCTCTAACGAGTCCAATCCCAAAACTTTGCCAACGTAGTGTAATAGTACTCGCGAACGGGCATCATAGATGGACTTGGATATTAATACAAGGAAAAGATCACAAATCACTGTCCAGCGAACGTCAATCCGTACTTCTTTAGATGTCTTCAACTCTGACGAAATGACCTCATCAACCAGGTCCTCATCGTCTAAAATATCAGAAGTAGAAGTAACATGATTTGACGATACAAGAATTTTGGCAAGGTCCCCTAGCAAAACAGAATGTCGCTGAAGGTTATCAATCATTTTTCGTTCGTCCTTTGAAATACCCAAATGTTCATAAAGATTTTCGGTAACAGTATCAGCCCAAACAATAATGTTTTCAAGTGCGCTTTTGCATTCACCGCGATACCAAGAAAATGATGTTAATTGAGCGACGTTATCAACCATTATAGTTATTGCTAACCTGCATACGCCCGCGTACGCCATCTTTTCTGATTCAGTCAGAATACTACCTGTAATACCCATTTGGCTGTCCATGCCTATCTCATCTTGATCATTGCTATTCAGACTGACCACCTTCATGGCATCACTGTCCAGCTGATGCTTTTGGTCTTCGTTCTCATCCCGAAAAACGCGTGTGTATTGAGCATCTGTCGATAATTCTTGATTTATGTTTTCACCAGGTTGGGATGAAAAGCTATCTAACGTGTTTTCATCTTCTAAAGTAGACTTGGAGCTTGTAATAATTTCCATCGGCTGCCATGTATCATTCGTGGTTGAAAAAGACTCGGTGAAGTCAGAGTCCATATTATATAATTCGTCTTTTTTTTTATCAAAGGAAAGAGCTTCATTTTTGTTTACTACTTCCGACAATTGCGATTGGTTTGACAAAGAATGCGTAACATCCAAAGAAGTACTCTGTCTCGATGAAAAGCCTGCCATTTAAAACGACAGCATTGACCAATTTATATGATATGTATGCTTATTGCTTTAAATAATAAAACTTATCAATTTACAACATTCCAAATTGAAGTCTTGTGTGTCTTAGGTACAGTAGTGGCTGGGAGAAGAAGCGTGTAAGTAAGTGTAATCGGCAAAGAAGAGGTTGGGGTAGTAGGATGGAAATAGAAGAAACAGATACAGAAAGGAAATTGTACATCATAATTTTACCTTTTATCAGATTTCTATTATAGAAGGTTATTCATCAGTATTTGTAGCTTTTCATATCGTATATCAACTATGGTCGTCTTCATAAATACCTGGACAATTCTTATCCAAATCTTCCAAATCAGTATAACTAAATCCACAGTACAGACAGTAGAGGTACTTCCTTCGAAGGTAGAGTAAAACCGTACTTAATTTTTCCAGCTCCTAAAAATCAGCGTTAGCGAAAGATAATCAAATATCATAGAGAGGTAGAAAAGAAAGTCATTTTCCGTTACTGAAACAGGCATAAGAAAGCACTATCCTAGACGGAGACATGACAGGGTAGGACAATCTCCATGGTATACTATTCATAGATTAAGGATGCCACATTGACTTACCGATAGTGAGTCAAAGTAATGAAGCTCTTCATCCGTTGCGTTTAAATCTTCTTCGAAATGCCCTTTTGAGACATCCAATTCTGATGCAGTTTCCAGTTGGGAGAGTGGGATACGGCTAGAAAGGCGTTTTCGTTTAACTCTTTCCTCTTGATCTTTTTCTTTCGCAAGCAATAAAGAACGATAGTATGGATGTGCCTTTTCAGGGGTCATTTCCAAACCAATCTGTTCAAACTCATTGGCCTCTAGTTTTTCAAGAACGTGTTGAGCAGAAGAAAGCTGAATGGCCACTTTCTTTTCTAAATACTCTTTTGATTTTTCCGTGGAGAAATCTTCAATTGATTTTTCCTGTTCTTCAACCTCTAGTCGCTCTTCTTTTATAATATCCTCCAACCGACGCTTCTTGTCATTACCAAAACCAATCCCAGTCTTGTCTTGTTTTTTCTCAACATACAAGGGCTCAATTTCTTCTTTTTGTTCTGCACCCAGCGATGAGCCAGACCTAATCATTGATATTAGCTACATTACTGCAAGTCAACAAAAAGGAAAACGCATGTATCAGAATAAAACGAAATAGAAACAGACAAGAAATTACAATTCGTATTTCAGCTGTCATTCCTCCAAAGACAACCCCAATGCTTCCTTCTGAGAACTTACTTGTAACCCATCTTTTTCATCATTTCTAATGCCTTTTTTGAACCCACGGATTTTTCAGGCACGACTTCAGATATTCCTTTTTTAAAACTTTCATATTCTAAGGATCTCTGGCTTTTCTGAATTCCTCGTTCTTTTGATTCTAAATTTCGCTTTTCTTCACTACTCAGCAAGGTTGATGGGGTAAAATCAAATTTCATAGACATGTAGTCTTCTACATCGGATTCAGAGGAAGTCATTTTCAAACACAAAAATATTAAAACATATGTGCCTCTTCGTTTTCGTCAGGCTGTTTCGTAATGAGATACTTGGAGGTATTCAAATACTTTTTTCCATCACAAAACATCTCTCAATTTCACCTTTCCAAAACAGTCCTTTTCCATGTAATAACTTATGTAATAGCTTGCAAGGCCTTTTCTAAAGACTTTGGCTAAGAAATGTTGTATCTATTATCCGAATTCTCAAATGAACAAGCAGTTTACATATGAACCCAATCCAACTTTCATCCTGAGAGTTCCTTCCAACCCGTCTAATAAAAGAAATATTCTATATGATCCTTGGTCTACGCTTTGCATTCCCCTTCCTTCACGAGATTGTATTTCTTGTCTGTGATATTGTTTACTAACGTTGCGAATGTTTCTGCTTTAATCGTATTAAGGGAATGTGCTCGAATTCAGTATCTTCGTAGAGAGAACCTGACATGAGACGCCTCAGCGTATACAAACTTGCCATCTACCATCATCTTTAAATTATCTCAAGGATCGTTTATTTTCCATCAATTGTTGTTTCTAGTGAGTGACTTTCAAGATGGCAAGTAATCCAGCTCCTAAGAATGTCGTTACGGTGAACCAAAAGCTTGTGCTTCTTGGCGATTCTGCTGTTGGAAAAGTACGTTTCTTGTAAACAGGAGTTTTTTTGATTTGTTTGAGCGATTGCTTACAAAAATTGCGGCTCAGAGTAGTCTTGTTCTTCGCTTCGTAAAAGATCAATTTGATGGTATGAAATAAACTTTATAAGCACTTGTATGAATGTAAGGTAAGATTCTAACTTTATTTATAGATTACAGAGAAAGTACAATTGGAGGTAAATATATTCGAAGGGATTCTTAGTCTTTAGAATTTGTTTGCTAATGACCATTCCATAGCCGCCTTCTTGACTCAAACTGTTCCCATTGACGATAGCACATCTGTAAAGCTCGAAATTTGGTAAGGAATATTTCCGTGTTTGTTCACCTTGTTTTCTGGGATTCCTGAGTATTAACATGTTTGTAGGGATACTGCCGGTCAAGAACGCTATAAATCCCTAGCTCCTATGTATTGTATGTATTAATCAGTTGAATGGCTGTAAAGGACGAATGTTAACAATTCAAATTGCAGATCGCAATGCCAATTGTGCAATTGTGGTTTATGATATTACTCAAGCTGTAAGTATTTAAAATGATTTCTTGGATAGCAATCACTAACGTTTCTAATAATAGTCTTCTTTGGAAAAGGCAAAATCATGGATTAAAGAATTGCAGCGCCAAGCTCCAGAAGGAATTATTATTGCACTTGCTGGAAACAAGTTAGATCTTGCTCAAGAGCGTAGAGCTGTTGAGAAATCCGACGCTGAAGCCTATGCTGCTGAAGCCAATCTTTTATTCTTTGAGACTTCAGCCAAAACTGCTGAAAACGTAAACGAACTTTTTACTACTATTTCGAAAAAGTTACCCCTTGAAGACAAGCTTAACCAGGCTAGAGGAAATGCTCCTCGTGGTGTTAATCTTTCAGAGTCTTGGCCGAATCCACCATCTAGCAGCACTTGCGCATGCTAAGCTAAACGAAACGACTATATATGCGTTTTTATGTCAAAAACTTAATTGTTCCTTACCTTATATTTCTATGTTTGATATGAATTTGCTTCTATGATCACTCGCTTCCACCCGCTTTCTCTTCGATGAAGTTATTTGCTATTAGTTATTTTATTTGTGATTGTGGTAGCAAAATATGGATTTCTTTTGTCAATGCAATATTAATGTACATAGCAATGAATATTACATGTCCGACGGAAACCAATTTGTACCGGCACCTGCTTTAAACATGCCCTATTGTATTTGATAGTGCTTTGTCGTATCATTTCTTCAAATCTAGTTTTTTTCCTTTATCTGTCCGATGTCTAGCTATGCGCATCCAATCTTGATAAAATGTAAGAAAAGCGTTTTCTGAGCGTGACCTTTCGACTGGAGTTTCAGTAAAAAGCTGACTCCGTCGTCTCTTTGTTCTTTTCCTCCGTTGCTCATTTTCTTTTAGATAGTCTTCATACATTGTAGTAAGTTCATTTTGAATACCAAGATCAAAGCTGTAATTTGGAAATGGTCGCCGGATAAATCGTAGCTCATGTTGGGAGATGTCTTCGTTCTTTTCAAAACTAAATGGTGTATTCGTAATGACTGGATTTTCGACTTTCAAAGTTTCTTGGTTAGCATGTCTGGCCTCATGACTCTTCTCAGTCTTCCCACCTTCTAGCGAAGCAAATAGTTTAAGTTCATCTACTTCTTCCAAGTCAGCTTCTGAGTCATCTTGAGCGTCAAAAAGCTGTATATTATCTCGTTGTTTTGGCTTATTTTCATCAGCAAGCGTATCAACCTCAGAAAGTTTAGCAGCTTGCTGAGTTGGAGCTTCTTGTTGATCTTGTTTCTGTCCCATTTCTTCATGATGACTCTCAACGGAGGATAGTACTCGAGAAGGTTCTTCTATTCCGGGACCCGGAACAGAAACTGATGGATAGTTGGTTTTTTGCTGATCTATTTTACTTATCAATTCGTTTTCGCTTATTGTTGAAGCAGAGACAGGTTCGGCTTCGGCCAGCCTTTGAAGATCTTGCTGGTCAAAAAGGGTCAATTGGGGTACATTAGCACTAGGCTCTGGAGAAGACGACCAAGAGTAAATTTCCATTTGCTCTTCTTCCTTGACATGAATATCATCTGGAAGGTTTTCCTTAATTTGTTTGCTCTCTAAGAGATCAAGATTAGTATTTCCTATATCTGTTAGTAGATTGTCATAACCACATAATGGAACAGACATACCATCAACAGTTTCCAGAAGTCTTAATTGGCCCTCTGGGATGAGACATTGTGCAATATCTAAATAAGTCATAGTTTTCCACCGAAAGGAATTCGATGTTTCTGTTTTCGGTTTCTCAATAGATCCCTAAATAAAAGAAATAAGTTAAAAAAAATCCGAGTTAAAATATGTATTACCGGTAGAAACAGTGTTCCAAGCTTTTGAACATCTCCTAAAATATAAGTTAGGAAATTATCATGAGAATTCATAGGCTTCGATTATACCATTAACAGCTTGTTCCCTGAGTATATGAAGGACTGAATGTTCATAACATCCATGAAGCTCATTTGCAAGAGCTAAAAGGTACGGGGAGTATAGTAACGAACGAAAAAGCGGTGAGGAGACGATGGGCTTTGGTTCACCGAATATGACACCTTCACAGCTAAAAAAATTAAATGATTCTATGTAGAGCCATGGAAATAGATACGAGTCTTGAGGTATAAGGTGAATCGAAAAATGTCCAAGGGAAAAGATTCCGCCTTTTAGAGAAGTAAGTCTTTTATCAGTAAAGCTGCAATTCTGTCAGATTTATCCCTTCAGTTTTTAAAACCATTATTACCTTGTCAAATGTTGAATACATTGAGGAGAAAATTCAGCTTCAATATAGTGTCTTGTATCTGATAATTTAGCGCGAATGGAAGGCTCATAGGTCAAATACTACGTTTGTTGTTAATAAATAAATCTTCAAATAGCTGAAATATAAATTCCAAGATGCCAATGGTATCATACCTCAGATAATTGTAAGGGAAGGCTCTTAAATTCATGGGCAGGAAGAACGTCTGTATCTTTCATAGTATCCAGTAACCATGACTCTAGCCAAGGGTTTAATATGTTGGACATAGTTTCTCAGTTTGTCTATGCTTAATGCTCAGACCTGCTTGAAGACTCAAACAAATGCGCTTTCAGAATCAAAATCGTCAAGTCGTCTATAACTTTGAAAATGAGTCGCTGATAAATTTACCGCATTCTAAAAAGAAAAACAAAAGAATAGAAAGATGCTTCAGCTAAAAGAACACTGCCCCTGACCTTTGGAAAATGACAGGTCCTTAATTTTCCGCAAGCTTCAAAGTATTATCGACCAAAAAAAAGAGAGATATAAGAATGAAAATACCAAAAGATCAAAAGAAATAACAAGAAGCTCTATGTTTCGATTATAAGACCTGAACGAACAGCAAGTGTTCTCTCTAAAATGACAGACAAGATGAACTTGTTTGCGAAGGGACATACTCAAATCTTGTACAAATACAGATTGCTTCTTTTCCATTTTCATAAAAAAGCTTTTAAAAAAATAAATATACTATATTATTGAATCGTCCTTTGATCCTTCGAATGTCTAATCCACTACTGAATGAACCAAAGGTCAACAGAAGTGGGTTCTTTTGAAGTACATCATATATTAGAGGAGAGCTTTAGAAAAAATTGCAACTTGGTCTTATTATCCTAAGTCACACATGATTCTTCCAAACCTAGAGTCTTAATAGTACGAATGGACACAAGATGCTACTATGCTAATGTGCCTAATTTATAGAGTTCTTATCTGGAATTAATTCTTGAAGGAATCAACATTTTTATGGACAATGGATACGCTTCTAAGTTGGCATTCAATGTAGCAGCAAAGAAGCCCTGCCTCTTTTAATAGATGAAGTCGAAAATAAATTTCCAAATATGAGTTTCCCTTCATTCTATGAAAGTTCTCATACAGTTCTTTCAACGTTTTTAAGGCCTTTCATGATACTACCTACCCTATTTTACTATGTAAACAAACGAGTAAGTGTCAACAAGCAAAAACAACATGAAAGTAAAAACTTTAAAGTAAGAGACGAGGCTAGTTTCAAGCAAATTCTTTTAAATCGCTATATGTTATATGAGCTTTTCATACTGCTTTCTGCCATTGAGCCAAGCTTCCTAAAAATTGTGTTTACTTTTTTATCCAGAGTCTGCAATGAAAAAGCTGCTCACCACCACATCTGTAAATAAAGCACAGCTTGTGCTGCTTTGGTCAATTTGAATCCATGAAATTGGAATGCATTTGAATTTTTAACTGATGTTGCGATGAGAAAAGACAATGCTGTGAAGGAGTCCCAAAAGGTACTTGCTGATGATCCTTCCACACCAAACAGAAAACCTGTAAACCCAAGTGATCCTACTTTGAATTCGACCCGTAAAAAAAAGGTTGCATTCAATACCGAACTTGAAAATTCTCCTGGAGGAAGCCGGCCTTCGTATGGAACTCCTAAACGCGGTATCTTAAAAACCTCTACTCCACTTTCTCGTTTAAAACAGACAGATGTATTAAACGATGAGTCAAATGGATCCCTAGCTGAAGAAGCTACCACGTCAGATGGCATTCAATCTTGGTTTCGTTCTGGTATAGAGGATCTTGAGCATGTAGAGCGACCTGCGCGTATTGAAATCTATTCCAAGCTATCATCATTTATAAAAACATATACCCCGAATTTACCAGAAGATCCCATATTCCTTCTTTTAAACCAACTTTGTTCGTTTTTGTTGTCTGATAGAAGCGCTTGCTTAAACACTGGCAAACCCGACTTTCACCTAAACTGTCAAGCAAATAAGCTACTTAGTGTACTTCTTTGGCATCCAACCCTTTCTTCCCACATTCAACCCGATACCGCTAGCGTCTTCATTGAGCAATCACTTCAAATTTTAGAATCTCCTAAATTAACGAAAGCATTGGCTGCTCAGCATTTGCATCTTCTGTCCTGCCAAAAATGTCCTTTGGCTATTTCACCCTTATGCGACCGCATTATAACCGTCTGCCTTACTTTGCCTTTCCCGTCCTTGGTAGTTGGCCAAGAGCGCCTCGCCGTGCTAAACAAGATATTATGCCAACATCCAAAAGGATTTGCTCAAAGAGTCGCTGACTGGGCGCCTTATCTGCTAGCTTGTCTCGTGGACGCTTCTAAACCGATTCGTGAAAAAGCATTGCTGCTGGCTTTAGATTTGAGCAAATATCTGTATCATGATAAGCTTATCGCCCGTTCGATCCTGTCAAGCTTTCATACAGAAATAGGAGGGACTAACTTTATTTACATAATTTCTAGTCATTTTGAGCGATTAGTTACTGAAGAAGACGATGGTGTATACGTAGCTCATGCCTGGGCAGCTGTTATTTCAATCTTGGGTGGTGCTCGCATTTCCTCATGGGAATACTTTAATGCCTGGCTGAAGATTATTCAACTCTGTTTTAACAGTCAAAACCCTTTAACAAAATGTGCAGCTCAAACGTCTTGGATACGTCTCATTCACGAATTCTCTCTTTCAGAAACGCTTACTCAGGCAAATAAGCGTTTAACACTTTTATGCCAACCAATTGCTATGGTCTTGAGTACTCGCAATTTTCCGACTGTTAAAAACGCCGCAATGAGTACCTTAACTGCTCTCATCTATGCTTGTTTAAGGCCAGGGATATCCAGTCCCATGCTTTCGTTACTTTGGGATACGGTGGTGGTAAAAATAATCGAAAAATCCGCTCTGAAAAACGATCAAACTATGTCTGAAGCAGCCGATATTTTAATCGCATTATTCGATTCTTCTTCAAACAACTTTTGGAGAAACGATCGTCTCGTACAGCGTGAATTAATCGATACCAAGGAATTACCTAAGCTCAATCCATGTTGGGTTCGCTCCAATTGCCAAAAAACCATCGAGCCAATAAACTCTTTAATTCTATTAGCCAGACCAAACTATAATTTAAAGTCAAACCCGCAAGGTCGAAAACAAGGGAAGGGGATGAGCTATGAGCATAGTTTTGTTGTATGGTCTACGTTCGTTAAATGCTTGTCTAGTGCAGGACAAAAGGAAATAAAAAGATCAACTGATACCGGTAAGGCTATTTGCTGTATTTGTACTTCATTACGCAATTTTTTATACACGAAATCTTTACGAAAAGACGAGGTCTACATTGAGAGGCTTACTCGCTATGCTTCCATGGTTCGTTGTACAGTAGAAGCCTATGATCTTCAACTTTTTGTCGAAAATTCTTACTTGGTTTCAGAAAATGAATTGGTACTAATGGATCCTTTAGTGCACACTATTGATCAGGAACCTGTAAGTCCTTTAGTATATTTGCTGCAATCAATGGCGTCTCTGACAGATGGAACTATGTTTTCTACTTTGCATGCTGCTTATAGCAGTATTTTATCGCTCTTAGACGAAAGTAACTTAGGCCTTGCTGTTAAACTTCGCTTGTTTTGGAATTGTGTATCTCCTCTTTCAAAGAATGATAACTTAATACTTGCTAGAGTTTTAGTTTCACACGAGGTTTCTCGTTCTGCCTCCGAAGCTTTCCTGTTTGAAGTGAAAAACAAGCAAAAGCGAAATATCCCCTATGAAGAATTTTTGGGAAATGAACATTCAACTGTTCTTAAACTATTGAGTTGGAATGTTAAGTATTGCAGTATAAGTGATGCTGACAGTGTCGGTAATCTTCTAATTCACTACAGTAATACAGTATCTGATCTTTACGGGGAAGATAAAGTTTTGATTTCTGTTATTGAACCATTTATTTGTATACTATATGAGGATTTAAGTTTTGAATCTAGCAAAATTTTTTCATTTGCAATGGCTTTAATGAAAGTCCCTGTTTTACAATTTTTAGCTGAAAGTGATCATGCCTTGTTCGATTCTGTTTATTTTGAAAAATACCGTGGAAGTTATCTCAAACTAATTTATTTTTATAATACACTATTGACAAAAGCTTATGACTCTGACCAATTGGATCTGAAGTGTTTGTTTATTGAAGCAATTACGGACTTTATGAAAAGCATTCCAAAAAGCCTTCTTTTACAAACAGTTTTTGGGTTGGCGGAAGGCCTTTCTCGCTGGTTTTATTTAGAAAACGTTAATAGTTCTTTAAAGAACAGTTCACTTTATAAATTGGTAAGTCAACTCATAAAGTCGCTTGAGACTTTTTCTAACTTGTTCTTCATAGAGTGTTGAGTTTTGTCAGCTTATACTTAGACTTTTGGCTGAAGCTGAGCAGAGTCCAAATGAATTGATAGATAAACTTTCTCCATTGATTACTATTGGACTTAAGAGCAAAGCTGCCGACATTGTTGTCTCATTCGTTTATTTCTGGAACCAAACTTTTGGGTCCTTTGAATCTGAAGAATACCCTATTGAATTACAGAAGACGATAATAGAACTGTCCAAAGATCATTATATTCGGTTACCATTTTCTTCACCATATTCTGATCCTACAAATTTAGCTAATGAACAAAATTCCCAAATTGATAACGGTATTATGGAAGGGGAAAATAATAATAGAAGCACTGTTTCTAAGTCAAATAAAAAAGAGGCTAACTCGAAGAAAAAGAGCAAGAAGGCTGGCTCCAATAAGAAGAAAGAAAATAATTCATCAGAAACAACAGTTGCCGAAAGTGGTAAACCGTCGCTTCATTCTGATGCTGAACAAGTATCTGTGGAGTATTCGATCATAACAAGAGATGGCAAGAATGGTACTAACAATACGTTGAATGGCTTAGCTGAAGGATTGGGTATTGAAAAGACCGTTGATGAAGACGATAAACGTTTTGAGAATGAAGTAAACATGGAATCGAATAATAATGAAAATGGTCAAAGCGAATACATTAATTCTCAACCCGGAATTAATGATCAAATCGACATTGCTGGCAATGTTGATTCGAATGTCTCTGCTGTCAACGAACCTCCGATGGAAGCAGCTGAATTAATTGACTCATCCACTGTAGATAATCGTGAAATTAATCTTGAAGGATTTTACAGCACATCAGAAGAAAAATCATCAACAGATGGTATTGGCAATCTTAATTCTACTTATGAAAGTAACCTTTTACGAAGGAATAGTCCAAGAACTGAAGATGTTACCTTGCAAGATCAGAGAATCATTGATGCATCCCATGCAGTTAATGGTAGAAAAAGAGATTTCATCGATGAAGGATTTGGATTTGGAGCAATTGGTTCAGCTGAAAACAATAAAAAACGATTTACTAGCCTCCTGTCGGAGGGTGGTGATGTAGATTCTGATTCTACTCATGTGACGAATTTAATATCGTCTTTGGATGATTCATTTACACCGTCAAGTGCTGTAAGAGTCTTATCTGAAGCGACTAGTCAAATTGAGGAATCCATTCAAGGAATGAAGTCTGAAGAAGTTCTTCACTTGGGAGATATTTTGGGGCGGTTACAAAAAGCAATATTATCAAGGGTTAATTGAAAGAAAGTACAGGCTCATACGTATACGGATGTTTATATTTCTTTTGATCATAAAACAGTTTTATTAATGGGTTCATAGTAGTATTTAATACATTATATTTATAACAACAATAGATAAGTTTTAAAGAGTTAAAGGTACAGGTATATGAGAGAGATCGAGTGTTCTAACATCATCAAACCAACAATGCTGTATTGCCTCTTCAATAGTTATACGGGCTTGAACATTTCGGTCAAGCATTCGATAAATAAGATCAACAGATTCCTTGGACACCTCGAAAGGAATCCTCAAATCCCCATCCAATATTTCCTCAATATTGTAATACGGGTTTTCGCGGTAAACAATTGTATAAAGTAAAATACCCAAAGCCCAAACATCCTGTTCTTTACCCAAATACCTTTCCCCTTTTAACAATTCGGGGGCAGCAAAACCCACTGTTCCCCGAAAAGTGTCAAAGGGTCCTTTTCGAGTGAGACTTGAGCTCCCAAAATCAATTAATCTGGCAACTCCTGATTGCTCCAGAATTATATTTTCGTCTTTGATATCCCTATGAACTATATCAAATGCATGCAAATGGCTAATAGCTAAAACGATTTGGTAAAAAATGGCCTTACATTCAACCTCCGATATTGAAGACCTTACTTCAATATAATCAAATAGATCAATTCCTGGAATTTGTGGTTCCGTTAATAGGTAATAATTATCGTTATCCTCAAAAAAAGATATCATCTTCACAATATTTGGATGTGGGTTATATTTAAGGAAATTTAAAATGCTTATTTCCATTGGCACAGTCCCAAGCTCTTTATCTCGCATCCATGAATCTAACAATATCCGGGACTTATTAATAGATTTTAAAATTACTTCATGCACTTTTTGACATTTATAGCTAACCAGCTTTACTTGTCCGTACGCTCCAATTCCTAATTCCTTCACAGTATTATACATTGAGATTTTTTGTGGAACATTTTCCCATGTCCCTTCCATTTCAGGAGAAGACTTATCTCCTGCCTGCTCGGGTCCTTCCAAGTCATTTGTCTGATCCGACTTAACAGCTTCCTCCAGTAATTTAGCTGAGCGTTTTGAACTGATATAATTAGAAGCACGATTATCAACAGAGTCAAAAATAAGCCACACACCGAATGCTGGCTCGCTAGGGTAATCAGAAATAGGAGACACAGATATAATTTGACAATCCACCTTAATGCGATGGCCATCAGCGTGTACCAACTCAGGACGATCACCAATATCAGCATTGTAGGACTTAATGCGATAGTATGCGTGCCTAACATGAAGCTCTGAAACGACTCTGCCAGGATCTAGGAAATGGCTGTCCAGCAGTAAGTCTAAGATTTTGTTAAAGTCAGGGAATATTAATGAAATATCACGTGTTAGTAAGTCACTAAATCCAAGCATGGATTCAAAAACGGCTTCATTTAGAGAAACAATTTTTCGACCCTTATTTAGAAAAAGCAGACCAGCCGCATAATGAAATATGGTATATTGATATGTATTTCCTGAAAGGGGATAAACCATGCTTGGGCATATCAATCCTGTTGACATACGAGTAGCCAAATATAAACGTTCATCCCAAGATCTTGGCAATTGGGAAGGCAGGAAATCCAAGACGAGCGGCTCACCAGTTTTTAAATCAATAACGCGATCATCACTGGAGAGTTGAAAATCGATATACGACTCTTCAACGAACTCGAGAATCCATATTAATTTGCCTGCCTTCTCTTTAACCCAAAAGTCCATAACGCGTATCCCGTCTACAGTTTTAACAGGAAAAACGTCACCGCAAAATAAGACGCGCTCATGTTCGTTATCTATCGGAAAGGAAATCATTAAGGAAGATAGATATGAAGCGAACGCTTTTGGAAATATGTCAAATACATTATGCCGATTTAACTTCGAGCCTGTTAAGCCAAACAGCAAACAAAAGTAATCATTTGCAGACCAAATACTAAACGTCGTATCATTTGTTGTAGCAATCGCTTGTAGAGGTCCATCTATGGCTGATGATGTATGCTGTTTGCCAGGAACAGGGACATAGTATATATCACCCAGAGATCGTCGCTTCTTTGGGCGAGTCGTAAAGGGAGATCTGTCTTTTTCATCACCTAAGGCCGCTGTGCTTATTGTGTAATTTCCAAAAAGTTCTTCCCCAGTCCGTCGCAACTCTGTCTCAGGGAGTGACTCCCAAGTATTTGAGGCATTGGCGTCTAGCGGGAGATACCCATTGACCCCGTCACGAATTATCAAAGGACTATACGAGAATGAATACCGAGAGGAGCTAGAGAAGGCCAAAAGTCTTGACCTGGTAGTCGACGTTAAGCCATTTTCTTTTTTTGGAAATGAGGAACTTGGTGACCGCTCAGAGCGACCGCTAAAGGACCTTTCTTTGGGTTAGCATATAACTAAGAATACGTAAATGAAGTCCCGTACCTGGATCGAGAACGCTGAACCTGTTTTCTGGTTATATGCTTGAAGACGTCTAAAGATTAGCAATCTTGCTCAGTGAAATTCTAAATTGTAAATACCTTGAGACATCTAATTCAAGTATCCTCTCTAAAAAACACAAAAAAATCACGATGTTCGTGTTTTCTTTGAGCTTTCAAGTAATCTAATAAGATAAATCCTTTTAAAAGCCACAGGGTAATGTAAATAGTCAAAATAAGTAAAACAATTAGAAAATCAAGCAAAAATGATGAATTAATAACAGGAAACTAAGGGTGATTGAACAGTTGGAATTGGCTATATGTAGGTGCTACAGGTAAGAGGTACGTAAAAAATCAATGACAAGAGCGTAAAATAAAATGACCTATCTGCAATATATAGAAGGCAACTAAACAAGTGAATATATATTTTTTTATGTAAAATAAGCTTTGTCGTTTTCAACTGAAAAATCGTGACAGAAAAACTGGTGGCATTAACTTTAATACGAATCAAAAGTAGCTAATTGTTTTCTGAAACAAAGGTTACGGGGTTCATCGTGTTGAGATAACAAACCAGATCCAAAAAAACTGTACATTTTGCTAGAGACGCAGAAAATGATAGGGAATGAGGAACGGTCGAAAACGTCCATAGATTTATATATGTAGAGACCATAAACCGAATCTATCTGAGTAGACATTGAGTAAACTAGAAGAACAATCAACCACTTATGCACAGACTTCATCTGTAGAAATGCCTTATGAGGGCCTTAACAAATCCCCCTGCAAGGGTTTAGAAAGACGCGCATTCATGCACTAAGAGAAAAAGAGCAAAAAAAGAAATACTTGTGAAAAAATAAAACGAATCAAAAAAGAAGAGCATCGTGTAGGAACCATATCACATTATTATAAAGCATTTAAATCCTTCAAAGTATTGACAAATTCGTCTACGTTCTTCACCATAATATTGTGTCGCTTAGAAACTGGCTCTTCAACAGAGAGCGTCTGTAGTCTGTTTTCGATAGGAACTCCAAGCTCTTCTGGGGTCAATTTCCCAAGAGGTGCTTTTCTAGCTTTCATAATCTTAGCCAAGTTGGCAAATCGTGGAACGTTTAAGCGAAGGTCTGTGGTAATGACAGCAGGTAATGGACTTGAAAGTGTTTCAGCACCACCGTCAATTTCTCTTGTGACAACGACTTTGTCACCATCAAACGCAACCTTACTAGCACTAGTAAATTGAGGCCAGCCAAGCATAGCAGCAAGCATTCCTCCTGTCTGATGAGCGTCATCGTCAATTGCTTGTTTTCCAAGAATTACAAGGTTACTCTTTTCCTTTTCAACCATAGCCTTCAACAACTTGGCTACGGAAAGAGGTTCAAGCTCTTTGTTTCCCACATCAATCAAAGATGCACGTTGCATTCCTTTTGCAAGGCTTTGACGAAGAATTTGTTCCGATGCGCTTGGCCCTGCCGTCACCACTAAAGTGTCTTCAACTCGATCTTTTTGAGTTTCCTTGATGCGTATCGCTTCTTCAACGGCAATGTCACAGAAAGGGTTGATCTAATTGGTTCAAGTTAGTTTTTCTAGTCCATTAACTGTAACAAGTCTTCCTCAGCATTACTCGCTTAGTGCAAAAAGTCACTTACACTCATCTTTTGACCGGTCAAATCTACAGCAGTTTTAGCTGGATTTATACGCGGCTTTAACATGTAGTCTAAAGTTCGTTTCACGCCAACTAGCACACGCAGCTTTGACATCCTGTCTATACAATTCTTGGTGGTGCCCTTTGAATGTATGTATTTTGTAGATGGTTCGTTTTGATCAGGATGAAGAATTCATTCCTACGTCCTGACAAAATCAACTTTTCTAAAAATGAGTAAGAAAAAGATAAAAAGAATAAAAGGGTTTGTTTACTCAACACTGAATTCACTTTTATGCAGAAGATGTTCCTTTAACTTTACCATTATGCATCTTGTCTTCTTTAAGACAGTGTGGAAATGAATTCTTGCAGGTACAATAGTATTTAGTACTATGGAAATTATACATTCATTTAAAAACCATTCTGATAACTCTTCAAGGTTCTACTTATGAAGATTAGCGTAGCCTTATGAACTTTTACTTCAGGCATCAAACTATTATTCTATTTGATCAGGAAAAAGAGTCTATTCATTCAATTTAAAAGACGTTGTATTTTTTCTTGTAATGACAATTTGGTTCTTCCTTTTCAGTTAAATCAGCGAAAATTGTCAACAAAGCTCACTCTATACCACTCAAAATTTATTTCTATTTACATACTATTTTTAACTATTTAGTTGCTAAAAGAGCGACATTTTCTAATGTAACATCGGTATTCACATAATATACAAGGCGAGCGTTGTAACCCATACGCTCGCACTCAAGCTTTCGTAGAGTGTTAATGATATGTTTGCACTTCAAACCTATTTGGACACGTTCCTCATGCGTCAAACCACTGTAATGAGTGTCAGCACCACCTGAAGCTTGCATTTGCTCTCGAAGGCTATTGGTACCCCAACCTGTCATTTGGCGGAGTACTTGAAAAGCTTTAATCCCATGAATCCCCCATTTCTCTAATTGTGAACGTGAACGCACAGATAGTGCTTCCCACCGGCAATGATGATGACAGCATAAAGCAATAAGAATGGCATTTGGGGGAGCATGCCTTAAACAATTCAATGTAAGATCTGTTGCTGCACCACATAAGTGCTTAGAATAGGCAAAATGAGGTTTCTTAGGTCCGGATTCGTTTCGCACATGCTGACTCATGAAATGCTGAATCTTGAAATCCTTGATATCAATCTTGCAACGAATGACTTCAGGAATGGACCACCCATTTAACTGAGAGTCTTTAATGATCCTAGAATCATGCTTCAGCCGATTCGAATCACGGTCTATCAAAATATAAACGTTATGCTTGGGTCGACAATGATGCACATAATGAGATAATTCAGCGCGACCAGCGCCAAACTCAAAATAAACACTTTCTGGAGACTCAAAAAAGGATGATTTTTCCATATGACCTAATAGGGAAGCCTTGAAGAGTTAGTCAATAAACCCAATTTTATTTCAAGAGAGAATACTGCGTACCTGTTGAGTCGCATGCTTCTTATTACTGCATTCGTTCCTAAAAGAAGTTAGTACTTGGACTTATCCACCTATTTTTCAAGGTGCTTACCATCTAGCATGCATCATAGGATGAAAAAGTACTTCAGTGTCTGGTGAGGAAAGGCTATTACCAACGCGCATAAATAGATTTATCCATTCATGAACTTCTTCTTTCGGAAGCTGGCAAAGTTCGAATTGGTATTGCTGGGAATCATCATCAACAGAATCCAAATTTAAATCTTTGTGGTAATAAGGATCTGTTCTCTCAATAGGTCTGGCATTACACCGTTTTAAATGATAAGCTAGTCGATGTCTCGCAATGGTATGTTTGGGATCAAGAGGACAAGGAATTTGTTCTAAATCCTCATCTGTAAATACTTTTTGTTTCGTTTTGAAGCCCATTCAATCTCCTTTATACAATATCAATGTACAAAATATAAATAAAAACCAAAAAAACACAGAAACCCCTTTAATCGCCTATAATCAAACACGAAAACTCCAAATCCTTTTTATTTTTTCAGTTCGTACCAAACCTAATAACGACCTTTTGTATAGAGCTAAATATCAATAGAAGCTTAATAGTTGTTTTTAATCAACCGCTTGTAAGGCATATATACTTTTATCGACAAACTTTTCACAATTTCGAAAGTTTTGGAGGAGAATATGATTCTAAGCTCTGTTCAAAAGCAATCTATTCCTCTAGACATAAAGGAACTAGGAAGAAATAATCGGAAATAAAATAGAAACGTTTGTTTTCAGTACGAAACGGAATGCAAGAAATTATTTCAAGCATTGCGAATTACCACAACAGTTTAAAAGCAGTCAAATTTGCTATAAAAGCATAAACAAAATCAAGCAGAAATTAAAAGTTAGTGAGCTCTCTTACAGTAATGAAACATATACGTTACCGTTTCATGTCCGATTTAAACTGTACACACTGAAAGTAATTCAGAAGTGCTCATCTTCGGGCACCAGTACTTTTTCAATATAATTTACTATTTCTTATAATTTTTTTGTAGAGATTTTGAAAGAACCATTGAACCAAACTGACTTGGGAGAACTCCATCCTAACTCGTCAAACTCATCTCAGAGCCAATTCACCTTGCTTCTCAAAAGTTTTTGCTTTCAACGGATCCTATACTCACATAAAGACATTGTTTTTTTAGAAAACAATGAGTACAATCCTTGGAAAGCGAAAGAATGTAAATTCACTCGCTTCTGATCAATCTAAACGCATTTCTGTTGAAACAAGATCTTTTGACAATGGTATTACGCATCTGTATCCAGATTGGTTAAAGGGCGATTATTACCATGTTTTCCCTCTATTAAAAAGGCTACATTCTGATATTTCTAATGGTAAGCTTCTCGTAAACAAATGGTTTGTAAGAATATCCAAAACTAACAGACAGTAGACCTTTCCTTAACTGGAACCTGTTACCCCGATCTCGGATATGTATTATTAAACTCTAAAAATGCTTGTTATGCGTTTAGCTATCAACATTCTCAGACCTTAAAAGACCCTCCTACTATTACTTTTCCTTTGCCTGAAGAAAATGATGCCGATGATCCCGGGCTTAATCCACTAACAGCTATTGTTTCTTCAGATATTCCCGATAGAGATCCAGGGATTTTGATTGTGATGCCTGTAAGTGGACGCATTGCCTATTGGACTTGTATAGGAAATGCTCTCGCTCAACCCATAGTAAAGCCTCAAGGAGTGGAAAGTAAGCTCAAGCTATCAAGTAATGAATATTGCTTACGACTCCACTGTGCTCATCCTTTTCTGTATATTGTATCTACAAACTTTGGTCGACTATTTTCCATTAACCTACGAGACTCCGCTGGCCTTCCAAACATTTGCTTGAATACAGTGGCTTCTCATGGTGGATTGCTATCAAAATGTCTCGAAAAATTGAAGATAAAAAATCCATTTGCGTCTTATGCAGTTTCTATCATGTCACCTCCTCTTTCGTCCTCTTTTAGACACCTCTTGTATGTAACTGATTCTTCAGGTGTAGTGGATATTTACGATTTAAAGGATGAAGTCAAGGTATGAAATTTCTTTTAACAGTTTAAGTTATTAACAGAAATAGCACGTTCGCGTTGACCTTGCATCTACGTTCTTGAAGGTCTTGGAAGAAGCTGATATAGTTGCTGAAGACTTTCAAATTCTTGACTCGGCAATCACATCTCAAGATGGTGATTTAATAACCTTTCTCGGTTCTTGGAAACGTGGATCAAGGCACAAGTATACTCTCTATACGTGTGACTTTTCCAATATCTCAAATCCTCATTTAGTGTTCGTCTATTCTTTAAGCTATACCTCCTCAAAAAAGCAACTGCTCAAAATCCAATATCCTTTCTTTGGATCTTGTTTCGTTCTTGTATCCCCCAATGCCGTAATCATTCTAAATGCCCGTATGGACGTGGATTATAATACAATGTATTGCTATCGGGAAAATGTTATTCGGTTCAAATCCAATGTTTCTGGTGATATTATTGCCTCTGGATGCAAACAGCTGTCTTTAAACTCGAAATCATCACTAGGTCACCCAAAGCTTTCCTGTTTGGTCGTTACATCCAAAGCCGGCGTTACCGAAATTGAAATCCACGGTGATGCTCAGCAGTTAAATACTACCGAATCCTTAAAAAAACAGATTGAAGAAGCAGTCTTTTACGGTTATATATGCGAAAACCCGCTAGATTTCAGCTGGAAATCTACTTCCCGACCTAAGATTTCCGAAATTGAAAGTCTCATTTTTTCCATTGGAAAAGAGATCATAACATCGTCTTCTTCTCATTTACCGCCTGCACTTCCTTCGTTAATACAACATTTGGATCTAAGATTAAATTATTTGAACAATTTGGTTCGCTACGTTAAAGATATACCCTACGATATAAGTGATGGATTGTTATTTTCCTTGCGTGTCTTAGGAGAAAAGTGCAATGCTGCCAGATCCCTCTGGGCAACTATCGATTTAGAAATGAGCACTGCGAGCCGTTCGTTAATTTTCCAAAGAATCATTTTCAAGTTAGGAAAGGAAGCCAAGTTGGATAACTCTGTCCGCAATTGGTTTATGCGAAATATCGACAGCATAGAACATCTTATAATGCAAGCTCACAATTTTTGTATTGACACTGCCTCAAGGGTTCAAGAGCTTCCAGTGGAAGTCATGAATGTCGTTTTAGAATCCAACGAAATTATTCTGGCTATTTTGTCATCAGCATTGACTTATCGTATGGAGACACAGGGAATTTACAGTCTGAACGCAGACTCCTTCGAAAATAAAGTACCATGGACTTCTACCCCAGACGTTTTGACAGCTTTAACGCGACAATTTGAGCTTACAAAGTCTGCTTTATTTCAATTTCAACAAGGAGAGCGTGATTCTGGAAGAGATCTTCTTTCAAGAGATAAAGATGTTGTAAGAAACGCTTTGTCAAACATGCAAGTTCAACTGGTGGTATTAACTGAAGTGTGTTTCAATGCTTATACCGAGAGACTGGGCTGGTTAAGTGAACATGAAGACGATGGTGAGAATAAAAAGGAGTTAGAAGAAGCGTTTACAATAAATAGAAAGTTCTGGATTCAAACTTTGTTTGAAATTGGTCAAGGCGGAAATGCCTTGCGAGTTGCAGAAAAATATCGAGACTACCGGTCAGTTGTGGAGTTGTGTTATCAGATTTTTACGAAAAAAGAATTCGATGAGCAAATTGGCGATTATCTGTCGAAGTTTGGAAAAGAGTTTTCTTTTGTCTTGTATGATTATTATGTGGAAAAAGGAATGTCGGTAGAGTTACTGAATAGCGATAAGCATAAGTTAAACTTCCTGACTGAATACTTTAATTACCGAGGCTATAATGAAGTATCGTGGATGCATGACATGCGTGAAAAAAATTACGAGCTTGCCTCACATAGATTATTGCAGTTGGCCAACAAGAAAGAAAAGTCGGTTGAAAAGAAGGAGATTGAACTGTCATTAGGAAAAATTTTCTTGTATGCAAATCCCAAGGGCCCGGCCAAATCTAAGGACCTTGTCTTGATAGAACAAAAGTTGGAACAAATCCATATCCAAAAAATGATTGCAAAAACGATTATGCCCGTCGTTCATCGCCTTCGATTGCAAGGGAAAAAATATCAGCTCGTTGAAGCCGTCATTGAGGAAATAACAGATGGCAAGCCAATTCCCGTCCTTGCGCGACAGGTAATGCACCGAGTTATTAAAAGTTTGATCGGCCACCAAGTGGTAGCGGTGACAGAATTAATTGAGTATTTGAGTTTTTCTTTGTATAGAAAGAGCGAACTTCGAATGGAAGATATGACGGACTATTACTTTTCCTTACGTCTATTACTTACCACGAGATTAACAGATGAAGCAAAAAAGTTTTATGAAGACACAATCTGGAGAAGGGCTGTGTTGAATGATAAATGGTCTGAAGTTTTGGATACTAAAAACAAGAACGATGCAGCCATTGAAGCGCAAGTGCGCATGACTGCCTTGTATCAAACCTTACACTTAACGGCTATTAACGGTTTATTCCAGGAAGGATTGGCGAAGCCTACATCTCTTTCATCCTTTTTATTCGACGAAAAAATTTATGGAAGCATCCCCATGATCTATTCACCGGCTAAGTTTGGAGACACGCAGGAAGTAATTAAAATACTAAATCGCGAAAGTAATCTTTTAAAGCATTATCTGGACAAAACAAGCTTAAACACTTGGTTTGTTAGCATGTCACTTAGTTGTGATAGCTTCTGAAAGAATTTAAAAAATGCCTCCTCGTGCAAATATCTATGAGATTTTGTTTAGTAATGCTTATAGTATGATTTTCAAGTCCGTTTTTCTCGTCTTGATTAAATCTTATTATCACCATCGTTCACTACAGTAATTATTAGATGCAAAATGAGTAAGAAGTTGCTTTTCTTTATTTCTATTTTATTCTTTTCTATTAAAACTTAAATTATGAAATCTGAAACTTGTTTTCCCAATTGGTTTTAATCCTTATTATTACCTTTACCCTTTAAGAATAAGGGAATGTGAGATTGGGAATACACTACTTACCCTCCTCAAGACACGGTGTTGACAGCCTCGGGACCTCTGAGGTCGTCAACTGCAAGATTTAATCTGTATTTTTGTTTATTTGAAAGTTAGTTTGATGGGCTTAGTTTGGTTTGAGTAGAAACTTCTGTTTTCCTGCGTTATTTAACCATCTTTTGTCTGTGCGTCGAAAAGTTTGCGTTGGCGAAACCATACACTCGTTTGAAATAGGAAAAGACAATAAAAAAATTAGTATTTGATTCTTGGTTTGAGCAAACTGAAAAGATGTCGTCAACATCGTCGCATTCAAATATTGTTGGTGTCCACTATAGAGTTGGAAAAAAAATTGGAGAAGGATCGTTTGGTATGCTTTTCCAAGGTGTGAACTTGGTGAATAATCAGCCAATTGCACTAAAATTTGTAAGTGGACAGCGATTTGGAGGGAAAACTCTTTGTTTTGTCATGTGCGAAAATGATCGTTAACAAAATTATTGGTTTAGGAGTCAAGAAAAAGCGAGGTCCCTCAGTTACGGGATGAATATTTAACTTACAAGCTGTTGATGGGTGTGCGTATGTGAAAATCAAAAGCTATAACAAGAGCATTTAAGTTAACCGTAATTAATAGCTGGTGTTCCGAATGTGTATTACTATGGACAAGAAGGAATGTACAACTTGTTGGTGATGGATCTTTTAGGTCCTAGTTTGGAAGATCTTTTTGATTATTGCGGTCGACGTTTCAGCCCCAAGACAGTGGCTATGATTGCCAAGCAGATGATAACACGCATTCAATATATACATGAACGACATTTCATTTACCGTGATATTAAGCCTGATAATTTTTTGATCGGTGTACATGGGTCAAAAGCTGAAAATGTAATCTACGCGGTTGATTTTGGTATGGCCAAACAGTATCGTGACCCGAAGACACATATCCATCGCCCTTACAACGAGCACAAAAGTTTGTCTGGCACGGCTCGCTACATGTCTATCAATACTCATTTAGGACGCGAACAGTCGCGACGAGACGATCTCGAGTCAATGGGTCATGTATTTATGTACTTCCTTCGGGGTAGCCTTCCTTGGCAAGGATTAAAGGCGGCCACCAACAAACAAAAATACGAAAAAATTGGAGAAAAAAAGCAAATGACTCCTTTAAAAGAACTTTGCGATGGGTTTCCCAAAGAATTTATGCAATACATGGTGTATGTTCGCAATTTGAGTTACGATGAGAAACCTGATTATGACTATCTACGCAGCTTATTTGACAGCTTACTGTTGCGTTTAAACGAAGTCGACGACGGTAGGTTCGATTGGTCATTAATTAATAATGGAAAAGGATGGCAATATAGTGCTGTTAAACAGCATGCTGCTCAGCACCGTCATGCTCAGGAGGCTGCTAAGCAGCAAATCGCTGTTCCTCAGTATACACGAAGTCGCCAAAATCTGATGCAACCCAATTCGAAGCAACTACTAGTGAGCTCACCTTACCCGTCGCTTCAACCTCTTCGAAATGACACTGCTAGAAATGGGAGATTAGGTTCTTCTACTGCTGCTCCTCAATCTCAACCACAGTTAACTCTAACTTCCAGTGGTGGACAACAACAATATGGTCAGCGGGGAGTACAAATTGAACAACGTCTACGGAAGAGTAATGATGCATCTCGGACTGCTACTCCAAAATCTTCCTCCAAGAAGAAATTCCACTTACGCTTACTTTCGTGTTGTGTTGCAAAACCTAAGTAACAATAGTGTGTTTTCAAATATGCGACTAATAATTGAGAGGTTGGCTACTTGAAAATAGATCGATGAATTTAACAATCTAGAATACCCATAAACTAACATTTCAGAAACTTCCGTTATGCTTTTTCTTGCATATTGATATATATCTCTTTAAGCTGACAATTTATGCAACTATCTAACTCCTTTTCCTCATCTAATCTAATTAATTAATTAGCCCAAATATGTTTTGTAAACTATATTGGGAACTTGTTTAGTGTTTGAAATAAATGAATGCATTTATCCGACTATGCTCGCTTTTTCTTTCGTAAATCAATTTTTTTACTGTAAATAGTAATAATAAAGGTAAAGAAAAGTATTATACGCCCTAGAATTGAAGTATTTGGAATATCAGATTCATTTTCGAACGGTTTTCAACAAAATTTTTTACTAGCAATAAAAAACCAACGCAAAAACAAATTTACAGTTTGTAAACTATGCCTCGCTTATTATCTTTTTGCAACTGAAAAGGAGAAGTGTATGCATCTTGTCGTCACTTAAAAAATTAAGGTATTACATACTGGTGAATAGGTATCTTGATTAAACTTTGAAAAGTTATGTCTGCGTAAAAAGAAAATTATGCAGTCTTAGCGTTAACTTCGGGTCATCTTCTTTAATTGTCCAACCATTCTAAAAGCTCGGGGGTAAAGTAAGTTAAAACCAAAGATGCACCAGCACGCATAAAGCCATGCATAGTTTCCATAACATGCTGCTTCAAATCAAAAATGCCCGCTTTGGCAGAAGCATGGATTATAGCATACTCACCAGAAACTTGGTAAGTTGAAATAGGATAATCCTCAGCCAATCTTGCAGCCTCGGCTAGAATGTCTAAATAAGGAGTGCCAGGCTTAACCATAATACCGTCGGCTCCTTCGCGTAAATCACGGAGTATCGCTCTGCGAGCTAAACCGCGAGCATTCATAGGAAGTTGATAACATCTTCTGTCTCCAAAACTAGGGGCGCTACCGGCAGCATCTCGAAAAGGACCAAAGAAACCAGAAGCAAATTTTGCAGAGTAAGAAATTACAGCAACACGATGCGAAAGATCTAACTCCATGAGCTTTGACTTGATAGCTTTTATACGACCATCCATACAATCACTAGGAGAAATTATATGGGCACCAGCCAAAGCATAATTACCACTAACTTCAGCAATTCTTTCAACGGATTTGGCGTTATTTACAGATCCATCATCATACAGAACGCCGCAATGACCATGGCTTGTGTATTCGCATAAACAGACATCACAGGCGACGACTAAATCAGGAAACAACTTACGGATCACTTTCACGGCCTTGACTACCGGGCATTCGTCAGAGTCGGCCATGGAACCGCATGAATCCTTTTTTGAGGAATCAGAAATGACACCAAACAAAATAACGCTGCGAAGTCCTCGTTCAACAAGAGGACCAAGGAACTCTTGAAGACGACTTACACCCCATCGAAATTGATTTGGCATGCTAGGAATCTCTTCTTTGGCATCATCAACGTCCGTAATGAAAATAGGATACATTAAAGCAGACTTTGTGATGGAACGCGTAGCTTGCCATTCACGGAAGAGTGGGTGAGAATACCCAGCGTGTAAAAGAGAATTAATTTCAACAGACATGGTTGAGACGTTTTTACAGTTGTGTAAGGTGACAATTCAAGGTCAGATGAATATATCTTCGATATTCAAAAGGAAAAGAAAAAGAAATAAAAAAATAAGGATGAAAAAACCAGATATAGGAAAGTAATCGTCAATTACCGCAGATTCTAAGATTGATTCTTGAATGGTTAAGGTATGGGCCGACATTTCAGAGCAGGAAGGTTAGGACTCCATGGATGAAGAAAGTATACAATAAAATGATGCTTTTTTCTAGAGAAGGTTAATAGACACTCTTCTTTTTCTCGCTTTGGTAGATCTTATCGTATAGACTGCTTAATGCAATAAGTACAGAATGGAACCAAAGAGCGCAAACTAGAAACGAAAATTCCACAGTATTTTTTCTTTTGGTTTATTGGAAATCAAGAGGATGATAAATCAGGACAGAAGAAGGGTTGCTCGGTGTGAATTTAGGTATACGGCCAGGCTAGAAAAACAGATAATTTGATTTAGATACCGTACGACAGTAAGCGAGAAAACGAATAGTCATATTTTTATCTCTTTCTTCATTAGATGTTCGCACCTAGGTTCCTCCTCTACTGACTCGAGGAAGAATTTATGGCTGCTTCTCATCAGCACTAAGAGGGGTTCGAACTAGAGCTCCTGTATGCTGAGATGCTAATTGAATAGACTCAAAAATAAAAGGCCAATTGTCTAAAACAGTTGACACAGCTGAAAATTAACGATTAGCAATATGAATCAATTTAGCATCAGCGAAAAGGCTCAATCAGTCAATAAAGAGGAAACTTTAATAAATAGAGGATATAATTAAACCATAATTTAGATATTTTAGGCACAAAACACACGTGAACGTTTGTAACTCACAGCCCCTTTTGCGCAGCATTAAACTCACAATAAACCGGAAGTATCCATTGTTTAGAGACGAAGATGTATATTTATGGTCTTCAAGTATCCATGGCTCCTATTTATTGAAAGAAATTGAGTCGAAACATACCTTCACTACCATCATTTAAAGTCTCCAGTCTTTGAGCTAGAAGTTCCAATTTTTTTGACATTTCTTGAGAAATCTCTTTTAATTTACATACAGAAACGTATTCCTTTTCTTTCTCGGCAATTCGACTGTTTAGCATGGTTGTAAGTGTTAAAAACAAATGTCAAATCTTCGAGTAGGAAAACAGAAACCTCTGAAGCTGTTCGCCTTTTCTTGATATGCTTTCAATTGGATGCATTCTTTCCTTTTTGAGGATTTTTTAAAAGAGAAATAGAGGTGACCTCTTGAGTCAGCAAAATATTGAAAATCCTATAAAGCGAAGTCATGAGAACCATTCTATCCTTTTAAATAATATCCTTCTTTTTGAAAAAGAAAACAATATTCAATACCACTGGTTTATACTTTTCATACTGTACGCTTCGTTCCATTCCTACTGATGTTTGAAGTATGTTGCTTTCTTTATAGCTCATTCTCTTGCTTCTTAGGTCTATTTCTTTCTCCTTATTATTATTAAGAAGTATCTAAAGGGAAAAAAGATATCATCATCGAGTGCAAACTAGAAAGGAAGTATCATGAAAAGAAGCTTTATGTTTCTTTCGTAACTTTCATCAAAATAAACGTATAGCCAATATACAATTCAGATTCAAGAATTGCACAAGTCAAAAGCAAAGTAGGATGAGAGAAAGTCATTTGCCGAACGAACGAAAAAGTTTGGAAATGAATACGGGCTAGCATTATAACTTCTCAGCTCTTTGGTTATGAAAGTAAACCCAATATTCCAGGTAGGAACCTTTAAGTATACATAATCGATATGAATCGTCCTTCTGCTTCTGATAACTTTTGTTTTTCGAATTTTTCGAAAGCAAGTTTACCGAGATGAACTTTGGCATCATGGGTTGGAATCAGCATTCAAGGCTTTTGGATTTTTCACGTGGATTCAGATACTGGCATTCTCTTACTTCTCTCGTTTTAGAGGAATCTCGTCGACGTGTTGGAACCAACTTTAGAGCATGAGACGTCTTTCACCCAGCAATAATGCTGGTAAAACTATTGCATGCAAAGCTATGTATGAAAATCCCCTTCTTCTCGCTCAATCTAAGTATTTCACTGCTCCACTGAGAGTTTACAATCGGCTGTAGGATGCCATTCGAGTGCACCAAAGGAAACGAAAAGTTAGACCTTCTGGTCTTATTTTTTAAAAAAAAAAGAAAAATAATGTACATACTACCGGTTGACAAGAGAAAAAGACGAGCTTTTCCCCGTCAACAAATGTAGAACCAAGAGAAGAATATTTTGATAAGAAGCAGCGAGATCAAAAAACAAAAGAATCAGATCTTGTTTTTCTATCAGAATTGACGGTCCAGTTTGTTTTTGTTTTTCTCTGGCTCGCCATTTTCTTAAAGGGTCAGCTGCGACTGATCCATCTCCATAAACCTATAGAAACGACTTCCATTCACGATGAGCTGTGTAAGTAGGAAAATTGTTGAAAGACTTGGTTTTTAACACTCGTAATAAGCCTTTAGATTCTAAGAGACTTGAAGAAATCTGTGCTGATGCTGCAAAGCCTGTGCTTCAAGCAACTGAATATGATGGTGAAAAAAGCGCCGAAATAAATCAAACTGTCATTGTACGTGAGCCGTAAAAGAACCGAAACGATGGATTGATATTAATTGCTTTAGTACGGTGTTTTGAATGCCCTCAACAAGGAAAGCCAGTCTTACAAGTGGGTTGTTAGTTCTACGTTGGTCCAAAAGTTGCCAGATGACCATCCTTCTCGCGGTGTCCATGCTGCTCATGCTGCCTGTTGGAACGTTGATAAAGATGGAATGACGACAATTAAAGAAAGCGGCCAGGCCATTGATGTGATCTTGAGCATTATGTGGATATCCATTTGATTGAAATAACTAATGATCTCCTTTCCTTTATGTTCCTCCTTATGGGCATAGACATTCCTTTTCAATCTTTTTCTTACTAGCGGATTCTCTGCTATATCAAATACTCTCATTAATGCTACTGTATGATGCCCGTTTGATGATCTGCTGTTCAGCTTTCAATTGAACTTTTACGTAATCATAAAATCAGTCTTTTCTTCTACGTTAGTTTTTCACCAGTTCTCTTCTTCAGCTAGTAAAATATCCAAGTGGAACTTGACATTTTTGAGTTTCTGTTCCATTCGAACAATGAGCTTTCCTCTACTAAAGTAAGTCGAACAAAATAAACCTTTAAACATTTTAGTGAAAGTTAATTAATGTCACAAGTCTCGTGGATCTTTTTCCTCACCTACCACTAGCTCAGTTCACCTACCATAGACTACTATGAAGGTGAACAGGACGGAATGATGATTATAAGTGAAAGATCCAACACGAAGCAGCTTCTGAAAACATTTTGGAACGAACTTTTAGATAAAAAACAGTTTTCTGCCACTGCAGAGGGAGATGCCACAGTAAAACTTGTAAGTTTGATCGAGCTCGTCAAACGTCGCTGTGAAGAACAGAAAGTTTCCGTTCGTCAGTCTATAGCTGTGCTTCCTAGTATACGAATGCTTTCGGGGAATGGACTGGAGAAAGAAACAAGCTCGAAACCAAAGCTGAAAATTGACCTGCAGATCATTGAGCAAGCAACATAGACTATCGATGAATATATGTAATTTTTTGTTTTAAGTAATTCATTACTCTTCCAAATGGTACGTTTATTCGCCAAGAAAGGAAAGCAACTTGTAGGTGGATTCTTTCATAAAAGATTTGACCGGTTTATCCCACATTGAAAGCAAGAATTCAGTTGTAACACTGTTTTTATATTTACAATACTTTTTTTTATTCTTTTACATGTTTAGTGAATGATGCCTTGGTAAAAGGGTTGAGGGACCAAATACTGCGCATTCGGGCAAGGTTGAATTACAGTTCTCTGTCCTTTGGGCTTGTCCTCTAGTGAGATGCAATAATGATCGTCAGGGAAGCATCCTAAAGACTAGAGCTCATGTTCGCCGTGATGATCGGGTTCCATGTTTGATATTTAACTTTGAGAACCGACAACTTGGCTTGATACATGAGTTTCGTCTGAAAGGGTTTTCCATGACATGCATGAGTACGGAGTTTTTAAGGTGGAGACTAAGCTTTAAGAATCTAAAGGTTTCGTGCAACAAATTATACAGTTCCTATGATACGGCCTTGAAACCACTGACGCAAGCATGAATTTTCTAGGTTGCATAAATGTCATAAAGAAGAATAAAATCTGAAATTAAGGAAATGAAGAATAGGGAGATAGCAAAGGGAGGCTCTCGCCTTTTCTGTTTTTAGTAACATGAAGTCCAGGTGAAAGCATAAATCTTCGTTTATGCTTACCGAAGAGATCTATAAACCTGCTGGCACTATTATAAATGAGAGGTAAATCTTCCTCCTTTACCGCTGTTGAATGTTTTTGCCCATTCTAATGCTGGAACAAATGATCCAGTTTGTCTTTGTACTCCACCTAGAACTACTATAGCAGAATCAATGGTTTTAATTAGAAAGTCCTTTTTTCTATATAGAAAGAACTGGCCTGGTTGCATAGTATTCCAGTCACATATGTCATTAGAAACATCAGCTTTGGACTGGTCCAGCCATTGTTGTAGAGGAATCAAGTTATACAGAAAAACCTTTTTTCCGTTAATCCAAGTCCACGCATGGTCAAAGGCTCGGGTAGTATTGTATATTTGTCTGCTTGTCATCGTTTCCCAGACAATGCTAGCGCTTTCTGGAGATATTTTCCGCGCCCAACTGGCTACGGGAATCGGCAACGGAGCATCTCTGTTTTCCCTAAACTCCCCTGTGTCTGTCAGAGTTCCAAAAATTGTTCGTTCCGACCCGTGTCCTGGATTCGATCTTTTGTAAAGGGATTGGTTAAGGACGGAATCTAGCATTGATGAGGCTCCCTGAGAAAGTTTATCTCTTAAATCAATATATTTTTCATCTCCATGAAGAGAAAGAATACCCTGAGCGAGTGCTTTTCCTCTGTCAAACTCCGTTGTATCCATTCTCTGGATAGTAACGCCAGCTTCTGCATCATCATGAAGAATCGTTGAGTATATAGGACTAGCCCCTCGATATTTTGGAAGTAAGGAAGGATGAATATTGATCCCTCCGTAGACTAATTGACCCAAAATAGATTCTGGAATGAAACGACCAAAACTAGCAGAGACAGCCAAGTGATCATCGGGCTTCAAATGAAAGCCATCCCACCCATTTTTTAGAACAACACAATTAATCCCCATGCGCTTTGCCTCTATAGCAGCTGCTGGCATGGATATGGGATCTCTTCCTCTAGGTCTCTTTCCGCCAGCACTAACCATATGTATCCTTTGGGTACAACTTGCTAATTTATGAAGAATTGGAATTGAAAACTCATCTGTACCAAAAAATATAACATTCAATGGGATTTTAGAGGACATTACTTCGAAATTTACTCCTCAATGGTGCTTGTAGAACACTTCTGTATCCATCGCTGTCAACCCAATGGATCGGTTCAGATGCTATGGATGTATCACACTCCTATTCTTGGAAATCAAAAAAATGAACATACCAATTCTGTTGAAATAAACCATGACCGGGAGCTGGAGCCGTTAAAAAACCAAATCGCTCTATTGCATGGAATGTATGGCTTCTCTTCTGAAACAAACGATATTCTACGCGAAGAGAATAATGAGAGTTATCTAGAGGGCTCAAGTGAAAATAATAGTTATATATTAGATCTCTTTGGACATTACAATTGTATGTCAACAGAGACTTCCCTGACGCGAAAGATACTAATACTGAGACCTTCTTCAGATTGGGTTCCTTCTTCGAGAGGGCGAGACGATGGGTCCTGTATATCGATAGAGGAAATTCCATCCATTTTTTTGACTGTGACAAAGCCTTGCCCTTCACCCGCTACTCTCATCTCGACGGTAATTGCACTTTGGAGTCAATATCAGTTGTTTTATGGTGACAAATGGATGAGCCAGATGAATGAGTCAGATGTCTACGAAGCTTTTGATAAATGGTGGACCGCTAGACTCTCTCCTTTGGAATGTGGAGGATCCATTTTACGTGCCATGAATGTGATAGCAGTTGGAAGACCGCTTGACAGAGAGAAAATCGCCCTTTTTAATGATCTTTTTTTAAGTACAGAATACTTTATGGGCTCGATGTTAGTATACGTCCCATCAGTGGTTCAACCAAATTTAGTATACGAACAAGGACAGCGTTTACGACCGAAGATTCGCAATATCTTAATTATGTACTGTATGAGTGAATGTCAAAATCTTTTGGAAGGAGAAGAGTATTCGCGCTCTTTTGGACCTTACACATTCTCAGATTTACATTCAAGTGGATCCGAGTATCATGATGAAGGCACACGTTGGAAACTATGTGTGAATTGTGTTTTTAAAAAGCGACAAAAGCGAATTTTTCTAATACGGTGGAGTCGAGATTGCGGGAATACTTGCGAGCAAAACAATTATGACAATTTTATGGTCAGAAATGCAATGAATGATGATGATGATGATGATATTGAATTAAAAAAACGACTATGGGAACAAGTTTATGAAATGCAAATAAAGCATGAACTTGAGCATGAGCATGGTGGGGGAGTAAAAAGAAAGACTAAAGAACACGATGCGATTGATGATTTCTGGTATATCGTTATTCATCATTCTACCGGTCTAGCATCTGTTTACACTGAGTTTCCGATACAGGACGCACAACATATTTGGATTCATGTTGACGATATTTGGAGCAACCAAAAGCTCAATGCTAGTCGAATGACACATAGCAATCGGGGATATTGGATCGCCCTGCGGCATCAAACGTTGACGCGCGCTAAAGAGACTTTAGAGTCAGAAAGCCTTGGACAAGATGACCTTGAAAGCGAGAATGAAGAACAAGGCAATCTTCAAAAATCCGCTGAGTCTTTGATAAACCAGGCAACAACGATTCAAACTTGCAAAGAAGAGAGACTTACGTACTTATTAATTAGTAAGGCGAAACGCTGGAACAGTTTGAACGAGATGAATGGAAAAGTACAACGATTTATAGACGAATTCTCTAACATACATGATACCTTGCATGGGAACTTCCTGATGCTGTGACATACTATTACATATTTGAAAACTGCGCAAGATGAATAAATCAAATTTTTTATGTGTATTGCAGCAGCCACCATCCAGCTTGATTCTATGAACAATTACATATAGGCAAACTAACTACACAGATTCTGGAAATTGTATCCAAAGTGTGGACGCATTAAAAACTCAAAATAAATGTGCATTTGTTTTTATCTACAAGTTTTTAGCGACAGTAGCAGGGTTCAGCTTCTTGCCGTCACGGTTGTAGCGCACACGAGGAGGGGGAGTACGGATACGACGACCGTCGCGAGAGCGGACACGGACCACACGAGAGTGAATAGCGCAAGAGACACAGTACTGCAACTTGACGTACAATTTAGGGATAGTGTACTCGCTGTAAACGGATGCCTCAGACATGTCACGAATTGCGGCAGTTTCGACCATGTTACCTATGACAGTTAGTATCGTTTTCCTGTTTCATTTCCTAGACTGGTTCTCTAAATAAAGATAAGGAAAGCTTATTATAAGTCAAGAACCAATACCGAGGGTGTTAAAATGAATCTACTTACGGATCGTCCAGCGCTTGATGGCCTTGTCCTTGGGGACAGCGCGGCTGCAATTAACGCAGCGAACAAACTTGACGTGTCCACGGCCGTGCTTGTTGCGTCCGTTATTTCTTCTCTTTTGAGTCATGGTGGTGCAGAGGAAAGGTTTGACCAGCTTGACGATGTGCTAAATCGTTCCGTGACTGCTTTTTTGGTAAACCAAAACTTTTAGAGTATAAAGAAGTGCAGTGAGGTAATTAAATTACGTTAGTAAATAAAGCGTCATATGGATGTTTTAACAGAAAGCTGGAGAGAAAACTCATCTCTGTGAACTTTTGTTTCACTTTTCAAAAAAAAATTATGCAAATGGACTGGTTCAAAGATTGGTGATTAAAAGTCTTTCGGCTAGGACAAAAACTTGAGACTGTATAAGATGATATTTTACTTCAATTGAAAATACAAACACAGTGTGAATAAACGTATTGAAATCATTATTGGATAGAAATAACAGAAAAAGAAAAGAATTCTATTCAACAAAACGTGGTCGAACAACGAATTACAAAGGTAGATGAACGAATTCCAGCCATAAAGATATTCTATTATTTTTGAGAAAAGCTTGCTACAACCGTGCACTTTTATGTCTGTCAAAACAATGCCTCCAGGGGCAGTCGTGCAGGAGCAACGATATTCAGACAAACGCAAGAGTGAAAAACTCGAGCTTGTTTGTCCAAAGCCGTAAAGTAAGCAAGCGATGCCAGCCATGCAATGCGTTTACTTCAACTTCTTCTTGGGACGAAGTTGATTGGTATGTCCGCATTTCTTCTTACGGCAGTTGGTGGCACGGGGAGGGAGACGAGCATAGCACTTACGGCAAATTTGCTTTTCGCAGTTGTGCTTGCTGGCCAAAGCCTTCAGAGAGGGCTCAATGATACCACCACGGAGACGCAAGACCAAATGGAGAGTAGACTCCTTCTGGATGTTATAGTCGGACAAGGTACGGCCATCTTCCAATTGCTTGCCGGCGAAAATCAAACGTTGCTGGTCAGGTGGAATACCTTCTTTATCTTGGATTTTGCTTTTGACATTGTCAATGGTATCGGAAGATTCCACCTCCAAGGTGATGGTCTTACCAGTCAAAGTCTTCACGAAAATCTGCATCTTTTCTTTGCAAGCAACCAGCCTCTGGAGACTTTGTGTATGGCTTTAAACAACTTTAACACCTTTTTCCTCAGTGTGCCTTACCCTCACTGTTTCTGTTGTGACTCCAAAAAAGCAGTCACGCATTTTACCTAGTAGAAACCTTCGAGGTACCAACTTGTTCTTCCCCTAACAACTCACCACCAAAAATCAAGAATGGAAGGATTCAAGCGTTACGTTGAGGTTGGACGTGTCGTTCTCGTTAACAAGGGTGAGTACACCGGCAAGATTGCTGCTATTGTCGACGTTGTTGACCACAGACGGGTAAGTTGAAAAATTCGTAGTTGGACAGAATGTTGTCCTTCTGCAGAAAAAGGTATCTCTTGAATATTTGAAAATAGCTTTGTAAAAGAAATCATTACTTTAGAATTTGTTTGGGAACGCGGTGCAAGTTGGATCCTGGTTTAGCGAAAATTTTTTATCATCAAGATTATGCATGTGTTCCCTCACAAAGACTATTGTCTGCTTAAGGAAACCAAGAAAATTTGTTTTCGATGATTTGCGGTTATTTTCAAAGTCAAGTCAAGGATGCTGTTTTTTATGGATCATCACAGGAGTAAAGGCTAACGTTTTTTACAGGTCCTTGTTGACTCTCCTTGCCCTGAGTTCCCTCGCCAAGTCATCCGTCTTGGCAGTGTTGTCCTTACTCCTATTGTCATGCAAGTTCCTCGTGGTGCTCGCTCTGGTGTTGTTGCCAAGAAGTGGAAGGCTCAAGAGATCTGCAACAAGTGGAACTCTACTGCCTGGGCTAAGAGCTTGCAAACCAAGAAGGTTCGCAGCCAATTGAACGACTTTGACCGCTTTGCTGTCATGCGTCTCAAGAAGCAACGTCGTGACCAAGTTAATGTTGCTGTTGCCAAGGCTACTAAGGCTTAAAAACAGTTGATATAAGTCTTGACATTGCAATACAATATAAAACATTCGGTTCCATTCTATCTTTGCTCTGTATTTGTACCCTTATTTTTCGTAGATAGAGGTGTCTTGTAATTTTTGTCATTGTATGTAAGCACTCTGAGAACGTAGCTTCCGATTTAGATTCGTTTTTTTCTAGCACTGTAAATGTTGAAATTAAAAATTACCTAAAATGATGTTATCGTGTATTTGGTCTCATCCTTGGTTTTTTTTCTATGACACTTTCATAGTTGGTGATTTCTCGAACTAACCTTTCACCAAATATTCGGTGCCAGAAGGGAACACTTCTGTACTTTTCCATTCAATTTCCTTTTGGATCTTTGGAAGTCATTTCTTTCATTCATTCTTATTGAACCGTAGTGGAATAGCTGAAATTGCATGTTGCAGAAAGGTGTCGGCTTCCCATCTCATCGTTTAACATTATTAAGAAGACGTTTCTTCATTTGTTGTTTCTATTAGTATATCTTTCTTGTTTAGCTTGATTATTTTCTATTGTTCTTTAGGAAAAGGGAGTGTTCATGTACTTGCTCTGAATTCCAACTTGGTAAAAAACGAATTGAAAGACACTCGTTGATCGCAGTGGTCAATTGTACTCTTATCTAATAACGCCTTTTTTTATTCCTAAAAAGTGATTTAGGATTCAAGGGTCTGTTTCTATTACTGATCTCGATTTTGCTTGCTTTTCTCTTAAGAGTGAACGTGCAATACGCATCTTGGGGTCTCTTACATTTACAAATTATTTCTGTTTATTTCTTTATATTTATAATAGCTTTCTCCCGAATTGGGTGTTTTTTCCTGTATATATACTTTTGGAAGGCTCTCGTTTATTAAATACGAGCTTACGGTTTTATATTGCAAGTTATCCTCGGAATCGCATTTTTACTAACTTCCTTGCTCCATCCATGTTTCGAAACAATACGTTGACCCCCGGCAAAGGGGGTTCTAGTTTGGATATGTTTTCAGCAAACGACTTCATGACATGGATCGATGGTATGAAGCATAATTCATATGAAAACGGTTGTTCTCCGTTTTCATTCCGTCCCATACACGAATCTTCTCACAAAAAGCCCAGACGACCCTCGCGTTTGTCCATTGTAAATATATGGAATCAATCTCCTACCTCTGCCCGGGGTATGCTTTTCCCATTGGAATCTGACCACAAAGAGGAAGATATGGATGAAATTGTGAATGTCGATAATGATGTGAATGACTATGAAACTCATAAAAATTTTATGATCGATCAGAAGAATCATGAACTTAATGAAGATGAGGAAGAAAAGAAAGATAATTGGCAATTGGATCAAAATTTGGAATGCATCGTTTCTGATGATGAAGCTTCGGATCAGGAAGGTTTTTACGAAAGAAGCGAAGATGAATTGGAAGACGAAGGACAGGAAGCAGAAGATGGATTTTACGTATCTCGAACAGATGAAAGAGAAGATCCGGAAGTAATTGAAATCGATAGTGAAGAAGAGGAGCAAAGTCGGCATGATCTCGATGAGAATAATGATCAAATCTTATCTCACCCAGACTCTGAAGAACAGAATACTGAAAATCAACTTCGAAATGCTTTGGATCCCACTCAAAGAGATAGTATGAGCTCTCAGGCATCTCAGTCAAGTCTACATACGGGTGCGGTTTCATACCCAGAGCTAGTGCGTCTTAGCTATGAACAAAGCGGTGTTTCTGAACTTCTTAACCAGTATTCAGAAAGTACGAAGATCGATTCTCATAATAATCCGGAAACAGACTCATCTCTTTTCTTTCGCCGTCCTTCTCTCGACCGTGCCACTCGTTCATCTTCTTTCGTTAACCCTTTGATACAAGCTGGAAAAGGTGTACGAGATGGTTTATTAAAATTCAATTTAGAGAACGCTGAGACGGATGAATCATACACTGAGTTAGACGATACATTTTCACGAATTAAACAGGACAATGTGAACAAATTGAATGAGGAAGCTTCTGAGTTGCTTGAAGAACTCAATGATTCTGATACATTTCAAAAATTGGTAAGACATGAGATTGAACCAACCGTTTCTGATACAAGTGGTGTTGTTGATGAAATTCAACAAATTGATGATGCTTCCCAGTTTGTGTCCTTTTTGGAAGATACACGTTTGGTACCTTCTAATAATTTACAGCCCACAAAACGGAAATTGTCGGAGTTGATGGAAAACATATCTTCCCCGGACTGTAGCATGGCAGACGCTTCTGCTATTTTGGAAAGTTCCGATTTCTTAAATTCTAATTCTGCTATGTCAACAATCCCTAATAAAAAGCGGCATCTTGATTAAAAAAATTTATATTTAACTATATTATTCACTTAATTGCAATATTATTATTATTATTATAAATAAATATCATTAAAAAAAAACAGCACATTTGTCAATACCAAGTAAATTGTTCCAGGCTTCTTTCTATATTTATTCAGTTCCAAAACCAGATGTTTCTTCAATAGCAATTGTGAGTTTGCGTTCCAACTCTTTCTTAGACTCATATGGAGGTATGTCTAGCCGGTTAAAACTACACAGTTAGTAAGAATTTTAAGGCCGGTATTAACCACCTTGGATACTTACCATGTATGAGCTTTTGGAAGTTGAGAGACAGAACCAATACTTTCAAGAGTAAACTTTCTTGGTCCATCACTGCCATGTAAATCTTTAAATCCGCCCAAAGGCAAACGAGAAGTACCGGTAGAAAATTGTAAAAGTTTTTGCTAAAATATTAGGAACTGTGTGAAACTGATAAACATACCTTCTTTTCAATCGGCCAATGACTTATAATCTCCCAAAACCAAGTGACTATTCTATCAGTTTCTGTGTAGGCTCTGTAATCTGTATAGCGTTTCCAATCTTCAACATCAATGTCTCGTTTACCATTCAATAGTACATCAAGCTCATTTTCATCGAAAAGGAGTAATACACTATCGGGAATTAGCTCATTTAACCCTTCTTTTAAAGCATCAAATTGCATATGTGTTGAACGAACTAATTTGTAATCTGTAAGAAGTCGAAGATATTCCAACTTATTTTCATCTGTAACAGGTATATTTCGACCATTAGGTATAAGATCAATTGTAACAGAATCACCAAGTCTGTTCTCTTCGCAACTAAAATTTAGGCATAAAAATTCGTCCACTTTATTGTTACGGATCCAGTTCAGACTTTCATAATAAATTTCGTCTATATCTCTAAAGTCTTCCATGACCATAGGTTTTTGAAGAAGTCGTTTATAAAAAGGAAGAACAAATTGGACGTCCAAATATCGACGATGGAAGATAGCTAATCCCATTATTCTACCTACAAATCGAAAATACGTCAAATGTTCAGGATTAACATACGAGGAAGGGCTTATTCGAAGTCCGTAATTATCCTGAGTGGCATATTCAAAAAGAGAATAAGAAGGATTGAAGAGAGCATGTGACAAAATATAGAAAAACTCTCGAGAAACACCGCCATAATCCAAACCATCTTCATTTCGAAACCGTACAAGAAGCCGTTTTCGCATATCCTCAACGGACAGCTTCATTATAATATCGTAAGCATCTTCCAGAGCGGTAGCACGATTTACTCTCAGCTGCAATTGAGTGTTATTTACGGCCATCTCTGGCCTTTCGTACATATAATGAAGTTTTCGGAGGTACGACTCATGTAAACTTTGAGATTGCTCAATTGGCCTTCCAGGCAATAAACTATCTCTTGGATCACTCCAAGTAGTGGTTTTCGTAACATGGTCAACGAAATAAATATGATAATCTTCGCTTAAACGCATCTCCCAATAAGCAGGTAAAGGTCCCTTTTCAACAGCCACTTGTTGACGCACGAATTGAGCAAGCTGGTAGTTTTCAAGCAGGTGTCTGATGACATTTGGATCCAAGTTGATTTTGAGCTTCAGATTTTCGGGAAATAAGAATCCAGAAAAGTTCTTTTGCAGTTGTTCATCATTTAAAGAATTTAGTTTTTCTAAAGTAATAGAAGAATTTACGGAAAGCTGCGGACTAAGATAGTAATACATGTGTCCAAAATCATCAATCCGCGTCTCCCATGTGTTTAATTCATTATCATTGAATACCGCAATATTTTTCTGGGACTTATCGTTTGAGATTTCTTCAGGCGACAGCTTGCGCCGCTTAAATTGGCAATAAACAGACCCACAGTATGAGCCATTGGCAGAACGCAAAGTAACTCGAGTTTTATATTCTAAATAGTTAGTTATTGAATACAAAAAATCAACTTTCAGAGGTGGCAATGAATTGCGATTTCTAGCCAAGAGGAAAAAAGGTGAAATCAATGGATCAATTCAGCCATATAACCTACCATCTTTAGAAAAGTGAAAAGGCATAAATGAGTCAATTGACACGGCCCCTAGGCCAATGAATCCATCAGAAACCTCGTTCGCCCGCTTCTGATCAAAAAGTTGTAACAAGACGATGCTTTTCGGATTCACCACTCTAAAATCGACTGTTAGAGAACATTCACATGCCAATTAGAACTATAATACTCCCTGGTTACTTACAGCTTGTGAGTGAATCCCCACGCTAATCGGAATGTGCCACTTGCATAATTTGTTTTTATAAGTTGACCATCATCAACTGTAATTATCAAATACGGTTTCATAGACCGTAACAGACCCTGTTTCCAGAGTCCGTCGACTTGAAGAATCGTTAATTGGACCTCAAAGCGGACGTTTTCCATTCATAGAGTCTTTTTTACTAAATGGTTCAAATTCTTCCGTTTTGGCTAGAATTCTTTATGCTTTCGAATAAATGAGCTACAACTTGCGAATACTACTTCAATTCAGCGTTGATTATATTTTCTTCGACTTGCGCGTTTCGTCTAAGTATATATTTACAGGTGGATGTAGATGTCACTCACCCAAGGTACAATTGAGAATGCTACCTCAAAGCTTGCGGAAAAATATTAAAGGTTTTTTATATTGACGAGAAATGGAATGAATTTTATCATTGACGTAGCAAAAAGAGAATTAAAATACAAAAAATGCCTTAATCTCATTAAGCGTATTTAAGTAATGGAGAATTTGAAAGGCTATAATGAAGATAAGGAATGGCTATGGCTATTGGGACAGATCCAAGAAAGAATGCCATTGAACAAGCACAAAGGAACACATAAATATACAGACAAAGGAGGATAAAAAAACAAAAAACTTGCTGCAAAGGACATTTTTCATCAAATTCGAGAGAAATAATAGCGAATAATGGAATAGCCAAAGGTAATTTAGTGGATCTAAAGGCCATTAACGAGTGATTCGACAATTTTTCGAATATCGTTTGCAGCGGCAATGCCGACTTCCAAAACTTCAAGATGATTAGCTGCACCCTTGGACATGATTTCAGAGCTGGTATCCACAGCATCCTTGCCAGAGGGGCTCTCTTGTATAACAGCTTTATTGGTGATGAGGGAGATGGCCAACACACGGATGCCACAGTGACGAGCTACAATAACTTCTGGAACAGTAGACATGCCGACTGCATCAGCACCTAAAATAGATAACATGCGACATTCTGCACGTGTTTCGAAGCTTGGCCCAGAGACAAAGCAGTAAGTACCTTCATGGATAGGACGGGTAATGGAGTGAGCCTTGACGGCATCGTAAGCAAGTTTGCGAAGCTGTAGATCGTAAGCATCCGAAAGTGCGGGAAATCGGGTTCCAAATTCGTGAGGGTTAGGCCCTTTAAGAGAGTGATTACCAGCAAGACCAGGGAAATCAATATGGTCTTTCAAAATCATCAAATCTCCGACATTGAAATTTTGATTGACACCACCAGAGGCATTGGTAACGATCATTGTTTCAACGCCTAAAACCTTCATGACACGAACGGGGAACGTAGCGACGTCCATGCTATAACCTTCATAGGAATGATAGCGTCCACACAAAACCATCGTCGGAATGCGCTTTTCTCCTATATAGGCAAAGATCAATTTGGAGGCATGTCCAGCAACATGAGAGACGTGGAAATGAGGAATATCATGGTAAGAGATTTCGTATTTAGGCTCAGACAAGTCAGCAGCCAAAGTACCTAAACCACTGCCACAGATAATGGCGAGTCTTGGCTTACTCAATTCTTCCGGTACTTGGCCGATAATATAGTTCCTAGCTTCCATAGCTTTAATGTAAATAGGACTATGAGGTGGAGCAACGGGATGAAGATTGGAGGAAACGTGAATGTCAGTATTGTTGGTCATTTTTTCTTAGATCTGAGACAAGAAGGAATTTTTGAATGGAATTTTTTGGGAAAACAAAAAATAAAGTAAAGAAAAGGCAAAGAAAAGACTATCAAAAGATGGCAATGAAAGCAAGTTAGGTTATGTGGTAAGCGTTGCGAGTAAGAAGGTAAGAGATCAAGTAATCCCCAAAAAAAAAAAACAAAACAAAACAAAAGAAACAGTTCAGTAGGTGCAGGCGAAGGGAGTAAAATATCCGTAAATATAAAAAGGAAAAAATTTGATTTACCAAAGAAAATAGATACGAATAGCCGGAAATATTGAAAAGGTCAGATTGACATGGTACAGACAATCTTAGTGAATTGATTCGAAAAGCAATTTAGAGGAACCTTGTACAATGACTCTTCTATTAAAAAAAATAGAAAAAAAATGGATGTCTGAAGACATAAGCTGGATTCATTTTACTGTTCAAATTGGATTGTTTACATTTTAAAAAAAATATATATAATAATAATTCTTCGTGAAAGGCGAAAATCTGGGGTTTTCAAAGGACCACGAAGCCTTAGAAATAGATTTGTTAAAAATAGTATTATTAAAAACCAACAGTGAAGGCTGTTAATGCTGTCATTCAAGTCAATAGTTTTTCGTCTGAAAAGATGAGTTTGGAACCCAAACATCACAAAAGGATAGCAAGTTCTTTACAAAAAAATATTTTAAACACTTAAAAGAACATTGGACGTCCAAAAAGAAAGGATTCTTCTCTTCTGATTTTTAAAGTATCATAGTTTTAAGACGATATGTATCGTTTTAAACATATACACTATCGTACTATAAAATTTATGAGGAAAAGTGCTAGGTAAATGTGGAAACATCCGAAGCATACCAAAAGCATAGACAATGAGGATGAAAGTAAAACAAAAAAAACTAAAAGATGGGATTTGAGATGCTTGAGAATTGATGGGATGAAAAATATTTTTGCGGCGAGTGAGGTTCGAACTCACGCGTTTTACAACAGCAGGGTTCAAGGCGTACTCGCCTCTTAAATCTGCCCCCTTAGACCACTCGGGCATCGCCGCTTGTTGTAACTTTACTTAATTTTACAATATATATTGGCAATTTAGAAGAACCAAATTTAATATATCGATTTCGACACAAATACGTCCGTTCAACACATACCTACTCATCCCTAATGCTATTTTTCTTCTTTTTCGTATTCTGTAGCTCATTTACTCCGACTCATTGTAAGACCGAAGCCTACGTTTTGGCTGTCGACCATTCGTACAGTCCATAAGTAAATCAGCTTTGAAACCATAAAAGAACGCAAGAGACTGTCAAGAAAGTAAACATTTTGAAGGACAACGTTAGAAACCATCAAAGCTTAGAAGTTTTAGTAAAATAAATGACAAAGAATAATTCAGGGAGTTTTCTTGTATAAACAAAACGGTTTATTTATTTTTGTTCACGAATTATTGAATTATTTATTTACCTATTAAGCCAGTATCTTCCAGTGCCGTATTCAAAATAACCTTTATCGTTCTGCCACCTAATTGTGTTCTTCTACCTTCTTTGCTGCACCAGCCTTGCCGCTACCACCTACTCTCACCCAACACCTATATCTTTGCATTTTTTTTGTTCAATTTTCCCGGGATTTTACCCGAATTTTTTCTATCTTTTCCTTTTCTTGTCTGTTTATTTCCTTTTTGCATAAACTCTTGTGTTCTGCTCATTGTAGCCAGAATCGCCGTATAAACAGAAGAAGCTGAAAGCGAAATTGACTATTTGACCTTATTTAGAAGAAAAAAGGGAATTATTTATCAATAGAGTTTTAGTTAATCACACGCTGACTATCTTTGATTTCAAAGCATTGTCGAATCTTTGTTCGCCGCAATCTTAGGTAGCCGGAAATTACATCCAAAGGTAACTAATCTATTCCTACGTTCTTGATTAATCAAGTTTTGTAGTTGCGTTGTATACGTGGGCACGAGAAATTTTAGGTTTCCGACCTTTTATCTTTCTATTGGTAATTTATTATTCTTTGTATCTCATTCTTAGCAGGAAGAGAATTGAAAAAGATTGTTTCTCGTCTTTATTTTATTTTATTTTTTCGATTTTCTTCGTTATATCTTTTTCATAGATTTAACAAAAACTTTGTCGTTTCTTGATTTTTCATCATGGAAGGTATCTTGACTCTTGATCGAGAGTTAGATGTAGGTCTTTTGGACCGCATTGTTCAAACGTTTTACATGGGTGCTGGTGCAGAACAGCAAGAGGCCCAAAGAGTCTTGACCCAATTTCAAGCTCATCCGGATGCTTGGATGCAAGCAGACGCTATTTTGGAAAAAGCAGAATTCCCTCAAACTAAATACATTGCTCTTTCTATACTTGACAGGCTCATTACTACTCGATGGAAAATGCTTCCTAAAGAGCAACGTCTTGGTATTCGTAATTTTATCGTTGCTGTCCTAATCAAAAATTCAGCTGATGAAACTTCTTTGCAGCAACAAAAGACCTACTTAAATAAATTGGACTTAACACTCGTTCAAATTCTGAAACAGGAATGGCCTCACAATTGGCCCAATTTTATCCCAGAAATCGTCCAAGCTAGTAAAACCAATCTCTCTCTCTGTGAAAACAACATGATTATCCTTCGTCTATTAAGTGAAGAGATTTTTGACTACTCTGCCGAACAGATGACTCAAAGCAAAACCAAGAATTTGAAGAACCAAATGTGCGGTGAATTCGCTGAAATCTTCCAACTCTGCTCGCAAGTTTTAGAACGCGCCCAAAAACCAAGTTTAATTAAAGTTACCTTGGAAACTTTACTGCGCTTCCTCAGCTGGATCCCTCTTGGTTACATTTTCGAGACGGCCATCACAGAACAAATTACTAGTCGCTTCCTTACCGTTCCAGCTTTTCGTAATGTAACCATGGAATGTCTCACCGAAATTGCTGGCCTTACTTCTCAACCTCAATACAACAATAAGTTTGTTGCCATGTTTCACCTTGTCATCAATGCCGTAAGCTCAATGCTTCCATTGCAAACTGATTTCCGTGAAGCATACGAAGAGAGCAGCTCAAATGAGCAAGATTTTATTCAAAACTTGGCTTTGTTCTTGACTACCTTCTTTAGCTCTCATCTACGTCCTTTGGAAACTCCAGAGAATCAGGAAATCCTTTTGGTTGCTCACTCTTATCTTCTCAATATTTCGCGAATTAACGAGCGTGAGATTTTCAAAATTTGTCTGGAGTATTGGGGTAAATTGGTTTCCCAGCTTTACGAAGAAATGCAACAGCTCCCCATGTCCGAAATGAATCCCTTACTTAATCTTTCCAGTCCCGCTTCCCTTATTTCCTCTAACCCTGCCATGTTAGCTAACCTGCCCTTGCGCAAACATATTTACAAAGATATTCTATCTACTCTTCGTTTAGTCATGATAGAAAGCATGGTTAAACCCGAAGAAGTTCTTATTGTTGAAAATGACGAAGGTGAAATTGTTCGTGAATTCGTTAAGGAAACTGATACAATTACCCTTTATAAATCTATGCGTGAGGTACTGGTTTATCTTACACACTTGGATGTAGTTGACACTGAAATTGTTATGACTGAAAAGCTTGCTCGAATTGTTGTTGGTACAGAATGGTCATGGCAGAATCTTAATACTTTGTGTTGGGCTATTGGCTCTATTTCTGGTGCTATGAATGAAGAAATGGAAAAACGTTTTCTTGTAAATGTTATTAAAGACTTGCTTGGTCTTTGTGAAATGAAACGTGGCAAAGATAACAAGGCAGTGGTCGCCTCTAACATCATGTATGTTGTTGGACAGTATCCCCGTTTCTTGAAAGCTCACTGGAAGTTCTTAAAGACTGTCATTAACAAACTTTTTGAATTTATGCACGAGTATCATGAAGGTGTTCAAGATATGGCCTGTGATACATTTATCAAAATCGCTCAAAAATGCCGCCGGCATTTTGTTGCTCAGCAAGTCGGGGAAAGTGAACCATTTATTAACGAAATTATTCGTAATTTACCAAAAACCACTGAAGACTTAACTGCTCAACAAACGCATACTTTTTACGAGGCTTGTGGTCACATGATATCTGCTCAACCGCAAAAACAGATTCAAGAGCATCTTATCTTTGATTTGATGTCGTTACCTAATCAAGCTTGGGACAATGTCGTTGCTCAAGCTGCTCAAAATGCTCAAATTTTGGGAGACCCTCAGATTGTCAAGACGCTTGCCAACGTTTTGAAGACAAATGTTGCTGCATGCACATCTATCGGTGCGGGTTTTTATCCACAAATCATGAAAAATTATGTTGATATGTTGGGTTTGTACAAAGTGGTCAGTGGCTTAATTTCTGAGGTTGTTGCTGTCCAAGGAAATATTGCTACGAAGACACCCCATGTCCGTGGTTTACGAACTATTAAAAAGGAAGTCCTCAAACTCGTTGATGCCTACATTAGTCATGCAGAAGAACTTGATCTTGTTAGTCATACCCTCATTGCCCCCTTGTTCGAAGCAGTCTTGTTGGATTACTATAATAATGTTCCTGACGCTCGTGATGCCGAAGTTTTAAACCTCATTACTACTATTGTCAACCAGCTAAGTGAGCTTCTTACGGATAAGATTCCTCTTGTGTTGGATGCGGTATTTGGTTGTACCTTAGAGATGATTAGCAAAGACTTTTCCGAATATCCTGAGCATAGAGCTGCTTTCTTCCAATTATTAAGAGCAATTAACCTTAACTGTTTCCCAGCTCTACTGAACATTCCCGCCCCTCAATTTAAATTGGTAATCAACAGTATTGTTTGGTCGTTCAAGCATGTCAGCCGAGACATTCAAGAGACCGGTTTGAACATTCTTTTGGAGTTAATTAACAATATGGCTAATAGCGGTCCAGACGTTTCCAATATTTTCTTCCAAAATTACTACATTCCATTGTTACAAGATATATTGTATGTTCTCACAGACTCTGACCACAAATCTGGATTCAAACTTCAAAGCTTGATTTTAGCCCGGTTGTTCTTCTTGGTTGAGTCCAGTCAGATAACCGTTCCTTTATACGATCCCACTCAATTCCCCCCTGACATGAATAACCAATTGTTCTTAAGACAGTATATTATGAACTTACTGAGTACTGCTTTCCCCCATTTGCAGCCTTTGCAAATTCAAGAATTCGTCCAAACGGTATTAGCATTGAACCAAGATCATCCCAAATTCAAGTTAGCTTTACGTGACTTTTTGATTCAATTAAAAGAATTTGGAGGTGATAATGCTGATTTGTATCTTGAAGAGAAAGAACAAGAAATAGCAGCTCAACAAAAGGCACAGATGGAGAAAGCTATGACAGTTCCGGGAATGATTAAACCAGTTGATATGCCTACGATGGAAGAAGAAGAGCTTTAAGGAATGAAGTTAAAAAGGTTATTTTATTAGATTACAATAAAAAAAGATGCAAACTTAATATAGGGATATCAAAATTAAATTGTTCGATATATTAATTTCTTTACTACTTTTTGAGATTAATGTGCTGATGATATTTCAATCATATACTTAGTTCCACAAAAGTTTTTATAATTTTTCGATAATGACGCTATATTATCATAGTAAGACCCATTAGCTCAAAATTCTACTTCTTCACGAAAGTTTGAAGACAAAAAGTTCAAAGCCAGAGCGCTAGTTATACCCCAAACTCCAACTCTCCAACCACGATATAATCCCTCAATTCCAAAACGACCTGGATCTTCTTCACTGAGTAAGCACCAAACTGTACCAGTAATACCTGTATAACGGCCAGCAGGAACTATGGTCTGAGGAGGTAAATCACATTGGTATTGGGCCTGTGCTCTTCTTAAACAGGTTTCCAAAGGAATCTGCAAGGCAAATTGTAAAGAAGAAGTAGTGAAGCCTACAAAAGAATCCATAATAGAAGAAGATCCTAAAAAGTTTCTAAACGCAATAGGGAACAAAGAGGAAATAGCAGTTGGGAGACTTGCATAACAAATAGTAGGGAAAATTAAGGATGAAGGACAATATGGAGGCAAAGATTTTAGACAACGAAGAGTCGATAAGGAAGTTTTATGAGGAGAATTGAAAGAGTTAACTGCGGTTGGATCAGACAATGACGAGGAAGAAGTGATTGGAAAGAGAATAATTTTTGTCCTTGCAATATCCAAAGGGGCTAAAACAAGGGCGGAGATTGCAGATGAAATGGATTTCACAAACACTGACGACAATGGACGAACAGAGTCCACGGGCGGCATGATGTTAGGATCGGGAATGGAAAGAAAACCAGAAAAAGTTGCAGAAAGCCAAGTCTGGAATCCGGAATATAAAAGATTATAAAGAAATGTCACAGTATGTCCCTTCCATAAACCTTTTGCACCTTCCTTTTCCCATAGCGAGGAAATAATGCTTTTGATGGAATAGCGACTTGGAGAAATTGTAAACGTATGAAGGGTGTTCGCATGAGCAGAGGTGTTTACGTATCCCGAAGGCTCAACGCATATCTTTTCTTTCAGGTCCTCGTTGACAGTATTATCGAGTGATGGGCTTTCAAAATAGGCATTAATCTCTTGTTCATCATCACTAACATCAGAGAAAAGATCATGCTGCTTGGTATGTTCATCTTCTTCTTCTCTAGTTCGAGTACGGGATATAGAGCCCGCAGACTTGTCTTTGGACAAATATGCTTCTACTTGGCATATTGTTTTCGCAGCCTCCAGAGGATGTATTAAAAAGGTAGTCAAATATTTCGTTACAATAGCGCTCTTCAAAGCATCAAAAATGTCGTTACTATTGATATAGATTTCCGGTTCAAAATCTGGCTGCGGGACCGTCGATGGGCTCACTTCTAAGTTATTTGCTAATACATAAGGGCGATAAGGATTCATTGGAACACTGCCACGTCTTCTTTATTATGCTTTATATGAGCTTCGCGCTGTTTCGGTAGGATGTATTCAAACCAAGTCAACTCAAGCCAAATGAAGAATTAAATCAATCTTCTAACTTTTATTCGCTTAATTCTTCAAATATCGTTCAAACATCCAAACAATTCTTCTTTCTGGACTAACTGAAACAAATTGGATGTCTAAGGACTGGTATGTAAATGCCAGTAATATTTTATACGAGTATGAAGGATAAAAGCTTTAGAGTACTCCTTGCCCTTTATAAACTTTCTTTCTTTTTTCTTCCTTTCTTCTTTTTTTTATTATTTGCAGTATTTCCTTTCTACCTAATAAACTACGTTACTATTCATGAAAGCCGTTCAGTTTCGACTTGTGCACGATTTCTTGATACATTAATGTTCTCTTACAGAAATAATGAAAGGCATAAAATGAATCAAATTTTGTCTATTATATCCATAACCCGGATAAGATTATTTAGAAGCTTTAACAACAACCTTTGATTAAAGAGCAAAGGCAAAGAGAATAGTCCATCCTAAACCATATGAACAGTTGATATATATTTGCTGTTTGTACTCACAATATGCAAACCAATCCGTTTATTTTATAGAAGCCTCACGACGTACGCATTTAAATATGGTTCTACGAAATAGCATAAAAGATAAGATGGAAGATTTAGCAACCGACAAATTAGGTAGCGTATGCTCGAATAAACAGAAGAACTTAATTCCAATGAAACATAGGATGAACGAGACATAAGGATTCCGTCAAGCAGATAAATAGATAACCTTCTTTTCTAAATGCGGACACGCAGTACGAACAATATAAGTTACGAATACCATAAGTAGGAAAATGCTCTCTCTATTAACTATTAACTAATACAACGGAAATTCAACAAGAGCAAGTTGACCCAAGCAAATGCAAAGATTAAAAGAAGGACAATGGTTTCGCCAATGAAAACCTAATTAACCGATGGGAATTTGAGCGTTCCTGCAAAAGGCACATGAACGAGGGGAAACATTTAGATAAGCAGCATTAACGAAGGACTTTGCACGAATTCGCACCAAACTACTATGAAAGAAATTACCAGGAGTGGGATTAAACACACACATAATAACTACATTAAGCAGCTGTTTGCTCATCGAAAAATACTCGAACAACCAGACCATCCATGTCATGAAACATGCAAATGGTATGCAAACATGATTTGGACGAGGTTGCACATTTGACAATCCCAGTTGCAAATTTTACCTCAAAATAATAGCAGGGAAACTTATATATATATAGTTAAAGAAAAGCAATTAGATTAATTGCACGTCCTGCTCACAAGGGCCTACTTTACCAAACTAAAGCTTACGGGAGCGAGCGGTGAAAGGGGAAGAATTGGACGCAGTTGTAGCGGCGAAAGCTGCTTCAGAGGCAGAAGGCATAGAGGGAGTGTCATCAGGCTTGCCAGCAGCTTTCTTGGCATTCTTTCTAGCACCACGCTTAATGTAGGTATTGGCGTAAAAGCCAATAAATAGGAATAAGTAAGAGGAAAGAACACCACAGCCGAAAATAGCAGCAAATAAAGAGCCAGAGCAATCGCCCGTGTGAGGCAACCAGGGGAAGAAGCGGTAGGCAACATGAGTATAGGTACCATAGTAGCAGAGGACGAGGTCAATAACAAATTGGATAATTTGAAAACGGGTAACCCATTGCTTCCACCAGACACGGCGTCCACAAGCGGCTAAGAAATAGTAGCTGTACATGATAACGTGAACATACAAGTTCAAGGTAATGACGACCCATTGCACGGAAGTACGACCCAAAAGCTGAGTAAAGCAAAGCAAAGCGGTCACACCGTGATGATAGCAGTGCAGGAACGCAAGAGGCTTTTTCTTTAGGAATAAGAAGACAGTGTCGAGAAGCTCAATATACTTTGTCAAGTAGTTCAAATAGTAAAGAGTGACGAGCTTCTGAGTAAAGTGACGAGGGTCACAAACACAATAGAAAAGACCATGGCGAACAAACATGGGAAATACTTGTTCAAACATAAGAGCAAGCAAAGCACCACTAATAACAGTCAAGATAAGGTTGTGCAACTGAAACAAGCGACGTTGTTTCACGGGCTTTTGGTTCTTCATGAACGCTTGTCCACTCAAAATAATTATATAGTACAGAGTGATTGATGCAATCACACTCGACCATTGGGATATAGGCGTTTGTCCAGGAATGAACTCAAAATTTGATGGATTCCATCCTGTGGTGCGGATACTGAGTTGTTCAAACAAATACCTTTGCAAATTCAGTTAGTACAAATTCTCTATGTCAGTGTTTTTTTATTTTTTTCTTCTTTACTTACCATAGATCCAATCCAAATGGATGGTCAAGGCTGGGTCGGTGGATTTTCAACATGTGTGTTCCGGTTAAGATCACTGTACCAAGTCCCAAGACCAAATGAGAAGTACAAAACAAAGGAAAACATCGGTATGAAAAAAACGACATTAAAATAGAAAAAAAACTATAGTTTTATTTTTATAAATAAATATTCGTGTTTTCCGTAGATACTATTTTTTTTTCTATATGACAATTTTCATATGGGGAGACCAGTCAATTTTCTATCTCGATTTTTCTTTATTGAGAATTCTATCGTCCGAACCTCGATATAAACATATCTGTATAGAGTGAGAAAGAAAACAAAAAACATTTCTTTTTTAAAAGTAGCATTGAGCATTGCATTCATCTTTCATTTCTTTCTTGCTTGCATTGTTTTAATTAATCTCTGTAATGTAACGAACACATGCAAAAGAAAAAAGTTCTCTGTCAAGATTATCATACTAAGGAGTTTTCATGTTATAATACAAATAGAAAACAACTGTTTATTGCTTAAAGTGTTGAAATACTGACTTTCAATAAGCTACTAATTCTTTTGAAGAAGTATATCTATAATTTCATTCTTACTAACCATACGAATGCAAATGTTGTGGAATAAATTTATTAGTTCGGCCGTCAAAAATTTTTCTAACTGAAGAATTCGTTAGCCGTCATTGTTAAACTATACATAATTTCTTCATCTAGTAAGTTAGGCCCTATATAATTCATTAACCAAGTATATAGTATCGATCATTTGAATTCACCATTCCCTCTTGGTATCTTTGTTTACGTTGATTCACTGTTATTATATATCATCGTAGTAGTATAATTATGGGTATTATAATAAAGGAATATTATATAAAATTAGCTGTTTCCTCCGGCAATTGACATTCCTGTGTAGAAGAGACAATTGTCTTAATGTAAACAACATAGTCTATCGGAGCGAAAATTTATTTCACTGACCTACCATTTTCGTTACTTCACTGCGCATTGCTTTTAGGAAAGTGTAAATGAGATACGCAATGATACACGATTTGAGGCTTGGCGCAGTCTTTTTCATTTCGACGGACTTTCTTAATTCTTCCATGAAACTGCTAATTGGTTTTATGTAACGAAGAAACAACAAAGCAATTATTGCAGAAACGGCCAACATCTCAATACTTTCAAGTATAGACAGCGAAAAGAGTATACCAAATCTTGTTCCTTGCTCATAATGAATGCCATAATAGAGGTATCCTAAAGGAAAAGACGAAAGCAGGACTAAGGAGAGGCATAGTATATATTCTCGACACATTGATAAAATGGAAAAATATAAAAAAAAAAGACTATACGACGATATTGTGCTGTTCCATTCAGGTAATTAACGGCGCTCCAGCTCGAGTTCATTTGTATTTGTCATTGTTGTTTTTTAACAAGTAGCATTGTACTCTAGCTTTGTACTCCAGTACAATGCTTTGACCAACCACAGACTATAGAAAATGACTGGGTAGCTACACGAAGCAACAAGTGACCTGGTGTTACCTGGATTTTGGTGAGTAAAATAGACGAAAAACAAGAGCTTGTAGAGCGTTTCAGTCCTAGAAAAAGGTTTCTTTATTAATTTTTTCGCTGCCTTTTTATTAGTCAATTTGGTCAAAAGTGCCCTGAGGAAGTGTGCCTCTTCTTAAGGAGAAGACTAGTCTGACGAGAAAAACATGTGTAGATCCTAAATGATCCTTTGGAAATGAAAATGGCTAAACCTGTGAGCAAAAGAAAAAAGAATACAAAGCTCTATTGAAGAGGCACATCCAAGCTGCTGCTTGCCTAAATCGTACAGTTTCTCCATGTGGGTACGAAAGCCATTCGGCAAAACCTATCGTTCGACGACCTTGGCCCTGTGGGATTAAGACCTGCTTTACGTTTTCTTTCCATCCTTGGAAGTCTGTTGTACTGTCTCGTGGATGTTGATCCTGCCTTGCAACTTGGATACTTAACTTAACAGGACTTAGCAATTAGAAGCCATTGGTTTAGCTTGTAGCATCATCCAGCTTTAAAGTTTAAGGACTTTAGAGACAGGTATCGTAGTTTTCGCTTCCAAGCTCTCTTGGAAACGCTGCAACCCACTTCGACTTTTGAAGCAGCTTCAAAAGTCGAAAAAATTCCAATAAAAAGCTTATTTATCTTTTTTCTTTTAAATATTTTTACAGGAATGGCTTTAAACCATGCCTACTCCCCATACTCAAAGTTCATCCTTAAATTCCCCATATCCAATACTCAACTTCCCACCTTCTTTCACTCCCCACTTTTCGTTTGTAGGTAAAAAAATCCGGTTCAATTGATTCAATATGAAAAATTTCCAACGTCTTATTCAATCTCAAGGTCGTTTTGCTGCCTCTTCTGCTATTGCTCGACCTTCCCCTTTGCGTTTTGGTTCTGTAGGTCAGTTCCGCTTTTCTAGCAATCACTCTGCTTCTTTGGAAGAGATTAATACAAAGTAAGTTTTTTAGAATCGCTTTTTTGCATAATGCATGAAGAATAATAAAGATTTTTAGGCCGAAAGCTGGCTTGCATCGATCTATACAGCTTTGGGAAGTACTTGAATGGGTGAAAGGAGAATTCTATTACCCCGTTTTCAAGAAATTTACGACTAGAGCTGTGATAGAAGATTTGAAGCTACTACCGTCACTCTTTATCTTCTAAATTCGCAATGTTCGTGTATTAATCTCTTCTAGGTACAATGACTTTTTCACCACCGTTCAGGATCAGTTTGAACTCCAACGTGGTCTTAACAATTGTTTTGCTTACGATATTGTCCCTTCTTCCGATGTGATTGAACAAGCTCTTCGTGCTGCTCGTCGTGTCAACGACTTCCCTACTGCTGTTCGCATTTTTGAAGGTGTCAAGGCTAAATTGCCAAGCAAGGAACAATACGTAGCTTATGTGAAGGAACTGAAGCCTGTTTGTGAAGAGCTCGGTATTACTTTGAAGGAAGACTTGTTCCATTAAAAAGGAACAGTTCCTTTTTTTATTCCCTTAAGGATTCATTCTGTTCTGCTCGTGATCTTTTCTTTGGTCTTTCTTTTTCTTTGAAATCTCCCCTTTATAATTTCTAAAACTTTTTTTTTCATTTTGTTGCAACGTAATTTGGTCTCTATCCCAATGGGGTTTCCATTCGGCTGTTGAAAAGTTACTAGCTGATGACCTAAATTTTGCTATGTCGTGTTTTTACCTCATTTTCCTGTCTTGCCTTGAAAGAGGTATGGATCAATTCCAAGGGAATAGAGAAGGTTCCTTTCTTGCTTTTGAAAATTACAACAGATAATTAAAACAACTTGCAACTTAGTCCATCTTGTAACTTAGCTGTACTGTAGTGTTCTTTTTACATTGTAAAGTTCTTTTTGATCATGATCCAGTAATTAGTTATGATTATTCACGATCTGATTGATTGTCGACATCCATGGTCGTCGTAGATTTCCAAGCACCGCTACCTTTTTTACTTCATTTTGTTATTTTTATAGAATTTGAAAAGTAATTGATTCATAATTTCCATGATCGTCTAGATGTACATTTTCATTGCTGAGTGCAACTACGATCCTACTTCTCATACCTACGCTCAGGTCAATCTTTGCTTTTTTCTCAGAGGGTAAAAAATTGGCCGTTTAAGGGCGTTTTTATTTATTTTTTTCTTTCTTTCTTGACTAACCTTGTTCTTTTCTCTACATCTTTCCTTTTATTCCTGTCTTTCTATTGTTTTTCGGTGAATCCCTTTTTCAACTTGATTTTTCTATTCGCTGAATCAGACAAGCAAATTGATTTAGTTCTTTCAGTCGTTTAATCTTTCTTTTTTGCATTCTCCTTTTCTTCCAATCTCTCGGATTTTACTCTCGTTTTTCTGCATACAATGGCTGCTACAGGTTGGGAGCAAAGTAGTGTATACTATACCCCGGTTCTTCCTGGAGATCAACAAGAAGACTCTAATGTAAATCATGAAAAAAGTTTCATCCGTTTTATTGACGAGTTTGTCATCGACAACAACTTTGTTTATCGAAGTCAGCTTCGTGACAATTTGATGATCAACCAGTATCTACTGAATGTTGATCTTAAGCATTTGATTAGCTTTGATGAGGATTTAGCTCATTTGCTTTCTAGTCAGCCAACGGAACTTTTATCGCTATTTGAATCTGCTGTTACCACAGTCGCAAAACGATTGCTGTATCGAAGTCCAGAAAGTGTTTCTATTCAAATCCCAGTTTGCCAAGTTACCCTTCATTACGATGCCAATATTCTCTCTATTCGTGATTTGACTGCTTCTCATATTTCTAAATTGGTTCGTATCCCCGGTATCATTATCGGTGCATCTACATTGTCTTGTCGAGCGACTTCCCTGCATATAGTCTGTAGAAATTGTCGTGCTACAAAGTCTTTACCTGTTTCTGGAGGCTTCACTGGTATTCAACTTCCTCGCATTTGTGATGCGCCTGTTTTAGATGGCGAGAAAAAGGAATGTCCCATGGATCCTTATATTATTGATCATTCCAAATCTTTTTTTATTGATCAACAAGTTCTCAAGCTTCAAGAAGCCCCTGATATGGTTCCCGTTGGTGAACTTCCACGCCATATTTTGTTGAATGCAGATCGATATCTTACAAGCCAGATTACTCCAGGAACCCGCTGTGTGATTACCGGTATTTTTTCTATTTTCCAAAACAAATCTGTCAAATCTAGTGGTGCTGTTGCTATTCGAAATCCATACGTTCGCGTAATCGGTATTCAACTGAACATAGATGATGGCACCAAATCTACTCCTTTATTCAGTGAAGAAGAAGAAGAAGAATTCCTTGAAATTTCTCGTACTCCAAATTTGTATGAAATTATTTCAAACAGCATTGCCCCTGCCATTTATGGCAATATGGATATTAAGAAATCCATTGCGTGTTTGTTATTTTCAGGTTCAAAGAAAATCTTACCCGATGGAATGCGACTTCGAGGTGATATCAATGTTCTTCTATTAGGTGATCCGGGTACAGCTAAATCTCAATTTTTGAAGTTTGTAGAACGGCTGGCTCCTATTGCCGTATATACATCAGGTAAAGGCTCTAGTGCTGCGGGTTTAACAGCTTCTGTACAAAGAGACAGTGTTTCTCGCGAATTCTATCTGGAAGGAGGTGCAATGGTTTTAGCTGATGGCGGAATCGTTTGTATCGATGAGTTTGACAAAATGAGAGATGAGGATCGTGTTGCAATCCATGAAGCAATGGAGCAACAAACAATATCGATTGCCAAAGCAGGTATAACTACTGTCTTGAATTCTAGGACGTCTGTATTGGCAGCGGCGAATCCTATTTTCGGAAGATATGACGATATGAAATCTCCTGGAGAAAATATTGATTTCCAGTCAACAATTTTGTCAAGATTCGATATGATTTATATTGTTAAAGATGAACACGATGAGTCAAGAGACCGCAGTATTGCTCGACATGTAATCAATCTTCATACGAGCTTGCAAGAATCGATGGAGACTTTAGCAATTGGAGAAATTCCATTCGAGAAATTCCGTCGCTACATCAATTATTGCAGACAGTAAGTTGATTCTTTTTTTCTATTTTTCTGATATTTCTAACGATTTTAGTAAATGTGCCCCAATCTTGAGCGCCGAGGCTGCTGAGAAACTCTCAAGTCAATTTGTTGCCATTCGAAAACAAGTGCATCAGTCGGAACAAGACAGTAATGTACGATCTAGCATTCCTATCACTGTCCGTCAACTGGAAGCTATTATACGAATTACTGAAGCGCTGGCTAAAATGTCTCTTTCGAGTATAGCAACAGAGGTCCATGCAACAGAAGCAATTCGCTTGTTCTTAACAAGTACTCTAGCTGCAGCTACGCAAGCTTCTCCAGAAGTTACTGAAGAAGTGAAAAAGATTGAAGCTAGTTTAAAAAAACGCTTACCTATCGGTTTTCAAGCAAGCTATCGTATGCTAATTCGTGAATACGTGAATGGAGTAAGTAAATATATAATATGTTTTTCCTTGCTAACTTATATAGCATGGTTATTCTCAACGAGCTTTAGAAATGGCTCTGCAAATTTTAGCATCAAAAGACACAATACAAATGCGAAATGGTGGTCAAACCGTTTATCGATCTGGTATTTAATTTTATTAAAGCGTTAATATAACTTCTAATTATTAATTTAACATTCTATTTATATTATAGATAGATAACAATGTTACAATAAAATGTACTGTTAGGACTAATTGAATTAATCCCTAAAAGCAGAAACACTTGCTCTTGAGTAACTGATGGTACGACTTAATTCTTGTCGTCGTCGATGATCTTCTTCTTCCTTTAGATTGTTTTTTTCTGAAGGTAATAAAATCTATTTTATGCGTTAGCCATTATTAAATCAAATTTTTAATAAGATAAAACATACAGCACGATCAACTGCTCTTGGAAGACCTCTATGTCGCCCACGGATTTGCAGAGCGATGATAACGAGTTTACTTAACTTGGTAAATCTTGCAGAAAGGGAACATTGAGAATCAGATAGACCTAAAAATAGTTAGCGTAATGTCATGAATCTTTTCTGTAAAATACTAACCAGTACTTAAGCCTACGGTTCCGTAAGCGGAAACGATTTCAAATAAGACTGTAAAAATTGTAAAATCCTAAAAATGATTAGCATTGCTTATCATCACTTAAACTTCCTTACAGTATCGTTACTATTTGCTATTTTTCCGCCTTCACATATGCAAATTATGAGAAGTCCTAAAAAGATACACCAAAGATCATGACTCATTTGCTCAGTCAAGTGATCTTTTAAAAAAGACTTATGTTCCTCTTCATCAAAGGTGTATACACCAAGAGATCGTTCCTCGTAGACATTGGTATTTCTCATATTGATAGCCACTGGATAAACTGATATGTACATCATAATTAAATAAGTTACTAAAACGGCAGGATGTAATTCAGATAAAGTAACACTGGTAAATCCTGCAGTTCTGGTACAAACCGATTGAAACAACGCATTGACAACGCGAATGCCTCTAGGAAGACCTACAACGGACTCGTTTTTTATGTCAAGTGACATAAATAAAATTAAGTCGATAGCATTTAGGCCAAGCAAAATGAAGAATAACCACCACGTGGATCCAGATGGAAACAGAAGGGTGAAACAACGGCGCGGATGATCCAGTAGAAAAGCCATAGCTTCTTTTTTCTCTTGGCTCAATGGTAAAACTTTGTAAAAGAACCAAATGAATAAACGTAAGAAACAAGGGAATCCTGTATTCCCAGCAATAATAAAAAGGGAAGAAATTAAGAGGAGAAATATGTTTTTATTAAAAGGGGAAAATGATGATGGTGATAATGAATATCCAAGGTCATTAAAAGAAGAAATAGAAGTAAATAGAGCCCACCATCCTCTTTTTAACTTAAGAGAGTCGATTATTAAATAAGAACCATGAGCGGTATAAGAGAAAATAATAAAAATAACGAAAACGATGATATTTGTAAGGATGAAATATATCAAAACCATAGTACATACACATTTGAGAGCTCTATATTCTATGCCACCTAATTCATCACGTTGCTCCCTTGACAATGCGACAAAGGCAGAATTTCGATCGACCGTTGGATTGTAAGAAAGATAGGGAAGAGACATTACCGTACTTCGGGAAGAGGAAATCGTTCCTTCCCTTCTTCTGCCAAAAGCGCTAGAAAGTACCCTTTCAAACGTAAGGCTTCGGGGATTAACATTCAGGGACTTTGTCCAGCGCATAGGAGCGCTCATCCTTCTAAACCTTGCCGGCTTCTTTTGAAAGAATTTTTTGTTTTCAATTAAATCCTCTTGACGTTTTCGCTCAAGAGTCGGTTTATGAAGATTAGTAAAAGCAATATGGACATCTTCCCGAGAAGGATTGTCTGATTTAGAAGAGACTGACTCGGGATACAATTTCCTTTTTGGTTCGTAGATAGTTATTGAGGCTTTATTATCGGAAGCGGGGAGACTGGAATCGACGGGGGTATCTTGTAAATTGAGTAAATTCGTATCAGAAAGACAACAAGACATGGGGACAGGTGGTAAACCTTTTTCGCTGTATGATTGAGTTTCACGAATGTCATCATTAGTGTTCATCAAAGTTGTTAAGACCGAGTTCTGTCTTCGTAAACGAGGATGAAGATCGTCCATTTCAATTTCCTCTGCTATATAAGGAGTCTTTGAAGAAAACTCAGAAGAAAAATTTACAGCATGATTGGTTTCCGGATCCTCCAAATCAATGTCTGAAACTTCCTGAACAGAAAGCGTTGCAGGAACGTCTGTTTCTTGTTCTTTGGGTTTAGCTTTTGGAGATATGGACGGTGGATTAAAGAAAATACTTTCTTGGGGATTTTCGGTCGATGTGATATCAAGATTACCGAAAGTAGGAGCTGGATTCAAGTTGTCATCTGCTTGATGAGGAAGCAAGACTTGAATTTTTCTGCCCCTCACACCCTGTTCCTCATTTTGCTTTTCTTGTTTAAGTTGCTTCTGGCGAAGCTTTCGTTGACATCGACGAGTCCGATTTTGTTTTATCACGTATTTGAATTTTTTTCGAAACCAATACAATCGAACAAAGGAAATAGCACCATGCATCCAGATGGGAACGCTAATGATAGGAAATAAAAAGATAACTATTTGTTGCCAAGTAGTTAGATCTATCAAATTAAGAGTATTGAGACCAGTTTGAGTGACGCTACTACTAGCCAAGAATAGAGCATCAATGTATGATATTTTGGATCCACCCGTGAATAACAAAATTGAGGATATAATTATTAAAAGGATGATATAGAAGTAATGAACAGCCAGAAATCCAAAGTTTGGCACTATCCATTGTATCCATCTTTGAACTTTAGTGAACGCCATCGGGGGGAGGACAATCGTCTACTAAAAAAGAAACAATTTTTTTCGAGGTTGATAGATATACCAATAAAAATAGACAGACGATGAGATGAGATGATGAGAACCGTATACACAAAATGCAGCCAATATTTTATCACTCAAAACGCTGAAGCAAAAACACAAAATGCCAATCGCGTGAAAACGCAAAAGAAATCAAAGATAAAGGTATCAATGCCTAAACAGAAGAAGAAAAAAGGAAAAGTCTTGAAAGAAAGGCAGATTCTAAGGTACACAAGGAAAAGAGGAGCAAAGTAGTAAAAGCACTAGAAAACCAACATACTGAATAAATAAACGACTCGTAAACAAATTCAGTTGTATTAAGTACTATAAAGGGATTTTTAGAGCCTTTTTCCAGGGCCTCACACAACAATTGGTGTTTGCAGAAGAGAAACGCGAGCATGTCAAAGCACCAACAATTTTCTTTAGTGAGATATAGCGGTACCAAAGGAGACGTTGATCTATTTCCTTTGGGTGCGCAAAATGTATGTAAACAAAAACAAAGATAAAATGATTGGGATGAAATGAAATAAATAATTCTAAAAAACATATTCAAATTGGATATAAAGAAACCAGAAAAACAAATGAGCCAGAAGAAGCCAATTGTGTAACTCTATAAACGAGAAATACTGTTTCGTCTTACAAATTTTGTAACTTTTGTTGATTTACATGGAAGCCTCACACACGATCCCAAAAATATTGCTGCTCAATACGCTCATAAAAAGAAATGAAATAACAGAACACTTACCAAAGTTAACCAAGCAGAATCCATTCTTTTCACTTTTTATTTATTAAGCCGTTTCAAAGCATTGGATGCAAAATCTGAATAACGAGCACATTCCGTCCCGCTATACTCTTACTCTTCTACTACGGATTTTGTTTCTTCCAAGTACCAACTCCCCTTTAGACAAATCAAGCGAAAAGCGTTGGTTTTTGAGCTTTCCGCAGGTGTCAAAAATACGGTCTTTTCAAGCATTTCGTGGTACTTGTGTTCTTTTTGGTAAACGGGTTGTCAGAAGGAAAATGGCGGATATTTCCAAAAGTGTGCCCTTCGATCGCAGTCAATTCGAAGAATTGATGAAGAAGCGATTCTTTTTTTCACCCTCTTTCCAAATCTATGGTGGTATTAGCGGTCTTTTCGATTATGGCCCTCCTGGTTCTGCTCTTCAAACCAACATTGTGGACTTGTGGAGAAAGCACTTTGTAATTGAGGAAAGCATGCTTGAAGTTGACTGCTCCATGCTTACTCCTCATGACGTTTTGAAAACTAGTGGTCACGTTGACAAGTTTTGTGACTGGATGTGCAAAGATCCTACTACTGGTGAGATCTTCCGTGCTGATCATTTAGTTGAAGAGGTCTTAGAGGCACGTTTGAAGGGTGACAAGGAAGCCCGTGCAAAAGAAGCTGGCGCTACAAACGCTCCAGTTCAGGAAGAATCCGATGATAAGAAAAAGCGCAAGAAAAAGGTGAAGGAAATCAAAGTCACTCGTTTGGATGATGAAATTGTTCGTGAATATGAATTCATCCTTGCTCAGATCGACAACTATGATGGTCAACAACTCGGTGAAATCATGAAGATTCATGATATTCGCAATCCCGCTAATAATGGTGAACTCGAAAGCCCTCGTCAGTTCAACTTGATGTTTCAAACTCAAATTGGTCCCAGCGGAGGCTTACAAGGTTACCTTCGTCCCGAAACTGCTCAAGGTCAATTCTTGAACTTTAACCGTTTACTTGAATTCAATAATGGTAAGGTTCCCTTTGCCAGTGCCATGGTCGGTAAGGCTTTCCGAAACGAAATTTCTCCTCGTAGTGGTCTTCTTCGTGTTCGTGAATTTTTGATGGGTGAAGTAGAGCACTTCGTTGACCCTCAAAACAAGCAACACGATCGCTTTGATGAAGTTGCCCATATTCCCCTTCGTCTTTTGCCCAGAGGTGTGCAACTTGAAGGAAAGAGCGATGTTTTGGAAATTACTATTGGTGACGCTGTTGAAAAAGGTATCGTTGACAACACCACTTTGGGTTATTTCATGGCTCGTATCAGCCTCTTCTTGGAAAAGATCGGTATTGATATGTCTCGTCTTCGTTTCCGCCAACACATGAGCAATGAAATGGCCCATTATGCTTGCGATTGCTGGGACGCTGAAATTCAATGCTCATACGGATGGATTGAATGCGTTGGTTGCGCTGACCGTAGTGCTTACGATTTAACTGTTCACAGCAAGGCCACCAAGACTCCTTTAGTTGTTCAAGAAGCCCTTCCTGAACCCATTGTGGTTGAGGAGTATGTTGTCGAAGTCAACAAGAAGAAGTTCGGTCCTCGTTTCAAACGCGATGCCAAGGCTGTTGAAGAAGAAATGCTTAACTGGAGTCAAGAAATCAAGGAAGTTAAGAGTGCTCATTTGGCTTCTCAAGGTAAGATTACCGTAGCTGCAAATGGAGTCGAGCATGAAGTAGATGCTGAACTTGTTACTATTGAAAAACAACAGCGTAAAGAGCACACCCGTACTTTCACTCCTAATGTCATTGAGCCTTCCTTTGGATTGGGTCGTCTCTTGTACTGCCTTATGGAACATAGCTTTTGGGCTCGTCCTGAAGACACTCAACGTGGTGTTTTGTCATTCCCTGCCGTCGTTGCTCCCATCAAGGCCCTTATTGTTCCTTTGAGCCGAAACGCCGAATTTAACCCTGTCGTTCGTCAATTATCTGCCAAGCTCCGTAGCTTGGGTGTTTCCAACAAGGTCGATGATTCGAATGCTAACATTGGCCGTCGTTATGCTCGTAACGATGAACTTGGTACCCCATTTGGCTTAACTGTTGATTTTGAAACTCTTGAAAATGGCTCTATTACCCTTCGTGAGCGTGATACTACCAAGCAAGTTCGTGGTTCCCAAGAAGACATTATCAATGCCCTCGTAGCCTTAACTGAGGGTAAGATGTTATGGACGAATGCTGTAGAAAAGTTTGGTGAGTTCAACGCTACTCAGGAGTAAGTGGTTCGTTTTGTATAGTTTTTTTTTGGGTTGGATGCGAGTATTGTTCGACATATAATAGTTTCATTTGTTTGTATAAATCGTTTCAACTTAGTGTATGATACTGATTACTTTATTACTGTTTGCAAGCTTTCTAATATATTTAGAATGTAACAGCATAACTTTAGTATTTGTCTTTATTTCTGTGTAGCAAATTTACCGTCATTTATAATTTGAACCTACAATTTCCAGAAAACATCTATAAAGAAAAAAGAAACAATATATTTCTCACTTTGACGGTTTGTTTAGTGATTACTTAAGCAAGGTAACTTGGGTACGAGTAAAGCTTTCCATTCCATCTCTCTACAGATTTGGAGAATTCACATTTCATTCTTTTCTAGAGAATACCACTGAAAATAGACTTTTTCTTTTTACTTACTTAGAAATTACAATCTCAATTCTGCCAGTTGTTGGTTTAGTATCTTGCATTTAGCTAGTGCAATAGACAGGAATTCATAGAAAAGTGAAAGCAACATGGAACTGAATAAGTACAGTACTGAGGAAATTGAAGAGTTGTCTTTGGCAGCGCGAGATTATGCTACTGCTCATGGCTTACTGTTTGTAGATGCAGCACAAAAAAAGGAGGATACGAATGGCGCTACTCAGGTTCCTCTGACGCTTTTCCCTAGTCCTGTTCCCAGAAACGCTTTCATACAAGGAGTTTCTGTACAGAAAGCCTATAATAAGCTTTATGCCAAAATTGCCAATGATTTTGAATTTCTCAAGACTCACTTAGAGTCTATTACGAAGTATGACAAGTTTATGGACAAACTATGGGACTTGTATATGAAACATCTTGACGCCAATGAAAAACTCAAGCCTGAGTTACGCCAGCCTTTAGCGCTGGGTATCTTCCGATCGGATTATATGGTGAATAAAGATGATCAAGAAGTTAGCAGTAAGCAAGTCGAATTCAACACCATTTCGGTATCTTTTGGGGGTCTTAGCAAAATGATGGCCAACTTGCATTTTTACTGTTCCTCTTCTGGTCTATACAAAAAGACTTTGGAACACAACTATCTCACTGTTAACACTTCGATTACTGGTATTTGCAGTGGTATATCTAGTGCTTACAATGCTTATTGTGAACAAGCAAAAGGGATCACTTCTACGAAATTACATGCTACCGAGAGAATTGAACCCATTGTTTTATTTGTCGTGAAAGACAGTGAGCGTAACATTTGTGATCAGCGTCTTTTGGAATATGACCTTCTCAGCCGTTTCAAAATCAGGTCAAAACGTGTTGCCATTCGCCATTTGGACTTATTGATGCGAGATGATGAAAGTAACAAGCTATATTACAAAACTCCTAACGGCATTTTTGAGGTTGCCATTGTTTACTATCGATCAGGTTATGCGTTAGATGATTACCCTACGAACAAGGAGTGGGAGATCCGTTTAATGATTGAGAATTCTCTTGCCATTAAGTGTCCTACCATTGCTACACACTTGGCAGGCTCAAAGAAGATTCAGCAGGTGCTTGCCGAAAGCAATGCTCTTGAAAAATTTGTGCATGGTGACGAGCTTAAAGCCATTGAGTCAACTTTTGCAGATATGTATCCTCTGAATGACACGCCCCGCGGCCAAGAGGGTATAAAGCTTGCTCTTGAAAACTCTGATGACTTTGTTTTGAAGCCTCAACGTGAAGGTGGTGGTAACAACACCTATGGAAAAGATATTCCTGACCTTTTAAACAAACTTCCTAAGGAGGAATGGGATTCCTACATTTTGATGCGTTATATCAAATCTCTTCCTTCACAGAATTACATCTTGAAAGGAAGTGTCGCCGAAAAATATGATGTCGTTGACGAAATTGGCATTTTAGGAACCATTGTTTGGAATACCAAGACAGCTGAAGAAATAAACAATGGTAACGCCGGCTACATTTGCCGTACAAAGCCAGTTTCTTCCCATGAAGGTGGTGTAGCTACTGGTTATGCTTCTTTGTCTAGTGTAGATTTAATTGACTAATGAGGATGAACACTCCATTATGAGACTGCCTATATCTACTTATCATGTCAGACTTGTTACAGATTTTTGAAGACCACTTCGATCTAATAGACTTTTATGTATTAGATAAAAACAAAAGAGGGCTATAGTACGTATCGTATATTTCTGAACTCTGAACCTCGTCATTCATGTCAAACGCAGCGTATATTTAAAGAAAAGGGAATAAATAGTAGGGATAGGATAAAACAATGCAATAGCGTAAATAATAGTTCTCGTAAATCATAATAGTCGAAACAGAAACAAAACTTTCAAGGGAAAAAAACCAAAAGATAAAGATAGCAACCTCAAACAAAAACAATTAGTAGTCTACAAAAAGAAAAGAACGGAATGAAAGTCTGATTTTATGAATAAATTACTCTGGAATATTCAATCCACCGTAAAATAGACCCACGGATTTCGTCCCAATCGTTACTACTGATTTTAAGCCAGTTTTCATGCAAGAGTCCACATGCTTCACAATGAATACCAGGAAGCCAGTTAAAAGTCTCCTCGAGTTCCTTATGGATCAGTCTTTCAACCTTGAAACTGACTTGACAGGGCTTCGAAGATTTGCTCGGACAGGGAAAGATTTCCAAAAGCGAACGATGATAGCGGCACCGAGACGAATGATCATGCAAATGCCGCTTCAAATCAGAAACTCGAGAAATTTGAATAAGGGACGTACTATGGGCATTAGAATCACGTAAAGGATTTTTTTCTTCATAGCTAAAAACGCAAATATATCCAGGACAGTCAAAGCTATCACTGTTACACAACTCGCTTTGCAACATAAGCTGAGTCTTTTGAGACAGCAGTGGATTGATCCAGTCTTCCAATACCACTACACTGTGTAGAGGTACCGTTCCCGGGGTAGCTACTAGCGAGAGCTTGGGAGGAAGATGTTTACGATGCACAGGCGGTATATTTGATCGTAGTATTAGAGGATCAACTGGCTTTGTAATATTCAAAACTAGATCGTCTCCACTATTGATGTCTTTGACCACAGTATAAACTTCATCTTGTTTGAAACTGTTTGATTCTTCTTCAGCGTAGTGCGTTGATAAAAGCGGACGGGTCCGATGAAAGCTACATATCCATCGATACATTCGACTCAACTTTCTATTCAATGACCACCATACTGAATACAAATCTCGTTTCCAAGAATCCCACCAGTCTAGAAATTTCGCACCCATGCTTGTTTTTGTAGGAGGACTGTTTGGCGGCTCCAGACATTCAGATTTGTGAGAACCGTAGTCAAATTCTTCCATTGACAGTGGATGATCATGTTCTTCATTTTCTATATGTGAATGCTCTACTTGCTCTTGCTTTTGCTCTTGATGGAAGGGATCTGTCATGTTTGCATCGGATCTTCCAAGGGTCTCTACAGCATCCTTAAAACAAATCGCTGAAACCAACTTTGCTGACACTACCCAAAAACGCCAAAGACAGCTGTTGTTTTTTTACACGTCTTTTGTTCAACAAAAAGAGAAGAAGACAAAAGACAAAAATGACCAGCCAACCTCAAACCCTAGTTCTTCCACATAAGGATATGTACCAAAACTCGTTAAACGTCTTAATGATCCAAACCGATATCGTTAAATCACAAAGTCTCAAGTCAAGTCAAGTCCTCTCTGCAGTAAGGGAAAACTCATCGATTTCTGATAGAATTCTTTCATTTTAATGTACAAGCGAATCAACAAGATTAAAGCAGATTAACGATGGTCCAAAACGACGATATGGTCCCTTCTCTCCAACAATCGCCATTCCAAGAAGCAAGGTCGATTCTGAGTGCATAAAAGCTCAATTCTTCAACTCAATGCTACTTTCATTATTATTCTGCTGGCCGCTAAGACAAATCGAACATATTAACGATAACTAACAAATCACCATCTGTTGAAACTAATAAACTTACGTAGCAAATCGGTGACAATTGCTTGTAATGAGAAATCGTAATATGTAATGATAGTATAAAAATAAAAAGAGTAGTGAATGAATTTCAAAAGTTATTAACTATTTTGTAAGGTAAAATCTATTATGGAGTGAGTGGTTGCAAGAAGCATAGAAATTGTTTGTGACTTCAGCGAGTACAAGTGTTTATGAGTTAAGTAACATTGATGCTCATAGAGGAACATCCACCGCTTTTGTATAATGTTTATTTAAATGTTCTCACAGTTTAGTCATGATGTCACTGACACGATAGGTGTCTTGTTAATATTATAAGTATTACAATATACTATCATAAGAGCATATTGCTAAATTAAATTCTCACAAGTTACGAGAACGTTTATCATTTAACGAAAAGAAACGCAAGCAGCAAAAGTTGTATAAGGATGTTTTTGATTGTCGTTACAGTGTCAAATCTCATAGATAGTGGGATACAGCAAATACGTACTAGCAGCCCTTTTATAAAGCCTCGTCATGTCTCATAAAACGGAAGAAATGACTTTTCCCACCTCATCGTCACATTCTCTTGCACAAAACAAACCCCTAATTGGAGCAAGAAAGAGAGCTACCTAATGGTAAAATAAGGGAAAAAGTGCTAAACTAAGTCATGAGATTTCATGTTCATTTATGAGTGAAAAGCGAGAATGGACGAACGAAGCTTGGAAAAATGACAATAACGTAGAAAAAATGGAACCCAACGACACCAATTTCTCTGAATACGACAATGCGAGGAAAAGCTCGCTTCAATTGGATTTGCCAAGTTACTCAGAAGTTTGTTATTTCAGTGACGATGACTTGGAAAAGGGTTTGTTTACACCTATTCCTCCTTCCTACAAACAACTTCAAATGAGTAGCAGAGTCGAATCCGGTGATAATCGAGTTCATGCGAATGAAGTGCATGGACGCATGACAGAACCTGTGTCAGACAGATCATGGGGAAGCTGGATCCTCGATTGCATCTGCATGCCGGTACGTCCCCGACTAGCACCAGCGGGCACATTGAGAGAAGCAGGATATTTTCGAAGTTTTATTTGTTATCTTTATACGGCTGCTTTTATTTTCGCTTTACTTTTTAAATATTCTGATAAATTGTCAGAGTTTATAAAGGATTTATCTTTGGATAAGAAAATTATTTTCCCTTTGCTTGGTGGATTGATTTTAGTTTTATTTATTATTTCCTCTGTAATAATTTCTCGTAAGTGATTTGCATTCATCGGAAAAGCAAATTGAAGTACGTTGAATTTCTTGCTAACTTGAGTGTTTAGTTGTATTGGACATCATCGTTTGGTGTATATCTATGGTTCCAGATTTGGCTATAGTACTAGGGAATAACTTTAAGCATGTGGGGAATCTCATTAAATATTTCTTTGAGAATTTCTTTGAGTATCTCTTTGAGAATTTCTTAGGAAGAACATTTCCATACTTGTGGAGAAAATTTATACTGCCTTTGACAATCATTTTCGGTTATACAACTAATCAAAGCTTCGGGATTGATTCAGATTCAACAAATACCGTTGAACTTGACGAGCTAGAAGCTAGTGTTGAGACTCCAACATCTGCACCTAACAATGTTGAAGTGCCAAGTTCTCCTCTTGGGAAAAGCCCTACCAAAGCAAATCATTCAAAAAAGTCTGTTGGGCATTCTGCAAGAGAGCAAGAAATAGAGATGCAAACTTTTGGAGACACAGGTTCTCCGATTTTGAACGATCATACAAAGTAATGTTTTTATGCTATGCCCATTTTATTGAATGGTTGTTATTGTCAGCGTGTCAGTGTCCAGTTGAGATTGAGATTGAGATGTCTTACGAGAAGATTATGTTTATATTCAAAAGCATGCGTATTTTTTTTCCGTAGAAACTTGCGATTGTTAGTTATCCTGGCCCTTATTAGCTCCTCACTTTCCTGTTGTTTTTGGTGCTTGTTTACATTTGATTGAAGTTGTTGAAGTTGCTTAAAATATCAATGGATAGTATCAATCAATAACAACAGATTATTATTTTCTATAAGCTTTGACCGCAAGATGAAATCTCATTTTATGATGGTGAGTTCGTCCAAAAGTAACAAAATGACCAAGGATTCTATTGAAACTGCAAAATCATAAATCTGTTACTTTTCATTTGAAGAATTGAATTAAAAGCTCTAAAAAGTCTATAGATGCTGCTTTTTCCCCTGCACTTTACGCTACAAAAAAAGTTTCGATTGGAACAGTAAAAACTGAATTTGCCAGTTGACATGCAACCTATGAGATCAACAGTTCACGAGAAATAAACCTATCAGAATCAAGAAATCAAGAAAAAGGAAATAGTCTGTGATGAGAGAACAAAAGATGATTACCATTTACAAAAACACCGTATTTCAATCATCAATACGGAATATCGATAGGAAATATAGGATTTATGATGGCTACCAAGAGTTTGAAAAATGAAGAAGATAACTTAGTGCTTCAAAAAAAAAAGTTAGATGATTTTCAACATCCCCAAGTTGACCAGGTCACTGTTGTCTTTGATATCGTTCAGAATATTTGAAGCTTTTTCGCTTCTGAGAATAGTGTTACGGTAAGCTTTGATTGTCAAGGTGTCACGGTAGAAATCTCAAACGTTATGAGAATGTAAATCAAGTGGAAGTAATAAGTACAATTACAAAGTTGTCTATTGGAATTGGACGTGTTAGTACTACGTAGAAGAATGGTAATAAGTCCGGATCTGACTAACTAAATGAAAATGACTAAGAGTCAATCTTGTTTAGCCTGATCAGTCAAAAATAAAAAAATTGCTAACTGTCCACAACCATACTTAGTTATCATTGGAGACAATATGGGAAGCTTGGATTTTCTTTCTCTCCTATTTGTAAGTTTTCTTTAATATGATACGTACAATTCTACTGAATTCTAGTGCTCGTTGTTCAGATACTTGGAAAGAACGGACTAATATTCCTATACATGCTATATAGAGAGTGATGTTACCAGTCTAATGAACAACAACGAATAAAGTACCATAAATTGTAGACTTTTAGTTCCAGTTTATAAGAAATGGAAGGAGTGATGAGAAATGACTTTCATTGAAATTAACTATCGAAATATTCATAAAGATCCCAGAAATAGTTGTAATAATGGACGAGGAAAATAGTACAAACAAACAGAACCAATTTAGCAGTAGATTTTTATTTTCAAGAATTTTTAAAAGAATGCATATATCGTTACGTTGAAGGACTTGAAGCTGGATTTTTGATACATAAGAGTAGGTGTTGTTTTTAAAGTTGTGATTATGTTATGTTATGTTATGAATGCCGCAAACAAAATCATAATGCAAAAAAATGTCCGTCCCAGAGTCAGTATAGAAGACTGTCTTATTTGTGGATTGTCTCAAATTGAATATCTGGAGGAGGATTTCTGTAGTACATGTAAAATTACAAACCGTGGGCCAAGGATCTTCTTTTAATGTGTAAAAATACGAATGACTGAACATTTTCCTCACCGAATCTAGTAGCCTGTTTGTTTATCCCACGATTCGCAAAAAAACTATATAAAAAAAGTATATCAAGACAAAAGCAATCATGAAGATTAGAATTGTAAGTAAAGTAATTTTACAAGTGCAAAACCGATCATTAAAGATATTGATAATAAAGGACAATACCACAAAATCATTGAGAAGCTTCAAAATTCCGCTATGAAAAAAGTTGATTAGTTTATCAAGGAAACTTATTTAACGCAAAATCAAATTTACATTTGCTCACTATTGTCATTCTTTGAAAGGAGATCAGATTTTTCTTTAGTTTCCAGTCACATCTTCAAAGATGGCTGCCTTTAATCGCATAATGAATAAATTTATATTCAAATTCATTATAATAGTGTTAATAGTTCATTCCGGCCCGTTAAACGATTGTTAATGAATACGATACTTAAGCTTATATATATAGTCACAACTGGTGATAATATCAAACCCACAAAAGACGGTCACGAAGCCTGATATCTCAAGTGGTGAAATAGTGGAAATCGATTCTCGAAACTTTTATTAACGATGTTCAATTCACGGCAAATTATTGCCTTAATTTTTCTGTTGGTTTATACTCAGCGTTGAAGCAGTCAATCTTTCTCTCTCTCGGAGTTGTAACTTGCAATATTGTTTATTCAAGCCTGGCAAATCAGTCGGCTCCATTGTTGCCTGCTAAATTAAGTAGGCAATCAATTTCTACACCGATAGAACACCAGCTAAACTACTACGAACTAAATCGCTTAGAGGGGCCCAAAAGAGTTTAAAGGTTTATCGGTGACAACATGTTTAGTGTGCCGTTACCTGATGGAAATATGGTTTGTAAACAGTTCGACATATCATAAAGCCTTTCTTTCATCTATGAATGTTACTACTGATTTACAAAAGAGATCCATGCCACCCCTTTTGTCTGTTGGTGTTAATGTAATGTAATGAGTGGTACTACTTTATCCTTTTCCTTAACCTTAGGTACGGTCGTAGGAGTCACTGTGTTAGCTGGCACAAATGCTTCTTTTTGGGTATTTTGGTTCGTCATTTATTGCATGGGGTGCTGAACAACTTTCCGGAAAGTCTAAAAGAGGGATTGCTAAAATTGAGGTGTCATATACTGATAATCCTTTTAGTCATCGTGGTGGTGATTATACTAGTGCTGCTGCAGAGGACGACGTTACTCAATTCCAAGGCTGTTCTGAAGAATGTTGCAAAGTCTCATTGATGGATACAAATTTCCTTTACCACAAGACGAATATAGGTGCTATTCTTTCTGAGTATGGAGAATTACACTGCTAAAATTTAATTAGATAGTTGATCCTTTCCCCTACTTACACAAAAAGACTTTTGTTCCGAAGGCTGTCCAATTTGCTAAAATCGTATTTTCTTTGTTTTGTTTACCATCTGTAATATCTTATCCTTTAGCCTTATGGCATTTGCTAAACGTTCAGCAATATACTTGTATGATAATATATAGTAATATGCAAAATGTTAATAAAATACCTATCGTAACACAGACAGCATAGCATTGACATCGATAGACAAAATACTAGCAATATATGGGCATTTTTCTAAGTCATATTACGAGGACTTACCGCTAAAGTTTTTCGTTTTAATAACATGCTCAATAAGCGATTTCTACTATAAAACTCATATTTACCTTTGACGGCTATCCCAAAATCAGATTAAGAGATAGTGATGTGTTGCGCCCTTTTTTTTTGTTTTTTTTTAAAAAAAAAGTTTCTGTTCTTTTTTCTACTTAACATAGTCAAAGTAAACGAGCGTGCAGACTGAACAAATTCGGTTACTGCAACACTAAAAAAGGTGCTCTAACAAAGCCGGTGATAACACATAAACTCTTAGGAATCTGTACTCGCTGAAAAGTAAGGTTAAAAAAAAAAGAGGAAAGGAATACAACTAGTTTCTAAGTCTTTCTCCTATCCAATCATTTTTGGCGACTACCGATCTTTCTTTCATTTGATTTTTAATTTCTTTTCATAATGAACTCTGAGAAATTACATGATCCAGAAAAACAAGCAATAGCACCTCCCTCTGAAACATTTCGTTTATTAGATTCGAATTCTTATTCACAAACAACTATTAATCCAACAGCCAAATCTCACATTGAAATCAAAACCAAAGATGATATTAATGGAAACTCTTCTACCCATAATACTCGTAGAATACCAAATTTCGTTTTGCTGATTTCTCTATTTTTAAACGTATTCCTCGTTGGTTATTTTTTTGCAATCACAGGTTATGCTTACGTTGATGATAAATCTCAGACTATGAATAGAGTGTTTCATATTACCGATTGGATTATTAATATTACATTTCAGCCTTTATACGAATCATTTTCAGACATTTTCGGAAGGCGAGCATGTTTATTGACAGCATCCGGATTGTTCTGTCTTGGTTGTCTATGGAGCGACTTTGCTAATAGGTTCATTTCTCAAATTTTTGCAAGCACAATTATGGGAATTGGATGAGGAGGATTGATTACGCTGACGAAGATTAGTAACTCGGATATCATTCCGGCAAGAAGGCGAACATTATTTTTAACACTATTTTTTTCGGTTATGTTAATTTTATTTAGCCTCTTTTGTTGCAAACTTTTTGAAGGTTTTAGTTTGAGATTTTGTTTTCTCATGCAAGTTCCTTTCTCATTTTTAAGTATTGCCCTGATGTACTTTTGTGTATAAAATCAGCCAGGCTCCACAAAACCTCATCACTATCGAAATCATTTAAAAAAGGTTTATGTAATACGCGGATTGCTCTGGGTTTCTTGGTTGACAGCTTTGTTAATAATTGTGACCTTTGTTAGTACAGAATTTATTGAGACTTATCGAGTCTTAGGAATTTTATATTGGTTAGGGTTAATTGTTTCTATAAATGTATATAGATGATCGATCCCGATGTCACGCCGAGCCAATAACCTCATTGATTTTACTTTAAGCACATACAGTACCCTTGTTTTGACGACTGGAGTTTTCGCTGGAATAGCAAGGTATGCTTGTTTATTTACGATTCTATTCTTTTTTAAAACTGATACTAGGGCGTAGCCCTTCCAAAGCCGGACTTCGTCTTGCTTTCCTTCTCTACACCTATGGGAGGATTGATTTGTGGTATTCTCATGTACCAACATGTTTGTGTAGGACGTCTACTATTTTTTGGGAGTGTTTCTCATGGCTTTAGGATATGTGCTTAATTTGTTTATTTATCCTGGCATATCACCAATACTACTGTGTCTATTTTTGATTCCAACCAACGTTGGGCAAGGTATAGGATTTCCAAGCTCGTCATTTTCATTCATTTTTGCGTTTTCTCAAGACTCATATGCTATATTTACGTCTACGCTTTATCTAATTCCACTGTTTGACGTATCATCTCAATCAACTCTTAGGAAAAAAGAAGGAAAAAACCATTTACTGGCTTGTCAAAATTCACTGATCTAAAACAAGATTCGATGTATGTCTTCTTAATATGATTTACCACATCCGATTCATAGGACTGTATTAGGTGATTTATACATTTGTCATTCAATTGCCAACACAGTTTACCACGACTTGCTGCATCATAGCTCTTTCTTTATATGTATAATTGAAGAACATAATAAAGCATGACGCATTTTGGATTTCGCGGCCAGTCTTTCAAGTCGAGCAGCAATGACAAGAAAGGAATTGTGTAATCAATAATGCAAGTAGGGACTAGAAAATATAATATAACATACCTCGCTCACTACTTCGCTAACCTGATAAGCTATAAAAACAGGAGCTCGCAGAGTACGTGAATTGATTGAATCAGCTACGAATTCTGCCACTCATGATACATCTCTATAGCTCTTCCGTGCGCAATATGAATCACAGTTGGCAGATCCTGGACTTTTCAGGTGGCCATTTGTGTAGATTGCTTATATAGTATATAGCTGCTTGGAAGGGAGAAGAAAGCCCACGGTTATTGTAGGCTAGTGCTTCACTATACTAGTTTTACCTTGAACTAACCCTAAATTTATCAGATTTTAAGCAGAGTTAATCTCTAATAAGAGAAAAATTTGATCCAAGATACTGTGTAAGTAGTCTTTATCACAGGTTACAGTGACACTTTCAAGGTGAAACTACTCAAGAAAATACCAGCAAAAAAAGACCGTAACGAGTTTGGGTTAGTGATGATGGAAAAGAAAATTCTACAAAACTGTTCTTTTGATGTAAGCTCAAAGTGTATTAGGAATAATTGTACTTAATATTTCATAAGATTTCATGAAACGAATTTTTTATAAATGATCCAGATTTTCTCGGTAAAGCCCGAAGCAAGAAACTGCAATATGATTCATCCATTGGTAGCTCAATTGGATTTCATAAGTGCTTTCACTTCAATTTCAATTTTCATGTCAGGCGGTGCAAGTCTGGTGACCTCGATCCTTGTCCAAATTGGTCGATGATTAGGAAAGTGTTTCTTTAGGTTCCCAACGAACAAGTTTATGGAAGAACCTACGTCGACTTGATATGATCGGATTGAGTAGACGTCTTTCGATTTTCTCAGGCAACCATTTGAAGTACTTTGGAAAATTAAGGTTACTTGTCCTTCAATGTCATTAGCATCTATTTCGCCGCCGGGATCTCATCCACCTAAACCAGAACACCTTACAATGTTCCCAACGGTTACGGCGTGCGAATGAGGATGTTAAATGGTTGCTGGACGTTTTTTCCATAGCCATCATCATTATAGTAAGGTAAGCTTGACATTGTATTGAGGTAGGATCAACAAAAAAAAAAAAGAATAAAGTGTTAAAGAGCAAGAGTAAAATCTTTTACAAGTCTCTTTTCTGTAAGACTTTGCAAAGTACAATGGCAATAAAAGATGAAATCATGTTATAACTGGATATTACTTTTTATTTCATTTTTTTTGGCTAGACCACATAAACAAAGCACTACGTTACTCGTCAGACAACACTGCCACTTTGGAGAGGTGACGGTATACATCGAAGAATAGCGGTATTTTTAGTCAACGTAATATAGTTAAGCGAAGGATACCGAAGGAATGCGAAACTTGCAAAGCCATTACTTCACCTCTGCAAAACTCTGGTCATCGCCATTGCGGACTCATTTCTCGGTTTTTTAGAAATTTTCGGCTTTTTCGGCTTTTTCGTTTAGTGTCAGTTAATTTAGGCGCTTTTCTAGAAATTTGCATGCCTTTTGACCCTTCTACTGCGTCATAATTCTCTAGTTTCACAGTGCAGTCCTAACCCATCGCATTGGTGACAGATGACTCTATCCTAAGAAAAATGAACGAAAAAGAAAAAGAAATTCAGTTAGAGGCTGCGAAACTAGCCGAATCTTTTTGCTTGAGCTCTTCTATAAGTTCTGACAGCTTTCTGCCGAAATACAGCGAAAACACCTATTCACACCTGGACGATATGGAGAAAGGTTGCTTATGTTTACATTCTGATCCAGCTCCACCGTACCCAGAAAACAACCATCAAGAAGCGTCCGTAGACATGGCACGACAAAGCAGATACTTCGAATCATCAAGGAATTTCTTCATGTCAATATTGTGGTTGATTTTCTGGCCGGAAAAAATTGCGAGAATTCCTGAAGCACGACGCAGACAGGAGAATGAAGCTCTCCGGCTTGGTTGGTGCTTTATTGGTTCAATCGTATTGGACTTTTTCTTTTCTTACTTTTTCCTTGTCCCTTTTATAAAGGAATCGATGAAAGAATTTGTAGGGTTACGGTTTCAGATTGCTCTAGCGATTGTTCTTGTCATCGCGGCTTTCTACATGTTCTTGTTTGTTTTTTCACGTAAGTGGAATGGTGGAATTGTAATTTGATATGTTTACTAACGGGGTACTTATAGTGTTGCTGGATTTTATTGCTTTAGTGCTTTCTTGGATTATTGCTGCTCTTGGTTTCAGGATGTCGTCGGAAAGAAACGACTCGACGGATGGTAACTGGATCCCACTAAACACTATGCCAGCAGGGTCTGAAAATCAATCCAACAATCGTAGTGATAATACTGCCGGACAACCATCATCTGAATGTTTTGAGCAACATTCAAGGACACGTCACAAACCGAGTCAGGCTAGGGATGCTGAAAGCACTGGAAACGAATCTCATGCTTGACCATTCTTATGATGATGTCCTGTCTTTTCATATATTCTCTATGCAGGCTTGTGTTTTCTTTTAATGTTTTATTTTGTTTCCTTCGTTTCCCGTTGTATTTATTTTTATCGAGCTTTTGCATATAAACACATTTCATAGGCCGTTGTTGTTGAAGCCCTATTGGTTTCATCGTGGCTTTGCGGCTTTGAGCAATGAACAAGTGAGGTCGTCGC